GAAGAGTGCGCTGAAGATATGCGGCCCTGCAGCGGGACGTTGTTCGCTGATAGCGAGGCGAGCCGCGTATCTGCATGCCATGTGAATCCCTGAAGTCTATCCGCGGCTTATATACCGCGAACGTAATTAGGTATCCCATGTGCGCATACCAGTTCAATTAATGAGCTGCAGGCCGAGCTCTTCATATGGAACAGTGCTGTGGCTGCGCGCGGACCCGGGCAGGGAGATTCTTGTGATGGCATGGCAGCATTGGGGGATGGACGCCACGCTTGGTCCCTATGGTATACAAACGACAAGTCACCACGGGTATAACGCGACCAGGCAGCACTAGCAATGAGCTTATTGACACTTTCACTTCGGGGAACTGAATACCATGCACTAGCATCAAACTGTCGCTTTTCAAGTTGGTCTGTAGCTTATCAGAGCTGGCTAGCCCATCACCCAAAGACCAGTCGGTCGCTAGCTACTGCTCCCTTTAGCGAAGGCCAGCATATTATCGCCGATTCGATCGTATTATCAAGCAAAACACCTATACCGGCACGACGCTTAAGAGTTGCCATACCACCTGTCAAGTCTTTTCTCTTTAGTCATAGTAAATCTTTGCAGTGCCAAAGGTCCGTTCAACCGTTGGAATAGCACATGTCTAGTCACTGCCTGTCAAAAGCCTAGATTGTGGACCCGCTATGTCGTCGACCGACGATAACCAAATAGGCTGAGCTAGATTAAGGCAACGGGGGTGCACCAAGAAAGATCCGACGAAAGATCCGGACCACGCGCCGACCAGACCAACTAGTCTCGCGCGGTCGTTTTATTAAAATATACACAACAATGTCAAGTGGGCATTGCCTGTAGACGCCCCAGAAAAAGAGCCATCTATGACTCTCCGGTACATAGAATGCAGCCTGGCAGCCTCACATTTCGGGACCAGGGGTCCAGATGCGTACCTAAGCGGGCTCGCGGGTCGGGCTTGGCCAGAGTCCGGACCATAACGTTGACGATCAGCTTTCGACGGCAGGCCGCCTGTATCCCAGAGATGGTTTTGCCTCTTGGATGGTGGGCTGTAACCGGGACTGAGGATTCCAAGACAAGAGGTGATGGTCGTGCCAACGTGTTTCAAATCATGCAGCAGCATAGTCGTGTGCTGCCAATGTCAAAGTTTGATAGGATGCAGTGTCAATTTGAGACTGCCGTGCCATGGGAGCGCAGCCATCCCCTATTCCTGTTCAGTGGTGGCCGTCTGTCACCTGGATCCTTGCTTCCTGCATTGGCGGAGTAGCCAAAGCGCAGCGCCTTGGCGAGGTCGATCGACGTGAACATGACAAACGGGCGGCCACCGAGCCTTTCGGCAGGTCTGAAAGGAGGGGAACAAAGCAGCAATAATTCATCCCAACTATGAACTTTGCTCGCCGAGGCGGACCCTACCCACAGTTCAGGGGCACGAACAGGCCGTATGGATGAACCGATCGGGACAAGCGCGGCCATGGGACATCCAGGCACAGCGATGCTATTGGCCCGGGGAAGCTTGAATCCCTGGCTAGCTAGATTGACCAGCGCAAGGATGCCGTTGCACTGTTGCAGGCGCCTCGCGTGGGCTAACGGGGATGCAACAGTCGGTTGGGATGGCACAGTTCGAACGACGGAGCTCGAACACTGTACTCTTGCTGCCGGACGGTTCCAAGGTTGATCTTGTGCAAGTATAGGTGCTGGCTTACTATCAGCAGTAGTCCCGCAGTCTGTAATGATGCTGGTGGCTTGACTCAGTGTCGTCGCAGACGGCCTGTTTGTTGACCCAACAGACGCACTTCAATTTATTTGAGACATCAGGGTCTTACTGTCCCGTCGGCCTGAATACTGGGCAGTTGGTCCTGTGAGACCGGAATGCTTGAGCTTCCGGGTTTTCCAAAAGAGCGTAACTGACTGGGAACTGTTGTACTTGTATCCAAAGGTTTGAGCATCAACTTGGTGGTCCGGTTGCTCTTATCCACCTAAGATGTGCCTGGGCCGATACCTGCATTCCCTGCACTCTCGGCTTGCAGTTCTGCCAACCTTGTGATGATTGGTGATGTTGGCGAAAAGGCTGTGGGGGTACGGAAGATTGACCGCATTGTGGCTTGGAAGCAAACGCGGGGATCGCTGGACGGTAACGCGTTTGCTCTGGGACAAAATTTAATAAATGACGACATGGTCTTGAGAGTAATCGAATGCTGCAATTTGCTCGCAAGGCATCCTAAGATGACAGAGATCATTACGGATCGATGCCGCGTCCCTGTGTGCCTGTCCCCGCTATGGATGCGCGGCGTTCTCCAAGGAAGTCACTCACTGTAGCGACAGTGCGAAGGAGCTCCAATTGACAGCAGCCTGGCAAAGCCAGCAGTACGATGTAGGTTCGTTCATCTTCTTGGAGCTCCAGAATTCAGATAGAGTTTTCGGGAACCGCGAGCAAAAATTCATTAAAGCAACTCTGGTAGGGCCGTGATCGTCGGGTCTAGCCTGCATCGGGAGGCCCAAATAGCAATCCGTTCAGGCAAGCAATTACCTACCGTTGCTGAGGGCACTTTTATTTCGCAGATCGCTCTCTTCAGCTGGGTCAGCATGTCAGACGAGCAGACGAGCAGACGAGCAGACGAGCAGCCAAGCAACGATGCCGCCGTCTGTACGAGTGGAAAGGGGCAAGATGCGACCCAAAGAGGATCTGAGAAAGGAATCCTGAGCGCCCGAGCCCCTGAAATGGGGGTTGACGAGCTCCAGTAGATTGAGCGTTACCAGCGGAATGGGTAGGAGCTAAACATGGAGCCTTTGGACCACACGGCGACGGCCCCCGGCTAGCAGGATCGGTGGTTTTTCAGTGGACGAGACGGCGGCACGCAGTCGATAAGGATTGGAGCTTCGCTGGCCAAACTGCCCCCTCAGGGGCCCCCAGCCCCTGCCGATGCCTGTCCGCCTGTCCGGTGTTCAGGGCGGGCCAGAGGCTGACGGCGGCTCGTCCTCCTGGCCTGGTCCCATAAGAGTTGTTTTCCCTTCTGTCTCCATCCCCACAGGCTCGCTGGCTTCCTGGACGGCAGGGACAAGCTTGAAATGCGGGTTTACTGCCTTCACGCCCCCGAGGAGCTTGATTGGAAGGAGGAGCCATGGCATGGTGCACCGCCGTCTTTTTATCGCACCAGGGACCACAGGTCCGGCTTGGGAGGCACCCGGCCCAGAGCAGCTTTGGGCTGAGTGCATCGAGTCAAGTGTCTTGGATCAATTGGTGATGCTACCGCTCAAGGGATCGTCTGCGAGAACTTACACAGACTGCGCACAATCTGAGACAAGAATGCGGGTGTTATTTGTTGTGGACAAACCTTGGCCCCAGGTTCCACGGGTGCCTTGGGTGCCACTAACGTAGAGAACGGCTTGAACGGTTCTGTGTTGACATTCAGCCACAGACCGTCCAAGTCAACATCATTTCGCGACAGTGCCTCTGTTTCCGAGAGGCTTCACGTTTCAGTAGATTGTGTGTTTCCAAGCCGACAAAGTAGACGGACATGGGTCACCAGTCCCTATGCAGTGCTTAATCGCAGCAACCTGCGCTGCGGCAGATGTGCTTTCCGCAGCCCTCGTCGCCCACAGTATCCAGCACACTGGATGTTGGCTGTCGCATCCCTGTCTGCAGATTACTTGGGCACCCTCCGGGTTTCGCTAGATGCAACCCGCTTCCATGCCCACTTGCCAGGATCTCATTTCCACCGCACGGTTTGTGCCCATTTCTCCTGCTGTCTGTCTGACGAGTAGTCTCTCCGTACCTAACTGCTCTGGTCGCTCGCTCCCGGCAGTCTTTGCGAAACGCTCTCTTTTTCTCCGACCCATACACACTCTCTCGACCTTCATTCCCGCCATCAACTCACCATAGTCACTCTTTGCAATACGATTTGGTTGGAACAAGCGCTGGGAAACCCGAAGACCAGGACGACAGTCTCGCCGGCTGAGTACATGACCACCAAGCCCACAATCTGCAGCACCGAGTCCGGAAAGCCACCGAAGACGGGGTCCCCTGAACCTTTTACTGGATCAACTCAACTATACACACAACCTCGCGCTGCGATTCTGGCAGATTCACAGAAAGCGACGACCAGATATTCGCACGGCGCCCGTCGTTTGTTTGCATTCTAGAGTCCACCCGATTTTCTGAACCCGAGACGAGCCACGACCGACTCGCACAGCTTCACTGCCGCCAGCCTATTGTGCATGAACCACTGGCTTTTTGGTGCAACACAGCAGCTGCACCTGTTTGCCGGACCTACACCAGCGACATTTCGCCATTCAGCCTTCGAATTCTGTGGTTCGCCTTGGATCACATCGTCACTCTTTTTTTTTTTTCTTTCTGGCAGATGCGGGCGTAATCAATCACTCCGCTCGAGTGTATGATCGCCAGCAGGCCCCACGCCAAAAACGGTGCTTTTTTTTCTGCGGTAAACCAGGTCCTACCAGTGGGTGAAACGCACCCGACACGAGCTGTCGAAGTCAGGTATTATCACCCGCTTGCTTTTATGTTTCCCAACCAGCTTCCCTTGCTCACTTTCCATAATCGAACTGCAAGGGGCAGATGGGGGCGCAGAGCTGCACTCTGCGTCCTTGGTATCACTCCACGTCACCCTCCCCGGATGCGTTTCTCCAGATTCTAAAGACAGCGGGCTAACGTTATATCATTGTTTCTATAGACAGCTTATTTGGGTCTTGTTCTACGTTGCTAGCAAAGTCACACCGGCCCCCTAATCTCATTCATTTGGTTCTTTACATTCAGCCATTTCACTACAAGTTTCGGGCTTATAGCACCGATTGTGGCAGCCCCCCCACGGCGCCTGGAAATTTCGACACTCTCCCGACTCTTTCATGGCAAACAAGCATTGAACTTCTCTCAAAGAGGTGTTGAACAGTACATTCTGGCATTCTGATTCTCGGCTCCACCCAGGTCACCGTATAGCTTACCTTGGAGGCTTCTCGACAGCTGCTCCACCGCCAAGATGAACAGATTCAAGACCAAGAAGAAGGCGAAGGAGGATACCTCGGCCCCGCGTCCTTCCCAAGATTCAGAGTCATTCGGATTCAGATTTCGAAAAGGCAAGAAGTCCCAAGAAGAACCCAAACAGGAGATCAATCTGGAAACAGCCCTTCCATCCACCGATGACTTTCGAACCAGTTTGCTCATGTCCGGCCTGTCGGCGCGGTTCTCGATGCTTCGCGAGCAGGATGACCCAAATACGAAGATTGGCAAGGCCAGCGACGACAGTGTTCTCTTTCCGAAGAGGCAGTCTCGCTTGATGGATCTAGGAGGATTTGGTGCTCTGGGGGATATCGCTGAGGTGGAATCCATTAAGGCGCCTTTTGCTCGGATGGATTCCTACTCGTCGGACGCCGACTCGATTACTGGCAGCGTCATGAGCAGAGCGAAACCAACTGAGGGTAACAACCTCTTTGGAGGCAGGCAAAAGGTCTACAAGATTCCAGCTGGAGCTAAGAGTGGCGGTTTGGGAGGCCGGGTCCTCTACGACGACGATGTCGGATTGTCCGCATTTCAGAAGTGGAAGAAGGATGAGAGGGAGCGCCAGTTCTTGGACTACGACAACGAAGAGCTGTCCCGGCGCCCATCCACTGAGGAGCCCGAGACCCGACCCGAGTCGCCATTTTCCCATACCTACAACCGTAAGCGCGAGACATCGTCAACTACGTCATCTGTCCCTTCGATGGCTCGCATCTCAACGGCCGCAACCTCGGTCGTCTCGCAACAACCTGGTTCATCAGTGAAGGACTGGCCATCTACGGCTCCAACGTCAGCAAGCTCAACACCCGCATTGGAGAGAACCGTGACCAGGACCCGACGGCTATACGAGACTGGCTTAAACCATGATCTCCATGAACAGCAGTCGTCGGCACTGTCGCGCATCGATACTCTCACACGACAGCGCACCTTTGGTTCGCGGACACCTGATCTCGCGCAGAACTCCCCATCACCAACAGCTTTTGCATTCACGGAGCGTTTTGGGAGCGAAAGACGCATCCTGGCAAAGGCTAGTGCTCCTAATCTGAGATCTATGAGCCCCACGGCATCTCGTTCTTTGGCGGGTACCCCGGACCTCGGAATCCGTGTTCCCAGTGTCGCTGAGGTCAGGCCGAACTATGTTGGATCACCACCTCTGAGCCCCCCAATAAGCGAGAGCGAGGAGATCTCGAGCCTGCCGATCCAGCCCAATGACCGGGGCAAGGCTACTGCCCTTGGTGTCTTCCAGAAGCCATCCATGCCTTATGACGAGTCTCGATTTGCTCAAAGGCAGTTGCAACTCCAACAGGGCCGGGAGACACCGACACAACGTTTCCGAGCCGAATCCAACGCTTCACTTGGCACTGGAAGATCCATGTCATCCTCTTCCGTGAACCGACAGCCATATGAACCAAGGACAGACGCCTTCGTCACCACGCAGCCGTCGCTAAAAGAAGAGGCCAACTCCTCAACATTTTTCAACGATGACGATGCAGACGAGTCACCTGTCATTCCGTCCCAGCCAACTCTGGCTCCCCACCCGGCGCCTCAGCGCCCAGCCGATCGCGATCATCCAGCATTCAGAGACCCGGCAATACCAACACCACTCTCGATTGCGTCCAAGGTCAGCGGCGAACCTTCTCCCATTGCGGTGCTGCCTTCAGCTCTGGCTCCCCAATCTGGTCACTCTCCTGCAGACTCTCCCACCTTAGGCCCAACAGCCGGGTCGACTGCGGGATTGAGTGGCATGGTGCGTCAACATCTGAGAGCTGACAGTGGCGCATCTTCCATCTATGGCGCTGTCCCAGGCACAGCTGGATTTGAGTCTAAATTCCCAGAAGACTCTGAAGGCATGCACAGATTGCCTGAATTCGCCCCCAACTCCAATCCCTGGGACGCTCAGAATGGGGATGACGACTGGAATGCCTCTTCCTATGAGCCCGAGTCCCGCGCAATCAGGCGTCGTTCTGCAACAATGCCTAGTGCCAAGATCAGTGACATTCAGCCATCGTCGGTCTTCACAACGGATGCCAACGATGAAGACGAGTCCGACGAATTTGCAAGCCAGCTCGCCGACGGGGCACGCAGAATCCGACAGAGACTAACCACGTATGTTGATGACAGTCGTTCATCTTCACCACAACGGGCAGCCGAAAACGTAGAATCACCCCCTGCCCAAGCATCAACGCGACAAAATGCGCTGGGTCTTTTGAAGTCCAAGTCCAGTAGAGGCTCGATCGTCGATCGCCACCGAGAAACGGGCTCACAGTCCAAGGCCATGAAGATGCTGGGCATCGCTGAAACCGGGCCATCTGTAGTCCAGAGGAAGACTTCATTTGAGCATGCCTCGGATTCGTCACCCAATCGAGATGATAGTAACCAGCAGGCCAAGAGTGGAGCCAGCAGCGGTGATGACAGCAAAGCCGATGGTCCTGGAGAGCCGAGTGCTGGGCTTCGCGCCTTCCGACAAGCTAGGCGCGAATTGCAGAGGCTCAAGGAGATGGAGACTCAGCAACGACACCATCAGGCCCCAACAGGACCGCTACCAGAACCTCGCGCGCCAAGACTGCCTCCTTCGGAAGAACGTCAACATCGTCAACGACCTGAAGGCAGAGATCAGAGACCGCCACCGGTTACCTATCGACAGCGCGCTCCTAGCGATGACTCGCATGCGCCTGGCTCTCGGTCAGGCTCTCGGTCAGGCTCTCGAGAGCCCACACGCGCCGACCGAGACAGGAGTGGCTCCAACTCTAGTGGTGAACAGCTGAATGGACGCCCACCGCTACGTATGAGGAATGGGTCATCGCCTCCCGCAGACTTCGAACGCCCATTCGCGCCAAATGCAACGAACGGTCCCGTGGCTCGATCACCTGGTCTGCCAGGCACCAACATTCGACGTTCTCCAATTATGCCACCGCAAGGATACCCGGGCTCGTCGCCAGCCAGATTCAATCAGAGCAACCTCTCAACCAACAACCTCCATGTTCAAAACAACCGGGGCTATGAGTCCGGTCAGCCGTCACCCATCTCTCCTATACCTTCTCCCTTTATGGCGCCTAATGGCCTCCCATCCCCTCAACGCCCTCCTTTGGCCACCACCAATTCCGATGGGTCTGAGGTCCCAGGGCTGAGTGATGCCATGAAGCGACCAGTCAAAAAGCGGGATATCTCCGAGCCAACATTTGTGATGTCAACATCGCGAGTTCCTACTGTGGAGTTGCCCCCAGAGGCCGCCACGAACAGGTCACGCAGTAACAGCCGTTCGAGGTCCAACAGCAAAACCGAGCCTTTCACCGCTCCTCCACTTCCGCCCATCAATCCGAGACGTCGTCAGGACGGCTCTCGGACAAGAACTGTCTTCGGCTCGCTAGTTGGGCGCAAGGGTGAGATGGACGAGCCAAGCAATGCGAGCGCACCGAACCTGCCGCTGGCACACCGAAACCCGTCACCTACCAATGGCACCGACGAGGGACATGGCCACTCCAACGGAGGTCAGGAACAGTATAAGCCAGAGCGGCGGCGGCTCCGCCAGATGCCCGACGATGTCCAGCCCGTGGGTCCAATGATGCGAGTCCCAGCCCACAATACACCTGCCTACAACATCGGCCCTCCAGCAGCTAGAGCCGTCGTCACACCAAACCAAGGCCGTGGTATGGGCCTGCCAGGAGGCATGATCTGATCCCAAGGTCCAGCCCATCAACCCACCATCAACTATAAAACCAGTGCCTCGAGGCCTTGACGATATCACGATTGATTTCCTTCTAATTCCCGAGTGTTGTATATTACTTGCTGTTTATATCTTATAAGCTCTGGTGGGCATTTAGTGGAGTCTCTCTCAGCCTTGAGGGAACTCTTATGTAACAGGCTGGTCCCGGAGTTGGAGGGTAGTGCCGAATTTCCAGTTTAGGCGTTTCTCTTACAGACTGCAATGCAGAAATGATGGCCGGAGTGTCGTATTTTCGATTTTCGAGTCACTTCAGGCGTAACGGTTGGTGGGCAATAAAAGCCAGCTAGAATGTGTATTGCCTCCAGGCTCACTTTCTTGGCGACTGTGGCAAAGATATAAATAGTGTGGATTATCTAGTCAAAATGAGATACATGACCTCATCCCATGCCATACAGGGTCGTGATATTCGTACTGGTTAAATGACACTGCGACGAAGGTTTATGTCACTGATCGCGGGATATCCCTCACCATGTTGACACCGTCCGCACCGCCGTCGGCATTGCCGCCGGGCTTCTCTACGACACGGAATCCGACCCTCTCGTAGAACTTGACCACCTTTGTGTTCTCCCCACCGATACCGATCCACACACCTTCCCCGTAGTCGGCCCCGCTCTGCTGCACACTGTCGACAAAGCGCTCGATCAGCTTGCGGCCCCAGCCTTTGCCCTGGTACGGCTCCAGCATGTCGATGTGCATGGTGGCGCGCCAGCGGGCCGTCAGGTGCTCGTTGCCGTCGAACAGCAGCCAGCGCGCGCTGTAGGCCGTCTGCGCCATGGCCGCGACGTTGACCTTGGACAGCCGCCCGTCCACCATGCCGTCGTCCAGGATGGTCCACGGCTCGCGGTGCTCCAGGTCCGCCGGCCGCGCCACGTCGCGCGCCAGCGGGCCCTCGACGTAGCGCGGGTACGCCTCGGCGAAGGCGAACACGTCCGGGCACCCGATGCAGTACCCCACCGCCTGCCCCGCCCCGTCGTCCAGGATGTGGCACGTCGCCGGCGACAGGTACGTGTACTGGTGCGTCCACAGGTACGGCGACAGCTTGGTGGCTATGGGCGTTGATGAGAGGGAAGGCGGAAGGGTGGCGCGGCACTGTTTGGTTGCGAGGATGGGTTAGACTCTCAAGAGATTATACTACTGATCATGCTTTCTCCCAGTCTACCATTCATAACCAGCACTACCATTCACCTCTTGTGATGCCCGCTTGAGCTCTCACACAAGACTGTGAATGGCATGTGATTGAATAGCGTTTCTGAGGAGGCGGGTTGATTGTGCGGGGTGCGCTGACACTGATGCCAATGCAAGGGATGCACGTACGATGTGAGCGCAGGCCTCGAAGTCAGACTCCTCGTAGGGTCGCAAGAAGGCCATGATTGCTAACTGATAGTGGTAGCGACGGCTACTATGAAGCGACTATACCAGTCAAAGCTTTCTCCAGTCCCGTCTTGAAGGATCCAGATGAGACGCTGCGGGCTGGTGATGCCCGGGTAATATGACGTCGGCTCCCCCGATCGACAGGCACCGCACCGGGTAAGATCCCCACTTTGCCTGATCAGGGAGGACGGAAGGTGTGTTGCACCAGCATCAACCGGATTCCGTGCATGCCTCTCTCAGTATGGGCTGAGTTCTTCACTATCATGTCTCGGTCAATGCTATAATATATATACTCCGTCCGACTCCACTGCGCCGCTAGCTCTTTACTTGTATGTTTGCGTGGGATCTACTTGAAGTATGTCAAGGGCTCTTCCCGTATAAGACAGCCCTCTCTTGGAGGAATGATGTCCTTGACAGAACGAGTCGTGAAGAAGGTCATTCCTTATGCCTCATCTTGCTGGCCTCGTTGTGGGAAGAGTGTCAAGATTGGCCCCTAATACTGCACCCCGGCGCCGATACGGCTCCGCACCGAGCGACACAAGGAAGGAGAATGGTGCGGTTTGGCGATTCAAAGCCAGACCCCGACGTCCCACCTTCGGCGGTGATTGCAAAGATATGTGTAGCTCATATTCTACATGGACAAATCTACAATAATATTTATCAAGATACCTCCAAACGTGGCTGAAGTATTAGTGATGTAGCCTATCTCTATCGGTGCAAACGGCCACACGGAGCACTGTTACTGCTTTATAAATGTATCTTGGACAATAAACTTCTAAGCCAATGGATTCAACACAATGCGTACATATCCTTTTACGTCAAGGCCAAGTATCGGGCTGCGGAAACCCTCTCGAATGCAAGCGATGAATCCACATAAGGTGACGCTCTTCCACTGGCACAATCAACTCAACGACCCTCATTATCTCCATCTTCTTGGAAGAAGTTTGCAAAGTCTGAGTTGTCGAGGAATGTGGGGTTCTCGAACAACTGTGGTATATCAACGAAGGAATTCGCTGGATTATGGCTGATTGCATTGCTTTCTGTGTCCATCACCCATTGGTGAGTGATGTCTGCTGGATATGAAACTGTCGGGTTGGGTCTTTGAAGTTGCACCGGAGTGATGTGGTCGAGCGACGAGGGTATGATGGCTTGATCACCGCCAGTGAGCCCATTATCATCATCAGATAGTCCTGGACCCATGACGGCGGCTCGTTCCTCCTGAGCCTGTGTATGATAAGCGTCAATGACCATGTCAAAGCATCCCATTACCACCCTAACGGCCTGCGTGAGGATTTCAGGGTTGTGGCCATCGACAAACCCGGCGTCAGCAATGAGCCCGGACTGCCGCAGACGGGCTTCAATCATCTGTTGCCTCTCACTCTGGCGGTAAAAGACTTGTATTTGCGATGTGATCTCTGTCTGCAGATCTGCACGATATGGTGTGAGAGGTGGCGTGCAGCCGGGGAAAAGAATGCTCCAAACATCGTACCAACGAGCCTCATCCGTTCTCCCGCGGGAGCGCAGTATCCTACTAATGCTTTGCGCCTGAGCCGTGGTCACTCCATGAAATGCGACATGGCGATGTTCGCAGGTGCGTAACGCAATATGTCTGTCCACGGCAGCTTGGGTTGCAAAAGTGTCACCACATACTGGACAGTAGTACTCGGGTGCCAGGTGGCACCGATGCAAGTGCTGGTTCTCATCCTTGAGCTTCGCAAAATGGTAGCCTAAGCAACTGACATGGGTTGAGGGAAACCGCTTATAGAAGTGACAGGCGAAGCCCCTGGACGAGAGAGCGCCTCTGGCGCGCGAACGTTTGGTGGAGGGGGCTGTAGAGTCTTGATCAAACCCTGAGTCCACTTCTCCGAGAGATGACCTGTCTCTTTTGAGGGAGGCCCTCTTGGAATCGGGTATGTTTGAAGACGTGAGCGTAGCCGGCTGATTCTGCTCTAGTTCAAACGCTGTATGCAATATACCCAGAAAGACTCTGCGATGCCGCTCGCCAGGGAAAAAATACTGAAAAATACGGTATGTGGTTGAAGAGCCTTCTTTATAGTCTTTGAACTTGTAGCGGCATGCAAGTATGTCTCTACGGTGCCACGCTACCATCAGATTTTCAACAATTTCGGAAAACCATAACCATCTCAGACTCCTGGTAGCTTTCGACGCCAAGTGATCTTGCGTAGCCGCCTTGCGAATACCCAACAATAACTCTGCGCGGCTCTGGGAGTTGAACGGCTGATTCTGCCTTTTTCGCCGAAAGTGGGGGCTAGAACAGACATCTAGATTCAAGTTGTGACCGAAATCTTGGAATGGCATTCTGGTCTTCGAAATGCAAGCCATGTTGTGCGAGTCCGGCCAAGTTTGGATGTACCTGATACGGGATTATCCACGCACTGGGCCGAGTGGCTTCCGTTGGTACACAACTCGTCAACCATCTAACTCCATAAGAGCCCACGCAGTTCAATTGTCCAATCGGTTGGTTGGATCCAGGCTGGACAGGGGGCAGCTATCTCCGTCGGACTGGACCCGCAAGGGAGACTCAGAATTACTGCACGGATGCACTCGAAGGGTGGAGCACAAAAGTTCCGGACGACTGCCTATCTCAATTGTGGCCAGTCGTGATGAGTCTTGAATAAGAAGCACAGAACGCCGCGAAACTGGACCTGGATTGTTGATATCTGTGTCACCGCGAGGCTCCCAGCACACTTGTGCTGGCTTGCGATGTTCATCCTCGGCCAATGCGAACAACCAATGGCGAGGCAAATATGAGCCGACCAATCAAACCTCATGCTCCCACCCGCATTGCCATGGTTGCAAAATGGCAACAGCCAAGCACCTTTTATTACTTATACGAAGCTTGCATACTAGTGGCGCGAAATGCGTTCAGACCCGCTGTCACAAGGCTACGAAGCAGCAATATCTCTACGGTAGTCCTTCCAAAGCGATCATTCCTCACAGGGATATTTAATGCGAGCAGCTTACAGTCTGGCAATCTATGGCTCTTCCAGGCCAACCCAGGTGTCAGGGTTTGGCATTAAGAAAGCATCTTTGGCACAAACTTGAGTCGTAGTGATACGTTCTCTTGTCGCGAATGACGACCTTCGGATGTTTCATTCAAGTCAATATACTATTTATGACATACCTAACAATACAAGCTCTTAGCAGCCTCTTCTTGTGAAACTAGTATCTATCAATTTGCAGGCCTCAATTCTTGGTGAGTAACCAGATTCTTAATGTGCCGAGCACGCTAGCCTTTTTCAAAGCCAAAACAATCCAATCTGTCAGCACTACTATAGAAACAGGTTTAGTACACAAAGCTGAAGTGATGGATACTTAGCAGAAGTGAGTGGCTCCTGGTCTAGTGCGATTGATCGACAGATGCCAAGGCAGTGGTACTCATTGCACATGAAGGAAGGATGGCGGTAAATTGAAGCTAACAGGTGACGATCCTAGATTAAACCCACCGTTTCAGCCGTTGGAAGTTGGCAACCCCCTTGCTCCATACGTGACTTTTACCAGCTATTTGACCCATCTCGCAGACCTTCATCTTCTGCGGTAGCCCGGCCGAATAATTCATCACTTCCACACGTCTGCATATCCGATACAACCATAGTCTCTCGAACAAAAGCAAAACTGGCAATATTACCTCCACAATGGCCTCGGAAATCAAAAGCCAGGGTGTTGAAGTGCCAGCGGAAATTCCAGCGTGGCAGAAGACAGTCCCAACTATACACCATCTGGAGCACTCACAATCACTGCGTGTGGTATGGGCCCTCCAGGAGCTACACAACGCCAAAGGGCTGAAGTTTCACATCAAGAACTATCCGCGTGTGCAGCCCAAGAACTTAGATCTAGCAAAGGTCTCACCGATGGGGAAGGCGCCCATTCTCACCGTCGAGACTTTGGACGGAAAGCCTCTACCTGACCTGCAAATACGTGACGGTGTGATCATGGAGTCCAAGCTCATCCTCAACTGGATTTCACAGAGCTATGGGGGCGAGCTCTGGGAACAGGAGGACGATACGGACAAGCGGCGCAATATGTACTTCCAAGAGTTCGCCAGTGCATCCTTGAGTGAACGTGTCCTCTTCGCCATGATCTTTGAGATTATTGCGCAAGTGATGCCATTTCCGCTACGACAGATTCTGGGCTTGCTCCTCAACCCTTTGGCCAAGGTTTTAAAAGGTCATCTCCCAGACTACTTCGACTTCATGGAAGGGGAGCTTAGCGACGAACGACCTTGGTTTGCAGGCACTAAAATGGGAGTAGCGGACTTCTGTATGGAATATATCATGACCATTGCGATTGATCGAAGATATCTCGATGAGGAGACGTACCCTAAGATCAAGAAATGGCACGATGCCATCAGAGCGAGACCCGCGTACCAAGAAGCCATCAAGAAGGGTGGCGGGCCCAAGCATTATGATATGATCAAGTTTGGCAAATAGCCAGGAAATTATATGGATCGTATATGGGGCAAGATGATGAAAGCTTTGGATTTGCATACTCACTGGAACCACTGAAGTCTGGTCATCTTAATTGGATACTCCCATTTTCTTCTTTGCTTGATATCTCTAGATGAAATAATTGAATCTAAATATACAGAAGTTAATCAATTGTGATACTCCAGCTTGAGTCATGGGTGATTATGCATTTCCCTATGCGTGCTTCTTCTTCAGTGCGCTTTCCGTCTAAGGGTCTTGAGCGGCCGACCACGGGGTCGACTAATTGATCTCTGCCGCTTGTTGTCGGCGTAACGTTCAGGCAGCATGGAGCCATCCGTAATTGTCTTGCGTTTATCTGACCGAATGAAAGTGGCTCGATCATCCTCGGGTGATGCACCTGGCCAAGTCTTGACCCTATGCGACAGAGTGTTGGCCGAGACAAAATTAGAGTCACTGGACAGCTGCGCGTCCATCAGATCAAACAACACTATGGAGTGAATTGCAGAAAGGTCTTGCTCTTCGTTCTCCATCTCCCAATTCAGAAGTCCCTTTGCGGCGAGAAACGTGCCGACGATCTGACGACCATGGGATCTCCAGTATGTGCGAATTTTGGTGATGGCAACTTCCATTTCATCATCGTTGTAAATCGATCTTGGACATGGATTTTCAGGGAACAGAAATTGCCATACATCATGCCACTGATTCCGTTGTGATTTGTTTTGGAACATGACACTGTCTATCTGCCATTTTTGATTGTTCGATATCCCCTCTATTTGGACAGGGGATTTCGGTGAACAATTTCTGGCAATGATGTGCTGGTCGCGTGCAGCCATATGCTCAAATGTGGTGAAGCATACAGGACAGTAGGGGGACTGCTTATGCCTCAGCCATAGGTGCTGGACCACGTCGTGTATAGTTCTAAGTTCCGACGTCTTGAGACAGTCGGTATAACGTATATTGTTGCTCTTGTAGTAAGGGCACGAAAATAGGTTCTGAGATCCGGGCTCCAGTAATGAACCCTGAAAAGCTGTGGACGATGCGCTTGTCGCTGCATCTTTTCCCTCGAGGTTAGGGGGATGCGTACCCCCGTCGCCACAAAGAGCTTCATGGTTTGCTCCTGTGTCCAAATGATGAGCGACAGGACGATTATCAGCCCAATTTCGAAAGCTGTCTAATGCTGACATCACGAGCTCCTGGCGTACCCTAAGAAATGGGTGGCCCGGAGGGAGTCGTGCTTCATTATCAACATCATCCATTCCTGTATGATGATCAGTGCTTTGGAGAGCATCGTCCTGGCTGCCACTATATGAACTTTGGTTCTCAGAGTCAATGATAGTCGTGCGCTGTGCTAGGCAGGATACCTCATCCCAGCGACTGTTTGATATACTTTTGATGACCCTGATACTTGTCAAAGCCTGGGTCTGAGGGCGTGCAGTTTGAGTGTGGCCGTCTTCGTGGTCTGTGTTTTGCGTTGTTTCCGGTGAATGCTGAGTGTATCCATCGGGTGATCGCGTTTGGCAGAGGCCGAGGCAGCTCCGTTGGTATTGTGCAGTCAAGTGTGAATTCCTTTCCTGATCGCTCTGTATGTTACTATCCGTTTGAGTTGTGAATCTGGATAGTAATGCAGCCAACCCGGCGCCTCCTATACTGGCGTAAAGGGCTTCGGGAGTTCCATGAGCCCCTGTGAGAATGGCCAAGGTCTGAGGCCGTGACCTGACAAACGTACCACCGATTCTTCGGAGCCATATTCCCACTCTCTCCTCAAATGGCGTATCACTGGAGGTGGTGAGCTCCATGATAGCTTCTTCTCCTCCCATTCGCAGTACAAAACATCCATCAAACCGAAGCCCTCTATTAGTGAAGCGCATCTCGTAATCGCCAATATACGGACCCCTCGGTATTTGACTGCTTTTAAACCCAAGGAATTCATCAGGCGACTCTGCTAAGATGCCGCGGAAAGTCGTCGGCCGGTGTGAAGTCCAGGCCAAGATAGACGTATCTGTGGTATGTTTGAGAATCTCCTCTTGCAAACGTGTGAAGGCCTTACTTCCCTCCCCATAAAATAGAGGCATGCAAACATCGAATAGGCCAAGAAGAGAATATGCTATGTCCTCAACCCTTGTAGCCTTCCGGCCTGCCGCCCAGGACATTTTGTCGCCTACAGATACTTGGTGCAGTTGGGCATCACCGGCGAGTAATGGTACTGGGATGTTCGTTATCACTCCCAGGGACCGTAGAAACGGCATAAATCCTCTTTCACCAACAAAGTTCCATGAGCTGTCGTAAAACAAAACTCGGCAAGGAGCGATCAGTTCTTGAAGAGTCCAGGATCGGGTGAACCACTTGCACTTTGATAACGCCGACGTTATTGACTGCTCGTCGTACAAAGAAAGGCCTGGAGACAGATCGGCCAAGTACACGCAGCAGTTCGCAGACCTCTCATACATCTGATACATTGAATTGATCGCCTCCACCACTTCCGCGGCCGACGATTTGTCGATGCAGCATGTGTCAATCCAGCAATAGCTGAGGCCATGCTCTTCAGCGATGCGTGATACATTCTGCACCTTCGAAAAGGATCTCCTTAGGCTGTTGTCGGCAAGTCTGAAATCTTCGTAACTGGTCTCTCTTCCACCCCAAGTGTGCGACAAAATGGTGTACGGCGGACAGTCCCCCAAGAATTCTTCCATTTCCATCGTCGCAACGTTGATGAGTCTCATGGCTTGGTCGCTGCATCACGTATCTGTAACGCCCGAAAATAACAAAGAAAACAACATTGCCTCTCGGGGCTTGAAGCCCAAATGCAGGGTGCGGCTGCATTTGAAGGGCAATTCTCAAGGGTCAGTGGGGTGTCACCAACGGCGATAGGGCTGACTGGCACAGTTGTGCTGCAAGGGTCAAGCGCATGGGACATTGATTGGTCACTGACACGTTGCCCACTTTGCCAATAACTGAAGTCGCTGTGCATCAAGCAAAGGAGCTTCTTTAAAGATTCAGGTATATAATGCGTGCCGGTTTGTCATAATTTCGCTCGCAAATGCGTCTCGGGTATGTGATAGTTAAGCCCACAAGGCGGTAATAAAACATGCTCACCCTACGTATCTACCTAGGCATGATTCTTTCGACAACCCTGTAGAGCGCGTCATTAGATAAGCTTGCCCCCAGGATTGCTACGTGTATAGATGCCCGTTACCTACGGTAAAACAATGTATGGGCATGTCGTACAGCCTGGGCTATCTGCCGCGGAGGCGAGGCTGCCACCATACCCTGCGGTCACCGGTGAAATGGATGACCTGGATTAGGAGCTCTTTAAGGCCCGCACGTGCTTCAAGTCTAAGGGGAAGGTTGGACCCCTATCATCAAGCGGCTCAGGGTCCGTGACAGGTGGTTGGTGCTAGTGCCGAACGAGTCATGGCTCCCCAATGACCTGTCGCTGTGTCTGAAGCGCACAGAGATTGAGCTTTTGCATTAGCGCCCAGCTGCCATCATCTTCGCCGCCGCTGTCATAGTGCAGATCGCACAAAATCAATGGCTTCCGGTTCTTGCGTAGTGCTGTGATACCGACGCTCGCAACCATACAATTAAGTTAATGTTAGTTAATACAAGTTTAGTTGGGTAGCTGTAGAGATCCAAGCAACATGATTTGTGCTGTGCACGGACAGGTCGTATAGCGAGGATCGCGGCTGTAGACTACCCAGGTAGGCACACAACACATGATTCTTATTTCGTCATTTACTGCTGTAGGATATGGTAGCCCTCAAAGTACACGGCAATACTCCCGAAGTATACTTCTGAAGATCTACCCACTTTATGTTTTTATGGCGTAGGCTTCAATCCTTTAGCAACGACGGCCTCAATCACCAGCCCCAAAGCACCACCAAGTGCATCTCCGCCAAAGTTTCCTAATCCAGCATAACTATTGGCAAAGCTGCGAACCTCGTCCGGCTCTCCGGCTTTTTGCATATCCTGAGAAATCCTATAGTTTGTGTTCGTTACACCCCCACCCACACAGCCGCCAACCATAAACATGATAACCCACCAAACCCAGAAATGGTTCAAAAACGGGTACCAGAGTTGGGCAAGAGCAATGGCTGTCAGTGCCACCTCTATACCTGTCCATATCCAAACAATAGGTACTGGCTTAACGGCAACGAGTACGCTAAAGAGGAACTGCGCGCTGCCGTAAGCAAAGACTAGGCTTATGTCAGTATTGCACCGGCACCTCTGAATGATGGTATAAGCCCAACTTACACACAAGTTGAAATTCCAGGTCTCCTTTTGGGCCACCCTCAAATCGATTCAAGGTATGAAGGGTAGGTGCTATCCCAAAAAGACAGAAGATGGCGCATGTTGTGCAAATGATCAGAGGCAGAACGTATTGCGGCAATATTTTCTTCAACAGCATGCCCACTCGAGTCCTATTGGGACCGAAACCGGGCCTGAGCACTCTTGTGACACGGACTCCATCATTGTCCGTACTGTTTGAACCTTCGTCGGTGGGCTCACCGTTATTCGCTTGCCTGTTGGATTCAACATCACTAGAGTTCGAGGAACCCGATGGTTTTTGCAAGCTTCGTTTTCTGGACAGTTCAGCAGCGGTCCGACGCTTCTTATCAAACATGAAATACCAAACAAAAGGCATCAGTATGGTTGTAGGTAAAAACACAAGGAAACACCTTCTCCAGTCATTATCAAAGGCGCCGTTCATGAGTCCGATAAACACTCCAGCTCCGAGAATTATGGACAAGCCACTCCCTACGCTAAGCGCTATAACTGCTTCGCTAGGGAAGAACGCTGCAACGGAAAGATAGTTCTGGGTGCCGAATGCATAGACGAAGCCTGCCAGCATAGTTCCAATAACAGGACCGGTCTTGTTGAAACCAGTGGGATTGCCTAGTGGGTCAGGCAGAGTACTTATGACATAAGCCAGAGCCGAAGCCAGGGTTAACGCGATATTGCAGACGTCATATGGTACGTAACGAGCGATCATAGGGCCAGCAAATGACGAAATAGCAGCAGTGAGAGACAGACATATGCCATAGACACCAGTGATGCCCTCGAACATTTGGGCTGCCGCCGTGGTGATGGGCATAGTTGGGAGACCGACCTAAGACAACATTAGCAAGCAGTACAAACGAAGGAAGAGCCCCAAACTTACTAGAATGCCCATCAGGAAGAATGCGAGGGTAGTTTGATTGAGCTGCAATTTACTCGTCTTGAGACTGCCTTTACCACTGGTAGGACCCGCTACCAATTCGATGGCCTCAATCTTCGGGGCATCTGAATGCGAGTTAGGGTGGGTAACTGCAACAGAAATAACTTGAGCAGATTGTTCCATGACGTTGTTATGGAATCTTGACGGCGTGTGAACTAGATATTCCAGGCTCATACAAAGATGCTTTCGACAACCCAGGTAAAGCTTCAGTATTAACTCAACAGGCTCTCATATGGAAACAGTGTCAGGCTTTCTTTGAGTGACCTGCCGAATTGGGACGTCGGCGCCACCCTTGCGTTGCGACATGCAAAGTTTGGCCAATGTACCATAGGATGTGATTCGGATATGCTCTAGCAAGTGACTGGGATACGACATTGTCCAGCGGCGCAGTGCAGCCGGTGACCCCGAGATCCACTCCACATCATCAAGCCCATCGGACACAAGGGTCTGCGCACTGTTGACTGCACGCGAAATCGCATGCGCTGGACCTAACTGCCCCTATTGGCTGACGAGCCTCCGGGATTGACTGAGATTCAGGGGGTTCCACCGGAACAGGGCATGTACGGAATTGCTGACCGGGCTGCTTGGGAGCTTGTCTGCAGTTCTGAGCAGATGTACCGACCCCCTCGGAAGCACCCGACCAATTCTCTTAAATTCGAAAAGACGAAATATAAAGCCATGGAGTCCAAATCATTCTTCAATTTGCCACAGGCTGCCAGTTTCAACGGCAACGAGGAGACAGCTTTTTTTGGTGCTCCCCGGAAATATACTCGGGAAACAAATTGGAAGACTTTCAAGGAGCAGTCAATGAGCAAGCAGTCTCTTCTTGACGTTTTCGCCGGTACCATTCCCGTTCTTAGGCAGAAAGAGTTTTTGTCACGACAGGAGTGCGCTAGAATGGTTGACGTCCTCGAGTCTCACAAAATTGTAAGAATTCCCCGCTTGGCCGGAGTCGATCAACTCAACATATTTTCTCATACTTATTCAAAGGCATCTACGACCCTGAGCACGTATGGCCTCGAGTGGGATGTGTCGGTATCGCTCAGATCGATTATGTAAATGGTTAGGATGAAAGCAATCTTTACCCCGCCCTACCTGCCTTCCAAAGAAGTGACATGAGCTAAGCGATGCAATAATAGACATGGAAACATATTTTTCCTCCCTGAAGGAGGCATACTCGCTACAAGACCGCTGGAAGAATGAGTTAGGCATCGATATCGTCCATCGCATTATCCAGAGTCTCCAGAGGGCAACTGGCATGGCAGTCCGCCGTGCCCGTGAAGCTGACCAAGACTATTTTGCCGGCGTGATTCGAGCGATCGACAGCGGTATCCAGATCCACACCGAATATGCACCATTTGTGAGTATATGAACATCGCGGTCTTAGAGAGCAAGATCCCGGCCCGAAAGGGTCGATTAATAGGTTACGTTCCGGCCCGCCCCCGCCACCCGCCTCCCCACTTTATTTAAAGTTACACAACATATCTGGACACAAGGATTCGCACCGTGTTGGCTGCACATCAACTTGCACGCGGGCCGGTTCATTTTAACTGGTCACACAAACCTTGAAGAACGTCAACAATTATGCGGCCATAGACGGCCTGCAATAATTATAGAAAGAGCAAACAGTAGGATCGATGCACATAAGTCGACGTGCAGCCAACACTGAGCGAATTTTTTATGTCCACCACCTGCCTACCATCTCGGACATGGATTCGTTACTGACATGAACCAGGAGGGCAAGGGTTGGGAGATTGGCCGAATAGTAGCCCAGATGTCCTGGAACATCTTGCTTAACCCTGTTCCCGGCGGCGACACCTTTGTCTTTGACCGGCAGTGGCAGGCACCACAAGACGATCTATCTTGGCGCAAAGATTTCCCCAAGTATGCGTATGATCCACGTATGGTGGAAGGCTGCGTCTTTAAGGTTGTGAAGCCTACGCCCGGGGATTTGTACTGGTTCAATCCAAGGTGGGCACAATCATATTGTCACAATGCTCAACCCCGGTACTGACATCGGCCTTGCATCAGAAACTTTCACGAAGTGAGACCTTGTGATATTTCCAGGTTGATCACGCACTTACCGAGCTTGCATTTCCATGTGTCAAACGAGAAAGCAATGAGATGTATCATTGATAGTTATTGTAAACTCACGCGCCTTGTCAGACATAGTTGTGCCAACCCCTTGAACTCCTACTGGGCATAGAGCATCCTTCCCGAGCGTTGACCTCGGTACCCAAGGGCCTAACTACCAGCCTAACTGGAGTGCTTGACCCAATATGCCTGAGGATTGCACCAGCCCTTCAATCCGACTTCGCCCCAGTCCATGCCAAGGCCACTCTCTTTATGGCCACCGAACGGCACGTTAGGTGCCAGTTCGAAGTGAGTGTTAACCCAAATGCTTCCAGCCTGAAGCTGCTCCGCTAGACGTTGGGCATGAGCCACGTCTTTGCTCCAGACCGAGGCTCCGAGGCCGAGTTTGGACGCATTCGCACGCTTAATCACATCGGCATCATCTGTCCACTTGAGCACGGGAACGATAGGCCCGAAAGGCTCGTCGACAACGATGCTAGAGTCATCTGGAGGATTGTCGATAATCGTGGGAGGCATATAAAAGCCCTTACCCTCCTTAGGTCCCGGCTCTCCTCCTAGCGCCGTCTTCCAACCCTCCTCACCGATCTGCGAGTAGAATTTCTGCAGTTTTTCGTACTGCATTCTGTTCTGGATGGGACCGAAGAAAGCCTCAGGGTCATTGTGGTCCCCAGTCTTGAATTGTTTAGTGGTGGCGACCATAGCAGCTAAGAACTGGTCGTATATGTTCTCATGCACGAATATCCGCTTAATATTCATGCAAATCTGGCCGCAGTGGACAAACGATAGGAAGGCCACCTATTTATAGATTGTTAGCGCGTGAATTTTCTGGAACGGGAAAATACATGCCTTGGCCACGACCGAATCGATATCGACGTCGTCGCAGACAATAGCGGCGTCATTACCACCAAGCTCAAGGGTCACCCGCTTCAAAGTGCCTGCACACGCGGACATAACTTTCTTACCGGTCTCAACTGAACCAGTGAAGCTGATCTTTGCGACGTCAGGATGGGCTGTCAGTAAGGGACCAAGGCTTTCATCTCCACTTAGTGCCTGAAACACGCCTGGAGGGAAGACCTTGGCACCCAACTCGGCCAGCTTTAAAGCTGTGTAGGGCGAGTAGGGCGAAGGCTTCCAAATGAAAGTGTTTCCGGCAAGAAGGGCAGGAAGTAGTTTTCCAATGCCTAAGGTAAGTGGAAAATTCCAGGGAACGATACCAACACCGACACCGAGAGGAACGTATCGCAAGATAGCAGTCCGCTAGAGAACTTATTAATATAGGCATAAATTTGAGGCCAATAGCACAAAAGCACTTAAGTAGTAACATACATCTGCATCATCTATAGGCTTCTCTTCCTTTAGTCGTAATTTTGGCGTTTCCCGGGCCAAACCTATAACAAGGGAGAGTTCGAAGCCGGCGGCCTGGGGTGGCTTTCCCACCTCCTTGCCGAGAAGTTCGGTGAGCTCATCCTTGTTCGCCTCGATCGCATCGGCGAACTTGTTGAGGTAATCGGCGCGCTCGTCCTGCGACAGTTTACTCCAGACGAGAAAGGCCGCATTCGCTGCACTCACGGCGCGATCTACGTCTCCTTTGGCCGAAACCGGGACTTCTCCAAGAGGCTCCTCGTTGCTAGGGCATATGGCATGGCGTGTCGTGGCGGTATTCGCTAACTCATTGTTGATGATGTTGTGAAAGGTCTGAAACGCGTAAGAATCACAACAGGCATAGGGCTTGTTCGGCGTTTCTTACCGTGAAAGTGATCTTCGGGGGGACAGACATGGTGACGGGAAGTACTTTGATGAGAAGATTGAGGTTGCGTAGAGTGACTTGAGTAGTAAGCTTAGTAGTTTGGGGATGAAAAGGGAATGAGAAACAATCAACCGGGATTCAGAGAAGCAAGGGGAACTACAAATACTGTGCTCGCGGACTAGGGTAACACTTTTATGTGGGAAGACAGGAACAATCACTCTCATTGGTAGCAACTAAGGTGAGAGGGGGAGGGGTTAGGAGCGAATATTGCATGACAGACCAGCCTAGTTAACTGCTGGTGACTGGTTTCGGATCTTGGCATTGTTTCTGCATGAAGAGCTGAGGTACTACAAGAATCCCATCGGCAGGGCAGGGTATCTCCACGGAGGAGGGTAATGAAGTGTCCTAATCACTCTTTATTTCCAGATTTGGCCTACGCCACGCCTTCCAATCCCTGCTCGGCAGGACCCCTCTAGATTATATTCGCGCCGGTAGCTGGACCGTTCTTCCCGTGTCGCATCCTCCTTGGCTTCTTTCCGCTGGGTACCATATCCAGGGTGGAATATAAGCTGTACTATGGTATCAAGCCCCAAACCCACAGTAGCCTAGGTTCTTGCAAGGGGCACGGTACATCTGCTCATAACTCCACACAGGGCCTCAAAGCAACGCTGCCACGGATCAGATACTTGCTTAGTTGTTAACTGGCCATACCATTATAGTAAACTAACGTTGCCTTCACTTGCACCAGCGAGGTGTCTGCTGAACCAAGGTTGAGCAGGGGTTGCCAACAAGGGAAAGATGGCCTCACGTATGTGCGGACTTTTATGTGATAATTAGTTGAAATTAATTTGAAACGCATCTCAGAGTTCGCGTGCTAAGTAGTACTCTATGTATCTTATAATACACCAATATCCTTGCGTTATTAGCTGCAGAGCGAGTGGCAAGTAATGGGCCGGCGTGTTTGGAAAGAGAATCGGTATGTTCGCGATTTCAACGCCACTTTGATTAGTGAATGGTCACCGCGAATTTTAGTTTCCACTTAGTTTCTAGGTGCGGATTTTTCCCAAGATCCTACAGGTTGAAGAGATTATATTGTAAATAGATCTTTTTGTGCATGTTTACCATGGCTATATTATAGCAGACGGCCTAAATCACAGATCTGCTCCTCTGATACTGGCTTCGCGGTGAGATAGGACGTGACTTGGCAGACCTACGGCATTAATGATCGCTAAGCTCAAGGCATAGATCGGAGACACGGAGAACAGAAAGGCAGGTGCAGAAAGACGGGGCGATTTGGACATTTGGACAAGGAAGGTCATACAACTCGTTCCTTATCACTGAATCCATCTTTGTCGTTCTAGAAGAGCTCGGTAAAGGCAACTTCTAGGGTATTTCAACGGATACTTGGTTTGCCGCAGTTAATAGTGATTTCCTTGGCCAGTATGACTTCCTTTATGGATCCAGCGATGCGAATTGCGGAAAACAACATTGGCCCAAACTACTTGCTGACAATCTGCCCCGAGGCGGTAACGCGGATTTCATTTTTTTTAGAGCCTACTGAGCAAGTATAAGTGTGTTGGCAAGCAGAAGGCCAGAGTAAAGTTCGCCAAACCCGTGCCGTTTGTTGAAGATTAACATTCAAACTCGCAGGTACATTGGGTTGTGCCTTTGTTGGTAATGACAAGTGTCTCGACTTCTCCATGGGATTTGCCTTCAATTGTATTTCCCTTGTAAATACAAGTACAGTCGCCCAGCGTCACTGATTTCGTTTTCCACTGAACGTCGTCGGCAAAGCCACTCTGTTCTTTGGGCAACGTGAGGCCACCCAGCAATATTGGGTTGCATACTCTGCCTCCGTATGCGCAGCTTTTCCCACTAGAGAACTCAAAGCCAGTGGTACTGCCAAAGCTCTGCTTTCCGTGACCCTCAACATCGTTCTCCGTCTCGGTGTAGCCTGTAACGGAGCAAGTATTTGCTCTCAGGCCGAAATCAGTCGTCGAACTTGGCAGAGCAGAAGCGGAACCGATAGCCAGGACCGCAATGGAGGAGATGTGAACGGCACGCATGGTGTTTTGCTTGAAGTGGTAACTCAATGGATAAAGATAGGATCGAAAGGGGGTTACTAGTGATGTGCTGATATGCTTAAGTTAACGGGCGTCAACACTAACAATAGAGGTGGTCGTCATCTTGTATCCGTCGTCATCCCCGCTGGTCAGAATCCCAAGCACTTGCGATGCCAAAAGTCTGGCTCACCAAATCCAGGAGGATTGATGGAATCTCCTCTTGTATCGCTTGTGGCAATAGCCAAGATCTCTGACATCCCGAGGGAGTGCGGCCGAGATCAAAGGTATTTAAGAATGTGTTGATCTCCAGCCCAGTTGAAGGACAGCAGGGTATCCATGAGACATGAGAACGCTTCAAATCTTTCATTAGGATTCCGGAACTTATGATAATGTTCTCAATCTAAAGACAGGGGGCAAATTTCACTCCTGTCATACAACACCCCTGTCCATGTTGGTGGCCACAGGGAGCAGAAGGATGGGCGCCATGTCTGATGCTATACTTCACCTGAAGCTGTGCACCCAAGTAAATAAGTCAACTGATTTGGCGTTGTATCGATTGCGATGATATCTTTTGGCTTTAGCTTATCCACCATTTGAATACATAAAATATACAAGATAGTCTATGGTACCTTGAAGCACAGAAACCTAAACTTCGTCTTCTGAGACCTAAATAGATGCTTCATAGACTACTGATTGTCATCGAGGCAATGCTAGAGATTACATTTAGGATTCTAAAATAGTAACAGTGGCGGTATGTTATCTGCAACCAGTCACTCAGATCATTTAACAGGCAATCCTACTTCGTCATCACTTGCATCATATATCATATCATTATGTGCCGCAGCTGCATGCATGCGGCAACGTCCGTAAATGGCCTCAAAGTAGTCTAGCAAAGGCAGCCTTCACTAACTGAAATATCGGCAGCTGCGTGCAACAGGTTCATGTCAGCTTTTATTGAGGTTTCGTACGTAGGCTTGAGCTTCTTGGGGAGGGGGTTGACAGTGCATGTGGTAAGTCATATTCCAAGGCAAGGGGAAAGTACTCATTTCCTATTGCACTCGTGTACGGCGACTAGTTTTTCGAGGTGGCATCCTTAGTCTGATTCAGTAAGAAGCGGCAAGAAGCCAAAGACTTCTCAACGTCACCAAAAGGTGCAACGCAAAGAGATATATTATTACGACACTTTCACGCATTCTAGCCCGGTCAATGCGTCTGCTACGTTTGAAACTGTGCGAACGATGAGTGTAGACTTGCTATTTAACCTAGCCACTGACCCATGGTGACAGACTATAATAGCCCCGTCAGCGCAGGCACCTGGTACATTCTTCAACTCCTTCGGCATCCCCTCCATTGGTATCATCATGCTGAATTCTTGGATCACGTCAACTTTCTTAACCTCATCTCTGATTATGATAAACAAATGGGTAACAGAGGCACAGGACCACTGAAGAGCAAGCTTGGAGAAGAGGGAATGAAAGCCACATCGTCCCCTTCGACTAAGCAGGAAAGGACTTGCCGCTTGCCCAAAACTACACAATCAGGTGCACTTTCTTCGGTTACACAGCGTGTTTTTTTTTTTTTTTTTCTTTTTTTCCTAATTTGTTGCAGTCGAGGGAGATAAGCCTCTTCATCAGAACTCGGGGCTTGCATACGATGGACTGCGCGTGGATTTTCAGGGAAAAGATACGGTTTGGACCACGTAGATGCATAATTGCAGCAATTGCAGCAATGGGTCATTGCACTTTATCAACGTTTTGCACTTCGGATTACGGGTTTTGTGGGGTCGGGCGGGATGCAAGCACTAAATCTAGCGCATGGCGGTGCGACCGTCGTCCAGTCCACCCACTAGGAGGCGCAGTATATTCCATTGCTCCGCCTTGCACCCACCAGCTTCCTGAAGGATTGCAGGAGACAGCTAGTCAGCCCTGCTGACTGAAGTGGAACTCAGACTCAAGGCAGCAGGATATGGAGTCTTGATTTACCCGTCGGCAAATCTGGCATTCAAAATGCTGGCTTTGCCTCTCCAACGACACCCGAAATCATAGTCTTGACGTGCGGTCAGACGAGATATCGAATAGACCCGATGTCGGATACTTCCAGGCAAACGAATAAACCCCCAAACGAGTCGCACGGTCCCGTCAATGTCCTAGATACTGCAAAACCCTCAACTGGGAACGACCTGGTATCGCATCGAGAATCGTCAACTCGCATCAGAATGCAGCCGCAAAGTAATAACGTCCCAAGCGGGGTTTCCCGTAAGACGAGCGACGATATCAATACCGTCGACGTCCACATTTCGCCAATGACCTTGACACGAACTGCCCTCGCCGCATTGAGCCTGAAGGCGATGTTATGGGCGCACAACGAGATCGGCTGGGGTTGGCATTTCGTGCAACACAAGGTCCTATTTCTTCTCGGCTGGACCATCTTCGCGTGGAATTTGGGTCTGACCCTCTACTCAATTTATTCGAATATACTGCCATCCAACCAGGCTTTGGCGTTATCGCCTAATGGCAGCGGCTTCGACTCGGACCTAGAAGAAAACGAGGAGCGGGACGAGAGGAGACGCCGACGGTCCCGTTGGGTACGCGCGCTTATCGACAATGCCCTGGCCCTGTTTACACTTCTCCTACTGTTTCTCTCCATATTTGTATTCCATCCCCGTTCCTCGGACGTGTCCAAGTATATGCGCCCCGATGTCTGGGTGACGCTAAGGCCTGGTACAATAGCGTGGATATCCTCTTTAATGTAAGTCGGAACTATCATCCTCACCTTTCTGTTTCATACACTGATAGATGTGTACATCAAAGTGCGCTTGAGTTGCTCGTGGGATTTTCCCAGACGTTCGAGATTGTCGAGAGACCAGTCATTAGTCTTCGACTGGGGGCCAAACTACGCGGCATCCGCGATAGTGAGCAAGGCCGCATCCTGATATAAGTCACTATTATCAGAATTGGTGTGAGATATTACAACTCAAACGTTTGTTCCTCATGGTCCAATGGCTTATTGATCTATCACACCGGATGTCAAAATTATCACAGTCATTGCAGACAACTTGCGCAAGTTGCACGCACAAAAAGATTGTAGTTTCTCTATAGTAGTTCATTCAGTCTTATATTTGGCCTTGAGATTACTACCATTCAGAAAATACCCCAAAAATGAGTTCATGCCGATCTTGTGACTCTGATTTATTTTAAGGACATGTATAGCCGGCAAGCCATAAACACTCTGGAAGAGTATCATTCAAGCTGAGCGTGTCGCCCCATCTGCAGCAGTACCAAGCAAGCTGCTCTCCTCATCAACGACAGGGGACTTGGCTGGCAAGGCCTGAACTTTCGTTTTCTGCAAACTGACCCAGACTGCAGCCCCAATGATCAGTGCGCTTCCCAGTAAGCTCCAGCCGGCGGGAACGGTGCCCCATACCACCCGTTCAATGATTAGTGCGAAGACCATTTGTGTGTACTGAAAGTCCATTAGAATTTGCAGACGATCATTCTGGCTGCAAACAAACTTACAATGAGGTTTGTCGCCCGTCCTGCCTTCTCCCTCTGTAGTCCTTCGGTCAAAAGAAACTGCAGTAAAAAGCCAGCCACGCCTATAGCAACAAGCAAGCCCCTGTACGAATCAGCGACAGAAACATGGTGCGCTGCATGTTCCACTCACCATTGCGCGGCATTCTGCGGGACCTTGAATTCCAGGTCCGGGTGTATCATGATGATCAAGAACGAACCGACGGTCGCAACAGCAGCAAAGTAGTTGACGCTGACGAGGGAATGCGCTCGCTTGCCGATGACGCGAATGGTAGAGTACGCGGTAGCTGCACCGAACGAACCCAGCACCGCACAAATGACTGCCACCGACCGCTCAGCCGGCGACGCCGGGACAGCAGGTACGAGGCCCTCCGGTCGGCCGGCCATGAATAGAAGCATGGCCTCCCCGTCTGCGCCGCCCTCTGGAGATCCTGGTACCGGGAAGAGGAAAGTCGGGCGCGCAATGAACAGAACTCCCACGAACGCAACGATTCCGGCTAGAGCCTCATTCAACGTGAATGGTTCCTATATGTGAGAGCGATAAGTGATTGCAATACCATAAATGCGGACATTGAGCATACCTTCAGGGCGACAAAGCAGATGAACGCTGTCAGAGTCGGGACCAGGAAGCTGATGACGGTAGCATCGGATATGTTGATATAAGCCAGCGCGTCTGCAAGAGCGCATCAGCCAGGAAGACCAACCTAGATATAATACGGCCTAGACCACCTATCACACTTACAATACGAGCAGAACAAGCCGAAGAAGCCAGCGGCCCCACGGAGGACGAGAAGACCCCTCACGCCACGGTTTCCGAGTGGGAAGTCGGGGACCTTCTTGATCCACATGTATAGCGAGCCAAGTATGGCGGTGGCAAGCATGCGGACGAATATGATCTGCAGGGCGTGGAACTTTGGCTCGAAGCCTGTCTCGAGCAGCCTCGTCGCCATGGTCATCTTCCCCGGCAAGGTCAGCAATTCCGCCGGACTCTACCACAAGTTTTCACGGAGATTTTCTTTTACCAAGGATCCAAATAGCTGAGCCAGGAAGACGAGGAGTAGCCCAAAGTTCCTCTCGTAAAAGCCCTTGAGTCTCGGCCATGATGACTGCCGAGGCTCCGGTTCGGCAGCATGCTCCGGTTCCACATCGCGGAGTATTGGTTGCCCATCTGATGGCGCAGAGCTTTGGGCGAACGGCGACGTCTGTTCGCCCACTGAAGACTTCACCGTGCCATACGCCATCGTGCTCGGGCCTTTGATATCGATTGGGTTATGGAGTCAGGATGCCGATAGTGGGTTGGTCACGCGCGGAATTTTTTATCCCCTGGCACTAGCAATAGAGTGGAGCCGAGCCGGCTTCGGCTTTGGGGAAGCTTAGTGACCATCGGCCGGCCTGCCCGACCTACATATTTACTATATACAAATAATGCACGGGGTTCTCGTCCGTTCGTCTGCAGTGCATTTATTTTGCAGTTTCGGAAGCATGGAAAAACGCAATGTCCCGCGCCTCGCGTATAATACGGTATCAACCTTCTACCAAATAAACTCAAACCCAAAACTGACTTTAGAAAGAACCTCGTATAGACCTCCTGGTATAACTTGATGGCCCGGCAAAGAGCGTCTTTGGGTATGATATCATAATGTTTCCGCGCAACATAAATAAACCAAAAAAAGAAAGAAGAAAAAAATGAAGCAAGGCATTCCAATGTTATCGTCCCTTAACGATGCGTTGCAGGATAGACCCGGCGTCCCACTTGCCATTCAACGCCCACTCCATGCTTAACATGTGGCAGAACTCCACATCCGACTTGGTCAAGTCTGTTGACACTGCTCCTGACTGCGTCTCTAGCTCCTGGAGGATCTGAAAATAGATCGAGCCCTCTGGGTTGCGGTCGCTCCATCCTGAGTGGTATACATTGAAGTAGTGCGAAAAGTAATGACCAACCACGCAAATCCAAATTAGGATCGGCCGAGCTTTTCTTAGAAACTCTTGGCTTTCCACATCTGTTTTCAGGTACACCTCGAGCGCTTGGGTTTGGTACACCCATGAGCGGAAGGCCTGCAGTTCTTCCACCAGGCAGGTAAGTAAAGTCTCGTAAGCGGCCCTCCCTGAAATAAAATCCATGGTCGGCGCTCTGAGATACATCAGTGCAGTGACACAAAGAGCCCTGTCGAGTGACGGTGAGCAGCCCGGTACCGTTTCCACATGTCCATTTTCTGCATTAGATCTCTCGACAGAACCAGACGCCTGAAGCCTTGCCTCTGGCTGGATGAAATCCGGCGAAGGAAGCAATTCGTGTTGCAGAAAGTACCATTCTTCAAGCAAATTGTCCGGGTCTCGCTTCTCGGCTATTTCCCGTCTTCGGTACAGTTTGATCGTGTTGGTGAAGATACACACCGCAATGATGGTGTCTGCGACATCATTGCTAATCTCGCATCGGCGCATGACTGGCCGTAGCGTGGAGATCATGGAAAGAAGTTGCTCGGTTGAGAATGCAGGGAGAGGAGCGGAGAATCGACGATTGAATGGTAGGTGGAGCGGCGACCTGAAAGTAATGGCACCCTCGATATCGCAACTTCCGTCACACGCCATGAGCTCCTGAAATGCACGCAAAGGGGTACAGGAAAGGGGTCAAAAGCAGGTACTTACTAATGCAGGATGCTGCGAGAGAGATGACTGAGCCCGCTTATGCCGCCGGTTGCTTGCAGGTATTGTTTGAGACCGCTCATGTGAACCCGCCAGCTGTCAAAATCACGGAGAAATATCTGAGTAGGGTCATGTCAGGTGCGGGTCTACGATGGAACACGAGCGGGCTCTGTGGGATTAGAACGTACTGCAGCTATTACCATGGACGCGATTGAGTGAACCTCGCAGAACCGTCGGCGCTCATCTCTTTCGGACGATTTCAAGCTAGTGCCGATGAGTTGACAGGTCTTGGCGATCTGATCGATCACGGCATCTCGTGGCGTCGTTCCGTGCATGGTCATGTCCATGACATGACCCATCATGATACCGGTTTGCAGGTTCACCGGATCTTCCAACTGGAAGGATTGCGGTATCCGGTAGGGATTGTATTTCATGATCCCTTTGGGCATTTCGGGTCAGCAATATCCCGTTCAAGCCCGGCTGTAGAGCATTGGAGCTTGCAAGACTAAGCTCTTTGCTCCTCAAACTTGAACCCAACATGGTAGGGGAGGAGAGTCCTGAACTGAATGTACATACCGTATCCTTCAAAAACATACAGGAGCCGAGGCGCCATTGACACGAGGAGACCGAGATATTGTTCATTTTCAGCGTAGACAAACGAGGGCACGGACACGGTCCTGAACTCGACCTGCTTTCCATCATCAGTCGTGAGGGCGAAGTGACGCTCTCCAAGAGTTGGTTGCTGGCCGTGTTCGGTAGGGAACAAGAGTTGAGGATCGACGTAAGCAGGTGAGCCAGGGAGGTTTACCAGGTGCCCGGGTCCCACCGGCACACCCACCAATGTTTCGGGTGTCTGCGGGCGTGCAGGCGAGGAGGTACTGCTTGTAGCACCCTGGCTCGGCCCGTAAGACGGAGGAGAGGCCGACTCGTGGTCAAGGCACTGGGCAGGGTCCACAGGGTCGGACGAGACAGCAGGGCTTGGGGTCTGGCTAGACTTGCTTCTTCGGCTCCGAAGGGGCCTGAGGCGCCGGTGGATGGGCTTGCTGTTGGCCATAGTGCTTGGGCGTGCGCGCCCCTTGGGCCCTTGCTCGGCAGCAAGCACAGCGGAACCTTAATCTCAGACGACGGTCAACCGGTGTGCGAGCCTCGGGAGATCAGGTCATGCAACGGAAGCCGGTGTGGCACAGCCAACAGTTCGCCGTGGCCTTGGGCGACGGAGTTTGCTGCCCTCATGTATGTAGGTAGGTAGAGTGAGGGTTTGGCGCTGGGCCTGCGGTCGCGTTCTGTCTCTGAACCAACAGTTCCAGCCCCCAAACCCCGCTTCGGCAGGCTGCGCTCGGTCCGAGCCTGCCATGTCCATCTCCATCGGATGGCATCTCAAACAAAAGAAAACAACGATGCCAGAGCCTCGTCAAGACACCCAGGTGCTAGGTATAAGCAACGAAGACGCCAGAGTAGTCGCCCTCGACACATTCTCCAGGCCACCTGGGGCTGAGCTAGGTGTTTTAGTGCTCCCACGGCCAGCCTAAGTGCCCCCCGCCCGTCAGCAGCGCGACTCGGCCCGGGCGTCGCCTACCAAAATAGGACAGCCGAGGGGCCGCTAGGCTAAACGCGGCGCGGCTCCATAAATCCTGGAGCGCAAAAGCCCAGACGGGCCGTCTGCCAACCCACCCCCTTCGATGCACCCTGCACCACCCGAATGCACGGGAGGGAGTCGAGCCCTATGGCGATAACACCCAAGTCCTGCGAATCCGGAAACGAGTTTCGCCTGATGCGACCCTGGTCCGCACCGTTCTCAAATGCACCTCACTTCCAGGGGGGGTGGGCAAACAGCTTACTGGCTTATATCACAGGATGAATACATAGTACTACGGGTCCAGCGGAAAGTCATCAATGCCTCCCTTGTTTGTACAAACGTTTTCTCGTGCCGCGAATCGTTCCAAAGGGAAAGGTTTCTCCTCAATGCCACCCGCCACGACCACCTGGGTATCCCCAGGTCCCAAGCACAGCGGCTCCCCCTTTCGCCTGCTGTCGTCAGAGCTGCTTGTATCGACATGATGAACCGCCACGAGTTCAACCATCTGGCTTGCTGGGCGAAGAGTCACTGACACACGTGAGGAATCTTTTTAACTTGTTCCCGAGTCTATTGACGACCTGAATCTAAGATCTAATTACTTTAGACAGCCCCTCCATTATATACAACGTCTATGTACCCGAAAAGCCTTCATCAATGCATACAGTCAGCATGGGTGGGGGGCAAAAAAGAGGGAGTGAAACTGCTCGCTATATTATGCGATGTTGCAGTATGCCTAGAGAGTCCTCTGAGTCTCGGCGTAAATCTCAGTGACAAGGGGGAATGGGAAAGTGTTCCCCATGATACTTCTGAAAGCATAGTGTGAAAGTGGAAAAGAAAGAGAAATGGAGATGAGGGGAAATGCTTTTATGACGTGGCTGTCGAGGTCTCGCCCGCCTCGCCAGACTTCTGCTTCTCCCCACTTGCGGCAGCTTCGGCTGCGATCTGGGCCGACTTCTTGGGCTTCTCTGCCTTCTTGGCGTGCTTGGGCACACGTGTGAGCCAGTAGAGGAAGAGGGCGCCGAAGATGTTGAAGATGATGTAGGCCCAGAGGATGCCAAAGTTGCGCCACCGGTCGGCGTACGAGGACCCGACGCTGCTGAGGAACACGTTGGTGTCCTTGACGGTGCAGTAACTGCAGATGTCCGTGGCGTTGTCATCCCGGAGGTAGCCGCCCACGTTCTGGATGTAGGGCTCCATGTACTCGTAGCAGGTTTGGCCTTGGAGGGGCTCAAACTGGCGGTATTCGTTGTCGGCACAGGTGACCTCCGTGTTGGCAACGGCAGTCGACAACATGGCAGAGATCAGATACGTGAACGGGCTGAGTCTGTACATGAAGATCCAGAAGCGGGGGAACGTGTCGGGAGAGGCGAGGACACCACAGAAGATCAAGCACAACATGAAGAGCAAGTTAGCAATGTTGCCACCAGCCTCGGCAGTCTCGAAAGCGGCGATGATCATGTCGGTAAAGGTCGACGTGAACAGGAGGAAGACCCAGAGAAGCAGGAACATCAGCGCTCCTCGCTCCGTCTCCTGTCCGGCTGCGATGGCGTTCTGGTTGAGACCGACGGGGTAGTACCAGCAGACAAACATGAAGACGGCCATGAGGGTGTTCCAGGGAAGTTCCACAATGATTTGCGAGAGCATGAATACCTTCCAACCATAGACCTTGGACGGCCGCTCACGGACCTCATACAAGGACCGCTGAACGACAAAGTGCGGCATGGTCTGCTGGACGAGTTGACCGAAGACGGTGAGAAGGTTGAAGATGGCGAACATCTGGTTCTGGAGACCCTGGACCGAGTTGGGGGCTTTGAAAAAGACGAAACCGATAAAGAGGGCAACAAGGATGCAAAGGGCAGCCTTGGAGTAGATGTACGATGGAGTTCGCCAATATTGCTGGAACACACGGTAAGAAACCTCCTGCAGCTGAGTGAAGAACGAGGCGGCAAATTCGCGGTAGGAACCCCTATCTTCAGTTGCAGGCGGCTCGTCCGAGGCATCATCCTTCAGGCGCTGGAGCTCAGCCTGGACTTGGCTGTACTCGGTGCTGTCGCGCCACGTCTGGAACCAGTCGATCTCGGTGTGGCTTCCAGGGGCGGCGCCGATGGCGTCCAACATCCATTCAGCCGGGTTGGCATCTGCGGGGCAGGGAGGCGCGCCGTGACGTTCAAAGTAAGATGTCATGGTTTTGGAGTTCTCGCCAATGTCACCAAAGTAGACAGTGCGACCACCCTTGGCCAAGAAGAGCAGACGGTCGAAGCGCTGGAACAGCATAGCGGAAGGTTGATGGATTGTGCAAAGAATGGCTTGACCAGCCTTGGTCAACTTCTCAAGCAGGTCCAGGATGGCCCATGAGGTTTGAGAGTCCAGACCAGAAGTGGGTTCGTCGACAAAGAGCAGCAAAGGGGGCTTGGCAGCGAGTTCAACACCGATGGTAAGACGCTTTCTTTGCTCGACGTTCAGACCCTCGCCCAAAACACCGACAACGGCATCTGCATATTCCTCCATGTCTAGCAGCTTGATAACTTCGTCGACGTATGCCAACTTCTCCGCACGGGGGACATCGGCAGGCTGACGGAGGAGGGCGGAGAAGTTCAGGGCTTCGCGGACAGTGGTGGTAGCCAAGTGTAGATCCTGTTGCTGGACATAGCCAGTCTTACGCTGGAATGAGTTGTCGCGGAGTCGTCCATCAACAAGCATCTCACCAGTGATCACACCCATGGTAATGCGACTAGCCAAGGCATCCAGAAGCGTTGTCTTTCCGGCACCGGAAACTCCCATCAAGGCCGTCAATGTACCGGGCTTCACCCATCCGTCAACGTTGTCCAAGATACGGCGAGGCTCGCCCTTGATCTTAATGTCGTAGCACACATTGTTCCAGTGGAAGACACTCGACGTCTGCTGAATAACAGCAGAGGTATCCTTGTTGGCGGCAGCAGTGGCCCTCTCGTTCGTGGCGGTGGGACCAACACGCATCATGCCCTCTTCCGCATCGTCCTTGGACTCCTTGAACTGTGCTGGCCTGTAACCACGGCGGAAGACGAGGACTTCACCCTTGGACTTCTTCTCAGAGACCAGCTCCGCGGAAACCATGTAGGTGAACAAGAAGAAGATGATGAAAGCAATGGTGATACCCCAGTTTCGCCAGCGGTTCCCGTTGTAGTACCGGAAGGCGCTGTTGATGTATGCTTCTCCATCCACGAAATCGCTACCTGCGACAGAGGCCACAGCACTGCAGACATGGTTCATGGGGCCAACATTCGGGTAAGCCAGCAAGCTAGGCACGTATTCGGTACACAAGAACTGTCGGCCGGTGAACTCGTTTGCCATGAGCGACTCGAAGGCATAGCCAAGAGGGTCGAGATAGTTGATCCAGCGACACCAACCCAACATGTAGTCGATAGGAATGACGAAACCGGTAAAGATGACGAGTGCCAAAATGATGATGGCTGCCGGTACCATGGCCTGAGAGAGCGTTCGCGAAGCAGAAGCGATTGTCCGGAAAATCATACTCATGGCAAGGACGACGGTGAAAGAGATCAGCAGGAAGAAGAAGAACGCGCCGGGCTCCCGTCGAAGGTTTGTCATGAAGTAGAGAACCAGGTTGTAGACGATAGTGTTGAGAATCTTGTAGGGCATATCCGTCAGCATGGATGCCACAGCTTCTGCAGACGGATGGTACATTGCGTAACGACTTTGCTTTTCGACAATTGGACGTTGGGCGTAGAGCGTGAGGATTTCGAGAGCAGAGGAGAAGGCGTTCGTAAGACAAGCGAAGAAGAGCAAGGCTCCTCGTTGGAAGAAACTAGACGTGGTGGGTTGCAGGTTGTAGAAGACACTACCGATGATGAGACCCATGACAGTATTACCAATGAGCGAACCAACGGTCAGACTGGGGTCACCAATAAGTCGACGGAAACCGCGCCACAAGCAGAGGTTGATCTGCTGCACGTATGAGAGTGTGTAAGGAGACTTGGCACGCTGGGCCTTGGCCTGAGCCTGGCGCTTGTTGGCTCGGAACACCTCAGCGTCAGGGCCGTTGAGCGGGTGCTCCTTCTTGTACTCCTCGATCTCGACCTGGAGGGCCTTGTACTCGGCGCTGTTTTTCCAGGCGAGAGCGAACTCATCGGGCGTGCGAGGCGCCTTGCCCTCGAAGCCCTTGCGGACGATACGCTCCAGGGGACTGGTCATGGAGGTCAGGAAATCAGGCGCAGTCTGGCGGGCCGGGCATTCGAAGCCGAGGTTGATGAAGTACTGGCGGGCTTCCTCGGCACGGCCAAAGTAGATCTGACGGCCTTCGTAAAGCACGAGTGCCTTGTCAAAGAGCTCGTAAGCGCTCTGAGGGGACTGGTAGATTGACACGCAAGCGGTGGAGCCGAAGAGCTCGGTCTGCAGGCGGAGGGTCTTGCAGAACTCGACGGCGTTGGCACTGTCGAGACCTCTGGTACTGTTGTCCCAGCACTGGAGGGGCGCGCGGCTCAAGGCGGCCTCGGAGATGGTGACACGCTTGCGCTCACCTCCCGACACACCGCGGACATATTCGTTGCCAACACGGGTGTTGATGGTGTGGGAGATGCCGAACATGGCCATCGTGACGTCCCTCAGGTGGTTGGAGTATGTGTTTCGGTCAACTCCAGCCGGCAACTCTCGAGGCGCACGGGCTCGGGCCGCGAACGTTAAGGTTTCGCCAACAGTCAACATGGGGAAATGCACGTCAACCTCGGCGGTATAGATTGCCTCACCCTTGTGGTGTGAGTGCATCTCCTTGGCCGTCACACCTTGTGTCATGTCAGCATATTTCCGAGTATGTCGCAGGGTACAGCAAGTTATTGCGACTTCCTGGCGGCGCACTCACCTTGGTAGTTGAAGTAGGAGTTCTCATCCACATAAATTCCGTTGGTCTCTCCGGAAATGGACTTCAGAAAGGTCGAGCATCCAGATCCAGGAGGGCCCAGCACGACCAGCATCTCGCCCTTGCGCACCAGGCCGTCGAAGTTGCGCAGGATGTCGATCTTTCTCTTCTTGGCCAATCCCACAGCCTTGCGCGCCAAGCCGGCGGCTTCGAGCCAGACGTTCGCGACGTCCTTCTGGTAATCAGTGGCCTGACCAAAGCCGTGCACATTCAAGTTCTGGAAGCAGACACCGGCCGAACGAAAGCCGGCCTTGTCCATCTCGACGACGGACTTTGCCCACGTCCGCGCATTGAAGTTGGGCGAGGCCGGGTTCAGGGGCGAGTCCTCGCCGGCGTCGAGAAACGGGTTGCTGCCATGGGCTCCGGTGGCGTGCGACTGGGTGGTGTAGCGGCGGGCCAGGGCCTGCACAATGGAGGCGCGCCTTTCCATCTCATCGGTCTCGTCACCGTCCTGGGTGGAATCCGACTCGGGGGTCATGCCCTTCTCCATGGGGGCGCCGGAGCCGGTGTGTGGGCGCGCGGCCGACTTGTGCGACTTGTGTGACTTGTGCGACTTGTGGGAGATGGTCTTCTCCAGCGGGTTGGTGTCGTCGTCCATCTCCTCGTGTCGAGGCGAAGCTATGGGTGGTGCGCCCGAGGCCTGTGCCGTGCGGTCGTAGTTGCCGAACCCAGCACCGGCCACAAACGACATGGTTGTGAGGCTGGACCGAGCAAGGCCGACGTCCTCTATGCTACTGCAAGCCTATTGATCACCGGCCAGGCTTTTGCTGTTTCGGGCGTATGGTTGTTCGTCCCAATGGCAAGCCGTCTTGCTCCCCGTGTAAGTCGTGGTCACGTTGCTGTGCGACAGCCCCACTCGATCGCAAGTCTACAGGTGCCTATACAAACAACTACCCTTGGTACCTAGGTTTGTACGCAACGTCGCCGGGAGGATTCAGTTGCTGGGGGTCTAGCGCAGGTAAAGAATCCAAGTATTAGAGAGAGGGAGGGGAGGGAGATCCAATGAAGGACTCTAAGCTCTAGCGAAGTCGACAAAAAAATGCCGTGAAGAAGGCGAAAAGGGTCGGAATGTCCAACTAGAAGAAGGGGGACCACGGGCTTGGTATTAGCTGCGACCGGGCGGCGCAATGTTTTTATGAAAATATTCTCCCCTCTCGTTTTCGTATTGGAGGGTGCCCGCCGGAGACATTTGGGGCCTGCCAGCCTGGGGCTAAGAGCTGCTTCGGGGGGCACGTCGCAGCCGACCCCTAGACGCATCGGCGCTGGTGGGGATGGGGGACCCAGCCCAGCACCTGGGCAATGGGTGATGGATGTTTGGGATGGATGCCTGCGAGTCCGGGGATTTGGGAACCTTTCTCTAGCGTTCATGATTCATCCTGAGTGCATGTGGTGTCCAATAACTAGTCGTTCTTCCACCCACCATCCCATCCCATCTCAGCAATGAATCATACTTTTCTACTCTGCGGGGGACGGGGGAGAGAGCCAGTCCCAAAGTATAACCGGCCGGAAGTTAGCTGCCCAGGGACTGAGTAGGGTTCAGCCGCACTACTACGATTTCCTTGAACGCACTCCTGCCTCTACCTTCACCTTACCGTAGTCTTCCCTCTAGGTTGCCAATGGCTTGTTTCGCCTCAGGCTCACGGCGTCGTGGCCGGGAGCTCGCCATAACCGACGAGGAGGCTGACGGGGTGCTATTAGTTCCCGTAGCCCGTTAGCCATGACCGAGATTGGCTCGAATGAGTTCTGAATTGCCCACTAAAAACCAACAGCCACATGGCCTTAGTGGCCCCCACTTGCCCGCCCGTATGGGTTCTTCAGGAGATGCTGGGATACCATCTAATCTTGATCTTGGGCACGTTTCATGCCGTGCTCTACGTATGTACCGTAGAAGTGCTTCTGCGCTGTTCAAACAGATCATCCAGTCCTCGGGAGAATGCCCCGTCTTACTGTTCTTCATCATCGTTCGCATGGACTGTAGATCCGCCATGGTCCAAGTATGCAATCGCCGCGGGACTTGGATGAGATGAGCGCTAGTCAATTTCATGTGACGGACGATGGAATGCCTCTGCAATACCTAACTGCAAAGTGCGCTATTATGTGATAAGCTATGTACTTTGGGGTAACCCGGTAAGACATGTCATCTTCGCGATTATGTAGCTCTCGGCGTCCCCAAGAGATTCATGAATGCTTACCTTCCCCCCCACGCCCAATGAGCTCGATGGTACCCGACTCGCCGGACAGACCCATGGATATCGCGCAGCGACTCCTGCAGCGAGTGGTCCCTGCCGGCTGTCGGGCAGAGAAGTCAGACAGGTCAGACTATCGGTTTCTGGCGATGCGGTACAAACGCACGCAGCGTTGCTCGCGTGCTGGCAAATGAGAGAAAGGCCCCTGCGCAAGGAATCGATGCCATAGAATCCTTCCACCCCCAGTGTTGGGGTCAAGATTGGCCGAGAGCAGCGGGCCGTTAAAATGACTTGGGGGCGCCTGGGCCTTGGGGCGCGATCTGTGGGTTGGGAGCTCGGGGTCTTCCAACACCCCGACAACCCGTCTGACGCCAATGCACGAATTCGAACGCGACCGGCTGCTTTGGCGCAGCCTGACCCAGTACTCCGGGATACCCGTCGTAGCTCTCGGTCCAATCAGAGAGGTGCGACCAGTTCCTGCAAAGGTGATACATTTCGCCCCCAGACGTCAGCACGATACCAACATCTGGGCAACTTGCTTTTCGTGTGTAGGTTCTTGCGCTTTGGCATCTCTCTTCATCGTGTGTGTTGATTCCCTGCTTCTAATTGTTGCAACAGCCCAAACCTATCGTACGACGGATCGACACCAGTATCACAAGGGTCTCAAAGGTTCACCCCTTGCGTGATTGCCGACCAGGATCGACGGAACACGCTTCGAAGATAGACTCTCGGTAGCTGGAGTATTTTTAACGTCGATCTCCCGCTGCTATTGGCAACAGGGGTGGCCAAAACTTTCGTCCCTGACATCGGAATCGACCTGCCTCTTCACGGGCTCCGGTCAAGATCCGTGAAGCCGTTGGCGCGTCGCCATTGCTCACACTTGTATACTCTAGATTTCTAAGCATTCGGGCAGATTAATCCCGTGTGAACGGCATTTGCTGGCCAAAGTCCGCCTCGGGCTTGTATGCTCTCGTATCACGTAACACTTTTGAGTAGATATATTATTTTTCAAAGAGGCGCAACACTATTCGAGGGCAATCACTTACACCCCGTACGTTGTGGTGCATTTATTTGGGGTTGTGGAGCTCTTGTAAGTTCATAGTACGTAGTATGGTGGATGTACTTATAATATATTATGATTTTTACGCAAACAGTTATTGCCGTTACACACCGTCCTTATACAGTTCTAGCGATGATTCCTGAGCTGGCAACATTGGAAATACAGTTATTCATGTGATTGACTTCGACTGACCAAGCATGAACCAACGACACAGGGCCACAGGCACCGGCAGGTTTGACGTCCCACTACCATATGGTCCAGCCCGTAACCTCAAGATTTCTCGTCACACAGTATTGAGGGCGGGTTGTGTGACTGGCCCCTGAGTTCTGGCGACCGACAACCACTATTATATGTCCCAAGGCAGGTGTTTATCAACTCTGTCCCATCTGTACGAAGAACGTTGGATTTGTCGTCAATGGCGAAGAGAACTGGTTTGGCTGCTGTGTATGTTCTGGAATCTCACTGTGCTGAAGCATTGCTCCAGCTCAGTGCACGCGTCAACTCCGATACCCGAGCATCAACGTCATGATACAGAGCTCGGGAATAAGCATTTGCGCTCAGCCAGCCAGCTCGCAGGTTGTACTGAATGGCCCACGTCACGACAAGGTACATGAGAGTCGTCAGGACACCGAGGAACAACAGCCCCTGAGGGATTCTCAACTTCGTCACAGGCATCCAGAATTCGAAGTTCCGGCAAGTGCCCCCCAGTCTCCTCAACTCCCGGGCTATGGCCCCCGCATCCGTACCAGGTTTCGCAGCATAAGTCTGGTCCAGTCGATCTGGGAGTCCCGGATACGCGGGCGCCGGCTGGTTTTCAGCACGGTCGATTGCATGCAGATCCTTGATCGCAGCTAGTTCCTTGAGCACCAACTCCTTTTCCCACCCATTTTTGTTGTCTAGCTCTCGGAACTTTTTGGACATGAAACTCTGTATGCTTCCCTCCAGCTGGTCCAGTTTGCTCTTGCTGGCCATCGAAGCTTCGATCTGCTTATTCTCGGCTTTCTCGGCTGGCGAGATAAAGTCCGCATCTTCGGGTTTGACCCAGTCGAGATGGCGCTTAAATACCGAGGGAAGCTGATCCCGTGCTGGCCTCACGGGCTCGAACCCAGACTTCACCAGCTCGAACTCGACTTTATGCAAACACAAGTCGTAGACATCGATGGCGTCGCTCAGTGTCCGAACCGCTTTTCGTGCCGGTCGCTTCCAGGCTTGTCGAAGGGATTCTGCCGCCCATTCCCTTGTTTCCTCGATCTCGTTGAGCAGCGAGTGAAGTTCGGTTTCCATCTTGGCCTTTTTGATGATTTCTTGGCATTTGTTGAATACCTTGACCGATGCCATGAATCTCCAATGCAATATATGGGTTCTTCTCTTGTGATTTGTGATCCTTTCTTTCTCAACCTTTCCATCATCTTCCGTCTTGGTTTCATTACCGACGTCGGTTTTGGTCTTGGCCCCTGGAGTGGGCATCATGACCTCCAGCACGCCCAGTTTTAGGTCCTTAGCTTCCAGCCTTTCTTCCAAAGAGTCGGTCCACATCCACAAGCTAAGACTCTTCGACTCTAGGTCTTGAACCCACTTTCGATAACAAGCAATGTCACTGTCGCGAAATTGCTGGACCTCAGTTCGCAATCTGTCCAGTTCCCAGTCCTGTTGGACGGCCTCTTCCCTTGCCTTTGCTAGTTGCCGTTGTGTCCTTTCGAAATTCGACACCAAGTCCTTCCACATATTTGTTTCCTGGGCTAGGATGAGATTTGGGCCATTTTCAAAGTCGGCCACGATCTTGCGTAGTTCGGGACCACGCTTTGGAAAGACATATTCGTCGACCCTACTAGGAGACAAGAAATGGGACCAGTAGGTAAAGTTGGCCATGTTTCTCCAGGACTGTCCATCAGCTGTACCGTGAGCTTTCGTAATCATCTCAGTCTCAGAAGACTTCTCAGCCCCTGTAGATTGCTCGACCTTGTTTGACTCTAACTCACTGAGCATGGCGCTCATGATCCTGTTCTCTTTCTCCAACAAAATATTATCTCCTTGTGTACGCTTCAGCATAGTATCTTCAATTTTCTCTCTTTCCCAACGCGACTTTTGGCGGTCATCTTGAAGCGTGGACAGAACGACATCAGAAAAGAGTTTTCTCAACTTGTCAATATCTGGTCTGTTTTCAAAGTCCTCGCCACAGTCCCCGGACGATGTAGTAATAATTTTAACAATTTGGTCAACTGCGTCCTCGACTTGCGATTCACCCTTAATCTTTGCATATGCTCTGGCGTGTTCCGCCAGTCCCCGGGGCGGTATATCGAACCGGCTGATCCTTTCACGAAAGGCGGCTTCCATTTTTTATAATATATTATGTTGATATTTTGAAGTATTTTGATTCGGTCACTGGAGCTGTCCGCAAATACTGAGCTGATTGGCTTATAGTGGGGGTTCAGAACTTTTCGATGGGGCTGAGGCCCACCGCGCTTTCCAGTAATACCTCCTTTTATTAAGTGAAATTACTGTGTCTGCTCTAGCAAATACTTGGTTTCTTTGTTTGTATGTTTGCGTCTTACGGATATTAGAATAGTCCGCCGTAATTGGCACCACAAAGAAAGGAAAGCTTAGACAAGGAGACTGAATCAAGAGAGAGATGGGTCGCTTTCAGCATCGAAATGAAGCACTGAAACTTACTACCAGGCTTTGTGAAGACGTTCTGAAATGGGTTAGAATTGAAAGTTGTTTGGAGAGCGCCTTTGAGCTTCTTGTTCTCTTATCAGTGCCGATGTTTGGAGGCCTGGAGACAATAGATTAAAGATCTGAAAGCTAAAGGCGTGGTTACTAAAGGCACTCTATAAAGATTCCAGTAGTCATATTAACGCGCGACAAAAAAGTCCCAACGTGAATAACCTGGCGCATTACCCGAGTCATCCAAACACCGGTTGATATCCTCATACTTGAAGTTTGTGCCTAAACTGATCTACATAATGGGTACACAGAGCCCGTTTCCGGTAGACATACCTCGGGCCAATCCACAAGAAATTGCAGCGATCAGTAAAGACATTTTCGACGCATGGCATCACCTCAGAGACAGACTCTCTGCCCACCATGAGATCTTTAAGAAACGGTGGACGAAATTTCACCCTGACAAGCGGAGAAAGATCCTCCAAGAAATTGAAAGTGGCATGCCGGCACGGCACAGACCAGACCTACTCTCACTATACCTGTGGAGGGATACAGACATGAAAAAAGCTTTCAGGCCGTCAAAGCGACACCTCCTGTGGCCTAATGTTACACTCGACGACCTTACAGCCCAGGAGCGGCCCATGCTGCGGTTTATCCAGTCCCGGAGCATAATGGAACCAATGCATCACTACTATCATGACAGTTTTGCAGTGGCATTGGCTTGGTGTCTCCATCCTTTCAAGGGAGGCAAGCCTTTCATTAAATTACCACCGGACTCCGACCTTGTGATGCGCTCGTACTTGACTGATGAATGGGCAAACTACGTCAAGATGGTCGACCCCAGACTCCCCGACCCGGCTGTCCAGGCCGGGAAGGCTATGGGCCTGCCGATAGGCCTAGGTTGCATGGTCCTTACAATCCATAGAGGTGTATACAGGTTTCTCAGTCAAGTTTGCGACTCTGTTCTTCATGATCTACCGGGGAAGGCCAAGTACAATGCCGGGTTCGAGCTGGTAGCGAACAATGTGCCTTTGGACTTGATACAGCTCAGGCAAGAACGGCCGTATCATGCACCCAATCGCCTGCATTTGCACAGCCTATTTGGTCATATCAAAAACTATCGAAAGGTTGCGAGAGACTTTGTACTTGATATTATAGAAAAGCCCCGATCCTTCTTGGAATATGTCAGGGAAGTCAAGGCGCATAGCCCTCAGCTGGTACACGACGAGTCCGGGAAGACAGAGCTTTCCGAAGACTCGGACGAATTGTGGTTTATCGCAAGCAAAGCAGCAGTTCACCGGGCTTTGGATCGACTAGTCAGATGGACAGTTCTTGAGAAGTGCGTGGAGGCCTTGATATATAGCCACGATAGAGGATGGGCGAAAAGCGATGATCCGACAGAACAAATCTCACTGGACGAATATCTCGCGTTGCATGACCGCGTCAGGTTGTCGTGTCCGCTGGTTGTTCTTGTAAACAGATTCCTAGGAGACATGACGAGCTCCCCAGGATTCCGGCCGTATTTCGAACGAAAATACGTGCCCCTAGACCTGGACGATGAGAAAGGCGGGGAACCGGAAAGAACAGGACCAGAAAAAAAAGAACCAGAAATAAAGGAGCCAGAAAAAAAGGAGCCAGAAAAAAAGGAGCCAGAAAAAAAGGAGCCAGAAAAAAAGGAACCAGAAAAAGAGGAACCAGAAGAAAAAAAACTAGTAAGAGCAATCGGGCGACGGCCGGGCCCCCAGCCGAGGAACATCAACCAAATGTGCACACTGTTTGATCATATTTGTGATAATGGCCTTATACCTATGGCGGGGCTCCCTTCTTTGCTTGAAGACACTGGCTGGTCATTGGAACACGACTCGAGGCTCCAAAACATCGACGAGCATCTGTCAGCGTTTTTATACAACGAGATAGATGAGCTGATCTTAATGTCTGATGTGCTGCTAGATCTTAACAATATAGACGCCTGGGCGCGATTAGGGAAATGGAACGAAGAGGAGGTTGTGGATGTGTTTGAAAATGATTACTTCTTTGAACGAAGTCCAGACCTACTAAGAAACCCCGACCTCTATGAACCTCTCGTCCGCTGGACGCAATCAGCGGATAAACTGTACGCATGGCCTACCAGAAAGGTGAAGAACGCCGCGACCGCAAAGGCGAGGCAGTCTGCAGAAAAGGCACTGTCGACATTCTGGCGGCTGTTTCAGGACAAATACAGGAGTCTTCTGAAGAAAAACCAGAAGAGATACCAAGGTGAAGATGGCAGAGATCTAAGAGAAAGATCCGTGGTACTAAGTGTGCTTGCCGATGCCAAACCCATCAAAACGCCAAAGTGGGTTCCACCCCCAAGCTGGAAGACAGGTCCGGCCAGGCCATCCGCGAGAGACGTCCAACCCTTGACCATTGAGAGCCTCTTTTTGGGCGACGAGAGCGGGCCATCGGGGCCATCAAGGGGAAGAGACTTCGTCCCCAAAGACGAAGTGGGGAAAGAGAAGACGCGCGGCGAAGCGAGTGCTCAGGAGACAGAACCGGGCGTCGGAGCAGGAGGCGCACGCGCGGCGCAGGGCGAAGATGAAGAGGAGGAGGGCGTGCAGGATGCCGAAGACAACCCCAACGCCCTGATCAGGCTTCCTGCCCCTGAATACAACCTGGTCAGGAGATTCTGGAAAGTGCCAGGCCAAGCTGACACCGGAGGCTCGGTGCCTTGGGTAGATATATTGAGATTAATGAGCGCGATAGGTTTTGAAGTCAGCAACAGGGCAGGATCCAGTCATACCTTCAGACCACAGGCCCCGTTGCCTCCCGATGGTTCGATGGCGCCAGTCTCAATTCACAAGCCCCACGGCAGAAATGAGAACAAGATGACGGATTATATGTTGAGGCAGATTGGCAGAATATGGACCTTGCGCTACAATTGGAACTTGGACACCTGGGGTTTACGTGAAAGGTAGCGCGGGATAGGTCCCCGCGTGCTTCTCCAGGCTGAAGGTGATGGATCTGGAGGCCTTAGAACCTAGACATGGTTCAAACTGGGTTGGACAAAGGGAACGATGCGGGAGGCGGGGCAGGGATGGGCATTGTAGTTATACATGCGTTAGTCGTCACTGTAGTGCTAGCCGCAGTGCCGTGGTACGTACGTCAGGGATCAGCCGTACGAACGCAAAGAAGGACTCTGTATCTTTGTTTTCGCATATCAGTGGATCGCAGTATGTATCATTGCGGGCTGGAGCGACCATTGGCAACTAGATCAGCCTGAACCATGTCGCCGTGGATGTGAATTGGATCATCTGGTAGTAACAAAACTGAAAGAGCAGAACAGACAAGGCTTTATTATTAAGAAGCAGGGATTGATCCTCTACTAGTTGACATGGTCCTTGTCCAAAGCCTGACACCACCGACATCAATCCTCAAATGATCCATGCCTAATTATGTTCCACTCATGGGATCATGACATATGCTCTCAATGCTCTGCCAAACAAACCTGCATATCAGACTCAACTCTACTCTACTCCGATCAGTGTGAGGCCGTTCAGAGCTACCTGGAGATAGGAGGCCCCCCCCTTACGCATGCTCACCGCACATTTCTGACTTGGTGTCAGACTGTTCATCGTCGCCCTTGGGAGCGGCGACCGAGTCCACGGCATCAGATACTGTCTTCTCGTCATCCTTCAGCCCGTCATCGTGGACAATCTCCGTCTTGATGCTGGTGGATGCCGCCTCGGCACAGAGCAAGGCTGACTGACCTTCGCCCCCAGCAGGGGACACCGGCACTCTTGTCAAGCACCCAGCACCTCCACCGTCGACACCAGTGATCTGTGCCTGTTTGAAAAGGTGGCCGAGATGGCTTTGTTGCACTGGGTTGGCCATCTGATCCAGAACGCTCTTGATCGAGTCTCGTAAGCCAAGGTTGCAGCCAGTGTGAGACTTGTGAGGCGCCCACTTTCGGCCCTCCCAGTGCTTGTACTCGATGTCATAGACGGCACTCTTCAATGTCTGCAGGCTCTGACGGTAGCTTGTTGCCGGAGGAACGGGAAACAAGCCGGCCTGCATGAGCTTGGGCATCGAGGAACCGAGGAGCATAGCTTCGCACCACGCAACATCATCTTCTGCTCTCTTGCAGAAGCCTGGCTTCTCAAGTCTTTTCATGTGAGAAAGGTGGTCCATCGGAATCTGGATCTGCTCGAGAATTGATGCCAATGTGTTGAAGCGGATCTCAATGATACGATCTGAGTGAACATTGACGGTTAGCCATTGTATTCTCGCTCGGCGCCGTCTGGGACTTACCAAGAAAGCCGGGTGGCAGAACCAAGTCTCGGAGCTTGGTTCCGTTTGGGTGAATCACGTCACCGTGCTCGTCGACTTTGCAGTTCAAAACCAGCGAGTCGGTCATCTCTCGGAGGAGTTTCTCGTATCCCAGTTCCCAGGAGATCCAGGCAGCCTTGTAGTTGTCCTCAGTGGCCTTCTTGTCGTGAGCAAACCCGGAGAGTTGCTCAGTCCAGGCCACGGCCCAAGGCTCGACCAAGTGCGTACATTTGTACTTGGAAGTCAGACGAGTGAGCTCGTACAACTGATCAACCGTGGGTCGCTTAGGAACTCTGGCGAATCTGAAGTGCATGATGTTCATCAGAATCGCGAGCGACTCGGGTTCATCATCGAGGGTAATGACGCGGGTGCCATTGGGCAATTTCTCCGAAGCATCGCCGTAGAACAAGTCATTCAAAACCTGGGATGCCGAGGTGACGTTCGAGATAATGACCTTGAACTCCACCAAGTCCTCACCACTCTCGACCTTGATTGCGGCATCCGTGTCAGCATGGAAGACGGCCAAGTCATCGTCAGAGTGGCTGATCTCCTGGTCCTGGTGGATGTTGTCATCCTGCTCCTCGATGGGGGACAGAGGTTGGGTTTGGGCTGCTATTGTAGCATCTGCCGTAAGCGGCTCAAGCGGCATATCGCCGGTTTCAGATGACGACATGGTGGCCGATTGATGCAACTGAGGAACCTTCTGTGGGCGGGATTGCTAAAACAGTCAGCCATCTGAGTTTGAAGAGAGCGTGAAAGATGTGGTGATGAGAGTCTTGGCTAGTTAATGCACACGATAAGAAAATAAGGCATGCAATGGGGACATTCGGCCGCGAAGCAAAGAGTATTCGGAATTAATCAGGGCCGCTCGCGCAACCAGGCCAAAAGTAATAGGACCATGCGACCATTACCAGGGAACAAGGGCCCAGCCCACGCAAGCAGAAGTGCAGACGCAACAAACATACCAGTGAATAGTCCGAAGGCCACGAGATCGACTTATCTCGAAATCTCGCCCTGATCTCGAAGCCCACGCGATACGGAAGGGGAAACGCTGGCAATGCGTTCACGTTAGATCAAGAGGCAGGGGCGGCGGAGGTGGAGGTGATGAGGTGAAGCGAAAGGGGAAAGGGAAAAATAAATCAAAATCAAGGAGCTTACTTTGACGGGAGGCGCGTTTGCTCTGCAGATCCGAGGGTGTGAGAGAGGACCAGTGTCTGAGATAGTTAGGCGGGCTCGTCACAAGTCGTGATGAACAATCGTCTTTGAAAGGAAAGGTCCCTCCCTGTCCGCTCGAGGAGAAGGATGGACTTGTTGAGATTGATTAGCAGCAGCACACCCACATGCAGAAAAGAAGTGCTGGTATCACAACCTAGACGCTAGAAGTCGATCGAGGATGGAGAGAAGAGGTTGCAAAAGTTGGAAAGATGCTGCGGAAGACCGACCTGGGTGAGAAGGGGAGAAAAGTCGACAACTCCCAAGGTTGTGAGAAGAGTAAGAGGCACCCCGACCCGTTTGATTGTTGCGATTATGATTCTTGGTCGGGGATTCTCAAGAGTGGAGGGGCGACCTTGCTGCTGCCTCGGCGGTTTCTTTACATGGTCCATTCCACACGATCAAAAAAGAACGGGGAAAAAAACAAAAAAAAAAAAAAAACCGAGCGTGGAAGCGGGATGGGATGGGATAATGGACTAATACCTCTGCCTGGATCTGGGCCTGAGGCCTGAGACCTGCGCCGTCTGCTGCCCAGACCGGACGAGCAGCCAAAGCTGGGCAGAGCCCCCTTTCGTCAAGATTCGAGGAACGAGTAGGTTCCCAATCATGAAGACCGGGCGGGATGGGAGTTACCTGAGACGTAACCTTGGGTTGTTCGTGTTGGTAGGCTAAAGAATCTTGACATGGTGACATTAATACGGGAGACTGACCCTCACTATTGGGTTTAAGAACTGAGAACTGAGTATGCTGTTGCGAGGCGTGACAAGTAGTATCTGCCCCAGCCGTTTTTCTTGTTTCTGATACCTAGCACAATATCCTGCTGGAAGGATCAGGAGACGAAATACCATCGTGTCCAGCCCGTTCTCATATCGATGTAGGGTACACGGACACTCGAGAAGGGTAGAGCCCAGTGGCAGAGTGGATCGCCATGTGTATTGATCTTACTATGAGGCAACAGACGCCCGGCTTGATATCATACCACACATACATGAAAGAATCTACATAACAACCATGGAACCTTGAACGCCCGGCAAAAGCATCGAGAAAACAACATCCCTAAATAGGCGATCCACCCTGAAAAGTCGCCAGGGCCGCACTCATGGGGTGGGGGTGGGGTGCAAGACTTGGGACGCACCCGGAGGCCACATATGTAGTGTCTGCGACTTACGATGGGCCCAAATCCCCATCTGCCTGCCGTATGTATGTACCACCATCACCACCAAAAATCGTCGCCGCCGCCGCCGCCGTCGTCGTCGCCATTAAAGAGCAGTCCGTGGTCTGTCGGAATCCCAGCCTAACCATCTCGCCACGCCCGTGTACAGAAGCACGATGCCCACGAAGATCCACACCCTGCTCGACATCCAGCCCCGCCCGGCAGCGTCGCGCTGTTGCACGACGGCGTCGACCACCGCTTGCCTCTGGCCGCTACCCGGGGCGATGCCCAGCTGGGGGCCGCAATTCGAGCCCCCGATGGGGTCGCCGGTCACGGGGTCGATCTTGTGCTCCGTCATCCACCTCTGGTTCTCGCCGTCGACCTCGGGCCACTCGGCGCGGAACTTGGCCCCGCCGTCGCCGGCCTTCACGTTGCCCTTGAGGGCGGCCCGGTTCTGGGAGCCGCCGCCGGTCGAGTTCCACCACCTGGACTTGCGGGCCAGGTACTTGCGCTCGCGCTCGCTGCCCGAGACGGAGCCCGTGGTCATCTCCTCGCTGGTCATGAAGGACAGCAGGCCGATCAGGATGGTGCTGACTTCCCAGGCCGGATTGAAACTCTTAGGGTGGAAGTCCGAGATGGAAAGACACAGGCGGGTCGAGGGCTGGAAGCGGCCGCTCGGGGTGTGCATGCGGATGGCCGGGGGCGCAAAGGGGTAGTTGGAGGGGAATATCAGGGTGCCCCAGTACTGGCCGCCGTGGTAGGGGGTGTCCTCGGGGCCGGTGATGATGTAGTGCCACTCGAGGATGTTGGCGTCGGAGGGGTGCGCCGTGATGTAGGGCGGGGGGTTCTTGGAGATGGTGGCGTACTCGCGCGTCAGACGCTTGTGGGCGGCCTTGCTCGCCATGATGACAAAAGGGCTGTCGTGTGAGTTGGTGTGGTTCGGCGTGGTATCGTATCAACCTGTCGGCGACGGCTTGGCTTGGGGGGAAGGGGCGCCGGGAAGGGAAAGGTGTCACGTTGGCGAACGGCCGAAGCGAGCGACTCCCGTGCGACACGATTGACACGTGGAAGCAATGATACAGAGAGGAGGAAGAGAGAGAAATTCACAGATTATTAGCACGAAGAAGGAACTAGAGGTTGGCGCAAAGACCAGATGGCGACGTCGTAAAGGGGTTACGGCGAGACAAAGGAAGCGCAGACGAGGGAGGATGAGGACGAGGATGATGATGATGATAACGAAGGTAGGCGTAGGCGTAGACAGTTGGAACGTTCCAGGGTCGAGGCTGAGCGAGCCGAGTCTGATGGAGTCATGAAAGTGGCATGGGCATCGTCATTGGACAGACTGGCGGACTGGGCTGGCGGGCGAAAAATGTCTTGGCGGGCCCTGGGGGGGCGATACGGAGTACTACATAGTGCTGTGCAGGCGAGCCTGGCAACCTGTCTGGCAATAGAGGGTAGATGTAAGGCTCTAGGACACCGACTTCTAGACGTCCAGTCCAGACTTCCAACAAAGCAGCGACATATCCAGGCGGCCAGACAGACGGACAGCCATCATATCCAGGTATCCAGGCCTGGAGAGGACGTCCAAATCCCGGAATCTGCCTTGACCTTGACTGGGGGGAGCCTTCCTACTGTATACATGGTATACCATACCCGGTAGTACCTAGAGTCGGGTACTAACTTCAAGGTTGTCATGGATGGTACTGGACGCACCGCTAAGGCCCGGCTGGGTAAAGGCCCAAGCTCCCTCCCCCTTCCCCCCAGCCGACCCGCCGACCCGCCGACCAAGCCCGACACGACACACGGCCGCACTGGACGTCGCTGGGTTCCCTGTCCCACCCGAGCTCACGCCTGCAGCCGGCACCATAAATCTCACGAGACACCCCGGCGACGTCACTGCTTCAAGACGAGCAGATTGCACATTCCTCAGCTGCAATGGCCGGCAACGTCTCTTCTGGAGGCGGCGATGTAAGTACAGGCCTTGCAATGCCCAACCACAGGTCATTCTTCGCTCTACCATACTCAATGGCTGCTGCTAATGCCTCATCTACCACCTCTAGGCCTTCGATGGCTTGCTCAGAACAGAAACCGCCTCGGTCGACCAGAAGCTGGCCGCTGGGGAGGAGCAGGCCCTTGCCCAGACGCGGAATATGGACCTCGTAAGTCTCGTCCCACCCCTACTGGAGCTATTTGTAGATTCCTACAGGAGAGAGGAGAAGCGAGGCCAAGAAACTCATGCTCATACTCATGCGCCTTAGCTGTCGCACAATGGCACCCTCCCCGTCACCGTCTCCTCCGTGCAAGTCCACGGCGCCAGGAACACCCGGAAATCCTTCCTCAACCCGCTGTTCGAGCCCCTGGTCGAGGGCAGCAGGAACACCACCTACACCCTCGCCGAGATGCTCGACGAGATAGGCGCCGCCGTCGGAAAGCTCCAGAAGTTCGACATCTTCCACGACCAGATCCACGTCCACCTGTCCCAGCCCTCCCAGGTCGACCCCTCCACCTCGCCGACCGATCTCGACGTTGCCCTCCGCGTCCGCGAGAAGTCCAGGGTCTTCCTCAAGACCGGCACCGACCTCGGAAACACCGAGGGTTCTGCCTACGGAACCATGCTCCTGCGGAACCTCTTTGGTGGGGCCGAGTCGCTCGCCCTCAACGCCTCTACGGGGACCCGTACTCGCTCCGCCTACAGTGCCGAGTTCGCTACCCCCGTGCTCAGCAACCCCGACCTTCGCCTGAGCTTTGAGGGCCTGGCCAGCAGCACACACAAGCCCTGGGCCAGCCACGAAGAGGCCGTCAAGGGTGGAGGCGTGAAGCTGAACTGGACGAGCCCGGCGGGAGACAGGTATCAGGTGGGCTACACCGGCGCATGGCGTCAGCTTACCGGCCTGGGCGAGCGTGCGAGCCCCACCGTTCGCGGGGATGCCGGGGACTCCGTCAAGAGCGCCCTGTCCTGCTCCTTCTCCAGAGATCGCAGAGACAACCCCATGCTGCCCCAGAGCGGTTACCTGATCAAGACAGCAACCGAGCTTGCCGGCTGGGGGTCGCTCGGCGGCGATGTTGCCTTTTCAAAAAGTGAGATGGAGCTCGGCGGCGCAGTGCCCGTGCCTGTGCCGGGAGTGCAAGGAAACTCGGGCATCTCGATAGGTGGCGGTCTCCGTGCTGGCATGCTCTACCCGCTCCCGTTGGGTTACGGGCTCAGCGGTGCCAAGCCTAGTCGGATCAACGACCGATTTGCGCTGGGAGGACCGACTGATGTGCGAGGCTTCTCCCTCGGCGGTCTTGGGCCCCGAGACGGGCGGGATGCACTTGGTGGAGACGTCTTCGCCGCAGGAAGCGTAAACATGCTCTTCCCCCTACCCAGGGTCGGCCCCGACAGCCCGTTCCGCATCCAACTATTTGCCAGCGGCGGCCGCTCCGTCGCTCTGAGGAGTAGGGTCAAGGGCAAGGAGACGCCGGCAGGTCAAGGACTGGACGCAGGTACGGTGTGGGACGGCATGGTCTCGGCCACCAAAGATCTGTCCACGGGACTGCCGAGCATTGCCGTCGGCCTTGGGTTGGTCTATGCGCACCCGGTCGCGCGCTTCGAGGTCAACTTCAGCTTACCGCTGGTTGTGAGACGTGAGGAAGAGAAGCTCAAGGGCTTGAGTGTCGGCGTCGGCATCAACTTCTTGTGATGAGACATACTGCCTCGCACCATTCGAGTGTGCGATCAGCTCCACCGTCCCGTATCCGCCCGACACTCAGCAGATGTCCTTGTTCTGAACTCCCCCAAATTCTGTATTACTGGTACTACGACCCAATGTTAAGATATAGATAGACTCCATACTGGATCCCATTTGTGGCTCAATTAGACGCGCCGGCGATCTATGGCCCGACATCGTGTGGTTCCCTTTGCTCACAGGTAGATCGTGATTGATTTCAGAGTTGATTTCATGGTTGATTTCAAAGCGCAACATGTCGGCGATGCAGCGATTATACCAAAGATCAGCGTTCGACCTGTAGGCTGTGAAATCCCTTGGCGTCTGGTACTCGTCATCCTGATCGCCGGCCCGCCACTGTGTCGCGTCTGGACTGCTCACTAAGCGGGCATTTCTCTGATCTGGGCTGATGGCTCTCATGTCAGTGTTTCATTTCGCAGCACCGCGCCGACAATCACGTCGATCCGGCAGTTTATTATACGCCCGAGATAGCACCCCCTTGAGGGGCCCAGCTAGGAACAAGTCAATAGCCACTTCATCTGTCGTCTGTTCAAGCTTAAAATGCCGAGATGCTATTCGCCCGCGGCAGCCCCTGGTACAGTCGCCGTTGCAGATCGCGGCTGAGACCATGGGTTGTGGTCGCAGATTATGTGGGGACCTCAATGCCACCTTAACAGTGTTAGTCTGGTTCAGACAACAGAGGAATGTGAGCACGGAGACATCTGAAGTTCTGTCTCAATCTGATTCGCAGACTAGCTTGGGCTGTGCACATGGATGCATTGGCCTGCTAGTCATGATGTTCGCTCCCCGACCAGACACGCGTCCAGCTTACATGTTCACGTGCGGGCGTGCCTGAGCTGAAGCCCCAGACGTCGACGGTGTTGGCCCGCATATCCACAAGTGTAAATGGAGCTTAGGCCAGCAATTCACGACGAATTAAACCTTCCGGAAAGAAACAATTGGCCAAGTACGGGGAAACCAGAAACAGCCATGTCCACGAATCCATGTGTTTCGCGTCCCACGTCCAGTCTGGCCTACTGGGCCTCGTGCGGATGGAAGTATGTATAACGTTGGTCGGCTCAACTACCGAGTCGATGGGCCCATGCCCTGTCTGGGCATTGACCGATAAGGCGAGCCACCCTTGTGACGATCAATCCGATCCCATATTTCTGTGCATCAAGTTTCTAGAACATTGCGCCCACTGGCCTCTATCCCATGGGAGGCGCATCCTAAAACGGGCCAGAGTTTCCCAAAACATGCCAACAAACCTTCTCTTGCCCCGGCATGGCCCTTGGCTGAAATCAGGGTCATGGTGGCCAACATGCAATCCGGCAAGGGTTGGGAAATTCTCCTAACGGCCCGTGGATCGAGGCATGTCACTTCCCCTTACAGCGGGGGAGGACTCCATTGTTTTCACACAAAGCTTGTGGTAGGGCAAAACACTTATTCGGAAAGTAGCCATGTACGCGTCTGCCCACATCCCATAAACTGTCATCCCGAGATGGGCCGGTGGGGGGAACCAGCCTTGGACGGCATCTGGGAACCATCCCATTAAACGTGAATGTGCCTCCTGGGCTCTGGACTACTTGACTCGTCTCATCCTGCTCCCCTAGAGCTGGATCTCGCCTTTCCTTACCTATGTCCTGGTCGACTTATTAATTCTATGAGAAAAGACCGCTGGCCGGAAAATTTGCAACGTGTACGATAGTTGTGTTTGTCACTCCTTTATCGAAGAAAACTTACGGAGAGAAATCGCCGAACAATAGACAGGAGGAAGAAGAATATTACGAGCTCCTTGGAGGTAGCTCAGTGAAGCCATAATGGCGGAGAAAGAAAACTACCTGACCCGGTCCGAGACCGTGGACAGCATCGGGAGTGAGGCTAAGGCTGTTGGCTCTACCAACCTCGTCGACGAGAATGGAGAAATCCGGCTGATTCCTGTAAGTCTTTGGTACGAAAGTTCCGATCTATCAAACCCTCTTCTAACTTACATCTACCAGATGCCCACGCCGGATCCGAAGGGTTAGTGTTTACCACGGAAGGACATTGTGTGTATAATCACTGGCGAAGTCGCTTACACCATCCCGTTAGATCCCCTCAACCTGCCTGAAAAGCAGAAATGGCTGGCCATCGGCGTTCTATGTTTTTGTGAGTCCGACCCGTCTATAGATATGTTGAATTTCTGTTGACCACGGTGTACGACCCACAGTCGGTTCTCTGGCCTTGTCAGCCGAAGTCATCATCGGCTCGCTGATCCCCGTCTTCCTGCTGGAGTACTCGGGCGTCGACCCGCGCATCCTCAACAACGTCGACTTCGTCGCCAGCTCCAAGGGGTCCGTCGACTTCAACCCCTTGTCCGTCATCCCGCCGGGCGTCATGCCCGCGGACCTCCACGAGGTCTCGCTCCTGGCCACCATCCCGCTCATCGCCAACGGCGTCGCCTCGTACTTCCTGGTCCCGCTCTCCATCGGCATGGGCCGCCGGCCCGTCCTCCTATTCACCGGCGCCCTGGCCTGGATCGGCGGCCTCTGGGCCGGCACGAGCACCACCCTGCACAGCCACCTGGCGGGCCGCGCCCTCCAGGGTCTCGGTGCCGGCGCCGTCGAGGCCCTGATCCCGCTCATTGTCCAGGACATCATGTTCATCCACCAGCGGAACCGCGCCATGAGCGCCGTGGTGAGCAGCCAAGGCATTATCATCATTGCGCTGGGTATCGCTGCACCGTACGTGTCGGCTAACTTCACCTGGCGGATCCTCTACTATGCGACCAGTGGGTTTGGTATCCTGGCATGGGGTCTGCTGATCGCATTCCTGCCCGAGACGCGTTGGCGCAGAAGCCAGGAAGAGCTGAGTACGTTCCAAGCTGTCACCGTCTGGTGCACGACATATCTCGAGAATTTGATCATTAACTGCAACTAGGCGGCCAGAAGATATACCCCCTGGAACCAGGTCAGAAGCGACCTACGCTGGAACCGGAGACTTACGGGCCACGGACACTGTGGACCACCATCGGCTTCTTCCAGTTTGGGTTCCAGTGGAAGGAGGCCGGCTTGTCGATGCTTGACACGCTCCGGACTACGTTTTTCCCTGCCATTGTCTGGTCGACGCTGGCGAACTCGGCATTTGTGATCATCAACCAGGCTGCGCAGCAGTTGGGCTCATTCGCACTGCTTGCTCAGGGGTAAGTCTCCCCGTCTCCAAATTTCGTTGTTCTTCTCCGTCCATTCAGTCCTGCTTGAGACGAGCAATGAGTGCACGTGAGCAGCTCGAAGCTAACCACGACGCAGCTGGCAATTCCAGTATACCGGTCTCAGCGTGATGCCGACCGTGCTCGCCACCGTCGCCGTCTACTTCCTTGGCGGGCCGGTCTCAGACCGCGTCTCGCTAGCCATCACACGGCGACATGGCGGTGTTCGCGAGCCCGAGTTTCACCTGCCAAACATGATAATCCCGTTCGCATTCGGCATCCTGGGCTGCTTCGTCTTCGGCTACTCGGCGCAGAACAACCTGCACTGGGCCTTCATCCTACTGGGCTCCTTCTTCGTCATCTTCGCCTTCCTGACGGTCCTGACCGTCGTCAACGTCTTCGTCGTCGAGAGCTACCCCCGCTGGGCCGGGCCCGTGCTCGTCAACGTCAGCAGCATCCGCATCATCATTGCCTTCTTCCTCAGCTCCGAGGTCACGACCTGGGTCGCCGAGAAGGGCGTCCTGAACACCTTTGCCATCTACGCCGAGGCACTTCTTGTCCTCAGCCTGGGTATTCCCGTGCTGTATTTCACGGGCAAGAAGATTAGGATCTGGACGGCAGGAAGTGTCAAGGGGCAGTCAGATGGCGGGAAGCTGAAGAGGGTCGATACAATGGACTCTGTCTAAAGGTCTCACGGGTTGTTGGATGAACTGGGTTTCTATTGACGTGGAATTGACCGGCGGTGCCGGTAGAATGGGTGGGGATTGCACCTTGATAGAGAGAGGCTTGGATCTGGACGCACACGCCAACTCTTTCTGGGCAGCAACGCGGGCAACACAGGGAAGATAAGAACACATGATTGGATGACAAGCTTCTTGGGTACATATATAGCATACAGGTCGTAAGAAAAGAGCGCTTCCTCCGGGGCGTCTGAAGATTAAACGTGCTGAATTATGGTGGCATAGTGGCAGGTCCTGCTCAATCCAGCTTCATCATCTAGATAGTCTGGCTCGATCGGACTGCATCGACGACAAGGCTCAGTTTCCGCTGCCTCCTGACCCTTGGCCCTGTCCCTGCGCCGACTGCGTGGTCTGAGACGCAGTACCCGATGCCGAGCTGCTGTTCTTCTTGGCTGCCGCTGCCTTCTCGGCCTCCCGCTTACGGATGTAGGCCTCCTCGTTTGCCTTTTCGCGGGTATGAAATGAAGGGATATTCATGGTGGCTGGTGGCTTTGAGTCGTTCAGAGGATGTGTATGAGCTCGGTTATGAGAATGAATGTTGACAGATTGGTGTTTGATGAAGGCAAAACGTCAAAGTCTACAGATGGGCCCCGCTGATCAAGTTGGTGCTATGGTATGCTGCCCCATACAATGACGTCATGTGTGCCAGTGAGACGCTCGCTTCTGAGGCCATGAACCATGAACGCCATGGTCCATCAATCATTTCCACAACTGCGATAAGTGGCTATCCAAAGTACACAAGATGAGCATAACGCTTCTATGACTCACCATCCAATCCCCATTTTCTGGCTGATGATTGAGTTGTCATCAAAGTTCAGAATAGCTAGCAGACTAGTTGTCTCGGACGAAGTGGACATTGCAAGGAAGAGATATAAGCAGTTTCATAGATTGAAACCGATATGACTGTAAGCAGTTTCCTTGGGATGTAGTAAGTCGTGATGTCCTGAGAATACAAACTCCAATCCACCTACCACAACGTCAGCTGTACAAGTTTCACGCAGGTGATTTGCGTCCATTATCACCCTAAAGTCGATTGATCATGGTATGTAGCTCGTATCATAAGACTTTGGTCCGTGAGTGGTTTGTGAAATACACATCCGGGTACAAGATCCGATGAATGATATGATATGACACAGTACCAATGCGAAATCTGATTTCGCGCAGTTCTATAACTACCTACCTAATGCGCATTCTGATGTTTTAGCGCTCCCACTGTTGAAGTTTGGCTTAATTGTAGTGCTTCCTCCTTATATCGATTTCCCGTCTTATATGACTGTATTGGCAACAAACATTAGGCTATACCTGATTGCGGTCCATGCAGCCAATATCTAGAAACTTAAATAATAAAAGCTTTCCAATTCGCGACTCCCTGAAGGAGACTTGATTCGGAACATGACATGACGGTACCAGAAATTCGATGCACCTCTACTTACTGGCATGAGCAATTCCGCTGGTATTCATTCGAGGACCGACTCAACCAAATTCCCAAGTTTGAAGCTACCATCTCATTAAACGGGTTCAGTCCAATTCAGCTGCACTTTCTCCATCAGAAAATCAAGGCTGACGACCCAGTTGCTCTTATCTTTATCCATTGTTGTGTGTTAAGTCGTTATTATCCCCAGACTCATATGAGCACTTGGTCCCAGAAACCCATTTATCGTCTCCCTCTAGGGCTTCTCCTATTTTTCTCAAGAGATGTTTCGCACTCCTCGGTTGTGGAACAGCCAGATAGGCGATGTGGTTCTGGAATACTAACACAACCACGGAGACCACTTTGCTGCTTGGGAAAGGCCAAGGCCCTGGTTCAAGACCTGCGGGTGATATTCTCACGAAATGGGGGCGCTTATGCTGCTTTCGAAATCACAGATCACAGTCGCCCGTAGTTGGTGCTTATGCCTCATTATGTCTCAAGACTGCTACTCATTAACTACTGAGACCTGAATGATTTGGTTCTCGAAGAATGATGATTTGACACAATTACCAAGTTGGTAAGTGGCCTTTCAACTCTCTCTGTCAGCTTCTTCATATTCGAATTAACCGACATACCGCGATCTTCAGCATCGAGCTTTCGAGACTGGCAACGCAAACCAGGCGGCGAATTGGGAGGTGATGCCCTAACTTGTCTTTGTGCATTATAACGTAAAAAGGCTTTCTCTACATAGCCCAGATGATGTAGGTTGGACATACCAATACTTTGATGTAAGTACTATATCAACGATCTCACACGTGATCCGTGCCGGCTATTCGGCACACGGTACCCAAGCTTCTGAGTAGCTAGGCGATCACGAGCTAAGACGTCATTTCCGCTGTTGCAGAACAGAGATGTGAATTGGTGGAATCTCATTCAGTACCTTGCAGCCGGTGTCTTCAACACTGAATCAGGAGTGGCTATTGCGGAAAGAATATTGGAATACACGGTGGACGACTTTCTCCTCGTATAGACTCCTGCCATATCAGGGTCAGCCAAGCATGTTTCCAAGGCCGAAGTCGCATGGCAGGGACTTGGCCCGCTTATGCATTGATACTCTGTCCCTGGACCCACACTGGGTAAAGAGCAATGGCACTGTACCAGCCCGAAATACGACGGCGCTTGCATGACTCTTGTATTCCCGTAAAACATCAATTACTAAGCAGGTTCCCAGACAAGAGAGTTCAATTATACCAACTTCGGATTTCGCCAATACAGACTTCTACAACAACTGCATTGTAGTAGGCTCCTTGACCCCATTTGCAACGGGTTGTGTCAGACCGCTGTGATGATGCTGAAGTAGATCTGCTATTTGGCTAGGCGCTCCAATGTCATTAGCTCGAAATCGATACAGTCGGTATGAACAAGCCCTCGGATTGTAGAGCGGCAAGCGTATTTCCTCATCCATTGCCAATACATCGCCATAGTCCATGGGAGTTCAACTTGGCAGCGAATACTATATGCAACTGGAGGTACTTCTGACAAGGGGGGTTGCACGTCATTTATGGCACGAGTAAGAGCATTCAGTGGCAGTGGGTATTAATGCGTAACTCGGCGCTAAGCGGTGAAGATGCGAAGCGCGCGTTTCCGCCAGTATTCTTCTAAAATGATCAATACAGGTTACGAAGTTGCATGGATGTACCCGTGCATCAATCACGGCGACGATTCAAGAAGGTTGGGGAGCGCTCACACCATTCAGGAACAGGACCAGGATATCTGCCTTGATTCCAATGGGTATATCCTCTCAATCGTACGTTCTCAAATGTGTCGTATTGTGCTGCGCCCAAGCGGGACATGCATGCAACAATGCCCTCGAACAACTGTCGTTTGCCATGTGCGCGAGTCGGTGTGAAGAACGCCAAGGCTCAACAGGTCCCACCTCCTCTGTGTTGGACTGGGTGAGCGTTGGGAACCTGTTGTACGCCAGGGGTATTACAGTTTTCCAAGACTATTAGAATGTGGGCTCATCGAGTCCAAGCACTTTATAGAGACTTGAACGTTGTCTCATTCGGGTAGAGATTTTCACTAACGAAGCTTGGTAAGCGGCGGTAATCGGCGGGCAGGGACCAATTGGTCCACCAATGTACTTGAAGCCACCACATGGCAACTCAAGCATGAAATGCTATTTCCGCGCCGCTTGAATCCCTGAAACGCGCAAGACCATATCGATAACACCGTGATCCCCAGTTCGTGGGAAATTGCAGGCTCGATCCAGCGGTCGAAATAGAGTTAAGCGAGAGGCTGCGGGCGCCTCCAACGTGCGTAAATGAAGTGCCGCCCATCGTGGCACCGACCCTAGACTTCCCGCCAAGCTGTCAGGCCGGAAGGGGAAGGTCGTGCTCGGCCCGGTACCTTTGCAGTCTGTGTTCAAATCTGCTATCGCTGCATTTGGCCTTCGCGCCGGCCTGTGAACTGCATCGAGTCAGGCCGCAAAAGCCAATCTGGGCTAAAATGTTACCAGTCCAATTCCCCAGAATGCCAAGGCAGGTTTAGTACTCGTATTCTGCATTGCGGCTCCGGGAGCAGGGCATGGGACTGGTTCATCTTATCTGTCGTGATCGTTCCTCACAGCCCCGTCGGTCTTGGCCCGTCTTGGGTGAGCTTGTCTAGATCATCTTTGGAAGTCGACAAGACAACATAGTGGCACGCGGTCACTTGGCAAGACGAGAGCTCCTAGAGCATCATTGTTGTTAAGTGCGTTTGGATATCGTGACCAGAGTCTCGTGGTGTATAAGTATAGACATGACGGCTCAACAGGCAATAGAAGTTCACCATCCCGCAATCCCAGTCTTCCTTATCCCTCCTCTGGCTTCTTTCGGTTCACAATGGTCGGTCTTCAGCAACTCGCACTCGCTCTGGGAGTAATCTTCCCCGCGGTCTTTGGTTCGCCGATTGCTTCTGCTCCCCAGCAGAAGCGCGAGGTTGTCCCTGGCAAGTACATCGTCACTCTCAAGAGCGGCGCTGCTGTCAGCTCTCTCGAGTCCCACATCAACTGGGTTACCGATGTTCACCGCCGTAGTCTGAGCAAGCGCAACACTGCCGGTATCGAGAACACTTACAACATCAGTGACTGGAATGCCTACGCCGGCGAATTCGACGAGGCCACCCTTGAGCAGATCAAGGCGAACCCTGATGTTAGTGTTGAGCTTAATTCCTTGTCTAGAGGTTACTAATCCAAATGCATAGGTCGAGTCGGTTGAAGAGGATCTGGTCATGTACCTCTGGGGTGCTGAGGACAGCAAGGTCGCCGAGCGCGCATTGACGACTCAGAGCGGCGCGACCTGGGGTCTCGGAACGATCTCCCACCGTACTTCGGGCTCGACAAGCTACGTCTACGACTCGACCGCAGGCCAGGGTACATACGCCTACGTCGTTGACAGTGGTGTTTTGGCCACCCACAGCCAGTTCGGCGGCAGAGCTACCCTCGGATACAACGCCGTTGGTGGGTCTCACGTTGACGACCTTGGCCACGGTACCCACGTGGCTGGTACCATCGGAGGCTCCACTTACGGTGTAGCCAAGAAGGTCAGTACATTCATGCGTCACAAGGGGCTTCGTGCCCAAAGAGATTCATGTCTTCGATTACGACTGACACGTTTGATAGACCAATATCATCTCTGTCAAGGTTTTCCAGGGAGCCACCGGAAGTACTTCGACCATTCTGGCAGGATTTAACTGGGCTGTCAACGACATCACCTCCAAGGGCCGCGAGGGCAAGTCGGTGATTAACCTGTCGCTCGGTAGGTGGATATTTCTTAACCAATGTACGACTTACTCGCTGACTTGAATGCAGGTGGCCCGGCTCAATCGACCTGGACCACCGCTATCAACGCTGCTTACAACTCTGGTGTCCTGTCCGTCGTCGCCGCCGGTAACGGAGATGACTTCGGAAACCCTCTCCCGGTTTCCGACCAGTCGCCCGCCAATGCCCCGAACGCACTGACTGTCGGTGCCATTGACTCCCGCTGGCGCCCGGCTTCCTTCACCAACTACGGTACGTGCTTCCAGCCATGAAGTAAGACAATAAGAGAGGGTGTGCTGACTTGAACTGCTAGGTGCCGGAGTTGATATTATGGCCCCTGGTGTCAGCATTCTCTCTTCCTACATTGGCTCCAACAGTGCCACCTCGAGCTTGAGTGGTACCTCGATGGCCTGCCCTCACGTTGCTGGCCTTGCCTTGTACCTCCAGGCTCTCGAGGGATTGAGCACCCCTGCCGCCGTGACCAACCGTATCAAGGCTCTTGGTACTTCTGGAGGCATTACTGGAACCTTGAGTGGTAGCCCCAACTTGGTGTCCTACAACGGCAACGGTGCCTAAGCGCTTGAAGCTGAAGGGGATGCCACTACTGGTTAGAGGGGGATTATATCAAGTCTGAGCGATGGAATTGGGGGATTTCAAGGACATTGGAAGCTCACATATCTTCTCCTTATAATCATTAATTAATAAAGAATTAAGCCAAGTAAAGAACGCTGCATTCGGAATGAGATCGGATAATATCCGTTGGTAGCCACATCGAACCATCGTTCGTCGTTGATCAACAAAGCTTGATATATCCGCCCCGTACGTATCTTGTCTCGCTGATGCTTTGCAGTCTGCGTATTTACTCCATTTCTAAATCCTTCGCATGTGAATAGGCAAAAACGTTGCCTGCTCCCACCCCGTTCTCCATCGCCTTCCTCAGACCAGCTGGAACTTTCCAACCGATGTATGCTACATCACCCTGAACCGAAATATGCCACGTAGCTGCCCCGGCCTCGAATCTAGCACGAACTTTGGGTCGTGACCATATTGACCAGAAATTCGCGCCTCGGGGTTTGTACACTTCCTCAGTATCAGGATTAAAATAGCCGAGATGCACTTGGGACAGGGATCCGAGAAGATGAACCTCCAATCGACCCAGACAACTGGAAGATTGGATAACAGCATTTGCGAGCGCAATGGCAAGCGGGCCAAAAGCATGGGCGCTGGGTTCGCCGTGGATTTCTCTAACCGGGAGCTCAAAGTTGGCGATGTCTTCAGCTTTTTCACCCAGGAAGTCAATTGAATCTGAATCCGCGGAGTCAAAGTCGTGGAGGACCTCATGCTCTGAATCAGATGCTAAATCATCGTCATTGAAGTTTTCTTCGTCGGACAGAGGCGGAATAGGGTCAAATAACCATCTACCATCAGGGGTGACCGAGGAGAGATCAATATACACTGAGTTGACCCGCAACCCAAATCCCTTTGCGAAGGCGATAGATGAGAGGCTCCAGTTCCCACAAAGATGTAAAGTAGTCAGCGTCGGGAGTGTGCATATCTTCTGGATCGCAAGATCGACAGTAGCGTCCCTAGAACCGACCACTAAGCTATGAAGGTCTGCTCCTTCGTTTCGTGGATCTCTGTCGTACAGAGTGATTCTCGCACAGGCCAAATGGGAAAACTCAGGCAACGCCAGTGCGCGTCCTAAGGCCACCCAAAACTCTTGTCGCCGAGACACCATGCGGCGGGGCGGCATGTAGAATTCCCACGAGATGCTCTTGAGGGCTGGAAGAGATACACTCATAGAGGCAATGAGGTCAGGGTATACCCTCCTCCCAGACGGGTTGGTAGAGTTGCTATCAAGTCTCTCGAAATCAGAGGACGAGACGCAACGAACTAGGGGAAACCTTCCGGTAAGGTGCAAATGTAAATCCAAACCAATATATTTGAAGTGATTTCTTTTGGACTTGATACAGACACTCCGACTAACAACTCGCAGCGCGGTATCATCAGACGGCGATGTAGCGGTAAGCCGCAAAGCAATCCCTCTGGCATTCCAGGAGCTGAGCCGGGTGAAAAGGCTCAAAATAGCACTGATGAAGGCCAATGTATTTTCTGAAGCTTCGTTACTGCTTTGAAATTTGTTCTCGAGCCGTTTTTCGCTGACGGATGGGAGAATCACGTCGTAATGGATATCCTTCACCTTCTGCCGGGCCTCTTCGCTACAAATGACGCTGTCGAATTGGCGCAGAGACTCCGGGTGGCTGTTGAGCCGGACTTTAGAGAACGTTTGGCCCTCGACACGGCTGAGCACCACGTTGGATACTCGTGCCGCGCTGATAGACGAGACCAAATCTAGCAAGTCGGAGTTCGACATGGCCAACTCAAGTTCCGCGATGCATGTGGTCTGTCCCCTCTGGCAATCATGCGTTTCATGAAGGATTAATATTGCAACAACCCAGGCCACGTACTGACCTGTATTCGGCCAATGAATTGCCAGATGGAGTCGAACGCGAAGCATATTTCAGACCAGAGACTTGCTGACTTTTGGTTTTATCGTGAGTGGTTGAGTGGAGCCGTAGGCAACGGCGGGTCTCTTGGCATACTAGTCAATGCAGACCGTCAACCGAAGCCTTGGCGCAGGTGTCGACTATTTGCTGTCCATATGATTATTTGCCTTGGTCAGTATGAGATGAGATCACCACCACAGACGTCTTGTTCATTGCACGAGAGTCAAAGCGAAGATGGTAAAATATATGCCAAAAAGGTCTATCCATTCTTTTCATCTCAAATAGTATCATAACGAGCGTATATCATAAAAGCGCACCTGCGCTGCGATTGGTGAGATGGTCCTCGCTAATCCAGCAACGAGGACGGAGGCCGAATCCCATTTTACTGCGCCTTCGACTTTGTGCCCGTCTGGTAGTCAATGTTCATGACGGCATCAGTGGTCAAGGCGACCTGCGAGCCCAGCTGGTGGGGGCAGATGGGCTGGTTGCCCTGCGAGGGGTCGGGCATGGTGCAGACCTCGTCGTAGCCGTAGGTACAGACTGCGTTGGCGATGTTGTAGAGGGCGTAGTTCTTGCCGACCCAGGTGTTCGACGAGCAGCTGGTGATAAAGTTCATGGAGTTGGCCGCGGTGAAGGCAAGCTTGCCGGAAGGCTCCGTGATGAGGTCGGCGCACTCAGACATGTCCACGTCCTCATAGGTGGCACTGATTCCGCCGCCGGAAGTGGGCGCCTCCTCGGCACCCTTGCCGGTGGACAGGTAGTTCCAGGCGTCGTACGAGATGTCGTAGGCACCACCGGACTGGTCCACCTTGAGAAGGTTCACGGAGCGGCCATTGGCGCTGACCTTGACGCAGATGTTGTCACAGCTGGGGGAAGAGGGCCAGTAGGCAATGCGGTTGGTGTTGACCTTGCAGCCAAGCACACCAATGGACGAGGAGTACTTGTCATGCGGCGTGACAGAGATGCCGTTGCCACGGCGCTCTGGGATGGCAATGGCCGAGACAGAGGCTGCGGCGGCAGCGAAGAGTGCAAGAGTGCTGGTATACATTGTGATTGGTTCGTAGCGAAAGTGCCTCTTGCGTGCGTAGTGTCACGTGCAGAGAATAACGGAAAGAGTGACTGTAACTGGTAGCTGACCGCTGGGGTGCTGAGAAAGAATGTCTATGTCTGAAAAGACGAAAGAATGTGGACTGAACAAGAACCAATCTTCAAGATTGAGTGAGTGACTTGGATGGAGAGAAGGGAAACCACAAGTAGAGTCGACGAGATCGATGTGTATAAATGCATCGCATGAAAATAACTGGACCCTATAGGGCAAGTCAGGGAAAGCCCGGACGCGTGTCATTGCATAGGGCTAGCAAGCCGGGTATACGTAACTCTAACTGGCCCGACTCGTGCCATGTGCTGTGTGGCGGCGGCCCTCCGAGTGCGCCGTGGTGCGCTATAGCACGCTATAGTACGCTATACGGCGCTGGTCGGCGGGCCTCGTGGGCGCGGGAGGGGATCAGTGGGATCTGGTGCCTTGAACTCTATTTCGAATTTTATCGGCCGTCGGTTCCACATGCCGCAACCTTGACTCGCTAGTCAGGAACGGGCCAACGATAACCACGCATTCGGGAACGACCCCCAGAAAAACCACCACGGCGGATGCGGAAAAGGGGGCGCCGGCACTTTTTCGGCACTGTCAGCAGCCATGGCACCAGCACATCTGTTTCCGCAACGGCACCGTCGACGACATTGTACTACAGCCACTCAAGCCACTCAACACTGGGCCAGTGTCGGCCGGGGGGCCGGTAAGCGGCGAAGCTGGAGTCGCGGTCTGGACCTTTCGAAGAGGAGACTGCGAAGCCCCACCGCCTGCCTTCCATAGCCGAAGATCGTCTTGCACGAAAGAATCTTTCAGACCGACAGTCCACAGGCAACCCGCTTTTTGCGCGATTTCCCCTGTCTGGGCAGTGATCAACTCATCATGAGTAACTCGCACAGAGAGCGCAAACCAAGCGTGCCTAGGACTCTAGCGCTGGCTGAAAGCCTTCTGAACGTTTCTTTATTCCGCCGATCGACGTTGCGGCCGTGGTGCGGTCTGGTCTGCCACCAGGCGGCACCCCTGCTACCACAAACCCCACGTCAGCACGTCACCAGAGGTTGATTGACTCGGAGATGCGGAGGCCAGTCTCCCACAATTTGGGATTTGGGGACGGGTTCCAAATATACCGAGCAGCCATCGACTCTCCCAGACGTCAGAGACTGCACGCCGCAGCGAAGGGTCGGACTGTCGAATCGAGACGGGAAGTTTGACCACTGTATCTGCAGCTCCAAAGCACGACAAGTCATCCGAGAAGTCCTTGGCCAGGTTTCTAATGCCCGATTTCACGTGATATTGGTGCATCTATGCGTTACTTTGAGCTCAAGGCAGCCAAAACGTGAGAAGCTCCGATGGGTATTCATGGGGCTATCACGGCAAGGCCATTATGCAGAACCAGTAAAGCTCGAAAGGACAACATCTGAGATATTCATAACCAATCACGTCTTGCTGTACTAACATACTAAAAGACTAAGATACAACTTGAGAAGTAGCTATGTCTACAGCTCAACCGCCAACTTCTTAGCACTGACGCCTTTGCCCATCAGATCAACTGCGTCCTGGATCTTCTCCAAGCCGCGCCCGACAAGCTCTGGGTTGGGTTTACACTTCATGCTGCCGTCAGCCAGCGCGTCAGAGAGCCAGTCTACCCAGATCGCTCTGCCGACCTCACTCTCGATGAAAGAAAGCTCGTTCAGGCTCAATTTGACGCCCTCAGGCGTCCCAGTCGGCAGCGGCATACCCGGTGCCAACACAGTCCCGACGTGCTTGTTGCCCTCCAGCTTGCTCGCGATATCCGCACAGGCTCTGATGGTAGATTCGAGGATGATGGCATCGAAGATGCCGGCCAGCGGCTCCCTATTTTTAAGTGTGGCCACGATCTCCTCCACGACATTGTCGCTGTTGTAATCGAAGATGTAATCAACGCCAATCTCCTCCATCAGCCCAAAGTTCTTCTTGCTCGCAGTAGCTGCAACTGTATACCCTGCGGCCTTGGCGGTCTGGATCGCGTTGGCGCCCACGCTGGAGCTCCCACCCCAGACAATGACTACTTTGCCCTTGGAGTTGACAGGTGTGCCCACTCTCGGGTAGTCCAGTGCAAGTCCGTCTTTAGTGAAAAGCTGGTGGATCGCAGTGCTCAATCCCAGGGGGAGCACCGCGGCTTCTTTGAAGCTAACATGGTCCGGGATCTTCGCGACTAGTGGATCGACGCCCAGCATGTACTCCTGGAATGCGCCGTAGCTGGGACCCTTGGAGAAGAACATCGTGGCCATTGCAGTTACGCGGTCGCCGATGTTGAATCTGGTGTTCTCGGGCCCGACAGATACGATTTCCCCGGCCACGTCGACGCCATTGATGTACGGGTAGCGTTCAGCTTTCACAACCAGACCCAAGATCTGCACTGCCCAGTCACAAGGGTTGATCGCAACGGCACGGACGCGGACGAGGACTTCTGTCCCCTTCGGTTCTGGTACCGGACCGGAAGAGACAGTCATAGGATATGCCTTTTGCTGAGGAAGCCAGGCTGTACGATTCTCCAACTCACGAGACATGATTGGCGGAGCGGATTACTAAGGCAGGAGACAAGCAATCACGGATTGTAGTGTTCGAAAAATTATTCATAAAATTACTGGGACTTGGACTTCTTTCGACCTGATTTGCGTCTTCCTCGTAGCAAGTATATGTGTAGGTAGATAGTCAGCGGTGATTGTGCCGTGGCACACCCGTATTATGAAGTGTGGTCATAACGCTTAGCTCCGGCGCCGCGGAGCTAGCCGGTGCCAGAGCTAAACTCCGCTGTATTTGCTCTCGAGATGGTCAGCATGGTGAATGGTCGTCTGCTTCAGGAATCGGTCTTACCACGAAGCACGTGATCTGTTGTTTTGGTGGTATTGATGGCGCCGCCCGCGATAGCCTCGATGCTTGTGAGAAATGGATCCGGTTTGAAGTGCCTGCTTAGTTAACCCGAAGTCACTAACCAGTAAATAGCAAAGAGAGTAATCATCTACAATTCAACACCTTAGCTACGGATCAACGTGCTCTGCTACAAGTCGAGCGGCCATCACAGCTACGCTTTCGCGACCCCTTCCTCAACAATGCGGCCGTCTCCGCTACAAACTTATGGTAGTATCTCGATGTAGCCCTTGATTATAGATGACAGTTCCTTGCTAGCAATCAATAACTGCATTAAAAGCACCGTTTCCAACAAGCGGACTAACCCGGAATCTTGAAGGCAGTGGCCGTCCGCGTATACGTGAAGACGGGCTCATCGAGATCCTCGGCAGTGTTATTGTGAAATCGCTGATCGCCATCTTCGTCGGAGGCTCCCTCAAAAAGCAAACGCGGTGGGGTATTGCTTGGGTAGTCTGGCCAAGGAAGTCGATCTGGATAGCCTCGCCAGGGAAGAGCATCCGGATAGCCCGGCCACCACCAGGCCGGGGCTTTGACCCAGACAACACTGTTGCCCTGAAGAATGCAGTCAGGTTCACCAGTCAACCCAAAGAATCTCCGAGGGTTGAATGGATTGATTCTGAAGGGGCCTATAATTGTATGCGGCTCAAGTGGCTCAGGTAAGATCAGAGGCTGATCATGTGCCGGACAGATTGGAGGAACCCTGCCCTTTGGCATTCGTAACGAAGCATTTCTCAGAACCAATGACTGCAGCAAGTCTGGTGCCGAAGAATCGGCATCCCTGGGATTGCTAGAAGGAGCGAGGGTCAGGTCCATAGAGTAAGGACGGAATCCAGGAGCGACGGAGCCAGATTCTATTTCTAGACTAATAGCCAGCCTCCTGGAGGTGGAGCAGTTGGGCAATACATGAAAGTGCTCTGAAAACTGATTGTAAGAAAGCACGCTGTTGGGCGACAGCAGCTGGTTGTTTGGTTGACTACGCGTGTACGTGACCGAATTCGGCGCCACTGATTGGCCGGCCAACAGACAATTGCTGGAAATATTTGGGCTCTATCCTTGAGACTGGCTGCTCGGTAGACGGCTACCAGAGGCGGACCATATGGGTCGTTGACCGGCAGAGTCGGCCATGTTTGCTGATGCAGGGTGAGGGTTCGGCTGGCGACTGCCCTCCACTGCAGCATTCTGTGTCCTTGGTCGTACGTTTGGCGGGCCGCCTCCAGTAAAAGGCATGCTCTGTTGTCTTACGAACTCATACGTCATGTCCAGTATCAGCCTTGTAGCTATTTCGCCTTCCAAGCGACCAAGAAGCTGTCGCAGCGCTTGAGGGACTCTGGCTTGGGTCCCCGTCGGTTGGCCGTTCGGATGACCGTTCGGCTGGCGGTTTGGTTGGGCGAGGGTGACATCAATGGCTCGGTCCATGAACCTGACAATTCTCTCGCCAGTTCTGCGATCTCCAGTAAGTCGCTGCAAATTGTGGTGCGCGGTGCGCAGCACGTTCAGGCGAGCTATTGGCGGGACTAGACGGAGCCTCCGGCGTGCGTATTGGATGCGTGGGAACTGTTCGGGGTTGGTGCGCAGGAGTGCAGTCAGTCGCTGAAGGCAGGTTGTGAACTGTTGTTCTTGGCAAGAGCTACAAGTGCGACAGCCACCACAAGGTTGAGGCATTGTGGGTAGTGGGCAGTCGTTAGGATGCCAGGGTGATCAAATTGACTTGCAGTCGACCGCCAATATTGGATAGCTGTCCAAGATACATTAACTGCAATGTAGCGGCAGCCTTCCTCTCCCTGCGGCCGCGCTGCTAGCCACTAAAAATAGAGTGCTGATGAGATCAACGTCTACTGCAGACGATTGACAATGTGCGAAATATTCAAGAACAAGAATGCAGCAATGCAGAACGGGCTGTTGGAACGGTAGTAGAAAAGGGTCTGTAGAGCGCTGCTCTCGGAAGGAGAATATATGCAGGATCTGGAGGCTGAACGTCAAGTCTATGGCTGGCAAAATCGAGCAGGCGGGCTCTGGCAGATAGATAGTACTAATCAGAGTGTGCTTTCCTGACGAAAATATGCCCATGGTCTGTAAAAAGTACGTAGGTACGCCGAACTTTGAGTTGGAGCTTGGTCCTTCCTCCTCCCTCGGAATAATCTTGCATTTCTCATCCACCTTGACATGGACTAGAAGCTGGGGAGTGGGTGTGGATCTTGAGGCATGACGATATAACAGCCTATATGATGTTAGGCGCTACAAGTGCATCATCAGCCCTAACGGCACACAATCAAGCCCGACAGAAACTTAGCAAAAGCGACACGAGAAATTCGAATGGTATCGAGCGATCATAAAAGCATCCAGAATCATAAACCTCTCATGGCCATTAATCCTGGGTGATTAGCCTCACACCTTATGTGATGATCTAGCAGCTTTCTGTCATTGTCCAGCCGTGAAGTCATCAACAGATACAGCAAGGCTCAAAATTTCTGCGCGGATTTCATAACAATATTGCCTCTCCCGAAGATAAGAGCATTGTAGACCATCTAGACGGAGTCCTAAGCATTCAGCTTCGTTGTCTCATTGCCTACGTGTGCATCAATGATGAGCGCGTGAAGGAGTCGGTCTTTCGACCCATCCACTTCACGGCCCCTCGTCAAACCCCTGTGCGACGGCTCATCGCACACTGCAAGCTTTGCTCCAGGCGGTCCATTGAGGAAGTTTGACGAATTTGTCGACAGCATCCGGGTGATTTCATATTGATAATATTGTAGCAGCTCCGTTGGGCTAATGTGGAAGATCAAACTGGTTCCTTTGATTCTCTGCTCTGGAAACCGGCCGCATTTTCAAGTGCTTGGAGCTGCGGCGGTAAGACAAGGCGGCAGGCACATGGATATGAGCGGAGAATCATGGGGCATCGGACGCTTAACGCAGTGAGGAAGACGCTCAATTTGAGTTTTGGATCCAGGATGGTTATGTACTTTTGAGTAGCTTGGCTGCTACGATGCGACATATCATAAAAAATGAGAATGGCTCTTGGTACGCGGCCATGAACGAGAGTGGACAGATACGTTGCACAGCTCGATTATTGTCTCCCTCTTGGGCGAACCATTTACGAGACAAGGGTTCATTGAACACATACTTCCACAGCAGATGCGCTGGTCTTTACATCACGATATTTCTATTGAAAAAAAGGAGAGAAAACAAGGAATTCTTTAGTGTAACTTTTTGACGTGAAATGAAGTGACACATGATTCCCAAAGAAGACTGGTCTTGATACTGCTGCAGAGAAAAATGCACTCCGGTAATTATCTTCGTGTTCTGGCAACGAAAATGCTGAATTGACTTGGCTACATCATTCTGACAAGCAGGTCATGAGATATGCTACCAAAAAAGGGGGAAATGCGAACAACTAAGGTCATTCGAAGGAACCACCCCTGAAATAGTTCACAGCGCACATCAACAGTGCTGGCTCAATGTAGAATACCCATTTTAGTGTCGTAGATTATGAGCTTTCAATCCGTCTCTGCCTACCCCGGTTTTATAATCGTCGACCATCCCGTTGCCCCGCGAGCTGCAGGCGAACGAAAGCACCGTCCTTCTTTGACTTCGATCCATTCATTGATCAGTTTTCAAAACACTAGCTGCGTATTCCTTTTGGTCCCCCCCTAGTTTTCAGCCACTGTTCGTCTCCAAGAGAAGTTACATAAACTCTCAGCCTTCACCTCTTCGAGAGAAAGTACCGTGTCGACGCCAAGCTTCTCTTTCTTTTGGCTTCACCTTTTGACCTCGCATCATCACGATTCGACTTTCCAAACACCAATCTAGGATATGGCACCCATCAGCTTATCCCTCGAACAAACGCTCAAGGAGTTCACATCGGTACAGCTGCATTCCATGATCATGGAGCTCGTCGAGAAAGTTGGTCTCCAGAAATTGGGCCTACATAATGCGGTAAAAGCCGTCGTTGGATCCGTTGCGGCCACGTTGATCACTCGGGGTCGGGTTCAGTATCTTGAGGTTGATCACGTTGGCAAAGGCCAAGCTACCAGCCTCAGTAGACACAAAGTTCTTAACAGAAGTCAGGCCAGAGCTGTCCTTCTCTTTCTCTGTATGAAGGATGCCAGAATCTTGCGCCACCTTTTCCCGGAAAGGGCCGGCTGCTGAGCGGCGAGCTCGGCGCTCTTCAGAAGAGGGATAAACTGAAAAGGTGCATCAAGATAAACCCCGATGTTTCAACCAAATGCTGATCCATAATGAGCAGCGACCAATCCTGGCACACTTTGAGGCTTTGGGAAAATGAATGGAGGGTTGGGGTTTTTCAGAACGACACCGACTTCATTGACGGGAAATGCATCGACTTCTGCCAGAGAACCCCAGGACGCTCCCCAGAGACGGCGTTGATGCAGCAAGCAAGATGTACCACTTCTGTGGGAGAGGTCTTTGAGATGAAGAGTGGCGCGATACACACCCGTTATATCTTATGTGTCTAGTTCAGCAGTTCCCGCGGGAGATTTGGCCTGCATATATGTTCTTTATTCTGTTGTTCTGAAACCGCTTCGCGATCTGAATCATGCCTTGATCCTCGAACTTCCAGAGATTATCATATATTGCCAGCTGGGTGTGTTGCTTCTATGTGTCAGTGTAACGACTACCACCGATACCTTCTCTCTAGTCAGTGGGCAGTAGGAGTTCCTGCCCCTGAGTTTCCCATTGCGCTCCTGCAGTCAAATAATGATTGGTGAATATCTCCAGCTTTGCTAGGTGAACTCAAAACGGTGAAATAGCAGGAAAGAAAATTGACCTACTCGAAACACCGGCGTCCTGGTGGGGCTGCATAACATAGGTGAGTAGTCTGAGTTCCGGCCCAGCTGGTCTCCCGTTTCTCCATACCGGTAAAGGTAGGGACAATTGCACCAGAACCCTGCTGATCTCACTTTTTCATATTCTTCCAACTCGTGAAGTCACCTGTCTATTCGTCAGCTACTTATGCCGTTTGGTTCGTCCTACCACAGTTCTCCGCTGGGTACTTAATCATCAACATGTCTCACATCGAGCAGTATCTAGTTGGAAATCTGCTACCTAGAGACGCATCCGGTCGGTACAATCTGATTCTGCAGATCGCGAAGAGTCCCGAGGGTATTGCAGACGTGGTTGATGCAATGCATGATGTCGAACCGCCCTTGCAACTTACTCTGCCACCCGTCGAGGACGATTCCGTTGGCGATGATACGCCCAAATTCGTGAAGACCCTCAACTTCATCAAGAACAACCTGCCAAGGGACAACAACGATGAGTTTCTGTTGAAGATACTGGTACAATGCATGAGGGCCAATGTTCAGCATTATGTCATCCTATTTGGTTCGCAGGCCAATTGCTGGATCAAGGACGGCACCTGTAAGCATTGCGAAACCTTGATTGCCTTCGTCGACAGAGACAGGTGCTCTTGTCTCCGACACAGAGGTTAGTCTTCTTGAATTACCAAAGCCTAACGCCTGCTTAACTTTACCTTAGGTCACAAGTTGTACGGATTCCGTGACCGAATGCCGCCACGAACAGAACACGCAGTCCACCAACAGCGGGAATTACGCAACGAAGAGGAGGCGCAGGCGGCAAGAGTACAGGTCCTCTTGGATGAGTTTCCTCCAGAAGACGATGGCGAACCTGAGTTCATCTGGTCCTGCTGCCATGCTGGTGAGCGATACACTAGGTGTGTGTTTCTGCCACACGTCGCCAAGTCCCGATGGGAGCTGTGCAGCGACCGACAGATGGAGGGTCACTTCAGATCTCTGGAGATGAAGTGAAAATAGGAGGTAGCTTGGCTTTACCATGAGAGGCTACAGGATCCTCGAGAGAGTGACAGCATTCGAGGCCGAGGAGCATCCTGACAGGGCATCCCAGTCTAGCCGGGAGAAAATCTTTGATGAAATGTTGAGATGATGAGACTTGACATCGCCCAGATACCCCAAATACTGAATACACTGGACTGTACACCATGTGACCACGTCCTGCGTGTGAAATAAATGGGGTTCCTGCCGTGGTATGAATGGACTAAACTAATGCATCAACGAAGCCTTACAGCGGCCAGATCAGCCTCGTCTTCAGCCGCACAAGCCACAACGTTATCTGGACGAACCAATATGTAGAGGCCAAGCTGCTTATTGGTATTCAACCTAGGATAGTGTGCAACATCGTCATACCGTCCAATCAACGTTCTCAAAGCCTCGTTGCTTTCAAATCAATAAGCACATCTCGCCGTTGTTCCAGCTTCAGGCCGTGCCTGGAAGCACCATTCAGCCTGGGATTAGGGGAACTATCACTAGCGAGACAAAGCGCGACTCCTGGATACCTTTGTGACAAGATGTAAAACCTGTTCGCGAAGATGCTTCCCCTATCAGTTGTTTCCGGCATTTTCCCCTCACAAACACACCCCACCCGTCATTTCCAGTCATAAGTGTGTCCTTTTGAATCCATTTCAACGCTGTCGTCATCCTGCGGGAGTCCTGTTATGTATTTGGCCCTTTATATCGCAAACCCCAGGCTCTCAGCTCGGTTCGTCAACATGAGCTCAGCTCGGGCCATGGCTCTGAGTCTGGCGCCGAGAGAAGGCCCCAGAAGAGTGAGGTTGAGCTTGCTGTGGTTCATCATCTCCCCGCAAAGTGGCCGCCGACCAGACTGCCACGCGCAGGTTTGATGGTACCAAATTGATGACTGTTCTCAGTTATCTCATCCAATATCCGCGATCATGATTCATTGTTATTCCACAGAGCACATTGGACCCGATATCAGGAGAGATGTCCGGCACCGTTCCAGGCCGTGCTGCCGCCGGAGCCGGAGTGGGGCTCATCGACCACAGACGCAACAGACTTTGGAATAACCCAGGTGCTTAGACAACATTAAACATTAAGATTAGTTTTAGTCTACTACGTATATCATGGTATCCCAGCTATGTCCAACAGTTGCATCAGAGTGGGAACAATGATCCCCAAGACCGCTCGAGCAGAGACTGTCGCATCAAAGTGCCCGTCCATCAGCTATGAGAACTTCGGGCGTTGGTTCTTCATCCTCAGACCGATCATCTTTGGCAATGCCTCGGAAGACAAAGCGGTAAGCACTGCGCATCAGGCAGTACAGCCAAAACAGATTAAGTGCTTGCAGCACAGCTAACAGCGTAAACGCGATGGCAAGAGCAAGCGGGCATTTAAACTGCTCCAAACCCCAATTGAGTTCGTAGGGTCCCACAGTGCGAAACTCGGTGACGAGAGAGTATAGAATTCGCAGATTTATGTGGTGGCGCGTATAGGTCCATACCAGTACGCATATGGCAAATGAGACGCCCTGCAGGGAGCTTTGGGCATAATTCAAGGACTTTAGTATCTAAATACGTTCCGTTAGAAGCTGATGAGGTCGGAGGTAGGGGATTTCCCTGACTTACTGCAAGAAAGAAGTCACTGATATCGTGTGTCACATAGACAGCAATGCCTATGTACGTGAAGTGAAACCGGTAGCTCAGACTGATCAGGCCAACTGTTACAATATGATGAATCACAAGCTCCTTGAAGTCCTTCCGTCTCTTCTCTACCCCGAGTAGCATGACGACGACCTGATGAGCCCAAAATGCCGCCTGGAACAAGTAATAGAATTTGACACTGGCTTCGTGTGTTTGGTGCGGATAAGACTCATACATGCCCCGGGTGTTGAAATACCAGACTGGCGTTTTACTCATGCAATAGAGTCCGAAGGGACCGACGAATGCAGTATACAGGGCTGCATGCATCTGTTCCATGAAACGCATCTGCTTGCCTCGTTGGCGGATACCACATCTACGAGCCAGTGGCAGCAACAGCTCTTGCATGGCTAACTCACGCAGGAAACAGAGCAGTGCCGTGTAAAACCCTACGAAGACGATATCCCAGGGCCCTTTCCCGTATTGCGGTGCGCCTGAATCTCCCTCGAGCTTGTACGATGGGAAGACAAGATGGTGCAGGATGTTGGATTCAGCCGAGTTAAAGGCTAAGAAGAAGATCACGCCGAAACCTAAAGTCAAACGGAGGAATGACTTCCTACGCTGGAGAACTTCGTGGTCGTTCTCTCGGCGGATGATTCGCCCAGTCCGGCTATTGGGAGCTATCGTACCATGGGTGACTTTTCTTGCTGGACTTGGGTGGGTGTTTTTGGGGTGGGTTTGTGTCTTTCTCCGCCTGCTGGTTGAATCTTCCATTGGCTGTTGCTCTAGCTTTTCTCGGCCGGCACGGCCACGGGAGCTGTCAACCTTCTTGGATGGAGCCATTCCCGGGAGCTTGGATAGCGCGGCAAAGAATGGAGTTGTCGGGCTTCGGATCTGATATGGTTATGGTCCCGGGCAACGACAAGCTTCCGGATCGTCCCAGGGATAGATCTATGTTGCTGTGAGCTCCTAAAACTCGTGTAGGGGAAGGCCAAAACTCACTAGTCAAAGAGAACACTCGTAATTCCTCTATTTCCTCCACGTGGCTTGGAGTTACTGTGATGCAAGTGGTCACCACATAGCTTTTCGTGCTGCGAAACTTTATTTCGACCCGCTCTATTCGCAGCAGTTCGGATTGAGTTTACTTTAAGGTGAAATGCAAAGGTGCATCCGACCCTGGTTGTCGCTGGCTCTGGGACGGGGTCCGCCGGGCCCGAACCCGGGACCCGCGGGTAGGCGACGCCCTGGTTCGCATAAGTGTTGACCAAATCATTCCCTTTGCCTTTTGAGATTTTCAATCTTATTTCGGTTCTAAGAATCCTACGGCAATCTCGTGAAGATCCTACTCAGATTCGGAACAACGAGGACTTCTATGCGTTGGGGCGACAAATGGATAGGGCTCGTCCCAAATACGCGCGCCTGGTTGCATTGAGGGGCCCAGAGATCCGTGTATAACGACAAAACCGTCAAACAAAGGTCGAATACGCATATCAATGAACATGATGAATCAAAAATACGAAGTCTACTGAGTTCATAGACGAATGTCTGATGCAAGGAGACTGACCGCATAGAGACAGTTCGATCAACTCGATAATTTACATTCGTGTCATCAGCCATCTCCAACGAGATGATCATCAAGATCACTCTGCATCATGTGGTCACCCTCTCTCGGTAGATCAAACACTAGCCACTTGACCTCTCCACGATCCACGTACGCATCCACATCGATCCTGCTATCCTTCGGGACCAGAGGCATGCCCATTCCAGACCGATATGCAGCAAGATGCATGATAGTCTGCCGCCAGGCCTCAAATCGGAGGTCCTTCAGCGTCAGAGCCTCTGGCGTCGCCGCGATGCTCCATTTCCACTCATCCACGTCATCCCAATGGTCGCCCGGTGAGACCTCTAGGTTGGGCTGTACTTGCTCTCGAACTTGGGTCTCCATACGATGCCGACTCCGAGGAAGGCAGGGGAAGAGTATATGATCCCGGCACCTGCATGCATTGTGTTTATGCCACACCCATGGTGGGCGAAATGGCCTCTCGCTCGTGACGTCGTTGGGGTTCCAGAAGATGACTCGACACGCTGTTTCCGGGTGGGTGAAGGTGATACTGCCGTTGGCGGCCTGCATCGTGTGAGAGAAGAGTACGTGATCCATCGTGCAGTTGCGCATCTCACCAGAGTGTGGATAGTGGGATTCGCCCTGTGGCATTCACCTGGTACTTGTTTATTTATGCCAGGTCGGCAGGCTCTTTGACAAAGGGCACAGCCCGTGATGACACAACGTCTTTGTTGTCCAGCACAATGAAGGCTGAGGATGCGACGCTACTTTATCCGCGCGGTTCGTTCTCAAGTCAAAAACGCTCTAAGTCAGTACCGATTTATGGAAAACACATACCGCATCAATCAAGTAACGTATAGTATAATACAACTGCAAAATGGATTCGACATTATTCTCTTACACCACGTTGGACGCGGCGGGGAACCTCTTGGTCGAGCATCCCGAGACAAAGTGCAGCTTCGTACTCGAAGACCCCAACTCAGCATCCGACTACGTGACCTATTTACCTATATTTTGTCACCGGGCCGCTTGTAACTGCCCCCAGATCCAGCGCCGAGGCGCCGTCTCGCCTGGCGAACTCAAAGAGGCACTGGACGGCGTAGCACTGCAGCCGCGGCCTTGCATTGCCTCCGACGACCCAACACTTGGCCCGAAGTACAGACAAGCCTTGGAAGAGGGCCGGCCCGAATGGTTGATGTGCCGGGTCCGGGCCTGGATGACCGCGACGAGATACGCTGTCGCCTGCACGATGGCGATGGGCATGCTTCCCCAGCCTTCGGCAGACAGCCCGTGTGTGGCTTTTGAAGTTCCCCTGTCAGAATTCCCCGACTGCGAAACAAGGGCACAGCTGTTCAGACCTTGCGGGGTCTCTATTGAGTAGATACCTGGATAGGTAGGTTAACTGCCAGTCCAGCGTAGTGGTCAACTGTGGTGCGATTAACAGGACCCCAAACGGGACTAAATTAGTGAATGTTGGCAAGTAGCTTGGAGCTTGGAGCTACGCACATGCAACGAAACCCGTTACATTTGATATTAGGACGAATGGACAATGTGATGTGATATCATGCGCGCCCGGGTTCCAGGATCTGGTGTAAATTGGCATTGACGCCTGATGATAACGACCAGAATCGCATCCGCTTCTCGCAGTGGCATTTCCGGGATCGTTTCAGCATCTTCAAATCATAGCCGAACCACGCATGGCTGGTGTATGACTTGAGCTATGCGACTTCCAATTGTCATATAGCCGGAGATAAGCTCATCCGAGCGCGCGAGCTGCCTCCAGCTCTCGCGACCTCGTAGGCTAAACCCCGCGGCTCACATTCAGGTTACAGCTCCAATTGACCAATCATCCACGAGCTGCTGGCCCGATCCAGCAAGCTCTAAACTCCGGGCTCCACCTGACGGCCGGATTTTGGTCCGCGGCCCGGAGTCGCGGTCATGACTGACCCCGCTTCGCCGTCGATTCCGGCTACCTCTATGGCTGTCTATCCCTCACAGGGCAACTCAACTATGGTTTTTCTCAATTGGGCCATTAGTCAGAGCCAAATACTGATCACGGCACTGCGTATTCTCGCGTCGCGAGCTGTGATGACGCCCATATCATAAAAGACGCCAAGCACGGGACCTAGACTCGCGCACATAGACGTGGCTCGAGGCTCACGCATCTACGTTCTGTTGCGCTGCACCCACCTCAGCTGATCGTGCGATCACATCCAAATTGCAACATGTCTTCCAGCAAGGACATTGTCTTCATCACCGGTGGTTTGTAGTCCTCGGTCTCGCGCCGCGTCATATACTTGAAATCCATACTCACAACGTTCCAGGGAACACTGGGCTCGGGCTCGAAATTGTTCGAGCTCTGGCGGCGAGTGCCAAGGCCTACAACATCATAATCGGCTGCCGGACGCCATCCACCGGCGATGCCGCGATAGATACAGTGAAGGGGGAACTTCCGGACACGGCATCGTCGTTCAGTGTAGTACAATGCGACTTGGTTTCGGACGAATCGCTTGAGGCTGCTATTCAGCGGATTGGTGAGATGCACGGCCGTCTCGATGTGCTGATCAACAATGCGGGCAGCAGCTTCGACGGCGAACTACAACAGGGCAGTTTGGGTATCCGCGAGGCTTGGAACAAGTCGTGGGACGTCAACGTGTCCGGCACGCAGGTATTGACAACGCTGGCGGTGCCGTTGTTGCTCAAGGCCGAGAACCCGCGACTCCTATTCCTCACCTCGGGCACCGCGACCCTGACCGAGACGGAGAGCACGGCCACACCAACCCTCAGCCGCATCAACGCCAGCCCCGCCGCCGGCTGGCCGAAGTCCGCGCCGGCGGGATTCGGCCCCCCCACGGCTTATCGCAGTAGCAAGACGGGCCTGAACATGATGATGCGCGAGTGGACACGGATCTTGAAGAATGACGGGGTCAAAGTCTGGGCTATTAGCCCGGGGTTCCTGGCCACGGGACTAGGTGGGGTGGGGGCAGAAAAGTTGAAACAGGTAAGCCTGAGTCTGCACGAGAATCACATTCCCCTACTACTACGAGGTCGTTGCACTGGACTTTGCCGAGGCTGGGTGATTGGGGGGAAGACGGCTGTTATACAACCCAATAAGGATCCAATAGTCGTTCTGAAGTTCAGGCCGTGCTAACATGCCTGGTCCGCATAGCTCGGCGCACTTGATCCTTCGGAAGGGGGTAAATTTGTCAGGGATGTCGTACAGGGGAAGCGCGACCAAGATGTCGGAAAGGCAATCCGGGCAAACATGATCCAGCCTTGGTGAGCTTGCATACGACCAAGATGCGTGGACAGACGGTTGAAATACCAAAGGTGACAGCCAGTCGGAGGCGTTGGTGGGGGTGGGGGGGACGTGGACATTGGTTATCGGAATCTGCTTGGGGCACTTGCTGCAGTAAGCTTGAGGCGATGTGGGTGGGCAGCGCGGTTGGATCCGTGGCCGAATCTTATGCCCCGGCAGAGCTCGAGCAGCGCTGCGGGAGTCAAGGTACGTACCGTACCGTGCATTGCTGGTGAGGGTTCAAAAATAGCAGCAAGCATCCGGTGGGCACGGTCGAGACAAAATGTTCAGACAAACTCAATAACATCTCGTGCAAACTCCTGTCACTGTCTGTACGTTGAAGAGAGGATGATGTGATCGTAAGTTGTTTGAGCCGCAACCTTGTTGATCCACTGGGATTGTCTGAGGTACCCGACGTACGTATGTAGGTTCCTAGGTAGCGGACTGGGGCGTGTAATAAAAGGAAGGGTGAAAACATTTGACCTAGGCGGCATGACGGAATCTAGCGGACTGGATGCAGCTACCTCGGGGCGGGTCGTCCTCAAGTCCTGCCTGCTTGTTAGAACCTGCCTGAGCAAGACCCGTCGGCAGCGCAGCTTGAGCTCTGCGACAGCCCGGGGTTCAATTGCGGGGGAGCCGGTGAAAGCCTGGAATGAAACAAGCCGCGAATTTTCGGGAAGCGGAATTTTTCCTTCTTTACTTAGTTAAGTAATCAATGGAAGAGCCTCCGAGACCTTCGTAATGTAGGACAGACAGGCATTGGATTGGGCTGACCGCCGCCGGGGTATGACGCAAACGGTAGACCGCTAGCAACATGTCCTACAGCGCTTGCGGCTAACCTAGACATTTGGAAGAAACAGACGAATCATGACTGAAGGATGAGTGAAGGAAATGAACGAATTGAACGAATGAACGGGGTGTATGACCGGGTGGTAGGATTTCTGACCATGAAACCAAAAAGTGAAATCTGCACCAGCTGGGCGGGCGCAATCATCCAACTCTATTCCGTTGCATTGCTGCTGTCATCAGCGCTGAGTAGAGCTGGAGCTACCTGAGTTAGGGAGCTTTAGCAAGCAACTGGCTGCCCTGGACCTGGACCTGGACCCGGATCCAAGAGGCTTCCTAGCTTGTCTCGGCAGGCCCCAAGCCACCGGCACAAAGGCGAAAAAGCCGGCGAGACACAGGGCACGCGAGGAGGCTCAGGCACCACTGCAACCTGGGACACACATGCACATCACAGAGCATCAGCAAAGGCACCAGGGCACCAAGAGTACCAGAGCACACGGGTACGGGACTTTGAGACGGAGGCAAAGGCAAAAAAAGGCCATCATCTATCTATGCTCTTGCTCATGCTCATGTCCCCGTCGCCTGGGGACTTCTCTTCGTCTGCTTCTCTCTTTTCTCATCCCTATTCCTGTCCCCTCTCCTTCTGGGTCGTCATCCGCATCGAGGCGTTTGAACTCCTCCGCATACCTCCTACGCTGCGTGTCTGGCTGGGTTGAGTCACTGGGAAGAAGAGAGGAGAACCACGAAGCTCTCCTGCCTTACCCCCCCGGCGGCCCTCCAAACAACTTCCTTGTTCGAGCCCGCACTTGGCATCTCGACGGACGAGCCCGGAACTATTTCAGCCACCCGAGCCCATTCCTAGCCGGCTTAGGGTGAATCTCTCGGCCTGTTCGTTCACGGATTCATTCTTGTTGATCATTGCAGCCAGCGGGCAGAAGACAGAACTGCCGGCTTGTTTTCTCACAATTAACTGGTCCTCCCATTCTTTCTTGGTATCCCACTCCAACTCCAACTCCAAACCCTGTCCTCTCCTTGATGCTGGCTGGAGCTTGCCGGAACCGGAGCCAGAACCTCGACCAGAACTTCAGCGCAGGACCAAAACCAGAGCCCATCGCCGTGGTCCCCGCCCGTCGGTGGTGGAGGAGGAGTCTGGCTTACAATTATCGGTATTCGGTCCAGCACTCTCTAGTTCCAGCAACAGGGCCGGACCCCACTAAATTTGGAGAGAGGAGGCAACGGTGAGAGGCAGACGGGCGGAAGGGACTCGGCCCAATAATAATATTTTTTTTTCCTTCCGACTACGTACATACAATTTTCGTCTTCCAGCCAGGGCCCTCCTCTGGCACCAGGAGCTGTCTCGCGCGCCCGGCCGCCCCCATTCCCAACTCTGCGCTGGCCCGACAGGACCCTCTCGGGATCTGGATCTGGACCTGGTTCAGAGAAGCCCACCGTCTGCCACGGTCGAACCCCATACCCAAGAAGTTGCCCCAAGGCGCAGAGCCCCAAAACTCGCACGGCACTGGACCGCTCCGCACCGCAACGCACCGCACCGCTCCGCATCCTGAGGGACTGCCGCCAGCCAAAAATTCAGCAACCTGCCGCCCTCGCCCTCCCTCCCTTCCGCCTTCTCCAGACCGCCATCCGCACACCCGATCCTCGCCCCGAGACTGACGACGACCGAGCCCTCCACCCATCATGGCGCCCCAAAAGGGTGGTCAGGCCACGAAGCAGAAGCAGCAGCACCAGCAGCACCAGCAACAACAGGGCGGCAACGGCAACGGCAACGGCAGAAAGGCCGTTCCTAACGCTGCTGCTGCTGCTCCCGCTGTCGCCGCTGCCTCTGCTGCTAGACCTGCCGTCGTTGTGCCTGCCATTCCTCTGCCGCTGATGCAGCGCCAGGCCAGCAGTAAGAGCAAGCCGCAGACGCAACAGCACCAGCAACCGGCGCCGCAGTCACAGTCGCAGTCACAGTCGCAGTCACAGTCGCACGCCGCCAAGAGACACGACCCGAAGCAAACGACACCGCTTGTCGTCTCCTCCAACAACAACACTGCCCCCGCTGCCTCCCTCGAAGCTGCTCTCATCGACCAGCAGTCCTCCGCCGCCCCCGAGGACCCGGCCATGGCCCGTCAGAGGAGGCGTCCTAAGAAGCCTGACCTCGCCGGCTCTCGTGTGGAGAAGCCCGGATCGACGGCCACCACAACCACCAACGGCACATCCAGGACCAGCAGTCGCAGTAGGCACGCCGGCAACCCCAAGAAGCATCACGACGGCCGCCATTCGGCCGCCAATGCCGCCGGTCCCGCCCTTCGCAATGCCGGCGCCCCTCCCACCCCCCAGGCCACCAACGGCCTTACCAATGGCAGACCTCACATCACATTTGGCGACAAGAATTCCGCCCAAGACCCTACTACCACCTCGTCGTCTTCGCGGCAGGTCTCGACTGCTCCTTCTGTCGCCGGTGACGTCGAGTCCTCTCTGGGCCTGACGTCGCCGTCGGCCTCCGCCCACGGTCTCCATTCCGGTAAATATACCCACCCTCCGCTCACATGGTCTTCGTTTACTCGTTCGCTATTGCTATCATCGTTTCCTGCTGTTCTGGGAGCTAACATTCTGCCCGCCGTAGCTTCAGATGTCGCACCTGCCTCTGCCTTGGCTTCACAGTCCCAGCCTGGCCTCGTGGGGCCCGTCGAAGACGCCGCTACCCCGTTCCCTGATGTCCAACCGAATGGCAACCACGCGCCAGTCTTCCCTGCGCCCAACTCGGCCGGCCTTCATGCTCCGCAGTTCATGGGCCCTAACGGGGTTGGAATCATGTTTGGCGGCGCCAGAACCCCGGACTCGCACACTCCGTCCCCCGCCTCGGGCGCATTCATGCCCCCGCCACCTCCTCGGCCCATCGTCAATGGTGTCAACGGTGTCAACGGCGAGAGCCATGGTTATGGTCCTATCAACGGCCATCACCCGCACCACGGCCACTCTGAGAGCAACAGCACTAACTTTGCGGTCCCCATCACGCCCTACCGCCCTGGTCCAGACCATGTCACTACCATGGAGTCATATGGCCCCATTCCGGCTCCCGTCCCCGTGCATCGAGGACCTATGGATGGCTACGCGCCAAACGGCGTTCACTACGAGCCTCCCACACCCCACAGCTTCCACGGGTCTCATGCCTCGGGTGATTTCAACGGTCTTGATAATGTCGGGCCTTTCCATGCTAATGGCCGTGGCTTTGAGCACGACCATCGCAACGGCTACGCTCCTCAGAACCATGGCCATGGCCACGGCCACGGCCCCGCCGGGCCTCACATGCAAGCCTTTGTCCCTCCCCACCAGCATTTCGGCCGCCGCCCGGAACTGGAACTGGAGCCGGAGCTCATGGACAGCATCCTGTACTTCCAGAGCCAGTTCGACTCAAGTGAGTTGGCTGACTGTACCCTGGAACTCAAGTTCCCGGACAGCTACACTCATACTGCAAAGGTCCACTCCCACAAGCTTATCCTGGCCCGCAGCCCCGCGTTGAAGAACTATATCATGGCCGCGAGAGCCGCCGATCCGGGGTCCCACGTCTTGACTCTCAATGCCACGGACCCCTATCTCAGATCCGATGCTTGGTTCGCCGCAGTTCAGCGCTTATATCTCCACCCTCTCTTCACCATCCCGCCCTCGATGGCCAATGGCTCAGACTTCGCTGGCAGTAACATTGACCAGTTCCGTTTCTGCCTTGGGTACGCCGCCGCCGGCCACCTGCTTGGTATGAACGACGTCCTCGTTCAGGGGTTGCACCTGGCCGCCAATATGATCAACTGGCACAATGTAGAGGAGGCCCTTAGCTTTACCTTTGAGGGCGCAACGCAGCATCACTGGGTTGGCGACGACGGCACGGACTACTTTGACATCGATTTCGCCTACGGCCGCGAGACTAGGATTCTCATGATGGCTATTACGAGTTTCCTTGTGAACTGTTTCCCATCCAACTTCGAGCTCGACACGTCGGTCGTTGATGCTCCTAGTTACTCTCGACTGCCCCCCGTCGTTGCTACCACAGCTGCGACAGGCAACTCCGCTCCTGCCATCGCCCGTGGCACCTCACATCGCAAGCCGACCAAGACCGGCCGGTTCTCTACGATCAAGTTCGGCGACTTGCCCACGGCTTATCCCGAAGAGGAGGCTGGGGCCACACCGCGTCGGCCGGCCAAGTGCTCTCCCCTCCTATCTCGCATCCTCTTGAACATACCTTTCGATGACCTCCGTTTCATCCTAGCGTCTGAGAGCAATGGCTCCTCGGCATGGAATACTGCCCAGGACCGCTACCATGCGCTGGTCGATGTCATTGCGGAGCGAGAGGCCAGACGTCTGCGCGCCGTTGATGTGGTACGCGCTGGTGTTGTTCCTGGCTACAAGGAGATCCAGCAGCGTCTCTCCGCTGAGCGACGCCACAGTGCCGTGGACCATTGGGACGTCTTGAACTGGCAGGAGGAGATTGTGCAGCCAACCGGCGCCGGTGTCCCTTGTGTCATCCGCAAGTGGATCCCGCAGTTCTCGGCACCTACAGAACGCGAGCCGGAACAGCCTGTCTATGAGCCGACACGCGTGGAGTCCATGGTTTAGGATCCGAGGGGAGATAAGATCTCGCAATTTTTATGACGTGATGACAGCTACCGGACGGGACGATGGAAGAGCAGAAACAGAGACGAAGGTGTGATTTTGCGATTCTGCATTGCATTTGCGACAGCATTACGGCTCTTGGGCATTCTTCGGTTTTCTTCGACATCGTGTGATTGAGCTTGCCTTGGGGACTCAAACTCTGGTTTTTACGGCGGCATTGCGTTGGGTGTTCATTGGTGTCCTTGATTCACTTCCCTGAACATCTCTCCCGAGAGACGCCCTGTGACCGCGTCGTGGCAGATGCCATGCGGGCGAGAAGCATCGCGTTCCCGTCTGCCTTGGCAAGCCACTGTAAGCAAGGTTCACAAAGGACGGTTGGTGCCACTGCACTCTGAATGACCAGGGTGCGGACATGGCAATGCAAGGAAAGGAAAAGTTTTTTTTAGATGCACTGGTCAAGGGTGGAAGAAAAAGTCTGCAAACACAATACCCCATTTATGATTGTAACGGATTGGCAGGCGAGTTGTACGATCTGGTCTGGCTAATGCCCATGACCCGATCTGCTTTTGCGAGTTTCTTGGCCAAGTGGGAAGCTTTGGTGCCTTTCGGCCATTTACAGCTACTTGTCACTTGAAACGATAATTTGAGTTGGGGGCGTTGGACTTTCGACGCATCATGATAGATGACATTCGGTATGAAGAAGAGGAGATGCGTCATGCCAGCTGCGGCTGCGGGCGTATCTGGACAGGCATGTTTGTGCTGCCTCAACCAGAGATTATCGAATAGTTCGAGAGCAGTGAGGATTACAGGTAGAAGCTTACTAAATCAAAAGCACTTGGAAATCCAATGTTCCTCTGGCCCAGTTCTATCTGGTGCGTGAAGAGCTCTGAATCAGTCATCATTATAACGCTACTTCGTATCCAAGGTTCTTTATCCATCCCAGCATCATTCATGACATTTCACCAGCATCATCGGTACTAATGCATTCAATCTCAGCCCAGTGCCAGCTTTAGATGTAAGAATGTTCCATTTTGTCCTCGCCTTAGCGCGCGGCGTCCTTATCCTCGTCCTCGTCCTCGCCATGCACGACTGCCTCGTCCCTCCCACTTTTCTCACACCCACAGCCCTCGCGCAGCTCGCCGTCCAACGCCTGCGGCACGCCCTCCAGCAGCACCGCCACCTGATTCAGGATCCAGTAGGCCTTGTCGGCAGCGGCAGGGTCCGCGACCTCATGGAATGGGTCCGCCCGCGCCCGCGCCACCTCCTGCAGACTCTCCACCACCGTATCGTGCAGCGACGCCGCCCTGGCCCTCACATGCTCGAATAGCGTCGGGATCGTGTGCCCGGTCCCGAAGCGAAACGAGGCCGCGTCGCTGTCGGCCGGCACTGACTGCCGCGCCGTGATGCACGGCAGGAGCGGGCCGCTGGGCCCGAAGTTGCTGACCCGCGTGTTGCGGGCTTGCTCTGGTGCGCTGCTGATCTGTGCCTCGACGCGCGAAGGGGTGTTCTTGTGGTTCGGCGTGGACTGGGCCCATCTTTTGTCGGGCTTCACACCAAAGTCATCTCCGCCACATTGATATCGTAAGAGATGCGCGCGGCGCGGGTTTGCCGGCTGGTCACCCATCCCTGCGTCAGTCGACGTATGGGGGTTATCTCTGGATATGACGAGGCGCCGAGCCGAGGTCAATGTGACAATGCTCTCGGCGTTGGGAGATCTGGGGCCGGAAGTGGCGCTTCTGCTATCGATCTTGCGGCGACCTCGTGGCACGCCGGGACTGCCGCCACTGATGATGACATGGTCGGTGCTCTTGTTGGGGGTGGTTGGCTCCATGATATTGACCCTCTCTGGATGAACAGCTTGGGCATTTCTTTTTCTTCGTCAAATTCCACTGTACCTGCGTCTCTATCGGGACGGGTTTTCTGTTCCAGGCGAAAGAGAAGCTGAGGTGTTCCAGAAACGCGTGAAGATAGGATCCGTAGCCAACTTTCTAGGTCGGAAGCTCCTTCATATATATTATCAATCAAATTCAGCCAGAGAAGACCTGAGGAAAATGTTGCACTTTGCATTCGATGCACCTGGGCATCCAGGCCATAGCGACCTGAGACAAAGGGGATATTATGGCTATGAACACCTGCACTCTCATAAGTCGGGCACCATTCAACTAAGGCAACGGGCCGGGAGTAGGTTTCCAATCCTTGGTAAACGGCTTCTCCCCACCATCTACCATAGAAGTAGAATTGTAGGCTGGCGGCTGGTCGAACGCCGGTGGGCCTTGTGTTGTGATTCTCTCAGCGAATGTGACGGCCTCGGCCATCTCAATCACGTCCACTGTTCCTTCTGTCCAGGCCCGGTGCGCCCGCATGACGCCCTCGCGGTTCGGCAACATGGCGTCCAGCCGCTCTCCTCGAGTGCGTTCCTGTACCTCACTCGGAGTTAGGACAGCGACGGGGATCACACCCTTGATGGTTCGCTTCTTCCCGGCGCAGAGAATGGTGAGCTTGTATTTGAGCTGGTGGACGTGCGACACGTGGTTCGTAGTGAAGGAAGGGAAGACAGGCTTCACAGTCTTGGTCCATATATTAGGGGTGCCGTCGCGTGAGGAGATCCTCAGTCCCAGCATGCTGCCCAGGTCCAGCGATTCTACCTGCTCACCCTGACCCTGTGGGGCATTGAAGGGGATTCTGACTGTTGAATTGGTAGTTCCAACTTTGCCGTCAGCGTCACCGCCGCTCCAATGCGCCATGGTCCAGTTTCGGACGGAGGCGTCCTGCCAGCGGCCCTCCTTCGCCCCCGTCACGTGCCTGCTACGGCCCTCAAGATCGTTAACATGTGTCGCGGCCTGGAGGGTGACTTTGGCTCCCTCCAGCAGCAGCTCGGGTGGCTTGTCCACCAGGGCCGGCGACGTCGTCCGCGCCGGGTGCCGGGCCACCTCGGCGCGCACGCGCAGGTGGATCGGCGCCGGGTGCTCGAGCTGGACCACGGACGCGGCCTCGACGTGGAGGCGGTAGCCGAACTGCGGCAGCGTGTCGCGCTTGAAGATGCTCGCCATGTGCTGCGAGAACGACAGCGGCTTGTCCCCCTGCGCGGGATCCAGCCGCAGCGTCTTGACCGGATCCGGCTCGTGGAACATCAGCCGCGGCGCCGGGTCCCGCACGGGCTCCGTCGTCGCCCGCGGCCGCACGTAGAGCGGGAAGGTCGCCGTGGGCAGGGGGTTGCTGTGCCGCTGCTGCTGGTGCGTCCAAGGCGCTGGCGTGGCGGGGCAGATCGAGGCTTCCAGCAGGTGCTCGACGTAGATGTAGTCACGCTCCTCGCTGACCCTAATGCTCTCCGATGGGCGGTAGAAGGTCGGCGGCAGGTTGGGCCGTCCATCGTAGAACTGGTCCGGCAACTGGATGGTGAATGGCCAGGTGCTGATGCCCGGCGGCGCGGGCCCCGTGAAGACGGGTTGTGTGAACTACGCGAGTTCGTAAGTAAATGCATAGGTAGGCTGGGTCCGTGGTAGTTGGGACAGAGATCTGCGACTTACGTCATAAAGAGTCCGGTCTCCTTTATAGTGCCATTTTGAACTCTTCCCGTCGCTATTCGAAGATTCCTCTGTAACCTGTTTGCGGATTGGTCGTCAGTGCCCGCTCATACTGTCCACTACGGAAGGGTGACCTACTTGCGTTTTGATTCTCACGACCAGTTTCAGTACCACCGATACGGTTTCTGCAGCGTCGGTGGCATTGACCTTCTTCACAACGCCTTGGACAATGTCGCCTGGGACATAGCCGAGTTTTAAATCCGGAATTTCGATGCTAGCATGTATAGAATTGTTGATGCCAGTCGGCCGGATACTCTTGCGATATTCATGCATAGCATTGTTGATGTTGATCATGCTGATAGCTCCCTCCACACGGTTTGATCTGGTTGGCTGCCTCTTGGCAAACTAGCCCCGGATTTGCGCTTGCAGGCGTCACTAGTTGGACTTTGGCTGGGAACGTACTTGAGTTACTGGAGATACGGGCAACTGGAAGCAGTCCAAGCCGGAAAGACAAACTTCGTTAGTTAGATCGAGGTATTTGAATCAGAGAGACTTTGAAGCGGAATGCCATTGTGTCTCCCATTTATTTGAGCTTCGACGGCGCCCGGCAGTGCGCGCGGGTCTCGTATGTAGGGCTGGCCAAGCACCTGGCTGTTGAGGCTGTGCAGGGTCAGGTGAGGCTGTCTAGTGAGATTCACTGCCTCTCCAAAGGATTCCGAGTTGCACTCGCTAAGAGGTAGCTATCTTTGATGGTGTACGTGTAACTTGGCATCAATTGACTTCTTTATAGTCACGGCAACTCCATTATCGAATACTTTGCAGCCTTAAACGTGGGACGGGATCCGCCGCAGGTAATGGCCTCCTGGGCCATTTCTAGAGAAGCCAGTGCATGGCTCTGGCTGCGAAACTACTGCCGGAAGTAATGCAGACATGCTTTTCTTCAATACTTATCTATGAGTCTGCTGCCCTTCGAGTATTGGCTGCTCTCTCACGCGCTACTCCCTAGGTTTCAAGGTTGCTGTTGGCTTCAGAGTCGAGTCGAACGGGTCAGAAGAAACTCCGCCACCACCAGACACCATACGTGCCAAGCTCTCGTCAACAGACTACCCAACGACTCGAACATTTACGAATGCTCATGTGAACGTACATACGGGTTAACACTTGTAGTATACCGCACCGGAGCTCAATCCCGGATGCACTGCGTCTAGACTAATAAAAAAAATAAACCTCCCCCCCCCCCTCAAGATGCGGCCCCTCTGCAACGGCCGTTGCGTGCGATGGCATTTAATTGCGTGCTCCCCACCGCGTCCGGAGCTCGCAGCCTGCCCGGATAGCTTTCGGGAATGAGAGAGAGCACCAATGGTAGAGAATTGTTAACAAGCGATACTTGCACCCCAAGGCAGACTAATCGTGATAGTAATGATTTTTTTGCCATTGTCGATTTGTTGAGCCACCGGTCATGGGATTATTGTCTATATACGAATCATCATGGCGAGGGGACAAGGAGGCCGAGCGCAGTTACCAATGGCATATATCGGAGAGCTGCAGTATGCGTTCCGTTTCCAAGGGTCCACTGATATTCGCCGATAACCTCTTGCTTCCTGTGTGGCCGCCGCGAGCGACGCTATGCGTGATTGAAGCAGATCTGGCGTCATCCAGAGAAACATGCCTTGTCCAAGTGCGATGTCGGTTTCCCACATGCGATGGGCCCTACATAATGAACGTCGCTCCCATCTTGGTGTTTCGCTGAGGGTAAGTTATAACCATTGCCGTCGCGCATTTGGAACATATGGAGAGTTTTCGCAATGGTGCCCAAGAATCGTCGAGTAGCAGTCATTGGAGCTGGCCCTGCTGGAGCCATTGCGACTGATGCACTCGTCAAGGAGGAAGCCTTCGACACAATACGCGTCTTTGATCGACATGCGGCAATCGGTGGGACGTGGATACACACACCACATCTTCCAGCAGCCATACCGTCTCTGAGAGACGTCTTGGCCGGAAATACCGACGCTGCAATCCCCATTCCGGCTCAACTTCCCGCCGTGACCGCTGTATCGGAACAAGTCAATGGACACCAACACCGATTCTCAGATACGGCAATCCATCAGAATCTTCACAGCAATATCACTCCTGAGATCATGTCTTTCAGCAAAGAACCCTTTCCCGACACCCTCTCAGAACACACTCTATCTGAGTACGGCCGCGGGGCTCCGTTCAGGCATCATACAACCATCAGGGACTGGGTGGAGGGGATCTTTGGCCGAAATGGCTACGACAAGCTTGTGGAGCTGAATACTACTGTCGAGAGAGCCGAGAAGATTGGTGGAGAGTGGGTTCTCACACTGAGGAAAGAGAAGCAAGGCAGGAACTACTGGTGGCGGGAGCACTTTGACGGCTTGGTTGTGGCAACAGGTCATTACAATGTGCCATGGTTTCCCCAGATCGATGGGCTTCTGGATTGGGATACCAAGTTCCCGGGTAGCATCGTGCACAGCAAGCATTTCCGAGGGCCAGAAAGGTTCAAGGGCAAGGTACGTTGCGCATATGCTGATGCCGAAGCCGACTGACAAGGCGTTAGCGTGTGATTGTTGTGGGTGCATCTGTCTCCTCGCATGAAGTCATACACGAGATACTGGATGCGGTCAAGGCCCCTGTGTACTCGGCTATCCGGGGGGACCCGATCCCAGCCTTTGGATGGGAGCCATTCCTGCACCCCAAGATCGAGCTGAGGAAGCAGATCACTCAGCTGGATGCTGCGAACGGCCGCGTGCACTTCTCGGACGGGTCAATCCTTGATCATGTCGATCACATCATATTTGGGACTGGTTATACGTTTAGTGTGCCATTCCTGCCAGAAGTTCAAAACGGCATCAGAAATGCGTATCGAAGACTGCCAGGGGTGTGGCAGCATACATGGAATATCGAGGATCCAACTTTGACCTTCGTTGGAATGGTGCGCAAACACTTCATCTAGACTGCGTAAGAACCAGAACCTATGCTAACATGACGCAGCTCGGAGGTGGCTTCACCTTTCGTGTATATGAATACCAAGCGGTAGCGGTAGCGCGTCACCTTGCCGGGAGGGCCAAGGCTTTGCCGCCAATCCCGGATCAGCTTGAGTGGGAACGCAAACGGGTGGCAGAAAAGAAAGGCGGCAAGGACTATTACTCCATAGCTCCGAACTATGATGCGTTCTTCGGGTTGCTACGAGATATTGCTGGAGAGCCTGCACCGGGGACTACGGGCCGCAAGCTAGAGCCATTCAACCCAGAGTGGATGAAGGTATGGGCAGCCATGGTGGCTCCCAAGATCCAGGGATGGCAGCGAAAACGGAAGAGGGCCGAGGAGGAACTTGGACCAGTGAGGGCCAAGCTTTGAAACGTCCCCCTTGGGTTCCCAATTCACCTGCCCCGAGACAGTCGCAGTATGCGGTAGCTTTGGACGCATCGTACCCAGACATATATCTCCCACTGTGCTCATGTATACACCTCGCCTTTTAGCACTAATTTAGCTTTGTATCGTGAGAAGAACATGTGGCAGAAGATTGCAGCAATATCTACCCATCCGATAGCTACACTTTGGCTGCGCGCCCAAATGTCGACAAGGCATCATGTTTAATAACCAAAACTTCCTGTTATAAACTTGCAGCATACCCCCCTCAGCAGTTGCCTGGATCAATGCATGTGGTACTTAATGTTCTGATTTCCTTTCCACCGCATCGGGGGGAAGACAATACCTCTCGGAGGTCAATATTGGCCCCCATTGCCTGCTACTCCCATTAACCTCCACTTCGGAAGTCAGCCCCAAATCTTCGAACCGTCATTCCCACACCGCGAGCCAGCCTCAGTGGCCTCTACGCAGCCATTCGATCTTCACCATGGAGGTGCCAAAGACTTTGTTGGACTCTCTGCCAGGCGAGCTTGTTCGAATGATATTCCAGAACTTGGTGCCTGGAAAATCCCAAACAGGCTGCGCGCTACCAGATTATCCAAAAGAGTTCGGTAGGGACAGACAGAAAACGTAGGCCATGGCGAGCCTTTGTCTCACATCCAGGAGGCTGTCTGAGTGCGCAATGCCAATGCTTTACAACACTGTCGCCGTACAGCCAAGCCGTTGTGCCAAAGGCAACAAACTTGCGCTATTTCTCCGCACGCTCCTCGAGAATCCCGACATTCGCAGACAGGTTAAGAAATTCGCATGCTTCGTGCGCTTGATTGTGGGAGAAACGCCCAAGGGGTGCAAGTGCGATGATGGCTTCTTCATCTTCGGAGAGTTTGGATATTTGTCCAGCTATTTTCCGCGCCCCAAATCTTACAAGGCTTAGTATCAGATTTTATCCTACGGACTAGAGGGCCAAGCTCTCACAAGGACTGCAGGAGATAACACTAGAAGACGGTGTTTACAGCCGCAAACTCATCTCCACGATCTGTGATCTTCAAGATATCCAGAACCTGGATCTCGAGGCCTTCGCTCCGGATGCATACTGCCCTGCTCCTCTCAAGGACGACTATCTCAACAGCAACCTTAGTCGGCTCCGGTATACACCTCGCAGGCTGAGTCTTCACAATGATGACGACATTCGCTATCGAGATGATTTTGGTCCTCTGTCTAGGTTACATGGTCTGGCGGAACTCACAATACTGGAGCATCTAACTGTCAAGCTATTTTGCTTGGCCGGCCATATCTCAAACCTGAACGAGACAGATCTAGAGCTTACACTTCCAAAAAGTATTGTCTCACTAAACCTTACGATGAATGGTACTACTGACGGGTGAAAATAAGTTCCTACAAGGAACAACTATTCGGGCTGATGATACGGTTCTCCACCAGATGCCGAGCCAGATGCACAAAAATACAGTCCATACTCTGGACATCAAAGATGGATGAGGATGGCACGTGCGTGATTAGAGATTCTTTCCTCAGCGATTTGGCCAACCGCTACGAGAAATTGGCATCGGGTTCGCGTTCATGGACGAGAAGCGTTATGAAATGATAGATGACTAGTTTGGTTGTCTTTGCAATGGTTTTTCGGGCTTTGATGTGTGTCGAAAGGTGTTTCAAGATATGGTCTTTTTACGTCACAGAGACTTGAGGCGTATCATTTCACTTGAAGGAATAAAGTGGTCCGGTTTTTCCAAAGGTTGATTGCTCTCTATCAGGCACTTGCTCAGACACGGCGTTTGCTTAACTACGAATTAAACAAATGAAGAAGAAAAAACACGTACAGTGATGACCCAGTTTGGTGAATGCACCCTAATCTTCAGAATCCAAGCAGTTTCATTCTAATGAGCCCATACTAAGTTTGCTTGTAACCGGATTGCACGGGCCAGCATACAGTCAGTCTTAGGTCCGACGATCATCGTCGAATAACATTTTTGCTCTAGTAGCCTGTCTTCAGTGAATTGTGTCGAACAAGGGTATTTCCTGACGAAAAGAGGGCCTCATAACATGAAGCCCTTACAGAAGTCCGTTTCCACCTTTATGTTTCCCAGTCCTCCCGGCCCAATGATAGAACAGCCCTTCCCAGAAGCTCTCCACTGTGCATACGAGTGAAGATGTCCTTCAGCTCGGATGGCCTATGAATGGTGATTTTTGGCTTCACAATCCCTCGCGCCGCCATATCTAGCACCTCAATAGCTTCCTTTCGGTTCCCCACCGAGGAGCCCGTAACTGTGAGCTGACCTACGATGAGTCGATTGGCGCTACAGTTTTCGATTGGAACCTGTTCTCCGGGGGTGACACCGACTGCCACAAGTGTGCCGTGAAATTTCAAGAATTCAATCGCTTGTGCATACGCCGCGTTTGCAGCAGTGACGACCAAGACCGCAGCAGCACCTCCCCCCGTGATCCTCTTGACCTCCTCGGCCATGGCTTGGTTGCCTTCGGCCCCGCGAGGAAACCGGTCCAGGGGCAGAAACTCCTCGGCTCCACATTCGCGGGCGAGTGTCTCCTTTTCTGCAGAGTCGATGCCCAGGATTCTGAGTCCCATCCCACGGCTCCCGATTTCGCAAGCCAGAGATCCCAGGCCACCTCCGGCTCCAGAGATCACCACCCACTCGCCAGCCTTGGCCCGGGATTTCTGGAATGCCGAATAGACGGTGACGCCGCCGCAGAGCATTGGTGCAGCCAGCTCTGACGCTAACCCGTCGGGAATGGGTGTCACGTAGTTTGCTGGGGCCAGTACATACTCCTGGAATGTCCCAGGGACTGAGTAGCCCGAAATAGTAGGCGTAAAGCATGAGCCTTCGAGTCCAGTCATACAAGCTGGACAGTGCAGACAGGCCGAGGCGAGCCACTTGACACCCACTCGGTCACCGACTTTGACTCTTCCGTCCTCGAGACCCGGCCCCAACTGAACAACTTCACCCACCCCCTCATGCCCACCGACCTGATCATTGCGGCCAAGATCCGGCAGCCACTGCCACGCGTTTGTCATGACAGCAAAATCTGAGTGGCAAACGCCTGAATGGCTGAGTCTTAAGAGCACTTGGCCACTTCCTGGCGTTGGGGTGGAGACTTTGGCGACTTTCAACGACACCGTGCCCGGACTATCATAGACCATAGCATTGTGTGTCGGCGAAGTATACATTGTGACTAGAGTAGTGTCAACTGCTAACGGTTTGTCTATCAGAAGCAATACAGCACAGCAGGTTGACACGCACAAAATTCAACTCGTCGAGACTGAGCGCGATGATGTAGTGGAGCTCATCCCTCTACCCCACCAATTGGTGCAGGTATTCTGAGGTCATCTAAGTTCGTTAGTGCGGCGTGTCACAGGATGCAGCGCACATGATTGGTTGAAGCATGGCGCGGAGTATGTTACACAACGTGGAAACGATCTTGGAGGTTTGCTCCACACAACTCGCAATCACCATATCACTTGGTACACTACATTTTGGTTCGCGCTAATGTTGGAAATCTATGCCTCGGTAAATTACAAATACGGAATTCTTTTTCCATTCTCGGCGCCCATCAGTCAAAGTTGATTCGCCACAGTTCACGATCGCATCCGGCTGTAAAGTCACTTCTCGTATGCATTGCCAAAACGTTGTCACTGACCAACAAGTCGCCCTTTTCCCATGCGTGATAGTAAGCGACTCGCCGATCATGTAGGAGCTCTGTTAGGGCATCGCAGACTTCTGTACTGCTGTGGTCTTCACCTGCATTCTCGATATCGACATTGGTGGCCTCGAAGCTCGTCTTTGATTGTGGCCAAGGCTCGTGGAAACGAAGACATGGACGGCCGGTCTCTGGGTGGTTGACAACCAGAGGCAGGCCGCGGAGGACTGTAGCGTCGAAAGACGACGTTGAGACCGACCACGTCAGGTTGCGTAGATAGTCAAGCGGAAGATTTTGAGGAAGATATCTGAACATCATGCTCGAGGACGAAAATAATGTGAAGCCTGTGTCCTTTGGTGAAGTGGTGACCGAGGTGAAGAACTGGAACCTTCGCATAAAGTTAGCAATGATTCCGCGGCAGTCTCGATTGAAGCATCCCAAATGGCTTACTTTGGAGGTGTCGAAACTAGTATCTCATTGCCGCTCTCGTCTTTTCTCTTCTCGGTCTTGAACAGCCCATCGTAGTGGTACGGCATCCACTCAGCGGACAGGACATTGTTCAAACCGCGCGTCTCTGATCCACGGTCTTTTACCTCGAGCACCAAACCGAACTTCCATCCGGTTGGAACTCCAAGACCGTGAGACATATTGATGAAGAGATCTCTGTCTCTTGTTTTCTTGAAACCGCGAAGAATCACGGGAGAGTTGTTCTCCGCAAGGGCTCTAACCTTGCTTGTCTCGATGTCTTCGATCGACAAGCTCCCAGGCACGGCGGGCCGGATCATCAGGCCGGCTGGATAAATTGGCTCACAGGTAATGCCACCAAGATGCTCAGCAAAGGAGAAAATCTCAGACTTTTCTCTGAAGTAGCTTGGACGTCCGTCCTCGTAGACGAGCTCAAAGTTCTCGTCTTGAGCAAACGTGGCCCAGTGTCCGGTGGTTGTAGTACCGTCCAAGCGGAAGGCTATCGTAGAGTGCCAAGGTGTCGTGAAAGAAGTATCTGTTGGCAAGAGACCGACGGAGAGCTTGCTCTCGCCCGTCGAGGGATGGATGGAGAGTCTGAGTCTGTTGCCATAGATTTCTCTCACTGCTCTGGCAAAGGCCTGTTGGCGACGGTTAGCACAGAGTATGCCTCAGAGCAGGCACAGAAAACTCACATCTCCTCTCTTCAGCATTTGCTTCGCTACATATTCAACGCCCTTCTTATATTGTGACTTGCTTCGTCCTTCGCCCACTGGATACACGTCTTGAAGATCGGTGCTTAGGAACTTGATGTATCCTCTATATGTCATGCATGTGTCTTCATCCTCGCCGATTTTGAGTGTTGAATCAAAGTCCGGGTTTCCAAAACGTGTCACGAGAGCCAGTCGGAAGTTGGTGGCGTTGCAGACGTAAGTGATCTGGTCAAGTTTCTCAGGCACACTGATGTTGACCAGATCTTTAAGGCGAGAGAATTCAATGTTCTTCAACTCCTTTCTCGAGGCAAGCTGTCGCAGAGCCTCGCCATAAGCCCAGACATCTCTGTCTGGTACTCCGAGCAGATCTATATATGTTAGCACTATCATCACGGAATAATTTTATACAGAGGTGCGCTACCATTGTATACCAGTCCATCCGAGATGATCATCAACTTTGCACCGGGACTGTAGATATCCCCGATAGCGTTGCAAAGTCCGTTGAGATGCGCTAGGGCGAACTCCTCAGCCTTGTCAGGCAAGCGTCCTAGGACCTTTGAACTGGTGTTTGGTGACTTGAAAGGAAACGCGGGAAGGCACATCAAGATTGGCTCTTCAGCAGCAACCTTGTTGTAAACCTCGTGTAGAAACTTGGATGATCCATCTTGTGTCTTTGTAACTGAACCGCTATGTGACAACTCATATCGTCCTATGATGGCCAGGACTCTTTTGGCAGTTTGGATATGAGTTTTATTCAGGTCGGTAATAGAGTTGGGAGAGTCGGTATCGTAGGATACGGGTGAAAGCCCAGTATCCGAAACGCCTTCAACTGTAATGCCAGGCATGGTTGGACTTGTCTTGTAAGAATAGCAACAATGAAGGGATAACTATCTTGGTAGAAGAATGATACTTCAACAAATTTTTGCGTGATGAAATGTGCATTTGTATTTCAACTCTCGTAGGCAACTCCAGGTGGCAATGGCATGCATGTGGCCAGGCCCTGATAATGGCATGCAGCATTCTGAAAATGTCAGTGCAAGGATTTAGGACCCGAGGCAGGCTGAGCTGCACAACGGACTTCCGTCACGGGTTATAGCTCGGCAAATGAACGATACGCAACCTGTTTCAGGGCGAAGTTGAATTCGCCGTGTTCCGTCATGTTTACTTCCGTCTTTAGACATGGTGGATCACCAGCCCCTTGACAACACATCAAAACTCGTAACGATAACAATCATGCGACAAGATGCTAAGGGACTATATTTACCCGGATACTATCGGGCCTTCAGTCCAGGTTTTCGATGTTATTTTACCAATTTGGCTTGATAATCAAGACTTTTTTGCTTGTTTCCTCCCAGGTGGCATGGTGACTGCTAACCCTTGCAAGCCCAGATCGACTAGAGCCAGAAAACGAAGGTGACTTAGGTTACATCTGGCACCAACATTCTTAAATGCAATGCATGTAACGTAAGTGGGTAGGATTTCTCTGATGGATACGATGTTGTATGTCGGGAATGATCGCACTCTACTGGGAGTCAGCCTAAAGGCTTTGCTGAATGGAAGCACAAGCACTGGGCTGGATATGAGTGATTAACTGGCTCGATATGAAAGGGACACCCACGTCGCCTGACTTGTTACCGAACTCGACAAATATATCAACAATCCATGCACAAGTGTTATCTCTGGTTTCTCTGACTCAGTTGCTGAGGCATGTTTCCGCCGGGATTAATGCGCTTGCAATTAATGGGAAGCTCCGTATCGGTTGATTTCTTGGCAGTCCTTGACAACCCGATCTGGCCAGGGGGCATTGCGGCCGTTTGACTTGTTCGGGATGCAAATGAGAATACGGCATCGATCCACCATTGCCATTGCCCGCCGAAACCCTTGTCCGGCGTCCGGAGGGGCGCAGTTGACCCGTCGGCCAGACCGGCTACAGTGGGTCAGCGACCAATCGTCCGGGTCTAGAGCTGATCCTACTGTACTTCAAGCAATTGGCCCAGATATTCTAATGCAGGAGCTTCGCGGCATGGTGTGGGCCATCAACTCATGATAGAACCACTTAGTCCAGGGTCCAGTTCTTGCCTCTCGCCATCGGATGTAACAAATGTTCTCAGAATTCACCCGGTCTTCCTGCGTAGCCCGAAAGAGAGCACAAGGTACTAAAGGGGCTGCATAATTGGATTGTGGCAACGAAATACACTCCAACTCCATGTCCCTCTCAGGAATATCACTAGTGACACAAAATCAGAGTAACACAGCACTTAAAGTCAAGACGTTGTCTCACAGCCATTTGGTTGGTGACTTCTCACTCTGTTCATCTCAGCTACCATATTCACTACAAAGTTCAGTCTTCCAAAACCATGGGCAGCATATCACCAGCCATGAATGGCAACGAGGAAGTGGATTTGGTGGTAATTGGAGGTGTGTTGTCTCATAAAAATGATCACGAATTGTAACTAACGACAACAGGTGGTCCAACCGGCCTGCTCTCCGCAGTTCTTGCTCGCCATATGGGCTTGTCTGTGGCCATAATTGGTAAGGCTTTTTGTTTGTGGCATGAGAGGTAGTTCTAACAAACAGGTAGATGAGAAATCGGGGCCGTTGAAACTGGGGCGTGCAGATGCACTGAATGCTCGCACACAGCAGTATCTTGAGGTTGTAGGAATCCTTGACGAGCTTCGGTCGAAAGGAATTGAGTGCAACAGTGAGTTTTTTCCTCGTCCTTGATGAAGCCCCCTAGCTCACTATGCAAAGCGAGCTCGACCTTCGCCGAGGGAGAATTCAAGTCTCGACAGAGTAAGTGGTGGACGAGTCTGGAGCACTGCCTACACCGCAATTTTCTCATGATCGGCCAACCCGATGTCGAGGCCGCCCTTCTCAAGAAGTTAGACACCCCGGTCAGCTACGGTGAACAGGCCATCTCGATCTCTGAAGATGAAGAGAGTGCCGTGATAACGACCAACCGAGGGAGGACCCTCCGCGGCAAGTATGCCATTGGAGCTGACGGCGCTCGTTCGATGGTTCGGGCTGCCCTGGACATAACTTTCACTGGTACCAAGCCGGAAATGGTCTGGTCAGTGTTGGACACCTTCATCGACACGGACTTCCCCGTTTGCTCAGAGATTGTGACGTTTCAGTTGAATGGCCAGTCCCGAGTATCGTGGATCCCGCGAGAGCGAGGCATGGCGCGTTTCTACGTGCTTCTGGACGGGGAGATCACACAAGACAAGGCCGAAAACTCGATCAGAGAACATCTGGCTCCTCATCGGGTGACGTTCCTGAAAACGGAATGGTTCAGCACCTTTGAAGGTAGGGGATGCACCCCTGACGTTTATCCAAACGTCGCCCCCAAAGCGGATCTGCTAACAAAAGTCTAAAGTCAAAGAACGAATTGCATCCACCTTTGTGTCCAAAAGAGGAACGGGCCGTGTGGTGCTAGCAGGGGATGCTGCCCATGTCCATTCGGTCAATGGGGGCCAGGGTCTCAACACTGGCATTGCCGACGCCTTTGGTCTTGGTTGGCGCATTGCCCTGGCAGTACGTCACGCAAAGCTGAGCCCACAGGGCGCGAGTCAATTGGTCCAGAGCTACGACACGGAGAGGCGGGCGGTCGCGGGAGATGTCATCGGCGTGGCCGCGAAACTGGTCAGGGACACGATACGCACGGCCAAAGAGTATGTGGGAACGATTGAGAAGAACGCTGGCTACATCACAGGTAAGTCGTTGGACGCATGGCCCCATCCCATTCTCTACTTATGTCTCATTTCGGTCTGCTATGCATGGAAAGTTAACGAAGGCCGTCGCATTTAGGGATGGGCGTCGCCTACGATGGGACGGGGTCCGCACTGATATCGGAATCGGAAGTTGGCATATGGAAGGCGGGGAAAAGGTGTCCCGATTTCAGTCTCTTAGGGTCGGAATCCGGAGAACCCCAGCGCCTTTACTCGATCGTTCCATACGGCCAATTCTTGATCCTTTCAATCGGAAGCCGGCAAGACCACCGCCAGCCTCGCGAGGAGTTGCCAACTACTCATCTGACGATTCTGCCGAGTGTTGCAGGCGGCGTTCAGTCGGCTACCGGGGGAACTTCTTCGACTTACGAAGCGGACATAGTCACGTCAGCGGAACCGTTCAAGGTGGTCGTGCGACCGGATATGTACATAGGCTATGTGGGCAACGAGGCAGGTGTCAACGAGTACATGGATAGCATTCTTAGCCTCAGCTAACTGGAGGTACTGTACCCTCGTGGAGGCACGCCATTGCCAAGGGAAAAGCCATCAGGCGTTGCGGGACTGCTGGGTTAACTTACAACCTCAGACCTGGGTAACATGGGGCGAGCGTGGATACAGGATCGGCCAGAAACGGGGCACCCTAGTAACAGCGGAATCAATCTAACTCGGCGTTTTTGTGTATCATACGTAGGATTGGTGTGACATTGCATCCGTATGGCCATATTCTTGCATGGCTTCGTGCCCCAGGCTGGTCAAGACACCGTTGTCAAAACTGCAGTTTTTTTTCGGCCGAGGCAAATGGACCTGAGTGGGACCCGCACCCCTGGGCCCTGGACCCCCTACCCGGCCTACTTCCTAAACAAATGACTTGCAGAACAGATACCCTTGTCGCGCCGATCGGCAAATCTGCAGGCTGGACTATGCATGAGGAAGAAAACCCGACTTTTCCATGAGCGCCACGCGTAACGGCTGATGCATCTCTGACCACCGGTACTTTCAACGACTAACATGACTCAAGAGGCCGTTCCTATCTTGATTGACGACAGTCAACTGCAAGGGTTATTCGAACTTCGCCTCTGACGCCAGCTTAGATACCAGTCCAGCCGCAGTCCAGCGCAGTCTTTGCGCGCGAGGAAGCCCGTCGACTCAAGAGAACATAGAACGAAGGCTGGCAATGGGAGAAGACAAAGAAGCACGCCTGGTCACACCAGCGCCGGTAATTCCAAATGCAAATGCGTCACCGCGCGTAATACCAGATTCCGGGGTGCAGGCCTGGCTGCAGGTACTTGGTGCTTTTTGTATTTACTTCAATACATGGGGTAGGAGTTCCGTACCCGTCTCTGTATGTTGTTATGAACTGACCAGCCAAGGCCTGCTGTCTAGTTTTGGAAGCTTCCAAGCATTCTATGAGACGGACTTGCTAGAATCGTACACGCACTTTCAGATATCCACCATTGGCTCTCTTCAGAGTTTTCTGCTGGTTTTCTTGGGATTCCTGGCCGGGCCGATCTACGATGCTGGCTATTGCAGACATATGCTGTTCTTCGGCTCGCTATTGATCGTCGTTGGGACAATCTGCCAGAGCTTCTGTACTGAGCTCTGGCAGCTGTTGCTCGCGCAGGGTCTATGCATAGGTGTTGGGTGCGGATGTTTGGCAATCCTCAGTGTCGCTATACCTTCATTGTGGTTCGCCAAGAAGCTTCCTCTTGCAAATGGCATCGCTGCGACTGGGAGCGGCCTTGGTGGGTGAGCAATAGCCCTCCCCAGGAAAGACTCTTGAGACTCATCACTAATGTGAAACGTCCAGAGTCATATTCCCTATCATAATTCGCAACGCACTGCCAACGGTGGGCTTTGGCTGGACTGTTCGTGTGATAGCCCTTGTTGCACTGGTACTCTTGGGTGCTGCAAACCTTGTCGTCCGCGTCCCTGAATCTCCGAGGCAACGACGTCGTCTAGTTGATCGCGCCTCGCTAAGCGATTGGCCGTACGTACTGTTCGTTTTAGGCTGCTTCACCGTTTTCTTGGGCATGTACACGCCCTTCTTCTACGTTCAGAGCTTTGCCATTCAGTCTGGCATAACCTCGCAAAATGTAGCCTTTTATATTGTCACTGCCATGAACCTTGCTTCAATCCCCGGCCGCATCATTCCCGCTCTCCTAGCGCAACGTTTAGGCCCTTTGAACATGATCATCGCAGCAAGTATTGCTCTTGCTGCGACTGGTCTTGGGTTCCTTGGGACCAAGAATGTTATTAGCGTCTATGCGGTGGCTATCGTCTACGGCTTCTTCACTGGCGCGTTCTTCGCATTGCAGCCTACAAACTTCGTACAACTTACGTCGGACATGCAAATTCTGGGAACCCGTTTTGGCATGGCTTTCACCGTCATGTCAGTTGCACTACTTTTCGGACCTTCAATCAGCGGTGCTCTACAAGATGCTTATGGATACTACGCCTCCTGGGTCTGGGTTGCAGTGACGATACTAGCAGGAGGGCTCATCATTGGTGCTGCGAGTGTTATGAAAACTCGAAAGGATAGAGGTGGCAAGTAAGAGTTCAGGGTAAAGCCTGCCTAGGCCCCATAGTACTGCGGAAAATAGTGGACGTGCAGCAGTGCTCTAGATGTTGATTGAGAGACTATGTATATACCTAACGGTACTAAAATTGCATGGAAATCTGGCGTATGGCTACACCTGTAGGAGAGACAATGTAGAATATACATCATCCAAGGCAAAATCCCTGGGCCGCATAAGAGGCATGCTATCAAATCGATTTACTCACATTGAACCCTACATATTTCAAAATTTGGACAAATATCCATTCTCGCATGAACTGGTAACCGAACTCATGTTATGCGTGGTTGTTACACATTCTGGTGTGCCCGCTCGACACTCGTTCTGATTTATGTGAATGATTTGCCGTCAGCAAATTGGGGGCGTGTGTTTTACCTACTCCACTGCACAGCTCCACCAACATGGATAAAATGCTAGGGGATCGTTTCTGTTATGCTAATGTTGCCATTTTTTTTAAATGCAGAGCCTCGTTTAAAGTTGAGTTGTTGACAACTTTAGCAATTTTCGGAATAGCTCTTGTTCTACAATCATTCCACAGTTTTACCCCTAAATTTGGTACACTGAAGTGGGCGTTCTGATAAAGAAAAAGTTACACTCATCTCGACACCAATCCCGGTATCTTGAGGCAATGGCTGAGTCCTTGTTATGCGATGAGTCCTTCATTGAGTACCATCAAATACCTCTCTTGAGACATAGTGCCGGACTAAGTGATAGGCATTGTCGGTTCCCAGCATGATCTAGCATAAGTATATACGGCAACGCTGGGATCAACATACGCAATATTGAGTGAATGGATCCCCGGCGACCAGGGAGCATGACGGCTTCGATCCGCCAACACAGTCGAATTGGGTACAATCATCGCTGCTGTTACATATTGTCTGCAGCGGCGGTGTATTCACTACCTTTGGGCTGGTAGCGGTGGACGTAGCGGTTGATGTGTTGACTGTTGGCGATGGCTCCGTCGGTTTTTTGGTGGTATGAGAAATCCTCGTTTGAGGGCAACCAGTCACGGTGGACGCGCCGTCCGCCCAACTTGTAACTCTATGAAATGAGTTGTCATTACAAGTACACTTTTGACATAGAATCAGTAAGTCTTTAGATATGTTGGTTTCATATGTATGGATTTTATGAGCGACTTGTTCACCGAAAGTGTCTTCTTTTACACAGTGGTCTTGTCTTCCGAATTTGTCGAAATAGATGTAAGTCTATAAAGGGGTACTTACATAAGGTCCAACGGTTGTATGGGTATCGGTGAGGCTCTCAATGCGACAAGACGTAATGGCGCCTCCCTTTGAAGCGGTCACCGATGGCGATATGGTGGTGGTTGGTAAGGTGGTGTATGCGCATGGCGAAGATGGTGTGCCAATGGTGGTGTAGAGCCGTTGCGTACCGTCGCTGTCGCACACGCACCACGAGGCTGGTGTAGCCTGTGGCTTGCCATCGAAGTCATTTCTATGGCTTTGGATGGAGCAAGACGGTACGGCAGCACCGAGCAGGCCGTGGTTCGCATCAATAGATGCAAGAATCTTCTGCTACAGTTCCCACCAATCCTGGTCAGCCTGTTGGGGAGCCGCATTTACCCCGACAAGTAAACAGGGACAATCTTTGTAGGGCTCCACTGTGCATATACGGGTGTCATGAGGCCCTTTGCAATCTGCGTTATCGCAGAGTGGAGAGTCTAAAGGATGTGTATTAGCTTTTGTTATCACTACTTATACCTCTTCGTTGAATAAGGATATCCGATCTCTCTTCAATTATTTGAAATTCTTACCTTTGTTCTTCTTCTCCGTCCCAGGAGGACAAGTATTTTTATTGGGCCCATCAGTTGAGGGTGAGCCAACACCAGTCGCGGGTATGTTGACTGCGCCCAGCGGGTTATCCCCGTTGCCCGTCGTGCCAATAGCTATGGCAGCCATGATGGCGCTTAAAATAATGATCGCTTTCTTCTTTCGTGCCTGGTTCATCAAGACAGCTATCGCACCTTTCAGGACACTCGAAGCATTTTCGGCAACGTCAGCTCCGATGAAACTGGTTTGACACCAATCTGACCCGATGAGGTTGGGTCTATTGCGTTAGTCACGCGAGTTGGTGCAGCGTCTGGGCAGGCGTGGTCCTCGCACCATCGGGAACTGCGTTTGTGGCGGCCACGGCAGCAAGAATAGCAGCGACCCACGTAATAACCGGTGCCATTGCGTATCCTCAATGGAAAAATTTCGACGCTAGAGGGGTATGCGTGTGAAGTTTGAAAGTGATTTGAAAAATCTAAGAGAGAAATACAACGCAGAATTAATCCAAGTTTGTCGAGAAGTTATATCTCAGCTCAATCTTATGTCAAAACGGCTGCCGCTACAATGAAGTGAGAACAAGGCAATTTTCGAGGATTTGGATCTTCAAGATGATTATTAGATTCATATACGATTGTTACATGTTTTCGAAATTCTTTGTCGTCTTTTCAGTTTTGCTAGTTCCTCTTGACTGGTTTTCAGAAAAGGTGCCCAGCCACATCCTATGACGTCGGGTCTCCGGTGTAACATATCAACTGAGTGCATTCTTATGCATGGATGTATCGGACGGGAGAAGACTCAGAGAGCGATCATATTACGATGATGTATTCTGCACATCGCATCATTTCACTTTGCAGCTATTCTTAGTTGCTTTTTCAATAACATGGCAGAGTTTCTTGTTGGTTCTCTTCCTGAGAGGCAAGTGACTCTGATCCTTCAGCCAATTATAGATGCGATCGGCGTTGTGGGATGTGTCGCTGCAACTGGGAACCAACAATTTCAAGGGAATAGATCCGTCATTATCGATGGTTCCTGTTCTTCGTGTTTCTATTTAACACATTACAAGCGCTTGAACGCTCTCGGGTGTTTTGACGCTCAGCTTGGCTCGCCGGTACTTAATTTATCTCTTGATCTCCGATGTGCGTGTTGGTCCAAAATCATTGGAACCATCCGCAATAAACAAATTATTTGCATCTTTGTACGTTTCATGCACCATGAGATCTCTTTGGATAGGCATGGTGCTATGCGCTACAATATCTTTCGGGGGCCTTACGAAAGGCTATCTCATCGACCCAGAATCGTGCGGGGGTAATTGCACCCCTTTTTTCATATGTACACACACGGATTAATTTGCGATAGCCGATTTTCAGTTTGTTAAAGATATGGTAGAGCAGACTTTCACTATGGCTGAGCTGGCTTCAGCGGCTGTCAAGGTTGAGCCGATGGACGATTACACCACAAATTTGCTACATTGGCTGTTCAACGCCCAGGGTAGTGAGGCAAAACAGGTGGTTGAAAGTGAGTCTTGAGCCCCCCATAGTCCTTGATTCTGACTAATAAGCCTCCCCAGCGGCTTTTGATCCCACCATGTCAGCCAAAGGTGCCTCTGGTGTCCTTTCAATGAAGGAAGAGAAGACAGGAAACATTCTGGGCCTCGACCATAGCGAGTCGGTCATATTCTGCAATACAGATCGTCTCCAGCGTAGGCAAGGAGATCCAGGTCATTTGTACGACAGCAAGATGGAGGAAGCGGTCGACAACACTGATGATTGCGACCTTGCTAACTTTATGGTGACGACAAGATTTAACGATAAACCGGATGTCTTACAGATATTTCCGTGGTTTTGCTGTACGCAAAAGCGAAAAGATACGGCACAAACCCTAGTATCAAACCGTTGCGTACCTGGCTGGCCATTAAGGGACTCGACCGACTGATCACCAAAGTGCTCTACACGCCCATTGATCTGGTAAGTCTATGGGATAAGTGCATGCTCCACGAGATGATGCACACAAAATCCGGTAATTCTAAGATAGACGTTCAAGAGAGAAAGGGGTACGGGTGGAAGAAATGCAGGAAGAGATCAGCGGATCGAGATGCCTACCGGAACGCCGACTCATTTGCACTTCTCGGCAGTGCGTTGTACTGGGGCAGTCAAGGCAGTCCAATTGACGAGAATAGTGCTTTCATCGCATCTCCGGCATCTAAGAGGTGGTTAGGGTCAGGCCCCGGGCGAGGGTTAGATGCTGTCAAGTTGGAGGATGTCAAACAATTCCTGTAAGATGATGGATGCTTGACGCGTAAAATTCGCAAGTAACCATTGCTATGCTTCAAAGATGAAGTGTAGATCGGTGCTAGGCTGATCGAAATCTTTATGATGAATATCTGGGTTGGATTGCTAAGTGAGCAGTTGCACTGCGGCAATTAGGTCAAGCCTACCTTTGATAGTCTCCCCGCCTAACTACCCATCCTTTCAATATATCCTCCGCGGCTATGCCCTGCGTTTCGCTTCGTACCCAGGAGACATCCGATTCACCGTGTCCTCCATCCTTCAATACAGTGCTAAGCGGCATCAAGATCTCCGACTCCTGCTCTCGCCATTCACGCGTGTAGCCAAATGGCACATGCAATCCCACATACAAACTCTGCAAGCTCTCTAGTTTTCTTATTGCATCCCAGGTTTTTACCCATGCCGTATAATTGCGCCGATTTCTTTTATCTTCACCGAACCATCCTCCTAACCGATTCGTCGTTATCGGTGGTACAGTCAATAAGCGCTCGTGAAAAGTCAGTCGTTTGATGAAAGGAGCCCCCCCAGTGGCGGCCAATAGTCGCATGGCTTCTGGCCCGACTACAGAAAAGGTATTGACACCATACAGCACCGGAAGCGCCTCAGTGTAGGCTCGAGTGCAGGTTAATACTAGACTTAAAAGGCGGGCAGCATGCACGACAAGGACTTGTGGCCGGGTGTCTCCGGGTCTTTGCAGGTTTAGAACGCGCTTGTTCCTAGGCCCATTGACGACGAGGGGTATTGGTGGACACTGAAGAGCGAGACTAAAGATTTGAAGACGCAACTCGGTTGGAAGAATGGCAAAAAGCGCAGACTGAGTTTGAGGATCCAATGAATGGAGATGGTGGTGCTCCATACCGGACTAGCCGATTTTGAACCAACAGTTATGTTATGATATGACTATGACCTCACAAGTTTTCAGACTTTCTTTTTACAGAAACAACGGCGAACAAGAGTGGCCCTCAGTTATGAACTTAAATACATCGGCAACGTCGAATTATCATTATTTGGTCACAGTTTCTTTGATTATACTGTTATACGTGCTGGAAGGCATTTTGCCGAAATTCCCGGTTTTCATTTTTCGTTGCGAATAACTCGCCGATTACCTTTAGTATCATCCTTATTAGGAATCTTAGGAGTCGCGAATCCTGAACTCTAAAACCCAATGTATTGCCATGCAGATACGTTTAGGATCGTACTCCTTGAGTTGACACAGCACTGGAGCTATCGAAGCCTAAGGCTATTCAATTTGAAGACATGACCGCTCCAAAATCTGTTTTCACTCTTTCATCCCACGTGACGATCGAGTTGATTTGAGACACATACATCCCTGTTTCCGTTCAATATTTCCTTTTATATGGATTACAGTTGGCAATAACGGCTTCGCGGTTTAGGCAAGGAATATGCACTCATGGCTGTTCTGAATTTCTTTCGTCTAATTAAAATATGAATGGCGCTTTTTCAAAACGTTGCCCCTGCGAATCCAGTCAAATGAAGACTCTTCGGAGCTAGTCTTTTATGCTCCCAGGTCCTGAGACCATGCCAGGTCGATGATGTGTGTAAACTTGGGAGGGAGTGATAAGGTGACTGGAGACCTCCCACCTTCTTCGCAAATGTGCCCAGATGCAAACCCATTTAACGCAACTTCAAACCACTTGCGATACACTAATTGCCCACCTGGCCACTAGTCGCTTGCGGCAGCCTGGCATTTCACACCGCGTATGGCCATCCTTGCGCCTCATGATTGGATCCTCCTCCTGGATATGAGATTGGCAGATCCAAACGGGAGACTGCTGACGCCGGAAGAGCTGTGCGAGGGCTGCGTTGCAAATATATACATCCAAATTACATCAGGAAGGCCTTTCAGCAACGCAGGTAGAATCCCTCTGCGTTTGATGCACGTGGAAATGGGTAACGTAATTAATTACGTGCCTGTTCAAATGCACATATTAGTTGTTGCAACCATGGACAGATAGCAATAGCTGTAGATCGACGGTTCATTCATCATTTATGGCGGTCATTGAACGCGGGCTACACTACTTTTCAAGACACCTCCATGAGCTAGGCAAATAATGCATTGTGATACCCTTGCCACGATCCTGGACTGAGCTAACCTAACTACCGTTAAAACTCAGAAGATTCGCCCATTAGCTCACGGACCATGTACCACATAATGAAATGGAGAGAACTTCTCACTATCCATAAAATGGTCTCTATTCCCCTCGCTATTGCCGGCCTTCCCATACCAATAAGTACTGGTAGAAAAACGAGGGACCCGCAGGGTCACTCAATGTCCTGGCGCCATTGAGAATCGAACTCAATACAGTATTTAACCCTCTCCTAACCAGCTCTGATCAGTGCATTTTGCTTCTATGTATGGGAGCTGGTCCGTGAGCTATTGGGCGAATCTTCTGAGTCTCAACGGTACTGGCGTAGCCGTGAAATGAGGATCCCAACTGAGCGAGTCATGATTGACGCCGGCACAGGGGATGCTGGAGTCTGGACCCGCCCCGTGCAGGGGCCCTGGCCCACTCGGGCTGCTACAGACTCCTTGTTTGATTTTCATTGCCAATCGCGCCATGCTTGTCAAGAAGGTCTGCATTTGACGAATTGCTTTTATGCCTTCCCTCGTGTGCTGCTCTGTATACGTGGACTGCCTGTTGTAAGCTGGGCTGGCTACAGGAGCCTTTTTGTAAGCAGATCCGCAGGCCATTTGGCCTGCTGTGGGGCGATGCGACTTCGGCGGCCTCGTTCCGCGCTCATTGCCGGTGCAATTTTGGCCATCACGCTGCTCTACCTGCATCAGTCCTCGGGTTCATGGACGCCATTGGCATCTGCGGTACCTGCTGTCAGACTTTGCCCAGAGCCGCCGTTGCTTGAAGATATCCTCGTTGTGCTCCGGACCGGTGCGACGGAGGCGCTTGAGAAGCTGCCAAACCATTTCGATACTACGCTCACTTGCGTCCCAGACTATGTCATCTACTCAGATGCGGAGGAGTATATTAAGGGTCACCATACATACGATGTTCTCAACGAAGTCAACGAGGCTGTCAAGCGTGAGGCGCCTGAATTCAAGCTCTATGAACAGTTGCGCACCAATGGAAGAGCTGGCTTGAATTATGAGACCATTTTCGGAAGTGGGCCTACAGGCGCCTTGGAGAATCCGGGCTGGAAGCTGGACAAATGGAAGTTCCTGCCCATGGTCCGCAGGGCGCTCCTACATAGACCTACCGCCAAGTGGTTCGTCTTCGTGGAATCGGACACATACATGCTGTGGCAGAACGTGGTCGAGTACCTGTCCAAGTTCAATTCAAGCGAGGCTCATTACCTTGGCAAGCATATGTACATTGGGAGTGTACTATTTGCTCACGGAGGCTCCGGCTTCATTCTATCAAATCCAGCTGCGGCAAAGGTAGCAGCGCACTGGAAAAGCCACGAGGATGAATACGATCGGTACACGCTCGGGGAGTGGGCTGGCGACATGGTCTTGGGGAAGGTCCTCAAAGATGTCAACATTGACCTGTTCTGGGCATTCCCTCATTTGCAAGGAGACAGCCTCACGACGATAGACTGGAACGTCTCGAAGGTGGATCGCCAACCCTGGTGCTACGCCCCACTGACATTTCATCACATGAACAAAGCTGAGTTTGGCTCCTTGTGGGAATTCGAACAATTCTGGCTCCGTCGAAATACCGCTGTACCAAAGTTCCGTGATATTTTCAAGGCCATTATACTTCCGCGGCTCCGACCGGATCTCGGCGAATGGGATAATATCTCTGGTGGGATCGAGTACAGTGATGAGGCGACAGCCAAGCTCTCGGATGAAAAGAAGAGGGCACTCTCGATGGTTGAAAGAAAAGCACAGACATCCTTTGACAGCTGCCGAGAGGCATGCGAGAGTACAGCTTTATGTATTCAATTCTCGCATGCGCCGGGCAAGTGTCTCATATCGAGTGAGTTGCGGTTAGGAAACGCTGCGGACTCCCAGTGCTTGGAATATTCGAGGGCAGCAGGAAGGTGCATCAGGACGACGGCGGCGAACAATGGTGATAGCTCAGTATCCAGCGCCGTCGTGCGGTCTGGTTGGATCATGAGCAGAGTCTCACAATATGTGGATGAGCTGGATCAATCATGCACTGGTCCAGAAGAGGACTACTGGGTCACATAAAGATTCGATCGCGTTAGGATGGCTTTATATGCAAACCACCATCGTATATAACCACGTTTAGCCGTAAAATCCCCAATGTGAATACTACAACGGTTGAAAAGGTAGATGAACTAATAAGTGGCCATGCCAAAAGCCGTAAACCGGTTTTTTATACAAACAACGGGACACCTGGCCGCCATACGGCATGCGGTGTTGTCGTAGCGTACGGGGGCGGTTAAGAACGGCAGGAACCGTAAGCGGTCTGAATTGCGCTAACTTGGGCGCTTCTCTGTATAGAACGGCGGGGTGAGCCCTGCAGTCGTACGGAGATTGTCTCCACACCTGGTGACCGCCTCTTCTTTGAGAGATAACTTTGGGGTTGGCATAGAGCTTTTTGGATTCTTGCATGTACCAGCTACACTGCCCAAGGCTCTATGAGTCAGAGTTAATAGAAGGGTTGGTTCACCCGTTTAGAATGGGTTTGGCTCAAGCTATCGACGATTTCATAGCAGACGCAGGTGACGACCTGGCGTCTATCCAAAACCTCTGCGAAGCACATCGACAGAAACGAAACATAGATTCCCGTCAGAAGCTACTCCAACATGAATTCCATGGAATTCAAGCAGATCAGGTGTTGGCGAACCTTATCTCCGACCCAGAGTATGTCGACATCAGAAATAATCTCTGTGTCTGGGCTCGACCCACACAAGCACTCATTGAGCTGGTCGACTTCATCCAAGGTGAGCTGCAGATGATGGCTCCAGGTTCGTTGCCCTCGTCGATTCGCGGTAACGGCGGTGATGGCTAGAGTCCTGGGCTAACTTTGTGCTGTAGGACTTTGGATCGCTCCAGCATCCTGGCTGCACATGACTGTCGTAGAAATCGTGCATTCTCAGCCAGACGATGTTGTCAAACAGACAGTCATTCAGTTGCTCCAATGTCTTTCAGCACTAGTCAATCTAGTCTTGGAGCATCCTGTTGTCCTCGGTAGGCCGCAGTTGAATTATGACGACGCGACGGTTACCATGACATTCGTTCCTATCGGAGAACGTGAATACACATACCTCCATCTTAGGCGAGACATAGCAAACATGTGCACCGAGCACGGGGTCGAGGTTGGTTCCCGATACTTCACCACCTCGAGTCATATCACGATCGTTCGCTTTGTAGATTCTGCAGGTCTTGAGACGAGAGCGTCCAGAAAGGCTTGGGTGGAAAAAATTGAGGGTCTGAACTCGGAACTAAGAGAAAAGTACTGGCGACGCAATCTTGGAGAAGGGCCATCAAAGGCTGGACAATGGATGATTGGGGCTGAGCGCGGACTGGAAGTTCGTAAAGGGCGGCTTTGGTATGGCGGCGGCGAAACAGTACAGTATGGGAAGGCTGTCAGTACTGATGTACCTTAATAAGCACGAACATAATGATGCCCCGCTGCTGAAGTCTTTCCCGTTTTGGTGCCCTCTTTCCCTGATGCTCAATGCATGCTGCTAGGATGGTGAGCACGCTCACCGGTCACACAGCGGCAGTCATTAGCGACAGTCCGTCATTAGGTTTCCGATATGCAGGCTACTAGATAAGAAATGCAGTGCTATTCTGACCCCGCGCGCCCCCTTCTAGTGGTTTCTTAACGTTCTATCTAGCCTCTTTCCCAATAGGTTTTCAGCGTATATATTAACATTATAAACATGATACTCCAAGTTTACAATCTGACCAATTTAGCTGGGCGAAGCTTACCAGATGACTAGGGTCTACGCTAAGATCCGTATTTCTTACGAACTCTCAGCAATCCTTCGTTCATTGCCATTCTCCCGTCATCTCGATTTGCAACCAGCTCAATGCCACAATCACCATGCTCACGGATGTTCATTGTCGCACTCCAAGTTTTCCGATCCTTTATCCCAGCTCCAGTATTACGGAACTCGTTGGGTTCCCGAGACACGAGAGCCAATGCGACCAACTCGCCCACATCCTTCCAAGCATGACTTGTCCACCCGCCTTTCCACGCCCAGAACAGGAATGTTCCGATGAAATAGCATGTGCACAATCCAGCGTGTACAAAGAGCACGGACACGGCGAACAATACCGTTTGTGACTTCAAGCCATAACCCCAGCCCCATCTTTGAATGGTGAAGCTGATTGGCACGTAGTCGCGTAGGCTTTGCGCCGGTGACTGGAAAGGTTCCATCCTCGAACCTCCAGCAAGAAATTGCAAGTTTACAAGGGTGACGTTCCCGTCTGTCTCGGGTTTAAGCTCCATGAGAGATGAGCCGTGTGACTCCCGTGCAAGACCATCTGTCACAACCATACTGATAATGCCAGCCACAATACTGGATATATTGGTGTAGTAGTCCTGGTTGGTGACATTCTGCGGAGGCGCGAAACCGTAGTATCCATTGCCTTCACCGTCTGAACTGAGCGTAGTAAAAACGTGGAAAAGATTCTGAACGGAACTCATATCTTGGTATATGCTTCCGTTCCTTGTATCAATGTACCCAGGCTTTTTTGCGTCCAGGAACTCGGCCCAGCGTGGTTCAATCGATATTGTTTCGCTTAGCCCTAGTCTCCTTCTTCCATCTGGCTGGCTAGCAGCCGGGTCGAGAAATACCGACAGATCTGTCAAATTGTGTTTGATGACCAGGCTGTTCTTTGGGTCATAGTTCAACTGAGCTGCCGTCCAGCGTGCATCTATCATGCAAGGCACCAGTGTACTTTTTTGAGTGTATGTTTGACTTCCGTTGTCCCATGTCTCGGAATAAACAGAAGGCACAGTTGCAAGGGCCCCGATGGAAGCATGAATTTGGCCATCTTGGGTTGAGAGATGGGAAGCATCGATCCAAGTAAAGTTCAAGACGTTCGTCGGGTGTGCGAAGTTCCAGTATTCCCTTGGGACTTCCCATTTAGACCCTTTCCTGTAATAGTTGGTTGAAGAAAAGTTGCTGAGAAGAGATGTATCGAAGAGCAAATCGCTTTGGCTTTCCCGGGCAGCGTCGTAGTCATAGTTGCTGCATTGCACTTGTACAAGTGGCGCAAGAAGTTTTGATTCATCTGAACTTGTCAGTAGAGGCCGTTCCACGACGCTCATTGTTCCGATTTTGTTCGTGCTGACGTACTGCCAGAACAGGTCTGCCATCGTCGCTGCTGACTGTTTCAAGGTGAGGGCCATTGCTACACCTGGGCTAGATGCCGACGAGCGAGCGAACCGAAAAGCTAGATCCCTCTTGGCTCTCACTAATGAGCCCGACATTGGAATATCGTACACGATCCCTTCCTGAGACCAAGCAATCGCCCATTCTGAGATGCTGTTATAGCCTCCAGCTGGGCAAATAGTAGGCGGGTTTTGTGCATTGCAACTTTCGATCCACGCCTCCGTCATGGCATCGGTTGAGACAGAGAGAGGGTAGCTCTCGTCTAGAGTCAGCCCAATGTAGGACTTGAGGGCGCGTCCGGAGTATGGGTCGCGCATTGGCCACCAATCCAGGTTCGGAATGACTGCAATAGCTGAAGCTGGACCGACCATATTGGCGTAGATGATAGCCAAGGCGAGCCCCAGTGCAAAAATGAAAGGCTTCCACGTGAAAGGGCGCAGGCTTTTCAAGAACGGATAACCAAAGCCACCACTGAAAAGGTACTCTGCAGAACCAACCTGGTATGCACCCACCAGCAGGCCAAAAGGGATGCCATTCTCTCCGACCAACTTCCTCCGAGCGATGTGGATGACCTGGCTGCTCAGGGATGCGACTATGAGAATCTCATGGATCTTGGCGACAAACTGAAGCGCGTTCAGGGTATCCTGCTGGCCAAGTCCTAGCAAGTACCATTTCCGATCCCATTCAGTCTCGTCGGACCAATATACATTTCGAAAGCTCAGCTGCAGGACGGCGCCAGATGCTGCGAGAGCGACGAGGTGGATCAGGTGCCGGAATGGATTGAAATGGCGCCTCAAAGGAGTCTTTGGTTTCTCTACGGCTACTTGAGCGAGAATCGGCGCATTTTCTGGATGCACTGCGTAATATGTGTAGTCCACGTCGTGCTTCGAGGGCAGAGATGAGAACGAATAGTTAGAGTACGTTGTTGGCGTGCGACTCGTGTCCCACTCCATGGCGCGTGCGTAAGTCCGAGGGTATTGCCTATTCAGCCGTGCAGGCGTTGGTCAAGAAGACTTGTTTGGAAGGAGATTGATGGCGGCAGGGTCTCATGATCCTCTTAAAGGACTCGCGGGCGCCGGCACCCTCGCCTGGTCCCTGCCGCCCACTCGGGCAAGCGTGTGACGAGCTGCAGCCAAAGCGGTAGGTACCATGCCTCATATGGATGCTTGTAGGTAGAGCAAAGTTCTCTCATGCATCGCAACATGGTTTGCGCCATGCCGCCCGTATCGGAAGCATGCGCCAATGGGACAGGGCCATGGTGGCTTCATGGTGGCATGCATGGCGCTATTGTCGGAGCTGAAAACTAGAGCCTCAAGCTGAGTGACAGGCACCGCGAACTGCGCGCCCCGAATTCCGACTCAACTAACATAAGAAGAGAGACATGTCATGATATGACGGACGATATGGATGGAAAGAATTGATTAATTAACTAGATAGTGAGCTCGGGCTGGTGAGACGTGGTATAGAATTGTGGCTGAGAAATTGTGGCCGTGCTTTTTCGCGTTTTATTTATTTAATTTCCCTCTTTTCCGTAGAGTTTAATACACCATCGCACTTTTTGCCTTCAATTTACGACCATTCGGTTTGGCGACCGTCGATTCATACGTTTATTTTAGCCACACGGACAATGTATGTTCGATTTGTCGACACTGACGAGGAGGACTGCGTTGGCTGAGGTTGTGTTACTTGGGGAATATGGCCCAGGAGCACCACTCCAGTTCAGTATACTGCGGCTTGTGTATGAATCCGACAATGATGTTTCATGTAGTGTTTCGTGTTGGATATCCAAGGTATGTACTGGTCAACGTGGCGCCTGCACCTGATAGTTCAGTCGACGTTGTAGTTGGGGCGGCAGTGGGTGTCTCCGCAACAGAACCCGTTGGCGCAACCCCAACGTTTATTGCAGCTGTCCCACTGCTGTCCTGGCCTTCAACTGCAACAATCATGTAGTTGTGTGTGCCCAATTTCAAACCGGCGTCAGTCCAAGCCTTGAAGTGGTTGCCAGTCGTGACGGTACCACCGACGCGTTTCGCAGTCCGTATGGACCAGAATTGTGGGAATGTTGCAGTCCCCTGGATACTGGGTTTATTTTTGCGCATCTTGGTCCATATCTCATATTCACCCCCATCACTGGTCATATTTCCTTTGCTGGTTGCTTCTGGGGTATCTGAGGGATTGTGGGTTCCGAATGATTCGATGATATAGTATTCAACCAGCGGGTTGGTGGTCCAGCCGTAAACAGCAAGATACGCGTTTCCATCAGGCTCAAATGTTCCAGAATAATTCACAGCCCTACAACGCCAAATAGTCAGATCTTATGCACTGCCTACGAGAAGATCTTGGGCAGGACGGTACTTGTTGCCACCGGGGTTCCATCCTTTTCCACCAACAAAGTTACCCTTGTCACCAGACCAGTTGACTGTGTATTGTCCATTGGCTCCATTGCTGTATTTGACGGTTGCCTTTCCGTCATTCCAGAAAGATGAGTAGTAGCTTGCAGCCACAGATTTTGGTACGTTCTGTGGTTGCACTGATGCAGCCCCAGCAAATGTTCCACAGAATGCAAAAGCAGCAGAAAGCCAGACGTGGAGAGGAGCCATGGTTGCCGCAACGCAACGAAGTTTGAATGGATGCAAGGGGCCAGTTGGCTGCTTCTTATATAAAATGTATCCTTACAACTGCCGGTGATATTTCCCTTCGGGAGCTCTTTGCTGCTCCCATTGCCCGGGTAAGGGGTAGTATATGGACGCTAAATTTAGTATCGCTCACCACTTTTGACTTTGCCACGTTGCGAGTGTGGTGTGCACAAGGGTGTCCCAACCATGTGCTATGGAGAAAACCCACCTGTCACTTGAGGTGCTGTTGAAAAGCCGAACTGCAAGGCGTGAAATGCCCTCCGGACACACATATGGGTAGACCCTGGGGTTTTCCCGGCGGCTAATCCGGGCTTGGCATCTCCACGCAGCCGCGTATGTACCCCAGAATTTGCTGCATTGCCGGTTATCATTCAATAGAAAGTGGAGGAGGAATAAATGTGGTCAAAGAAACCCACAGTTGATTGACGATATTCTCATGCAGTCTTCGTCCTGCCGAGTTAACATTGGGGGACTTTAATCCCCAAAGACTAGAAGGATTGTAACCGCGGTGAGCAAGTGGAAAGCCGCCATAAAAAAAGAATAGTTGAGGCTTTAGTAAGAGAAGTCATTCTCGTAATATGAGCCCATTATCCATATCTTTTTGACAAGCGGTATTTTTCGTGACCGGTGACCCGAGTTGACACAGATGCAAAGAATATTTCGCCATGAATCTAACTGGGAGCCTACGAAACAGAGTTGGTGCATGTGAGCTGCGTACATTTGCAGGCAACTGAGATTCTGGCACTTTTCGCACATCAGCGTAGCACTTGGGAGAGATTCTACTCCAGGGATCGGTGTGCTGAATCGGCAATGGCACCCACAATTCCACACCCTGAGATGACACCCAAGTCCCAGTCGAACCTCGCTGGACTTGTGCTCAAAGCCCTGTCTCGTTGGGATGCGGGTTATCGATAGACAAAAAGATGGCGAGACGTTGTTTGGTAGCTCCACTGCATCGTCCACTCGTCGCCCACACAAATACGTGCGCCCCAAAATCCCTCGATTCTGCAAAAAATGAAGAACTGATGCTGCCCATGTCAGGGTCGAACTGACGATCTCCCGATTAACAGTCGGACGCCGTAAACCAACTTGGCCAATGGGCATGCAGGGTCTCTGATTGGTTGAAAAGCAGCTTGTTTATTTGTGTACAGCTGACTGCCTCCAGGTGTGGGTACTCAGGGCAGACGCCATCTCCCAGTATGGGTCTGATTACGTACTGCCCACTGAACATTGTCGAAGCACAATAGGACAAGTAGAAGATGCGGCAATCGACTGTGCAGAGGAATTTTAGGAAGAAACCAAGTGCGGGCTGTGTGGATGACACAATACCTGCAGCTACCGGGCGCTCGATTGTCCTGTCCTGCATACCTGCATGTGCGCCGCTGCCATGCCCCCGCCCCCAGCCTACAAGATTCCGTGTTCATTTATGTGAATCAAACAAAGTACTGGTTTCAGAGGCATATTTTTCATGACCAATAATCGTATCATTCAACGTTTTCATAACTGGCAATAAACCAAGGCGAAGGTCTGATTAACTCTGATAATGTTCCTTGCCGCCAATTCTGTACCTGAATCTCGAGGTCGGTTCGCCAGCGCAACCATCAGCCCTATCCTACATTGGCATCTCGCCACGCAAGCTGAGCTGGGCATCGAACACCAAGCCGCGGATGAACACAGCCAATGTCACAAATTTCAGCCTCCCTCTTCGCGAAGAAGCAGCGCTTAACTTCATCTCTTCGTCGCTAAGCTGATGTTTTTCGTATCCTCATCCCACACATAGCGTCCTGGCGCATGCTCTGGCACTGGCAGACTTCTGAATACCAGGCTGTTACCCGGGATCCGTTTGTGTTCCAAAGTGGATGTTTTATTAAAAATTTCTGTTTTAAAACAAAATCTATCATCCGTAGCGTGGTGCTGACCACAGGCCACTGCATACTGGAATGTAACGCTATTCCTTAGGACGAAAGAGAGGTACACCTCGAACAGACACCCAGTAATACAGAGGTTAAAATAAGTGACGGTTATGGAAAGATGATCTGCGATCATGACTGAGACCTGCTTTTCAAACACGGGAGGAACTTTGATAATGCAGGTTAATTGCACGTAATAACGAATGACCGGCCCTTAATCTGGCACTCCTTAACAAGCATATAGTAGTGGCTGTTTCGCTTGAATTATGTATGAAGAGTTTTATGAGAATCTCTTCACTTTCCTCTCTTGCCATGTGCTTGTGCTGTCCAGGCACTATCTTTGTCCGTTTCCGCAAGCCATCGCTCAATATGATAGCCTTGATGATGGTTGGTGAAACAGGATTGGGCATAAGGCTCGGGATCCTCTCTTAGAATATCCCCCTTTTCGCAGCTTTTCTGATGTAAGAACGTGCTCTGTGGCTTAATCAGTCATATTAAACGAAGGGACTAGTAAACCTGGCTTCAACATATGGGTATACCTTCAATGCGGTTTTTGGCACGACACACCATCCACCCGTATGCATGAGCGCATGGTCAGTCGACTTGAATTGGTCTTGCATAACGAAAGATGTTTAATATACGATCCTGTTGACACTGAGAAAGTCCTTCTCTAATACCGGCCCAGACGAAGAAGCATCTGGAAATGTACAGCCATATCATTCTTTATAACCCATCTCGACATCGCCTACATCGCGAGCTGGGTGTAAAACTCGTGAGGGTTCCAAACTTGTGACTTTTTTTACAGGTATACTTTTGCAAATTCCAGATATGGTGCATTATCTGTCTCCTCAACAACTAGGCCACCAAGTGTTTGAAACACCGCTCTAGTCTTCGTCGGCCAATGACCATTCAAGTGCGGCCAGGCTAATCCCAGTCACCTGGACAGAGACTGATTGCGACGCAACATAAGCGGTCGAAGACATTTCCAAACTCCTATTTTGTAGAATGCCAATTCTCGATGCTAGGTACAGTGCTGCTCGCTGCATGTCAGACAGCTCTTTTGTTTCAGGAGCAAGGCAGCGAGAAGCAGATCGTTGCCTGATTTGGTGTTTGTCGTTTGGTTTCAGGGAAGGCTTTGGGCCCCACCCTGACCAATAGGTAGTCAGTCACACATGAAGCGGCAAGTCGGGTCTGTTGAGATCTGACCCGTGATGGGAAAGAGGTAGCTCGGCAGGTAGCTCGGCAGCGAGCTCGGCTGGCTCTACTGCAGATGCTACGTAACTCAGTGGTCCTATCTAAAGTCTTGCTGTAAAATCCTACTGCTATTTGAGCAGTAGTAAGTATCCCTGCTGGTTCAGATGTCGACGCAGCTTGGCAATGCTGGACCTGCATATCCATATAAGTCCGTGGGAGGCACAGTTGCCTGCGAAGCTAGACTACGTTCGGTAGTTGGCATTTCCCAGAGCTCCTGTGTTTCACACAGCCGACCGGCTTCTGGCAGCTTGTCCAAAATCCCATTATATTGGCCAAGTCCGTTCATATTCATTGTTGCAAATTACAAGAAGCTCGTCTCGAACCTGTGATTTTGATCCCAATGAGCCACTGGCCAAATTGAAACTACGGTTATTCTACACTCAGTGGGGTTCCTGGGCATTCTCCCCATCCTCGTCCATCGAATATCACAGCGTGGCAGTCATGGAAGGTGCCGTCCAGTTCAGGTTCGCCGGCACGAAGTTGAAACGTGCAGAGCAGATTGCCTCAACGACCTGGGCCAAGTATGAATTGAAAATTCGAGAAATGCACCCTACAAAGAAATTGGAGGACTTGATGGATGCTATGGAAGAAGAGCATGGCTTCAAAGCAACGTAAGGTCTTATAAACGTGTGATTGTACCCTTATGCGCACTGGAACTCATGAAGTACGGCTTCTAGTCCCAGACAATATAGGCACCAGTTTCGGAAGTGGGGCCTTCGTCGGTATGAACCTAGGGCGGAAGCAAAGATTAACCCAGAGGAAGGCCGTCATCAGCAACACGATGCCGGTGCCATCCAGTGTGACACGGCCCGAATTCTGGAAGACCATAAACAGCAAAGAAAAACACAAAGTACCGATATTATTGTTCACAACAATGAACGAGCACCGTCTCTTCCACGTGTTTCTAAGAAGCAGAAATTTGCTTGCAGCGATGGCGACACCGAAGGCGATACGGAAGACTTCATTAGTCCTGAAACATTTACATGTTGCACTTGGGAGCCTTCCACTGACAGCGACGTCCCCAACCATATGTTCGCCAGTCTCGCCAACCAATTTCAGTCTGATTTGCGTATCGCTCTGAACACGGCAATCAGCTTCAGAGCCTTTCGTCGCTGTGCTATCTCATATCTTCTTCGAGGGGAAAGTGAGCTGAATAAACTGAGATCCATTGCCGATTACCTGGGTGCGATCCTTTGTTTGAAAGAAGCCTGTAATATCTATGCAGTTCTTCTTCAGATAGAGCAGGCTAAGAGTCCAGAGCAGCCTGAAAGCCTCGTGACGCCACTATTGATCGCTTGTGCCCGAACTGCTCAGACCTGGGAGCAGTGCGACCTAGTTCAGGAGGTTTTACTTAAAAGAATGCAGCAGTCACCGAAGCGAGCATATTCCTCGTCGGAGTATGAGATCGCGCACACGCTACTCGCTCGAAGCTTTCACTTGCAGGATAACTCTGCGGGGTCGCAACACCATCTTTTTGAGTCTTGGAGGGCTGCGTACTATAATGAAGACAGAGCCGTCCGCCAACAAACATCGCTACTGTTCGTTGACACACTGATCCACATCCACTATTGGTCACCATCCACAGCTGATGTTGCAGGGATGATTCCCGTCCCTATCCTCTCCCCTTTCCCCACCCAGCCTGGTCAGAATCACGACGAAAACTTAACCGGCCTTGGAATATTCCTCGCAGGGACCACGGGCCGTCTCCTTCGCACTTATCTCCCGTCGTGCATCAATTGGATTTCTGTTGCTATACGTTCTCCTCATGCTGCCCTACAAATAAGTTCGATTCAAGAGCTGGAAAACGGGCAGCAATCTTTCTTGAATGGTCTGTGGTCGGCCAATATTTTGTTTTCCCGTCTTTGGAGACTTCGGCACCGAATCGAAACCTCTCATGTTCGATGGTTGAACATTTGGGATGAGATTGGAATCCCTTCGGCGGAAATATTGCACATATGTTGCGAGTTGGTAGTTGAGGAGGGATTGATTACCTTGAACGCCTCTACGGATGCGCAACTTGGCACTATGTATCTACAGAGGCTGAAGGAGCGGAAATGTATATTTCACGACATACAGAAGCACGACATGAAGCCCAGAAACCTATCCTCAGCTATTCAAGGAATTGAGTCCGACACGAGTAGCCCGTCGAACGCAAGGAATCACTCGTTAGCTCTTCCAAAAACTGATGCCGACACACAGGATTCGTCGAAGCGAAGAAACAACCCCTCAGCTACTCCAGAAGTTGAGCCTGAGACACTTTGTTCGTGCAGACTGCCAACCATGGCATCCTCTCTTCGGTCATCAGACGCGTCTTATAGGAGACTAAAGGAATTGAGGGATACGTTCGCATCAACTGGGGGCCGCATGTCGAACTGGGAGTCATCGAGCAACGAGGCGCCTTCCAGCGGCCTGAGATTCTCTCGCAGTCCTTTCCCATCGCTTATCAGTCAATTGAGTGACCAGATGAATAGGTTTAGCCTTCATCGGTCGAGTCAGGCCAGCAATGGTCTTTAAGAAAGGATCAGTATTGCTCACTCTAAATCACGCCATACATTAAACCCCCCTGGAAGAGCGTGAAGTGGGTAGCTCGTTCATATCATTTAACAAACCTATCAGTTTCTGGCACAAAGCAAAAGGTGAAGCTCCACCCTGTAAGTGTGGTAATCTGGCTTATGTTTTGCGACAATCCCAGTGCCAAGAAGGTTCAGCTTCTACTGAATTTCTGGTGAACTTCAACAGTCTGGTACGGACGGACGGAGCTAAGGCCACTGGCATAAATATCATCCGACACATACTCACTAAAGACAACGTGAGCTGCCTAGCTGGTGCATTGCACATCTGCGAGAGTATTTCGATGTCTAACTGTTGCGGTCAAAGGGATTTTAACGAAGATGCGAAGCTGGCATGGTACCAAGTCTAACTAAAAGCGAAAGGTATCCAGTCAAGCACAAAGGATGGGGGCAATGGCCTTTCTACAGGCGTTATGTTATACTATCAATCAGACAATTGTATGTAATTTTTGGACCTCGTTCTAGTATTTCCTTCAGATGCAGGCTTCCAAGTGTGAGAAGTGAATGAGTGTTGGCATGGCTGACGGATCTCTCGTCCCCGCTAGTCACAGCACCTTTGGTCCCCCATCAGTGGGCCAGTGGGCCACTAAACCCAACCACCCAAGGCCTGCACTAGACTGACTTGGTCGCTTATTCGCCAGTAGACTCGCCCAGAGACACTGCCCACACAGGTGGACTGCAGCCCGTACCGAGTCCGTCTTCTCCATCTTCACGCGTCATCTGTGATTCCGATACGAGGTATGAATGTACGTTTGCTGGTATGTAAGGTTCGGGAGTTGGAAGCTCACATGCAGCAGCACACCCGATTTGAAATAGATGGAGATCCTCACCCCGTCGGACTATGAGTCTGGCAACAAGAGGCGGGCCCGACGTAGTGGCCGACCTTGCGATGCTTGTCGAAAGAAGAAGACCCGCTGCGTGACGAAGGATGGGGATCCGAGATGCATCCATTGCCAGTTGCGAAGGTCTCAGTGCACCTTCAACCACGAACCCCCAGATCGGCCGTCCAACCCTTCGAATCAAGTTGAAGAGTCTTCTTCTTCTTCTTTGCTGTCGGCGGATATCAACCACCAAGCGCCTGACATTGCCTCTCCAGCCCAGAGGCCACTGTCTGGCTCGGCCCACGCTCGGCTGCAGTCACCCATCGGGCCAAATTCGACGCCGGATGCTTCAGCACTAGGTCTTGCCCAGTCGCGATTCGCGGAACTGTACGGCCTGGGAAGCGACATGGAACCAATCCTTATGGTATGCTTCTTCGTTTCCAGCGCCGTCCAGAGGTATATCTGACTTGGCCCTTAGCGCCATCGGCCATATGATCCTGTCACGCATGAGTTCAGCCTCGAGACCCATGCCATCAGGCGGGTGCTCGAACGAGATGGGGGTTTGGTCGAGTACCCGCTCACCTTTCACATGGTCTCCGACGAGAATGCCGTGGATTTCGAAGGTGAAGCCGCCCGCGCTGATGCCATTGAGGCGTGCATCGGACCTCATGGCCCACGGCTCGTAGAGCTGTTCTGGCGACATGTTCAGCCTTGCTACCCCCTGCTTCACAAGGACATCTTCATGGACAACTATAATGCGTCTTATAGACGAGTTTCCGCTGCACTCCTTGGCGCGGTATACTTATCCGCCCTACGGTGGTGGTCCTACGACCCCATGCTGTCCATTCGGGCATTGCCAGACTCATCATTACTACGCCACCTTTTGAAGCAGGCCCTTGCGTCCTCGTACCACCGGCCCAAACTCTCTTCGATACAAGCCGCTTTGTTGCTCTTGCAATGCCAGCCTGAGGATCCCCTCAATCCCGATCATACTTACGCCTGGGGTTTGACATGCCAGGTGCTGGCTATCGGGCAATGCCTGGGCCTCCATCTTGACGCCAGTAGTTGGTCAATACCAAATTGGGAGAAGAATCTGAGGAAGCGCCTGAGTTGGGCGCTCTATATGCAAGATCGTTGGACTGCACTGGCCTATGGCCGCCCAGTTCACATTCATCATGATGACTGGACAGTCCGAGAGTTGGAGAACCTGGATTTCGCGGATTGCGACAGTTCAACCTCCGATGATGACCGACGGTCGATAAGTGCGACTGGAAAGACACAATTTATCCACATGGTCCGACTCACCCAACTGCTCTCCTCTGTCCTCTCGTCTTTTTACACCGCTCGGATGTGCTTCGATCAGGATACCGTCCTACTCTATCAAAGATCTCAGGAGCTCTTGAGGCAACTACAGTTGTGGTATGCGAGTATCCCCGCCTCATTGCAGATGGACGTGAGTTACGAGCGGAAACTATGCTTCCATGGTATGTGTTCGCCGCCGAGATCAGGCTTTAGCAGGGACTGATTCAGTCCAGGTTATCTCCACTTCTCGTTTTATGGAGTCATGATGGCTCTCCTCCGTCGGCTCATACGATCTACAGCGCTGCCTCCACGTTGCGCTGATGACGCAATTCTTTCAAACATTCGCCAGACTGCTCTGCAGACAGCACAAAACGCAATAAGCTTTGCCAGGAATCTGCGATCAGACCAGCTAGAGGCATTTTGGTACTTTAGTAGGTTTTGCTGGCGACAACAGTCTTCTTCGATAATGCTTACATACGTCAGCTTCCCCTTACCTCTTCTCCCTGGTGGGATCTTTCACCACCTTACTGCTCGTCACCTCTCTTTCTTCCCAGGAGCGGAGTTTCTGGCAAGAGACCCTGAATTCATACTTGTGGCATCTACGCACGATGAGTAAAAGCAGTGAACCTATGAAATACGCCGTTAACCGTTTAGAAGGTGGGGTCTCCATCTGTGGACCATCCGGGTCGAACTGAATGCTCAAAGCTAACGTAGCCCAGGCGCTATTCTAAGAGGTCTTGAGCATGCGCTCGCCGTCAACCTTATTGAGCCCAGCGACGATACTGTCAGCCCTATGATGGCAAACTTCTCTACGGAAGCCCTCGAGTATACGGACTTTGGAGACTGGGACCTCGCTGCCGGTGTTGATGGAGCATTCGACCTCCTGAGTGGAATCCAATTGGATGCGACATCACTCATGCCAGGCGATCCGACATACCGGGGTTGAAGCCAAATCTATTGAGTCTAGTTCACTTTACCATACACGGTAACCTGTACTATATACATGTTTTATCCACCAATCCTCCATATCGGATTAATACCTTGCTCAGCTTGACCTCGCCATCCTCGACAAACCAGCCGAGGCGCTGAGTACGTGAAGTTTTTTGTTCTGTTTGCGTGCTCAGAGACGTGGATATCGAGTTCGGAAGACGAAAGCTAACGGAACGACCTCCACAGAAGATCTCCAGCAAGCGACCTCGAAGAAACATGGTGATATCCTTCGTTAATTTGACAAGCTCATGGCGTACAATTTCAGGACCATCGACAGGCCTGGCCAGATGCAGATCGTACTGGTCGGCCCAGAAATCATCGAGCGGGGGGAAATCAGTGAACAAGGTCACAGTGTACGTGTCTTCTCCGGCTGGCACTATCTGCAGTCGGTGTCCTTTCTGCGTCTTGTCTGCCTCAATAACAAGGCCAAATGAGTGGGCTTCACAGCTTCTGATGTCAAATTTGACAAGAAGGTCTCTTTTCTCCGCGTCTCCCAACTCGGGATAGGTGATGACGGTTGAGCCTGTCGATGACAGCGACAGTTCTGATGGTAAGTCCACGGAGGAAATTTTCATCGAAGTCTCGTAGAAGAGCCTCTCCGCCTCCGGCACGACATCGACACGGAGATTTCCCTTCTCATCTGCAGATACTTCACGAGGCAGTCCTAGGTCGCCGCCCCACAACCATTTGCCTTCCTCGTCGATGTAGTCACCTATCCAGCCAAAGTATATTCGCTTCCCAGGGTCGCCGGCTTTCGGGCAGGACTTCGCTGCATACCACCTTCTTCCATCTAATCGACCATGGGAACCATCGCGAGGGATCCTGAAGGGGCCGTAAGGTGAGTCGGCGACGCGGTATACAGTCCCCGAGTTCGGGGCGTGGAAACGTGAATACACCAGATACCATTTGCCGTTCGGTAAACCGAAAAGCTCTGGGCATTCCGGGCAGAACATGTCGTTTGGTGAATACAGTGGCTCAGGGGCAAAGCTCCATGTATCCAAGTCCTTGGACTTAAGGAGAGCAATGCATCCACGGCTCCAGTGAGGACCTCCAGCCAATCTAGATGCGATAATCATCCAATACTGAGCCTCGCTTTCGTTGTAAAATATGAAAGGGTCTCGAAAGTCAATGTCTTCTAGCTTAGACCGGCCGGCACCGGTGAAGGATATCTCCTTCCCAGGGCACTCGAAGCGACTGCCATGACGGTCCTGTGATCTCGACCTGAGGATCACTTGTTTCCCATTCTGCGACAGATTGTACCCAGTATAGAAGATGTTCATGTTCCCATCCGGACCTAGGACTGCAGCACCAGTCCACGCGCCATCAGCATCCGGCGCATCTACTCCGTCTCCGGGCCTGATGCTAGGCCCACTATCCCGGTTCCAGTCAACCAGGTTCTGGGACCTCATCCGCCACCAGGTCGAACGTAATCGCGGGGGATGATGTCTGGTGTATGGAGGCGTTACCAGGTGGAACACGTGATAAGTGTCATCGACGAGAAGAGGAATCGCATCAGCAGCAGCTTGGGCTGGCGATATACGGCGGAAAGAGCCATTCTCTGACGGCGGTGTCGGAGCCTGGTCTAAGTCGCTCGTCATTTTCAAAGACAACACGCGAAAATCGTCACAAGCTGAGAGTCAAGGTTTCACATCGGGGGTTAACTTGCCTGGGGTTCCTGACAACCGACAGTTATATGGGATGACCTAGTCTAGTCGAATAGCCATGCCTACACTAGTCAAGTTACCGTGACAAGGATGCCACGGCGAGTCCCAATGCGTCAGCCGGGCCGTGGCATTCCCAATTTGGCGGTCGCCGTCGCTTTCGAGTCATGGTCTTCCCCGCGGCATCTCCTTAAATGGTAAGGTCACCCCAGATGGGGCGCTAATATGCTCCACTGTATATGGGATAAGGAGACTCCACGCGCTATGGCATGGAGAAAACGTCTCGAAACTGGGCTTTTTCTGGGGTGCATGAGAGGGTCCCAAGAGTCACGTATGGGTGAGGTCTCCTCCATAGCTCGCAAGGGATATAAGTGAGCGGGTCGTTGAGATCCTGGCTGCTACTTCTACCCACAACATATCCATCACTTTCAAGACTTCGATTTCCAAAGATCACCCTCGGTGTTTCAAAGATGGCGCGAATCAAGTATCCATATATTTGGTTGTTTTGCGGGTTTGCTGCGCTTGGCGCATGTCTGTATGGGTATGATGGAGTCTACTTCAACGGCGTCTCATCTCTAGGTGCGAGATTACCTACCAGATCAACAACCCTGGGCTCACTTGATGACAGATATCTTTATCCAACATTTTGGCGAGCCGAATGGCAAAGGCGGACATGAGGTCACGCCGTCTCGCCTCTCGATTATGACCTCCATGATCAACGTGGGTGAATTGGTTGGGTCGCTGACCGCAGCGCCCCTGAACGATTGGTTTGGCCGCAAAGGCGTCTTCATGACCGGAACTGCTGCCATCATTCTCGGAGTGGTCCTCCAGCTAGTAACAAGCTCAAGTTATGTCCTTGTTACCGTTGGGCGAGCAGTCTTGGGCTTTGGCGTAGGAAACTTCTCTGCCACATCACCTCTTTACATGGGAGTATGGCGTACCCAGCTTGCTTTAGGTGGCTACAATGCTTACATGATTCAGGAAATTGCCCCAGATTCCATGCGCAGCCCTCTTCTTATGTGTTGGCAACTCACACTCTCCGTCTCGCAGATCATCGCTGCAGCAATCAATCGTGGCATGGTCAACATAGATACCACATTTGCCTACCGTTTCCCCATCGGCTTCCAACTACTCTTCCCGGCCATCATCATTGCATTCATCTGGTTTGTCCCTGAATCCCCACGGTGGCTTCTTCGTAAGGGTCGATCAGAAAAGGCACTCAGAGCTCTTGAGGCCCTCCACCGCGACGATAAAACGTACGATCCGCAGCCCGATATCCGTGGCATGCAGGCCGACATCGAAAAGGAGATGGAGCTCGACGCCGAGGGTGGCTGGATGCAGCTTATCGCGGACCCGATTGAGAGGCGCAAAGTTATATTCAGTGCCGGTGCTCTGGTCGCACAGCAGATCAACGGTATCCAGTGGTTTTATTACTTCGGCACGGTGTTCAGCGAGTCAATCGGGCTGGCAGATCCTTTCCTGATGACGTTAATCGTCTTCATCATCCAGGTGTTTGTGGTCCTGGCCGCCGTGCTTCTGGCCAACAGGCTACCACGGCGGCCACTGTTGATGGTGACAACAGGCATCATGACTGTATCGATATTTGTGGTCGGATATCTTGGAATCCCTGGGGGTGCGGTATCTGAAACCTTTGGCAAGGTGATCATCAGCTTTGTCATCATCGAAATTGCAGCCTTCAACTTCGCGTGGGGCCCTCTAGGTTGGACTATTGTAAGCTCGCCTGCTTTCGTTTCCACCTTTCAGAAAGAACCGAGTCGATCTAACACATATAGGCGTCCGAAATGGCTGTCGGCCGCAACCGGAACAAGATCTATGCCATTGCTGTGGCGTGCTTCTGGATTACCGTCTGGGTCACCGTCTTTACTCTTCCCTATCTCTACTACTCGGCCAACTTGGGTCCCAAGACTGGCTTCGTATACACGGGGCTTTGTTTTATCACCTGGGCATATGTGTATTTCTGCGTAGGTGAAGTAAATGGCCGTACATTGGAGGAGATCGATGGTTTCTTCAGAGACGGCATCCCGGCTAAGGACTGGAAGAAACAACCGCGTAAGACAGTCTTATCAATGACCGACAAGAAAGAGAGCAGTGTTCAGGAGATGGAAGAGGGATCTGGAGAGGTAATAAGTGAGAAATAACGTGCAGTACAGCATGGTACCATCACATTTAGTTATCAACACATTGACGAGCGGTTTTCTGCATTTACGAAGGATAGAAGCAAAGTCCGAGGGCAATCGGATGCTTGAAACTGTATAATTTGATAAATCCTTAGTGCAGTTTAATACGCATATCCAGATGACATAGCTTCCTTCTCTAAATTCTATGCACTACTTGCCAGTCTGGTCTAGGAGAATAACAATGCAGTCCTCATCAAGCTATTCTCTCAACCTCAAAAAACAATCTTCGGGTCTTGTCATCGGTATCCCACTTCCGCCTCCCAGAACCAATGCCAAGACCTGCATCCATTCCAGCCTCGACACGAAATTTAGCGCCAGTGATTGCCTCAATATCCACCATAAGCTCCGTGAACGTCTTGTCGCTATGGAAGTAGTTTTCTGATCCTCCAATACCCTGCGCAAGCTTCCCTTCAGTATGGCCAACAGCTTGTCCAACAATCAGTGTCCCAGGTTCCTGTTTCAAGATGTCAACACAGCGCATGATAGCGATGAGCTGCTCTTCTCGGTTGAAGACATGCAAGATCATCCCAAGGTGTATGATGTCCACGCTCCCCTTCAGCCTATTTAATGGGGACTCTGGGTCTGCCTCCAGAATATCCGCCTGCATGAAGGTCGATTTCAACGTCGCTCGGTCCTTGAACAGATCGTAGCCAACATCTATGAACGGGAACTTCTGCTCGGCCCCGTATAAGCTATCCGCTGGTGCACCATCGTATACCAACTTCCGGATATCTTGAGCAAGACAACACCCAACGTCAAGTAGCTTCGCCCCGGATTTCAATCTCGATAAGATCTGTGGATAGATCGGCAGACGAATCATGCTGAGATCCAGGAAGCGGAATTGGCCAATGCAGGGATACGCATACACTTCCCAGGCTTGATCACGCTACACATACAGTCAGCAACGCAAAGGGCATGTCAATTACAATAGCCACGGGTCATTTACTATAGCTAGGATATGGCCAAGGACGCTCTCTGATGGGATGCCAGAGTACCTTTCAAGCAACTCGCGTGCCTCTGGCTGGAGGTGGGGGCCTGTCTTGTCATACCAGCCCACGCTCTTGTTTTTTGAGAAGACGTGACCTATGGTTAGATTTTTCGTGTTCTCCATTGTAATTGATGATTTTCGCAAGCTGTAACGACTACGAAAGCGTGAAAATAGGAATAAGCGGCAATATCTGAGCGTTTGGTGCTCCGTATGTATATAGTGGATCGGATTACAGCAATTGGGTGACACGGGATATTGATTACACAGAATTCCTTGGGGGGAAAGGGCAGTCTCGAAACTTGAAGTACCCATGGGACTTCCATATCATCGGCTCGGCCAATGTTCGCAAACCAGGGTAGTACAGCAGGGGGGCATCACATAGTCTGTAAACTAATGCAGTGCCTCCTGTGATGCCAGGGGTGGGACGATCCCTGCTTATTGAGCACTTTCACTGGAAGAGTTCCTTATTACGTACCTGCAAAGCAATGCGATAGTCTCTTATCAGGGAAGTACCTGCTATTGGGCCGACATAGCTTTTCAATTGCCTTAATGTGTAGGCATGCCGGTGAACGGGCGGGCAACATTATCTCTACGTGCATGGCGCAAAATAGGGAGAGCTACACACAAGTATACTTAGCTGTTTTGTATAATAGGTAACTAAGAATTCACTGGCTGAGACTTTCATGTAGCCTTAGCGGAGCGAGCATCTCCATTTGACGATACTCTCGTGAAGACGAAAAGTTTTCCCGATAACATCTTACGGCGTTTTGAGAGACGACTTTTTATGCGTGCCTCGATATTATTTCTGGCTGCTACTCGCCTTGAACTATGTCAACACCATCCGAGCATGCCGGACTCTGGTTTGTTATTCGCATTGAAATATTGACTCTCGTGCCTCATGACGTGGTGAGAGTCTCCGCCTTCTTTACAAGCACTTTCTCTCCCTCTTCAGAGAAAGCAATATGGAAAGGGGATGCCCCCCGGATCGCATGGCCTTTCCACATTAAGACAACCAAACATCCGAATGAGCCGGCACAAAGCAAAGACATTAAGCCATATACCCAGCCAATGCCCATAGCAGCGATCCAGAGGTTGATGTAAAAGTTGATAGTCAGCCCGAATAATAGTCTCATACTGCTCAGAGGGACCACTGCTTCGACTGTGTTTCTTCTGAAACACTCGACCACATAGTTCATCGTCACTGGGATACCTTGCATAGCCCCAAAAGTGACGAGAAAATTCCCAATGCCCATTACGACCCAGTGTAACCTGTATTGCATACAAGCTCCGACAAGACCCAGGCCAATTGGTGTGAGAATGAAATTTGGAATCCAAAGGGTGTGCAAGCGAAACTCAGGTTTCCACCTACCACCATTACGGGCACATAGCCAGAGAGGGAGCCAGTCGGCGAGCAGATGGCCATACAATTGGCTCAAAAGAAGTGTCATCCAGTGCACAGTCGTGACTGCATGTGATGTCAATTAGCTAGAACCAGCAGCCATTTTGTTTTATATCTCACTTACAGGCAGCATTATCCAAGACACTGAATCCATAGCCACCAAATTTAACTGGAGTTTGCAGCCATACTGGAGTAAGTGAGTTCAGAGCCACCCAGAATCCAAAGGTTATGGCATCGAACCCAGCGCACAGCAGGAGAACGGGGGAAATCGAAACCTTCAATGGAATGACAAAAGCCTCAACAATATCTTTTCCAGTCGAGGGCTTCACAACCTTGGTCCCTGGAAAGAATGTCTGGACTCTCCTCTGAAACCAGGTGCCTTTAGCGCAGAAGTTCTGAGCGCCAGGCGTGCGATCCCATGTTGTCTCCTCGACAAAGAGAAATATCAGTACGAGACAAAGAGTAGCTAGACCTATCGTCCACCAGTATTCATCCCACCAAGGGTGATTGGCGGTAATGAAGCCAGAAAATGTCGGCCCAGCAGATGCACCAATATTCATGGCTATGCCGAGGAGATTGAATGCACGGCCACGCTGATGAAGGAAGAACATATCCACAACATAGAGCGGACCTATTATGGACAAAGATATCCCAAAAAAACCCATAAAGAACTTGGAGGCCATGAATGCACCGTAGTCATTGGCGTGGCGCATATAACAAGCCCAAATCTGTGTGCCGAGGATTCCTGCCATCGTCCAGAAGGCAACGGCGCCTCGCCCGATCTTTTTGGACAGAGCCCACCATACCCAGGCCCCGGCTGCAAGGCCACCAGATGCTGCCGAGTTCTTTCAATTAAGAAGAGGACGTATAAGAAGCTTTCTTATCATTAGGCCAGGGCATCGAAGCTTACGAAGTAAGTGATCTCGACAGTTGTCTTATGATATAGAGCTGCCTGCTGCACAATCTGCACTTGACCGTTGAAAGGTGCTATACATATTCTCAGTCAAAACAGTCTAAAATGCTAAATTGGTGTTCGGAGGAACATACCGCTGAATCCAGTGAACAGGGAAAACCATAGCGTCAACCCAATGGTTGCCTTCCTCTTGAAAGACCAGTTCAGGGGGTCTCGAGGATCATCGGATGGGCGAGGCACCAAGACAATGCCGACGTCATTCAAACCAGAGTGGGTGCTTTCTTCGGGTGCGTTGATGCCGGCTGTTTGGTAGGCAACTGCCTGGCCTTGCAAAGGTGGTGTAGTGCCGTGCCGCTCTGTTGGGTCACTCATCATGCAGAAGGCGCCGCACTTGTTTGTCGTCGAGTAAAGAATATTGCTTGCAGGTTTTCAGAGTGCTTTCTATCCCTTGGAACGCCAGGAAGCCAGCCTAGTCGAAATAAATAGAGGCGAGATGAAGGAAGCTTGCAGAACCAGTCCATTTGTAAAAGAACAAAAGAGCCCTGGAAGCAGCGAAGACAGGGGAAACCAGACTATTGGTGTCTCCTCCACTAGGTTAGCTAGACATATTTCCCACTAGTAACATTGCACATGCGGTCAGACTTCACACCACCACGGAGCGCCTCGGTCTCCTTCTCCCGCCTGAACGAGTGGCGCAGGTCAGTGGCAGCAGCGTGACCAAGTTCAAGTACATGGGACAAGCTCCAGGTATAGTCAGCATCCACAAAACACGCATCGTCAAAACCTCACCAGGGAGCCGGGGGCTACGTTTGCCGATGAACACCATTGCCGAATTCGTATCAGCATAAGACTAACTGGACAAACCCGCCTGTCCACTCAGCTGTTCCAATTTGGCCCACGACATTACCCCAGTTAACAAGGTAGATGTACCATCGCACCACACCCCTTCACATAATCCTTGCCGGGCACTGACCCTGAACGAAGATTCTCACTGGCCCCTGCTCCCAGTGCTTCCCAGGCTCCCAGGTCTGGATTTCTTCTCATGGAGGATGTGTGACTACACATTGACACACAGTTAGCGTCGCCAGATAGACACGTTCGAGTTCGTACAATGAAACCAGATGGCTGATCTAGCTGGGCACGCATTCCACAATTTCACGATGATCTATACATACACGTAGGATTTTCAGTCCTTGACCACCCAGCTTTCCAGTTTGATATTATGTCCACTTGCGCATGTCGCTACGGGGTCATTGAGATGGACCCACACCACGATGGCGACCTGATTGGATACACGTTGATGACTACATATGCATGTAGATGATGGGGTACCTACATTACCAAGCTTTTGGCATGCAATGTCATGCAAGTTTCGCAAAATCATGCCAAGCCCCGGTTGAAAGATTCCTATTGACTATCCGGGGAGACGGCAACGATCATTAGTCCTTTGAACGATGCGACCGTCACCTTGTCACGCTACTGACTTTTCTGCCTGTATGTCTGCATAGCTATCTGACCTCTTTCAGTCTCCGCTGGAGATCAGCTCCTTCTGCTCTTGGCTTCAAAGCTTAACGTCGTGCCTCGGCTCAAATGCAGCACAAACCATTTAACATGATTTGGCTTTAGAGAATGAGGAGATTACAGCCCTTCATTTGGACCTCGACGATATGAGACTTCTCGCCAAGAGCTTATGGGCTGTATATAGCGAAACTCTGGAGCTATTTCTGTACCTGTGGACTGAGAGATTCAATTCTACATTGGCCGGATAATTGAAGATCATATGAACCCGGAGAGCCACTCGCGCTGAGAGTCGCAAGCAGCAAGCTTGGCATCGATCGAATGCTCCCATGTTATAGGCTTTGGGTCATTTGGTTCGGTGAGATCCTTCACCGGCATTTGTGACTGATCACAGGCTCGTGTCCTGGGTGACTCCCCACCATATACGTATGATCAGTTTGTAGTAACTAGATACATGGCAATGCACTTATACCAGTGGCCTGCATATTTCGTCAAAAACGTATTAGTAAATGCTAGTTTTGTTGTTTCATTTCGAACATGTGCCAGTTTGCTTAGGGTAGAACACAAGAATGGTCTCGCTTGTCGCTTGATAATCACACCGCCACAGGGCCTGTCTTCGTCAACGTAGGTTTCATTAAAGTTCTCACCGTCTTTTGGGTAACGGTGTATAAATTCGAGCCAGAGCAGCTTTGTCTTGCAAGGAGCGAACCAACTGGCGCTTCCCTGTATTAAGGGTTTTACACTCTTCTTTTTCATGCGTGCCTTTTAATGGCGTGGGCGAATGACATATACATATTGTGGCATAGACACGGCCATGTCGTGGTGTGCGATTGGTTACACTCGTTAGGGAATGAAGCAATTAGACCATGCAGTGATTGTAACGTGATGAAATTATTTATCATTAGCTCTAATGCGGGTCAAGGGAAGCACTGATCTCAACATTCGTCGCGATTTAAATTAGGTTGGTATTCAGTACGCACAATATTCATTCTGCTTTCTATTCCAGATTATGCACGATGCCGTACCAGACAGAATTGCAGTAGTTCATCCTGTTAGAACTCAGCTCGCCTGACGATATGGTCATGTCAATGAAGACACATCAGTCCACCCCTGCGCACCGAAATCAGTAGGGTGTAATTGACAGCCCGGACAACGAAGCCACAATTTGCAAGGTCAACACGTGTCTGAAGCCTCGATTAATTTCCGGGGGCGACATCTGGTTTAAATCCACACTCGAGTTGGCTTGTGGCGCGAAACAGTACTATGCACGTGCGACTGCTATCCCCGTCTTTGCCGCTCGATCCCTCAGATGCCTCAGATGGGCATCGGTGAGGGTGACCTGAATGGGAGAAGCGAGTGCATCCTGGATTGCGAGGTATGCTTGTGCAAAGGGGTAGCAATTACGGTGGTTTGATCTTGTGTCTCCTGAAGCGGGTGTCGCCGTGAGGTTTCCAGCATCAGATGGCGATACAGTGGCATTGTTTTGCACTCTGCCCGACAGAGCCAGTCCAGTTTTATTACCATTCGGCAAGACAGGGCTTGCACTTTGAATTGTGCAACCACTGTATAGGTTGTTGTTACCGGGGGTAGTAACGTGTCCTGGCCGGCTTGCAGAGGGTAGAGTGTCAGCCGTGTTGTTGGCATTCGTTGCGACGGTGGTTTGGTGATTGTTAGCTGGGACTTGATGGCCTGATAAGCCAACGCCGCGGTGGTTGGGACTGATGGTAGAGATGTTGTTTGGTTGCTGGGGGGTGCCGAGCTGCCCCACCCTCTGTACGCCGTCACCGACATATGCTGAAAGCACAGAGACTGGAGGTGGTTCAAAAGTGATGTCTATACTTTCAACGTTTAGAGATGATAGACGGCTGAGGAGAAACCTAACCGATCCGTGGTAATGATCAGGGTCTGGTAGCGGCCAGAGCCCCCTGTGTGAGAGGGATGAGATCATAGACCCAAGCATCACGAAGTGGCATTTGCGATCTAGTAACCTGCACTGAATGTTGGCTCTCCCGGGAGGCGAAGGTCCATCCTGGGCGAGAAACTGTGACAAGGCGTCACGATACGGGGCAAGAATCCTTCGGAGGAGCTGTAAACGACATTTGAGGCCCTCGTCTGCGCAAATGTCAGTCAAGATGGTTTGATCAAATGGTAGCAATCGCAGAGCCATGGGAAAAGGAAGAGGGGGAAGGGGGATGGTACCCAGAAGCCCCGGTGGTTCCATGGCGTTGGTCATGAACATCTGCTTTGACTCATTGGGGGAAGCGTCGCCGGAAGGGATGGTGGCGTGTGCATGACTATCTGTAGCAGAAGGGTGTTGACTAGTGCCCGGTCACCTAATTCCCAAGCAATCTAGAGTAGTTGGTCGGCACCAAGGGATATAGTGGGCAAGTTTGCTGGGTTCCCACCATCGTACCGAAACCACGCATTCATTTGATGGGACCAGGACTTGGCCCAGGGACGGAGTAGCCTCGTCAAGGCATACTTGTCGGTCAAGACGGTGATCTTGTAGATCAAGGACAGAGAAAGAAATTCGTCGAGAAAGGGCAGGCTCTCGAAGCGACTGTGGATGACGTTGAGCATGATGCCCATGGCCTCGGGATCGTCTTCGGGCAGGTCGACGGTCCACTCGCCGGGCGCAGGGTCGTTGGCGGGGCGCGACTCCTTCCAGGGGCCGCCGAGCATGCGCTTCCATACGGGCGAGGCGCGGGACAGAGACCTGGACTCACAGACGAAGATGGTGCGCCGCTCATGGCTGTGTTCTTCGTCACGGGTGGGCCCAAGACATCTGTTGCATCCCACCCTCAAATGCAGATCGCCGTCGGGGTCTACCACGATGTAGGTGGGAGACGTGGGCAGTCTTTCACAGGTCGTGGCCGTGGGCTCGGACATGGCGCGCTTTGTGGATGGGGTCCGTCACCCGAAAGTTGGGTTTGTTGAAAAAGATTAAAGAAAAATGTAATAAATAAATTATGAATAATAAATCCAATGGACGGGGTCGTGCGTCTTTGCCTTATGGCTGGTTCTCCGGGCCGCATCACTACGCGACCAGACAACCCCTCCTCCCCCCAACCCCCCATCTCCCTCTCCCTTGTCCTCCCGGACAGGTGGGCGGCAGTATAACTTACCATACACAGTGTGGCTGGAGCAGCCGGACATGCAGATCTGCCCCTACAATTGACTCTGACAGCTGGAGTGCCTATGTAGGTAGGTATATCCCTATATCATCACCTTGTAGACTGTTCGCGGTCAGCGCGCCGTGGGTATATAAGTTTAGTCTTTAACTTTTAACGTTACTGTGGGACTCGACGGTAGTTACCTTGACTAGTATGTACATAGTAGCTGGCCTCCTTTGCCTAACTACATGGGTACTTAGTCACCGGCAGGTTCCAAGGTTCTGTTCCACTTGATCTGATGCTAATCCCTGTCCACAGACTGTACTTGTTCATAGTACTGGAAGTGAGCACCTTACACTAGCGATAAAAATAATTTTTGGGCTGGCAAACCGCCCCGCCGAGGGGCATGCGCACCCAAAGTAATGTAATGAATGCGTGAGGCGACGCGAGACTGAAGGTTTCACCCCGTCGACACCACAGTTCAGAGTCTTCACGGCAGAGATGTCTTCGTCTCAGGCTCCCAACGGCGCCCGGGACGCGCTCCAAAGCCTCGTGGCCACCTCGAGCGCCCTCATCCTGCAGCTGGAGGACGTCGTCCACAAGATCTCGCAAGGCCAGACGCCCACCACGCCCACGACCCCGCGCCCGCAGTCCATCGACGCCCTCTCCCTCGCCCACGACTCGGCCACCCTGATCAGGGCGCACGCCACCAAGCTCTCGCTGCTGATCATCAACGAGCCCTTCACCCCCTCGGCCATCGTCAAGGTGCTGCAGGAGCTGGTCGCCGGCCCCATCCCCGGCATCGCCTCGGCCGTTCAGGTCTGCGATGCCGAGCGCCACACGGCCGTCGCGCGCCAGGATCTCGCGTGGCGCTGCTACCGCGTGCTGAAGGAGCTGCGCGGCCTGGTCGACGTGATCCCCCTGGACGGCAAGGTGCTGTCGGCCGAGAAGAAGGACGGCGCCGGGGGCGACAAGGGGAGCATCACGCTGACGGGCGTCGTCTGGGCCGCCTGCGATGATGTGATCCTGCTGAAGAACATGGGCGTCGCCAGCCTCCTGGTCAAGAAGGTGCAGCAGTACCACGACACGCTGCAGGACGTGCTCGACGAGCTGAAGGAGTGGAAGGAGGAGGGCGAGGAGGAGCAGGACGGGGGCGAGGGTGAGGGCGAGGGCGACGAGGACGGCGTCGAGTACGTGACCAGCCAGCTCGACACGACGCACCTCTCGGCGCAGGACATGCTGGACGACCTGATGAGCACGCGCCACATCCCGCGCGACGACCCCGACAAGATCCGCGAGCGGCTGGACAGCTGCCTGAGGCGGCTGCGTCTCACGACGCTGCTCTACGCCGCCATTGTCAAGCGAAGGCTCAAGGTGCTGCCGCCGCTGCCGCTGCCGCAGCCCTTGGCTGGGGTCGACGCAGGCACGCCCGCGCCCGCGCCCGCGCCCGTGACGCAGCGGGTGGACGAGGTCATGGCGACGCTGAAGCGCATACCTGAGCACTTCAACGAGGTGGCCTGCTCCTTCTACGAGCTGGAACCCGACGCCATCGACCGGACGATGGACTCGTGCTTCTTCGACGCCTTTGCGGCGTCCGAGATGCTGGCCAAGCCGTGGCAGGGGGAGAAGGACGAGTTTACGGAATGGGTGGGCAAGTTCCAAGCCAGCATCAAGAAGCCGGACTAACACAGGCCCACCGGTGGCCACCGAGATATGCAAATGTGAAATCATGTTTTCCTCGGACGGCCGCGGCCTTTGTTCTAGCATGCGAGTCTTGCATGTCTACCTCCCACCCTCGTCCGCTCTGCGTCATGTCATGCCATGCCATTGCCATGCCATACCAAGTAAATCCGTCCAGTGCATCCAGGCTAGAGAAGAGCGAGAGAGATAGAGACTCGAGGTGTGTCCCGACTTGTAAGCCACAACGGCCGCACTATGTGAGTGCCCAGGTACTCGACCCACCGATGCCTACTGTGTACCTCTCTACCCATCCGAGCCGAGTTCCCTGGCAGGGTAGCTTCATGAATATGCAGGTGGCTGTTGGCCAGAGGTCCCCATCTACTGTAACTTGCATACCTAGATACGATCTATGCAAGTACTTGTAGGCAGGACGATCTGGAGAGGGCGTGACCCCCCTGGCTCCTGACCATCCAAGCCGAGCCAAGTCGGCTCTAAAGATTGGCCGGACCCGGGCTGGGACGCCCCCGGCAACGGGATTTTCACCTCCGGCAATCGGGCTTTCACCCCCCCACACAAGCTCCCACGCAGGCGGCCCAGGCGGCCGGGCAATGGAAGGCTTATACATACTACCTACATACTACCTACATACATGCTTACCTCGGTACCTACATTACAGCCCGGTACCTACGGAATATAATGGTCTTTGCCTGTTAGCTGTTAGTCATCATCAGCGCACCTCCACGGTCAGTCAACCTCGTGCTCGCCTCGGTGCGACAGCAAGCCTGCACGGCAGAGGGAGCGATGCGATACATGGCGAGGGCCTGGCTGTGCCATGCGCCAACAGCCGTATCTGCATCTCTATCGCACGTGCCTCCCTCCCGTCGCTGTCTGGCCTTCGTGGCCCGACCTACCCTGCTAGCACCGTCTTCGCCATCCGCTCGCATCGGTTGGGCCAGCCTCCTCCATACGACGCGACCGACGTCGACCGCCCACCGCAATCCCGATACCGTATCCCCCTCCCCGCAGGCGAGCAAGATTGCCGCTACCAAGACTGGGACCGCCCCCGGGTCCGAGTCCGAACCCGAGTCCAAGAAGACGTCCAAGAATGGGTCCAGGCAACCATTCTTTTGGCAGGAGTGGTTGGCGGCGCACAACCCTGGCGAGCACGGCCGGAAAGAGATAAAGAAAATCAAGAGGCAGTTTGTTTTTTTCCGGAGGAGGTCTGCATTGGACCTCCTCAGGCTAGACATCATGCGTCAGAGCCTCGGCGGGAGAAGGGCAACAGAAATACGCTGCGCCGTAGGGGCGGAGGAGGGCTGGAACTTCGGCTGGCACTTTCACCCCGATGAAATTGCCAGTGAGGTGATCCATGGGTTTAGCCAAGCCTGCGACTACGTACGGCTGACCGACGACGAGTTCGCTGCCCTCGACAAGAAGTACCGTACACCCTGGGAGCAGAAAGTGGTGGCGGCCGCCAGCCTTAAGGGAGAGGGCGTGGAGAAAGTGTCACAGGCCAAGCGGCGAAGACTACGAACACGCCGCCACGTTCGCCGCGCAAAAATGGACGTCTTTCGAGCTGTCTACGGACCCCGCTGGCTGGCCAAGTATGACGCCTATTGCGCCGAACAACAGCGGGACACGAACCCCGGAGACACCTCTCCCTCACCCCCTCCCGTCACCGGCCGGGGCCCAGTCAAAGTCGGTCGAGTGTGCCAGTCTGAGCGCTCTGGCCCAACGGCATCTGACGAGACTCGAGAGGCCTAAGGCGCCTGCGGGCCTTGTCAGGCCTGCATTCGCTCACACCGCAGCCTTGTTCGCCCTTTTCCGTCAGCCTTCGGAGACAAACCCCGATGCTACCGGGAATGAACCGGGTGCCTCCGTTGCCTCTTTTGGTCGACCTCTTCGTGCCGAGTGGCTACAGAACCACTTCCAAGCCTAGTCCTACTAGGGGGTCACGGGCACTCATCCGTTCTGCTGGGAATTTCTCCTGATGTAATATAACCAATTGCGTGAATGTCCCAGTCCGGGCAGTATTGTCACAGCTGTTGCTACGCGTGCAGGATGGATAGTATCGTCTCCCATTTCCATCAATTGGCCTGGGTTTGCTGCAACTCGGCAAGTTCTGGATTTAACCGGAATCGTAGGCCAGTCAGCCTTCCCCCCCAATTTGACCACTGCATGGCGGCGTTGTTGTTTTTTCCTTAAGGACTCGACGTCGCCGCCCGCCATTCAGTTCAAAGTTGACGTTGCTTGACGTCCTCGGGTGATCGTTCGACATATTTCAAAGGATGAGGCTTTCCACATTCTCCGTGGGAGCACTGGCTCTGACTTCTCCCGTCCTCGCCACCTTTGGCTACTCCAAATCCGGTAGCAACTATGTGATTGACGCCGGCTCGTCAGAGCCGCTGGTCTTCAGCGTGAGCAGCACGAGCTGCGATATCAACTCGATTAAATATCGCGGTACTGAACTTCAGTACAAGTCCAAGGGAAGCCACATCTCGTCAGGACTCGGCACTGCTACTGTCAGTGTTGCTACCGTTAACAGTAGGCCACATCCTTGGGAGTGCGGTCTTGCATGCCAGCTGATGACAGTCTGATAGCCAACTACATCAAAATAACCTGTGTGACCGATACTTTGACCCAATACATGGTGGTTGCATCAGGGGAGAGCAGGATCTACATGGCAACCTACATCACCGCAGAGCCATCCATTGGGGAGTTGCGCTTCATTACACGATTGAATCCTAACCCGCTGTCCGACGAGTACCCTTATGGACCTGTTTCTACGACGGCCGGTAGCTCGTCCACCGTCGAAGGGTCCGACGTCTTCCTAGTCAACGGGCAGACGCGCTCAAAGTTTTACTCAAGTACCAGGTTCATCGATCGTGATGCGCAATGTGTCCTCAGCAGCGGCTCTGAAGCTATTCACGCATGCATGCTGCATCCGGAGCCGGGCATGGAAAGCTCTAGCGGTGGCCCCTTTTTCAGAGACATCGAGACAAACAACGGTGGCGACTCGACCAATCTGTACAATTACATGAACAGCGGGCACACGCAGACTGAGGCGAACAGGGTCAACGTCCTGCACGGGCCGTACGTGCTAGACTTCTCGCGGTCCGGCGTCTCAAAATCAACAGATCTCAACCTGGCCTTCCTCGGGGATCTAAGCATTATGGGGTTTGTGCCAGCTTCTGGCAGGGGTTATGTGTCCGGCACTGCGTCTGGTGTCCCGAGTACGTTAGAGGCTGTGGTGCACTGGTACAACTCGGCGGCGCAGTACTGGGTCAAAGCCTCGACTTCGGGATCCTTCACCTCGCCAGCCATGAAGCCCGGTACCTATACCATGGTGCTGTACCAGGCAGAGTTCAAAGTTGCCAGTGTTTCGGGCGTAGCCGTCTCCGCGGGCAAGAACGCCACGCAGAACATCGCAAGTGGCCTTAAGGCACCAAAGTCGAGTCTCTGGAAGATAGGCGAGTATGACGGCCAGCCCGCCGGGTTCCTCAACGCGGACAAGCAGCCGCGTATGCATCCGTCCGACACGCGCATGAGCAGTTGGACCGCAGGCACGACCTACACCGTTGGGTCCTCAACGCCGAGCCAGTTCCCCATGGCCCTGTTCAAGGACGTCAACAGCCCGGTGACGGTCAAGTTCTCTCTCGCTTCCGCGCCGGGCGCGGCAACACTGCGGGTCGCGACGACGTTGGCGTTCCAGGCAGGGCGACCACAGGTCAAGGTCAACAGTTGGAACGGGCCGAATCCAGCGGCACCGACCAAGATTGACAGTCGGGGGGTCACGAGGGGCACATATAGGTGAGTTTTCAAGCAGCGCCCGCGAACCACAAAGGGGCCGGTTTGCTGACACCCTCGGGTGGTGGGCAGGGGCTACGGCGAAGTGTACGATTTTGCGGTACCGGCGGGTACTCTGGTCAAGGGCGACAATACCGTCGTCATCAGTTCATTGAGTGGCAGTTCAGGAAAGGGGTTTCTGAGCTCAAACTTCGTAAGTGCTGATTGAACCACGTGTTAGGTGCTCGTGGAGGGGGGATATTCTACTAACTGTAAAATGTGGCGAGTCTAGATATTCGACTGTGTTGAGCTCTTCACCAACTGAGGGTCATAGGTGGCCTATACGGGGGAATGTCCGGGGACGATGTTCGGGGGCTTCTCTCCCATGACTTGGCGGTAACGTCCAGTGTCTGTCCAATGACAAATCTCACCCCAGTGTACCTAGAAATTTCAATCCACCTGCCACAACACAGCAAATGGCGATCCTTAACTGGGCGCGCCTTGGGATTATGTCTAGGTCGACTTGTATTGCCAGACAAGCTATAACCATGTTGGTCAGCTCCAGGCCTCCCAATGAAACATTCATGCGATCATTGCCATTTCCATGATCGGATCAAATACCGCTCAGGATACCGATGGGCGCTGTCACAGCGGAATGATCCGTCCTCGTGCATGTTGCCAATCAGTCCTTGATGGCACTAGGGTCAAGACACCTTCTGTGTTATAATGGTATGACGCGGAGTAATGCTGGTAGACCGGAGCAGTGTGCCATAGTGATCCTAAAGGACCGCACAGGCCAAGTAAGATTGGAACTTTACGAACAGTTGTAACAATGACCTTGATGTTGTCGAAATCATGATGTAATATTCGCTTGGCAACTGTACATGGACACTTTGTATAGAGCACAGATGCTTGGCAGTGCTCCATTGCTTGAACGGCCACAGACAGCCACGGGGTCTTCCACAAGGGCTCATCATACGTTTGCCTGCCTGATCAAAGAAGATCTGAAGTTGCCATACCTGAGCAGGCCATGGTGTCGTAACTGCAAGATCTATTGGCATAGGCACTCGTACCGTCGGACACCATGGAATAGTACGACACAATATTTCCGTGAGGCGACTATTTCGGGTTACAGCAGGGGTGGCTAGTCTTGGTCTGTCATTCTCAAGAGTCACCGCACTTGGTCCCAATGTGGCAAGCTGATACGAAGCTGCACTTGTTTGCCCATTTTACAACCACACCCAAGTTCATTTGGTGGCGTGAATGTGTGGGTTTGAAACCTCAAAGCCCCTGCAATCAACGGGCGGCGAAGCTCACTTGTTACGATTCGCCTCTCTTCCTGCACTAGGATGAACACCACGAGGAAGAATGCATGAATCTAGTCAACGAATCCATCTCATGTGTTCAAACATATCGGCTGATCTTGCTGTGTCATGGGCTCGTCTTGTTGACAGGGTGACTCGAACTCTCACAAATGATTACCCAGCCTCTCGATCAGAAACTGGCTACCTATACCACAACTCATCACGTCTAGGGCCTTCTTCCATCGGACCTCGGTGACATCACAGGTCCGACGGCCTGCACTAGGGCATCTATCTAACTGCATACACACGAGTTACTGTACACAGGGGATAGTATGTCAAGGAAATGGACAGGCGAGATAGCCGAGACTTGCGCAGGGAAGTACAGCTTTGACACGATTGCGGTCTGAGCACCCATGGAGGGAGGCCAGGGGTATAGTGAGTTAGGTTGCACTAGCACTGGGTAGTAACCCGTTCAAGCCGCTGCCCTTCTCCACGTGGTGGGACCCACGTTCGCCGAACCCCTGGCCCGACCCCGAAGTAGCAGGTCGAACGCCGTCGATGGGTGAGCTCGTCGCCCTTCTTCCCACATCGAGGTTTCAAGAGTGCCTTCAACTTGATGGCAAGATGCGCGGATTGCGTGCGCAGTCGTCTATGTCTTTCACATTATACCTCCGTGTCTGAACAATTATTTGGGGAAATGGTGGGCTTGCCTCCATACGATAGAGATGGCAAAAGAGGGGCGCAAGAAATACTATGGTAAAGGCGCTTGACCACGTTGGTCCTCGCCCCGTCCGCGCCAGACGCGCTGCGAGTCTATTTCGCCATCAGACAGGGAGCTTAATTGTGTAGTCGGCGCCATGTACCTCCAGGGTGGCTAAAAAGAGGCAGCAATGAGCGAGCGAGCAAAACGGCAAGGCGGTCAGGAGTCACCTCAACCATGAGTATAGTCTTGGAAAAAGAGAGCTAGGGCCCCAACTCCGACAGTTCGGATGAACTTTCGTTTGGCGTCTTGCTCCATTGGGTTTGTTGCTCACATTCAACAACTCCTCAGCCCTGACTGTCATCGTTGACCCCCTGGCTGCCCCTTGCTTCCGTCCTCGGCTCATCGGCTCACAACCGAAGTCATCTCGGTCAGCAATACTTGGGGTACGCTCTGCGCTTTGTCTCCATGTTAGGTAATTTTTTCCCATCGCAGTTCCGTTCGCCGGGAGGAAGGGAACTGGCTTCACATGGGAATGGGCATTGGCACCGCATGGTTCACGGTAGGCATGCGGGCATTGGAGAGATCGCCGAACCAGGATGCACCTCCGATGCAACTCCCAAGCTCGCCGCATCGGTCCCATGCGGTCCACACACCCCAGTCCGGACTCTGTATGCACTTTATCGTCCGCTCCACCCCTTCTCCAGGCCTTTGGACTGGGAGGAACGCCATCTGAACTCTCTTGGCCCTGTCACACTAAACCGATATCAGACACACACACCTCTTTATCTTGATTACTATGTATGCATAATGCGGCTACGCTACAGTCTTGCCGTAAGTCCCAGGTGGTGTCAGTAGTCTCGGCGACCCCTGCAGCTAAGAGGAGACCCCCAGATTATAATTCTCACCCTTCCCGGCCGTTCTGCTTGACAGGACCGCACTGGTACCTCATCTGCCTTCATGTTGTTCCTGTTACGATGCTACAACCACGGCGATCATATGTGCTCACTTCAAACCTATAGCGCTCATCCGACTTTCGGAATGTCAACTCTTTAACATGGTTGGCCAGCTTCCAGAAGGTTCAGACGGGTTGGCGGCTGCAACACTCACCTTTGCTGCCGCCAGCTTGATCTGCTCGTCCCTCGTTATATGGCTCACATGGTGTCATAATGAGAGGCTATCATGTAAGTGAACAATCAGTGTTTTCTCGTGGATCGCACAAAATCTGACTGGTTGCGTCTTGCAGATGTTGCTCTCCTAGCATACTTTACCCTGACCAGTACGCTGTGTTCATTGATCCAACAAATACACGACATTGCTCATTTTCGCGAGTGAGTACACGAGGCCTACCCTGCACCAACCATTCCATATTCCAGAATGCCCTCAGATGTCTTTTTTTCTTTTTTTTCCTTTTTGGGGCACTTAGCACAACAGCTCGATCGGCCGTCTAATACGGAAGGAACCTCATGAAGAAACTAATAGGATCTCTTCTTTTCAGTGTTATTTTGGAGCAGCATGAGGCTCGGCTCAAGAATCCATTCAGTCCAGACGGAAGAGTGGCGAACGGGTCGACTGGAATGGACCTGATCCTATATTATATGCGTAAGTTCATCGGCCAATACTGCGAGTCTAGCACTAATCAACACCAGAGTTCTATTGCTACCAGGTCATGTCCATGCTTGTATTGTGGTGGTAGGAGAAACTCCTTTTCCCGTTCCTCTGCCCGGAAACTAATTATCGATCAGGGCCTCAGAGCTTACTCAATCTGTGTACGGGTTCATGCACAAACGATCTACCCGGAAAATTCTGCGAAAAGTCAATGCTGCTGGAAAGATTGTGGCCATTATTCTGCCGCTGATCATCATTCTTCTGCTGCGGACGCCGCCAGTTCAAAAGTCACAGCTGACTTTCACGGTCTTGACTGATGTGCCTCGTGGGTTATCTGCCCGGTCCTACATGCCACATGAACGCAATTTACTAACCGAAAGTAGTGGGGTTGTCCATGGGAATCGGTTCCATACTGATGGTATTCATCCTTGCTCGTTACATTTACTCCAAGAGGAAGCTTCTACGCTTCGAGCCTGGGCGCGGTGATTCTACTACAGACGCCGAATCACAGCTAAGCTTTCATAATGCTAGCCGGGTATCGAAAACATCGAAGCCGAGGCGGCGGGCCATATATGACCGATGGCTCATGACCCGCTTTACCATTGCGTTTCTATTCCTTGCGTATGTTTCTGCCGCCATCCGTACTTGAGAAACTTACTAATAAGAAATGGAACAGAGTCTTCCAAGGAACAGCAACTTTATTCCAGCAGCTATCGATACAAAGCTTCCAGGCCAAGATATCTATCCCGGAACCGGACTTGAGTGCCAGCAATGCAAATAGAATACTGCTCCTCTTCATACCCGGAAATCTACCAGGCGTGGCGCTCTTTGTCGTCTTTGGGACGACAACCGCATTCCGCCAGCACATGAGCAAGACTTTGCAGAGGCTGAAGCCGGAGTGGAGACTCCCAAATTTGTTCAGACGCAACAGGGGACTGATGTACGATGATCTGCCATCGCCCCACGTCGTCCCTATGGCCAAGATACGAGAAATGGGGCCAGACCTCATGAAAAAACTGCCCCATAGGCCGGATTCTAGATCTGACTACAGTGATGACGAGGATGTCGAGTTGCAGCGAGTAGAGAGGGCCAAACTCCATGACCGACATTCAATTTATGTTATGAGAACCCTGTCGGTCCATATGACAACGATACCCATGCGGGAGCGGCCGACCACAGATTCGAGTAAAGACTCGACTCCGTCACTCGTCATAATGCGGCAAATTTCGGAAGAAAGCGAGATACCAAGGGCTTACAGGAATGACTTATGAGTTGACGATGGTACATGAACTTCATAATATGGGAACTGAGAGGGTGCTGATGCATTGGGACTGGGTATGGGTTGGTTTGGGGCCAGGTTTTGCATGAATATCTGGACGGGACAACGAAATAAGCATCAGTAATGTTGAGCATCATGTCCCACTTGCATTCGACGAGGGATAGAAGGTCTACGGAGAGCAGGAACTCCTTCCCTCATTTCAACGATATCGGACGGTATGGGGCATGCATATTGGATACCATGGGGCTAAAAGGTGGCGCTATTAGGCGGCGGATTGGATTTTACGTTGTATTATTGACCCAGATACCCTTCATTTCAGGCACCATTCGACAGTCAGACCGAACCATCAGCTGAAGTCCCGAATCGTGGCCATCTTGATGTATTATTATTATTGCAGATGACTCCTTCCAGGCTCATTGCATTTCGATTTTTATTTCATTTGTTTCTCCCAGCTACCAGCCATCGCTTGCTATGTGGTGAAATTCATTGAGGTCATATTTTCCAAGGCATCCGTATCCGCAATGGCTGGCACTACTACTGGACTTGAACAATAAGCATATCTCCGCTCCACTGTTCCTGCAAGTCACCCGTGGCTCCCGAGATCTGCCTGGATAGCTGGGAGACGGACGAATACAACCCTCCGGGAGTCTAACCTTAACAAGGTGGAGTTCGATAACGTTTAACACCGCTCCATCTCCAGTCTCAAGCGTTCCGTAGTTTCATCGCTCCCTGCGTCAGCTTTGTCTCATGTTCCAATACGGGTCCCCGTACCCTCGAGCGATGGCGGGGTTGATACGCTTCGAGAACTCGATAGGCCGCGAACCCGAAGTGAGGGGAGACGTGCATCATCCATCGGCCGCTGACAGGCTTGGCACGGGTCATGGCTCCCAGATCGGGATATCTCCACACCTCGATTGAACAGAACGCCCCTTCAAGAGACCCCTGTTGGAAAGACTAAACCTTGACTCCTTCTCTTTGTGTAGCTCACTGAGAACATCCAGGTCCGAGCGTACATATGTAAGTTATAGCGTGCCTGCGAAAGTGCACGCAGCAGCGGGCCAATAGTCGCCAATAATTTCCCTTCATTCAGACAATGATCGATCCGACAGTGGGCCTGGCATTTACTCCTCTATCGAGTCAAGCTGAGCTGAGGTTTTATTGTAGGTAAGCGCGGTCAAGGCCCAGCCACATCATTTTGGGATGACGGAACACGGCATTCGCACATCAACTGTTTGCTTGTCTGTGTTGGGATTCTCCGGCACATGCCTTGGCACGTGGTTCAGCATCAAAGCTGGCAGCCCTACTACGTGTCGGCCGATTCGCAGTGTATATGCCGGAATGAGTCTGCTCTTTTTCACATTAGCCTTGGCGACGTGAGACCGTCCTGCTTGATGGTTCTCACTTGTAGTAATGGATGGGCTCTCTACGAAGTCTGTCGCACAATATCAAACTCATAACTTCATTTACGAGCGCGACGCAAACGAATGATAGTGATGGCGTCACGGAAAGAGCGCCGCAATAGGTTCTACGGCACAGTGTGGTTCGGGACGTGGGGATGATGTTGTAACCTATATCCTTAGTAACCCTCGGTGTGGATAGCGTCGCTATCCCGCGGATTAGTCAACGAATATCGAGGCTGGTGAATGCCAGTCAACTAGGTCTGCTCGCCACATCGCAACGAGCTAAAACCCCTGAGGAAATGTTGGGCGGAATAAATTTCCGTAACTGTACGTTGGTACCTAGTACCAAGGAGTCGTGAGAAGCGGCCAGCACAACTGAAGTTGATCCCAGTTGGCTGCACACTCAATGGCTCCCATGTCATGTGACTTGAACCGACGATCCCCTACTCGAAATCTGTGATATATGCTGATATCTATGTATTTGTACAGTCTCTCTTGGGTGTAAGGTGTTCTGTCTTCTGTAGCATCTATACAAAGTTTAGTTTGCAGCTTGTGGAAGAGCATTCCGAGGCTCTAAGGTAATACTATGGTCAATAAAGATGGTATTTCAGTTGAAGTAGAACTATCAAATTGATCATGATCCTCTAAGAACCTTCCGAAAGCGATGACTTCCATGCGAATAGCTTCCAGTTAAGAGGATAGGTTTCCTTGCCCAAGTGTGCCCCGACCCAATGCGTTTTATCCACCATAAATATCATACTTTTCAAAATTGATTTGGAACCCAAAATAGAGCCGAAATTTTCATTGTCACTACCAAGGGCTAATCTTCAACTATGTTTATCGGGACTCTGTGAGAAAATTACTGCAGGCACACCTGGAAGTTTCCTAAATGGATAAGAAGTCAATAGGCCTGGGAGGATTGTCAGGCGTAATGAGCACATTAGGGAGTATGTCCTATCGGCTGTGTTGTTTCCTTCGCCACAGCCGACGCTGGTTTATGTTCATTGGACCGTGGTGAGGCAAGTGTCGCAGGCATAAAGACTGACTAGGTCTTAGTCGACAGCGAGCGTCCAGGCTTATTATCCACGCCAGTGGCTCTGCGGTAAATTCACAGAGCATTGTGAGTTTGACATCCCATCTTCAAAGTAAACATATACACTGTCGCATATCGCTGCTCAATACCCAAGGTCGCGAAGAAGGGCTTGAATTTCGTAGGGTTGTTCCTTATCTTGAGTGGGCTTCTCCCCTACATAGGCAATTTTTACACTGGATGAACAGATGCAACCGTGGTCAATTCCCAAACTCTCAAATTGGTGTAATATGCCTTCATTGGGGCATGTTCGATCTTCTGTCGTACTGGCCGAAGACTTGGAGCAACAACATTGCCATCAATTCAACCGCTCATCTCAAAGTACAACCTAAGAAAAGTCCCCTCAGCTTCTCGAGTCAAGAAAACAGACCGAGCAGGGGATCTGGTTCTGTGACGTCTTGCACATGCACGCTGGCTTATGATGTTAACAAACATAGTCTAACTGAGATACAAACGTGGAAAGTTTACGCATGTCGATTGAAAGGGGGAAATTGGTGCTAAGAGCATATTCCAACGTCATATGAATCGATACTGATCCCCGACGATGATTTGACCCGCTGAACGTTGGCTAGATGAGTAATGCCGAAGTCATGTCAATCTGTGTCTTCAAACATGACATTGATTCCACGAGTGGGTGAAGAGGGAAGAGTGAAGCTCAAATAAAACTTTCAAAGTAGAATACAGAAAACCCAGGGTGCAAGGCCTCTGGTCGAACAAGATATCAAGGTAATACAGGGGGCAATACCTCCCATTCTCGAAAATGCAGGAGAACAGTTGAAGGAGACATGCATGCCATTCCGTTTACATACGCCCAATTTGAGATGTTTTCCGCAACCATGAAGCCGGGAAATCCACTGTCGGGCACACCCGAGGCCAACGTTGAGCCGGATCACAGCATCATCTTGCACGGGCCTGGACCAGGTAGGTGAAGATCTAGATGACAATTGAGCCCTACATCAACTAATTTGATGCCAGTACCATTGTGGATCCAACCTTGAAGGCACACACGTGTTGTGCTGCAATCCTGTCCGCCCAATACCTCCGCTCATGCTATCTCGTTCACCGGGACAACACCTCGAGCAGCAAACTCGGCAGAGGACCCAAGCTAAACCCAACTAGTTGACACCTACAACTCACAGTACCAGACGCGCAGAGTTGACATCCTCCGGGGACGACTTCAAACAAGCCGGGACGACACAAGAACTACATACAAGGCCTCGAAATGTCTGAGACCAGTCCCAACGTGGTGGTTGCTGTTGTCCTCATTCTCCTGATCATTCTCGTCGGCGCGCTCATCTGGAAGGCACGCTCCGTGGCCAATGAGTTTGCGCGTACCATGTTTGGCTCCCGCGGGGGTCGAACGCAGGGGGATTCGGCCGTTTGAGGTAAGTTCCGGTCATGAGGCTATTCATTGGGACACTGTCCATCATTTCTTCATTTCTACCGCGATTCACCCCAGACAAGCAGGACGGGGTTGGCGGGATGAACTTGCCATGGATCCATTCAAGAATTTATTCCCTACCTAGGGTGGCGTCCCCATATCGGGCAACACGGCGATCTACGTCGGCCGGGAGGTTGCCGTCTGCAGGATCGCCTAGCCTTTAGCTTCCCCGGGTCTTGGCGGCCCCTTAGCGGCGACCCTCCAGCCGAAATTTCTTGGAGCTCCGGGGGGCCGATCAGAGATGGAACGCGAACCGTTGTCCCGACTTCCAGGTTGTGAGCTGACCGCGACTTACCTTACAGGGCACCGCCATCCTCAATCCCACAAGACGGCTGCTGCAGCCGCATCTCGCCGCCATGGCCGCCCGTCCAGCTCTGCGCAGTGCCGCGCGTGCTCTACGCCCCTCGTTCCGTTCGTGTAGCTGCCCGTCTGCCCGCTATGCGAAACCCTTCAGCACATCCCCCCTTCCGCAGAAGCCGGCACCCACCCCCAACAACCCCGATGCTTCTTCCTTTTCCGACAAGACAACGCACTTTGGCTTCGAGGACGGCCTGTCGGAGGCTGAGAAGACGGAGCGCGTGGCCGGCGTCTTCCACAGCGTCGCCGAGTCGTACGACCGCATGAACGACCTCATGTCGTTTGGGTGGCATCGCATATGGAAGTGAGTTGTCACAGCCCCCGGGAGGGAGAGAGAGAGAGAGAGAGAGAGAGAGAGAGAGAGGAGCGCAAAAGAGCAAACGTTGCTAACTGCCGATCCAAAACAACAGGGACCACTTCGTCAGCAGCCTCAACCCCGGCCTCTCCTCGCATAACCCCCCGACCCCCCAGAACATCCTCGACGTGGCGGGCGGCACGGGCGACATCGCCTTCCGCATGCTGCACCACGCCCACCAGCTCAACCGCAACCCGGACGTCCGCGTCACCATCTCGGACATCAACACGTCGATGCTCGCGGTCGGCAAGCAGCGCTCGCTGAAGCTGCCGGCCTCGCAGCAGACGGCGCTCTCCTTCCTGCCGGCCGACGCGACGGTGCTGCCGGCGGCGCTGGCCCCGAACTCGTTTGACCTGTACACGGTGGCGTTCGGCATCCGCAACTTCAGCAACATCCCGCAGGCGCTGCGCGAGGCGTACCGGGTGCTGAAGCCGGGCGGCGTGTTCGCCTGCCTCGAGTTCAGCAAGGTGGGCAACCCGCTGCTCAACGCCGTGTACAAGCGGTGGAGCTTCAGCGGGATCCCCATGATCGGGCAGCTGGTGGCGGGCGACCGCGACAGCTACCAGTACCTGGTCGAGAGCATCGAGCGGTTCCCCAGCCAGGACGAGTTCCGGGACATGATTGTCGACGCCGGCTTCGTGGTGGGCGGCGAGGGCTACGAGAACCTGACCGGGGGCGTGGCGGCGATCCACAAGGGCATGAAGCCGCTGGATGCCAAGTGATCGAGTGAGTGAGGAGAGGAGGAGGATTGTACACTACTACTGCTGCTGCGACTGTACTTTTGGTTTGTGACACTAGATGTGCCGCCCCTGGAGATGGTATATGTCTATGGACGAAGAAGAAGAAGAAGAAGCACAAGTGATGAAGGGGCGGCTTGTAACACTATGTATGGCATTTGCGCTAGAGCACCGTCGAGACAGCTATAGAGAGGTTGACCAGTCTCTGCTAGTAATACCCACCACAACTCGAGAATCTCTGCAGCCAGCGAGCCCGTACAAATGTGAATAATTACTGTAAGCGATGCCTGGGAGTTACAAGTCTTTATCCAACAGAGAGTCCTCTGGTCTGACCTGGTCTAGCAAGGTTGCAGCTTTCAAGGAATAGGCATATAGACTATATGGAACCAGGAAGATGGCGACACAGCGAACGCAAAGATATATGTCGCGCAAGTGACCGGGACGGGGAAGCACATGTGGCAAGTAGGTACAGGCAGACGATGCCATCACACCTTCTGAAATCAGTTATACTGAGCGCAATGCATGGATACTTATGGGTTGGCCCCACCATGGAGCACAGGTTTTCACAAATGCTGAAGAATGCGACGGGTGTGCATTGACTCAGTTATGCCTGGGTGGATCAGATGTGCAGAGCTGGCAGTGGGCGTTGCATAAAGAGCAGCATGTTAGAGCAGGAACAACAAGATGGCAGGCAAGGCAGGTGCAGCCGTGCTGTGCATTCTTCTGAGCTCGGGCGTCCAACAAGTTTATTTTCTTCTTCTGTTGTCCCCTTTCCCCTGCTCGATATTGCAGCCTCGCGTGCCTTATTGCCCGTCAGTCTGACCGTGTCCTCGTGCCTGATGCCTGGGCCGCGAGCAGCTCTGCTTTTTTTTTTTTTTTTTTTTTTCCTTTCCCTCCCTCTTCCCTCCAGGGGTACCTGGGGCTCTGCTCTCCCGGGCCCCCTGGTGTGAGTGCTGTTACTTTTGCTGTGGAGGACCCAAGGTACCTAAGGTGCTGTGGTAGTAGTGTTAACTAGCTACTTATTAGGTAGAGCAGCGCCCTGACAAACTTGCAAGAGCTGTATGTAAGGGGTGAACCGAGGGGCGACTAAGCCAGACCAGGCGGCATGCATCGCGACTGGCAACTGCAAAGTTTTCGGCTCGCAGCTGTCGAGCAGCAACCAAAGTGTCGAGTGCCCGGGTCCAGGGTGTTTGTTGGACTGGGAAAATTCAATGGCGGGCCCCCCCCCCCCCCAAGCGACACTGGAGACCAACCAGCAGACAGCAGCCAGCGGACAGCAGACAGCAGCCAGCGGACAGCAGACAGCAGACAGCAGACAGGCCCCGTTAGTTACCCAGCGGCCAGCGGCCAGCACAGCCAACAGCCAACAGCCAAAGCACCCAAGAGTGGTACCAAAGCCCAAAAGCTCGCGCATCCCAAAGTCCGTCCGCGCGTGTGTGTGTATGTGCCTTGTATCGTCCCAGTCCCAGTCCCTGTCCCAGTGCCCGTCCCCCGTCCCCCGTCCCCGTCCACGTCCACGTCTCCGTCCTCAGCTTCAGCTTTCCACGCCCGTCAGCCTTCCCGCACTCGACGAACCGCCATCCACCCCCCTTCCACACGAGACCCGGCCCATCTTTTCGCGGCTCATCATCTCGTCTCATCCCGCCCGTAATTGTTGTTTTGTAATTGATACCCAGGGAATCTCTTATACACCCACCTCCCCGCCCCCCCCGTCGACGTTTCTGTACGTCCACCGGAAGCACAAGACACCAAAGACATCCACGTCCCACGTCCCACGTCTACCTCTCCGGCTGCGTGAAAATAGACCGACGTCGAGATCGAGAACGAGACCGAGAACGAGAACGAGAACGAGAAGCTCACGCGCCCGTGACCTTCATACCTTCCCCCTCGATTCGACCACGGCAAGACAGGACCCCCAGAGCTCAACACTCCTCTGGTCCTCCCCTCGCCGAGCTGAGATACCAACATTCAGCTACCTGCCTCTTGTCTTCGTCTATCCCCGATTCTTTCGCCCGGCGCACACATCTAACCCATGGCTGTACGTCGTCTTCCACCCCCTTGAAGCCTGGATCGAGTCTGCACATAGCATCACACGCCTGCCTCCGTTGTGGAAAGCTTCACGGCCACCAAGCAGGCGCAACTTGATATTCACCTGTTTCTTGACTCTTTTTTTTTTCTTCCCTCTCACATCCTTCCCTGTCGCCGCAATCACCACCACCACCACCAACAACACCCGGGCCTTGGTTGCCTTGTTCGCGTCGTTTGTCTCTCTCTTCCTTAACCCCCCCAGCTTGATAGTAGTTGTCAGGCCTTGCAGCACCACACTTGACGTAAATAGCATCTCGTCGCTCGCATCGCCATCATGGGCTCCTGTGGAGGTAGTCCCATGGGTCCCATGCCTCCCCCGGGTCCTGGCCCGTTTGCCAGCTTCACCAGTGTCCAAGAGGAACACCACGAGCCGCAGCAGCCGCAGCAGCATCATCAGCAGGTGCTGCCGCCGCCTCTCCCTCACCACCACCTGCGCCAGCCGCCTGCCCATCTCAACCCTCAATGGCGCTTCGGCAGCAGAGACGTCCGACTCGAGCTTACCGCTGGTGATGCCATGACTGACCCTTTTGCCCAGCAACCCCGTCAGCCTTACAACAGCCAAGGCTACCTGCCCAACGGAGCCAGCAACCCTCAGCCAGCTCCCGGCGCAACGCCTCTGCTCCCGAACCAAGGTCGTGTCCTCCAGACCGGCCCCATTCGAATTCTGTGCATAGCCGACGTGCGAGGTGAGTTTTCACAAATATATTAATTTTTTTTTTTTTTTTGCGCGGCCCGTTTCCAGACCTGTTGAGCCGCCTGGCACCTCTCGCGGCATATATACTCACATTTTCTATCTGCGGTCTAGGCAACCTCCGATCTCTCAACGAACTCGCAAAGCAGGCACGCGCCGATCACATCATCCACACCGGTGATTTTGGCTTCTACGATGACACCTCGTTAGAGCGGATTGCGGAAAAGTAAGATAAATAACTGTTGTTTGTAGGCGAAAGAGCCCCCCGGACTGATCGCATCTCCCCCCCGACAGGACCCTTAAGCATGTCGCCCAATACTCGCCCTTGATTCCCGAGCCTGTCAAGAAGGCTATTGCCGCCGGTGGCCAAGGCCCCGTCAAGCAGCGCTTCTCGGCCCCCGAGCTGCCTCTGTCGGAGCTGCCCATGCTCATCAGCGGCCAGGTCAAGCTCGACGTCCCCGTCTACACCGTCTGGGGTGCCTGTGAGGATGTGCGCGTGCTCGAGCGATTCCGGTCTGGCGAGTACAAGGTCCCCAACCTGCACATCATCGACGAGGCCCGATCCATGCTGCTGGAGCTCGGCGGCGTCAAGCTGCGTCTGCTCGGCCTAGGCGGTGCCGTCGTCATGCACAAGCTGTTCGACAACGGCGAGGGCCGCACCACCATCGCCGGCGGCCAGGGAACCATGTGGACCACGCTGCTGCAGATGGGAGAGCTGGTGGACACGGCTAACCGCGTCTACGACCCGACCGAGACCCGAGTCTTTGTCACGCACGCCTCCCCGGCCCGCGAGGGCATCCTCAACCAGCTGTCGGTCAGCCTCAAGGCCGACTTCTCCATCTCGGCTGGCCTGCACTTCCGTTACGGCAGCTCCTACAACGAGTTCAGCGTGAACCCCACCCTCGACCACTACCGCGGCAAGCTCGCCGCCTCCAAGGCCTCGTTCAACGACGTCTGGGAGACGGTCAAGGGTGAGGTGGAGCCCGCCATCCAGCAGAACGAGGCGCAACAGAACCTGCTCAAGAACGCCCTCGGCCTCGTCGAGAAGATGCCCACGACGGCAGCTGGCGGCAACCCCTTCGGCGGCCCCGTCGGCGGCTCGGCTGCTCTCGGCCAGGTCGACGAGAGCGCCTTCAAGAACATGTGGAACTTCAACCTGGCCGATGCCGCCTTTGGCTGGCTCGTGCTGGAGATCCAGGACGGCCGCATCGGCACCGAGATGCGAGCCCAGGGCTTCAACTTCTCGCACCGTGGCGCCAAGCAGCAGCCCATGGCACCCACGGTTGGCACCCCGTCGCCTGCCCCGGCTTCCAGCAGCGTGGCAGCAGCTCCTGCGCCTCCCACCGGGCCCCAGCGAAACGCCTCGGCCGCCCAGTCGAAGCCCGCAGCCAACGCCCCGATCCAGCCGAAGCCGGCCACGCCCAAGCCCGGCACGTCTTCCCCCGCCCCTGGTGCGTCGGCCACCAAGGAGAACGACAAGCCGACCAACGGCACGGCCAGCGGCCCCGACACGGCCTCGTCGCCCGCACCCCGCGCGGCCACCGACATTGTCGGCCTCTTCATCATGAACGTGCAGTCGGACGAGCAGGCGCGCGACATCTTTGCCGAGGAGAGCAAGTCCAAGATCACCAAGATCGACAAGTGGGGCAGCACGTCCAACAACAAGGTGGCACACTTTGGCAGCGTCGAGGACCGCGACGCGGCCTTTGGCAGCCTGTCGGACGAGTACAAGGTGCGCGCAACCGAGGACCGATCCAGACCGCTGGTCAAGATCTTCCAGCCGCGCGAGACCAAGACGTTCCAGCGAGGCGGAGCGGGCCAGTGGGGCAGCAGCCGGGGCGACCGGGGCGGCCAGAGCGGCTATCGCAGCGCCACGGACCGCGGAACTGCTAGCGGCGGCGAGAGCGGAACCGAGTCGGGACGCGGCGGACGAGGAGGTCGTGGCGGTCCTCGGGGGGGTCGTGGTGACCGTGGCGGACGGGGCCGAGGCGGTCGCGGCGGCGGCGTGAAGGGCGGCGAGGGCGGCAGCGCATCTCCGGCACCGGCCTCGGCGACACCTGCGGATTCGTAGATGGCTGCTCGACGGCGTGTCACACCTTTCTGTCTCGATCCGTTGCCTCTCGACGTTCCGGCATACCCAACCCTTTTCCCGGCCGTTTCTTGCTATTACTACCCACCCACCCCTTGGTTCTCGGCTACAAAAGCAGCTTGCGTCGTTTTAGACTTGGCATCTTGTGGACTATAAAAAGGTTTTTTTTTTTTAGGTTTGGCCCCTTTCCTTCTGGCCGGCTTGGAGGGAGGAAAGACGGAGGAAGGGCTTATTTTTTTTTTTTGCTTTTGACATTCGGAGGACATACCCGTTCTTTTCGGTACACATAACGACACGTGTGCCGGAGTTTGCGGTGCACCCTACATGTACTAAAATGAATACGATAATCACGAGCGTCTGAGGGTGAATGTGCGTTTGTGCGCGCCCGTGTGTTCTCCCCATCTCTTGCTCTCGAGGGAGGACAGGTGGACCCGTTTTCCTTGTCGATGGATGCTCGATAGGGAACTCTTGGGGCCAGGCGGACAGGACAGCAGCACAGGACAGTTTTGCAGACTTGAGGGTTGCTTTCCACTTCTGGAAAGCGGGAGTTTTCTTCTGGCCAGGGCAGAAGCGCGAGTGTAAGGGGATTCCGATAGACATGGTAGTGATCCGATGTGTATTCTGACTACGTTACTTAGGTATTCTGATGATTGGCTTGCATGAACGTGACCGGAAGCTGTTGGTTGCCCAGGGTTTTGTCCGCCTGTGACGGATCAATTTTAAAATTCCACGCGTCGTGCTGTTTGTGATGATGTACCACGAGCGCGCACATAGCCAACCATACTCTGTCGCTATCTCTCGGTCTTGTCAATGGCTCCAGTCGCTGTTGTGAGAGCAAGCACTCGTGGGTCAGATCCAGTGGAACGATCGTACCGTGTTAGCGGGCCGGTGCCCAGGCGGATGGCCAAGTACCTCCAGGTAACCCTGGGCGCGTCCAGTGACGTCGTGCTGAGTGGCAGGGGTCAGCTTGACCAGATATGCGCCTAGCGGGACCGAGTAAATGGAATTATGCATCTGACGCGAACAGCATAGTGGGCCAAGCAGTACAGAGCACATAACTACGAGTCCATATCACGCGTCGCGGGTCCCGTTCCCACCCCACAGCCAGAGGGACCAGACCCGACCAGAGCCCATCGTGATCCCCCCAAGAACCTCCGATAACCCCCCCTCCCCATGACTACTGAACCCGATATTGGATCGATTGATCGCATTGGAATGAACCCTTCCTGAGCCCTTGGCGTCGCGGGCATCTCGGCTCGAGTGGCACGCAATACCTCGGCGTCCTCCCGTTTCTTGGATCATCGTTGCGTTATAGGCCGCGAGTGGGTGAACAAGTGAGTGAGTGAGCGACCGACCGACCATGCCGGCGCAGACGCGCGCGCGCGGGCAGCCGCAAGCCGACAAGGACCTTGTCAAGACGTACAGATCCGGGCCCGCAGAGCCGAAGCAGCAGCTCTTCCCCCACCGCAGGCGCCACGTCAAGACCTATGGGCGTCACGCTCGCAGTAAGGTCCTCCCGGACCAGGGCACCCTGACGCAGATGGACTTTGTATCCTTGCCCCCGGGAGAAGAGGCAGGCTTGAGGAGTGACGACGACGCAGAAGAGCCAGAGGGGGAGGTAATCGAGCTGCAGCCTCTGGTCGTCGCCAAGAAGCCCGCCAAGAAGAAGAGGGAGGAGAGTGTGGCCGGCCGCTCGAGCCGGAGGAGGACTATGGGCGATGTCGAGGTTGAGCTGGTCTCGGGAACATCCTCCAGAAGCAAGCGCCGCAAGACCATGGGCGATCCTCCGAGCGCCTCGAGCAGCTTCCACACCCAGACACTCACCCAGCTCCTCCCCAAGATCAGCGAGCATGGAGATGACTGGAAGATTGCCGATTCCGACGTCGAAGAGGATGAGGACCTGGATCTCGGCTTGGTCAAGGAGACGCCCAAGAAGCCAGCACTGCCATCTGCAGGTCCCACAACCGTTACTCCTTCGAACAGACGCATCAAGCTGGAAATCCCCTCCTCACAGTCCCCAGCCACACCTCTGTTGTTACGGCGCTACAGTCCGGCAAAGCAACCTTCTCCTCTGAAGGACAGATCCACCAACGCAGCCCCTCCACTCGCAGTCCCAAAGAGCGTGCAGAAGACGCCGCGGGAGATGGTCATCCAGGATTCCTACAGCACGCTCCACAGCTCTCCCGTTACTCCCAACCCAAAGGCCAAGCAGGCCGTGGCTGCTCAGGTGACCCCTGCCAAGCGACTTCGTTTCGAGCTGCCTGAGGACAAGGAGAACATCACGCCGGGCCGGACCAAACCAAAGTCGCCCAAGCCCAAGCCTGCCAAGGTTCCCAGCAGGCGACCGCTGTGCGAGGTCCCCGATTCGGACGAAGAACTCGATACCACGGAGGACGAGGTCGAGGATGAGGCCGAGAACGATGAGGCGCAGGAGACGGCGTCCGAGCAGGATGCTGACGATTTTGTCATCCCCGCCGACGAGGACGACGAGGCCGACGGGCGCTACGCGGTGGGGGACGAGACGCAGGCTGCATTGGTATCATCCGATCACCAGTCCAACCACGAGCTGGGCGGAGATGAATCGCAGTCGTCCCCGAGACTACCGGGCGAGAATGCAGGCCAGGCGATACCAGATGTCAGCGAACACGGCTCGAAAACTACATCGACCGTCGAGGGGCCCGAGGACGACGATGTGGTGGAGCAGACTCCAGTATCTACACCCAGCCGACGGCGGGTGGCAGAAGATGCCTCTGCAACCCAAGGCGAACTATACACGCAGGGCTACACCCAAGGCCTGGAGAGCCAGCGTGTACCCTTGGACACTGTTCGTGCCACGGGACCGATCGCCATGAACTCGGACATCATCATCTCGGTCTACCACCAGCACGTTGAGAACATGGTGGCGCACGCCAAAACCCACGAGTTCCGAGCCTACAGGTTCCCCGAGTCGGCAAGCCGAGTTTGGATCTACACGACCAAGCCACTCAGCGAGCTCAAATACATGTGCATCCTCGGCCCGCCGCAGAAGCCCGGTGAGATTCATGAAAACGGCACCGGCAACGCCGAGTTCAACCGGGGTTCGACAAAGTCCCAGTTCGCCTATGAGATTCTGCAGATGTTCGAACTCAATAATCCCGTGTCATACGAAGTTTTGAAACAGAATGGCTGGCCTGCTGCGCCCCAGCGATTTCAATACGTGCCTCCTGCCATCGTGGGCCAGCTCACGTCCAATCTCCGTTGCGCCTTGTGGGACGAGGAAGCCGAGCAAGGCGTGGTACGGAGCAGCCCCGTCGTCACCGAGTCCCAGGAGCTAGCAGAGCAGATCCGGAGCGACATCGACCATGCAACTCAGCGAGGGTCTTCAGAGCACCGGGACGTTGTCCCCTCCAGCCAGTCCCCTCCCAAGCCTGCATCCGACAGAACACCACGTCCTCTCTTCGCCAGGCCGGCGCTTCCCAACTCGCATTCAGCCTCGTCCACCCGCTCCACTCGGGTCTCGCAAAGCCAAAGGAGTCGAGGCGGTTTCGTGCGTCCGTCCCAGGCGACGACGGTGAGCCAGATATCATCATCGAGCCCGCCACGTTCACCCGAGAAGTCTGTCCCACTGCCTTCCAATGGAGGCAATCGGTCGGATCCGCCACAGGTTCTGAGCACCAGCAGCCCCACGATTGATCGGCGAGGCAACAACTCCTTGCCGTCATCACAGTTCCCCACCAGAAGCCAGTTGCTGCCGGACAGCTTGTTGAACGATGATATACAGGAGCCGCCGCCCATCATTTGGGACTCGGCGGACGAAGAGTCGGAATGAGACACGACCATGACATGACGTTGGCGAACGTGCGATATTGACTATCATGATACCCCGTTGCTTGGAAGGTTTTTAGGTTTATGGAATGTTTTGTCGAGGCTTCGCATTGGACCAGCTGCGTACCGAGAGAGAGTGATGCAGCTAACTAGCTGGACGTAGAGCTCCGGTTATAGTAATGTACATAGCCAACCTTCATGAGGATTGTTAAACTGATGGAAATGAGCGAGTTGGTCCCAGCATCTAGCTTGAAGCACTGTTCTGTCCCGAATTATGTGATTTTATCAAATTATGACCAGTCTGCAAGGTCCGTACTCTAACATCTAGGGGGCTCATCTAGATCGACGCTCTGTTGACCAGGCTGTAACCAAAGTGCATCTATAGGATATCGGGATAACAAAGGGAAAGAAGAGAAAAGAAGAACACGTTAGAAGCTATCGTCTTCCACGACAGTGTCGGACTCGCTGTCCGATGTCAGGCCAGCATGGTCGCTCTCCAGACTGACCACGGGAGGCCGCACAAATGCAAGCAATCCCACATCAAAAGCGCACAAAATGGCAACGCCCAAGTACGGCAGGCCGATCCACAAACCGCCCAGCTTCATGCCCGCGGTGAACAGCCCCGCCAGCGACGGGAGCGCGTAGATGCTGCCCATGATGTCGACGATCCCCTGGAGACTGAACATGCGCGTCCGGTGCTCCTGATCCACCAGCGCCGCCAGCGTGCTCTTTACGAAGCTGCTCGCACCCGACCCGAAACTCATCAGGACCAGGCCGCACACGAACCCAGGAAGCACCGGCGAGACGCTCATGGCCAGCGTGCCAAGGCAGAGCGCCACGAAGGACCAGCGCAACAGCACCAGGTCGCGCGTCTTCTCGTCGGGCATGCGCACAGCCCGCGGGACGCCGGGCCGCATGACCATGGCAGAGATCCACGGGACCACGACCATGACCACGACCAGCTGCGCGGCCCCGTACGCGCCCTGGATATAGCCCGTCTGTGCGAGCGGCATGTGGTACCGCTTAGACGCAAACATGGGCAGGAACTGCAGCGTGCTGAAGAGGATGGGCATCATGGTCAGCGTCACCAGCATCAGCAGCACCACGGACCGCGACGTCAGCATCGAGAGCGAGTCCCTGAGCTCGACCAGCGAGCGGCGGACGCGCGTCACCAGGCTGCCCGCGTCCAAGGCCCCGACGCCAGCATCGTTCTCATCCGGGCCGGACGCCTTCCTATGGTGCGTTAGCGTCTCCGGCACGAACAGGATCGCTATCGCCGATACGGCCGTCATTGCCTGTGATGCCCACAGCAGGGGCCACGGCCCGACCACGGGCATCAGCACAGAAGAGAGCGCGGGCGAGCAGAGGTTGCCGATCATGCTGGACACGTGAATCCGCATGAAGCCGATTGCCCTATCATGTTCCATTAGTCCGGTGTATCCCAGCTACCGCCGCCGGAGCGCGGAATCCGGAGCCAAGTAGTGGAGAGTTACTGACCTGTCCTGCTCCGGGAGGATGTCCGCCATCATGCTGGAGAGCGTGGCCGACAAGACGGCGTTGCCTCCTCCAAGTGCGTGGCCCAGGGGTCCTAGCCAGTAGTAGTGGATGGGGATCTCGCGAATATAGGCCACAATCATGCCCCAAAACCCTGTGAACAACATGCCCGTTAGGGCGATGGCAAACACGGGCCGTCGGCCAATTCTATATCGCATCTATGGTCAGTTATCGGGGGCTTAGGGGAACTAGTAGGGTACGAGAGGCAAAAGTTGAGAAAGTCCCATACCGGTCCGCAGCAATACCCCAGGGCATGGCAAACGTACAGCCTACGACGGCCTCGAGAACCGAGGCGGTGGCAAAGAGATACGCCAGCTTAGACTGGATGGTTTCGACCTTGCACAGTTCCTCGTCGATGGGCTCCTGGAGCTCGGCGTGTGTCCGCACCCGGCCGTAGTACTCGTGGCACAGCCGGTCCTCCAGGATCCGGGTCATGGGGATGCCGAACAGGCCGCCCGAGCCGGACCCGATCAGGACAACGACGCAGATGATGGCTAGGATCACCTGCGGGTTGTGCGTCTTGGGCACGTGGAGGCTGCCCGCGATGGATGCTATCGACGGCGCGGCGCGGCGGTGGCCCGGCCTCGATGCTGGCCGTGGTGGCTGTGCTGTTTCGACATCCTGCCGACTATCATGATGCTGGGGGTACTGACGACTGAGCAGCGGGCTGCGCTCTGTGGTGGTGTCGATAGCATCGCTGCTGATATCATGTTTGGTCATCTTGGTGTATTATTCCTTCCGTGGGGTTGCCGACCCTGAACTTGAGAAGGATCAAATGACTTTCATGCCCGGAAAGAAATGGTCGAATCCTGATGGGAAATCCTCCTGCAGGTTTGATAACCTTTGTCTGAAGTCAGGATGATCGAGACTCTGATCTGATATATGGGAAGTCCGAGCCCCAAGTCCGTCCGTTGATAAGTAGTACTCCGGGCAGGAAGTTGATTACTATGATTAGGTAGCACCAATTGGGTGTTGCGCGTCACGAATCCCGCTGCCACGTCTCATGCATGCTGGCCACGAAGTCCTATCGAAATGGGCCAACAAGCCAAGGAAGAACGGAATTCCCGTCTGGCGCTGCCATTTTGTTGATGAGATCCACTGCGTGTTACGGATTGAGCCCGTCAATTGCTTCTTTTTCGGTTTCGGAGTGGTCGGAGCAGATTAGCGTCTCGGAGTTCGGAGCTGGTTTCACGACATGGGGGGACCAGGCCCGCACACATGGAATCCAATTGACTTTAACTTACCCCTGGCGCCTTGCCGCCAGCCGACGCAACGCCATTTTCTCCCCTGTTCGGAGAAATGCAGATGGTTTTGGCGCGCATCGTTGTGCCACACTGGTCGGTCTCTTAAATGGTTGCCTGGCGATCCCACGTCTTATATGCAGCGTTCAAATCTGAGGTGACGCCGACGGACTCGTCATCACTGCGTTACCCACGTCCTTGGCGCACGATCACAGCTTGTCGTAGTACGCGTTCTGGGCGTTGTGTGGACAATGGCGCAATATCGCAGATCTTCTTTCGTAATCAATTAAAATGTTCTATATTGTCTTCATACAATCTTGGAAGCAACTATACTACAGGTATTACGTATACGTATCCTCCCGTGAGGGCTTTGTATAGTTTAGTGGGTATCTATCATGAGAGAAAGTCATCACCAAGTCGTTGCTGAATCATCAGCATGTCATAGGCCTAAAAGCGTCGACAGCAGACAGCCCTCTACAGGCGCCTTATGGCAGGGATCTCTCATCCAGAGTGCGCATGTGAGAACCGTTCTCGTGGTCGGGGCTTCCCACCCGGATAGTGCTGTTGCGGCGGCCGCTGGACACCTGGACCACGGTCTCGCTTCGGACCTGAATTCCGTTGCCGGCGAAGGGGTTCTCTATCTCCTCGTCCGAGTGTCGCTCGTTCTGACGGCCCGTGATGACGGTTCGGGTGCCCTTTTGCCTGTCCAGGGCGTGTGACTCAAAGTCGCTGTGGCTGTCGCCGTGGACAGAGTCATTCAGTTGGTAGGTCGAGCTCGACTCGTCCTCCTTCTTGGGCATGGTGTTCAGCTTGATGGACTTGAGGTTCTGGCTGCGTCCATATTTGTTGCTGATGCCATAGCTGTTAGAGCCCGACTTCAGCGTCGATGCAGGCAGGAAGCGGCCGAAGAAATACGTGAACGCCGGTCGCACGGTTGGGAGACAAGCTTCCGGTCATGTTAGAACAACCAGGACTTTGTGTAGAACGGGAGGGTTTTTTCTTCAAGCTTACCTGAGACTGTGACGAGGTTGACTTCCACGGTGGCCCAGATCACGATATCCGTGATGTTCCACGTGAGATCGATTGCCGCAGCGTTGAAGTTGACTGACGTGACAATGATGGCCACAGCAGCGACACAAATACTAATGCGGACCATTAGAATACTTCAACGGCATCCACACCCCCTTGCTGTCTCAACTCACAAGATACCGAACATGAACATGGCGATGATTCCGAGTCGCTGCAGCTTCGGCAGCTGCAACTGGCGGACCTGAATGATGGGCAGAGCGAGGATGCACACATCCAGAACCACGTGGACCAAGATGCTGCCAAAAAAGAACTTCTTATCGTCGATAGCGCAGTACGAGCCGGGGATTGTGAGCCAGAAAGCTTCGACGGGTATACAGTGGAAGATGGCCAAGAATGTCTGGTATTTTGTGCCATGGTCAGTTGCTTGTTTGCTTTCTTTCTTGCTTGTGGCGCAATGATGGGTCTCCACTCACTCTGATGGTGATCCAGATGATTGAGCAGCCCATCAGAATCTGAATTGGCAGTTTGATGTTCGAAACCGAGAAAAGGCGCCAGTAGAACGACAGGATTGACATCTTTCCAAAGAATAGGGCAAATGCATAAAATAGCTCGGCAATGTAGAGCAGCAACTTGGTCCAGTAGAGAGCCTCATCCTGGGAGAGCCAAGTCACATCTTCGATGTGCATACCCAGACCCTTGGTTTGCCCTTGACGAAAATCGGTCAGCATGGTCACTCATTCAACTAGCCAACCTCTACGGGCTCCTTTACTTACATATGCAGACAATAATCACCCATACAATGGCAACAACCTGGTTCAGTGTCAGCAGGAAGTTCGTGCTCCATCACCCAACCGTAAAAACTCACAAAGCAACCAATCGCAAAAGCATCGTCCCACCAGAAATACGCTCTTGTTATACGACGACTAAAGAGACGAAAAAAGATGGCAATGGCAGCAAAAATGAAAGTGACAAACAATACGGCCCACTGGGCCGGCTGCTTCGACTCTACCATGGTCTGTAGTGTATGTGACGCTGCTCGACCTCACCCACTCAAATCAAGGATAGTATTCGATCTGAGCCCGGTTTATGAATCCGTGCCGTGGGGATGGGTTCGGGGCATATAAGGATGAGACAGAATTTGGTTATGTAAGGTGGGTTACTCTGCATGTCAGGGGCTTCATGGGTAAATCAAATGCCGTATACCATGGAAGTATATTCCCCATCCCCGTGAGTAGCCCGTAGCAGGAACATCATGTCGAGAATCTCACCGAACCCGAAGTTCTGTATTGGCACCACCGGGGGGTTCCTGGTCTAGTCCACGGCAACTGGATGCACGAGTTGGAATAGAGTTCGACTGGGCACGATCTAATCGGACCCTGCTGCAAGATGGGCTCTAATCGGCCTCTGACTAGCCTACGGCCGGTGCTCTGGCCTAGTGTGTTTGTCGGTCACGACACCAAGGCCGAAAGCCAGCCGACTCCCGGGATCCATTCATCGGAGGGGCTATACTCATATACGTTGGGAAGGGCGATTCCGGCGTGGCACTTGGTGCTTAGCGTTGAGATATCACCGATGGATCAGCGTTTTAGCAAGAATTGCTACCAAGGCGATGGGATTGCTTCTACCACGCCTCGCAACGCTAGCCCGTCCCGCACGAGAGGGGAATGGGATCGGCGCCGTAACAGAGGAGCGATGCATCTCGAATTGTTCGACGACAGGACCGCGCCGACTAAACCTGCGATGATCCATTCGGTAGCCAAGCAAAGAAAGGGAAAAAATATCCGCCCGGTGGTCTTCGCTAGGAGGCGTGTTCTTTGCCAGGTCAAGCTACGAATCCGGCCGGTGCTGCGACTTGGCTTGACCCTCTTGTCGATCAATGGAGAGATGCACATCCGGGGTATTGCGGATTGTCGTCCATCGTAGTATCGCGAGACTATAGAATATCCCTGTGCAGTTCATTGCCATATCATCATCACGCCTTGCCGTTCGGAGTGCATACCGGCTTCCACGTGAAATTGAGTTGCATGGACTAGGGTACGAATAGAGTTCTGTCAACCTGTCCTGGCCAACGCCCTACCCGAACAGTGCATAGACACCCGGAGGCGGAAAAGCAGATTGCAGCACGGGCAGTTAACGACGACCCTTTTCCGTGGCAGATCCATGTACTATGTGCAACTCAAACCTCCGAGCGTGCAACATGACTAAGTGCCTGGCGCTCCGGGTGTCTGATTGGTCATAGCTGGCAGCTTGCTTCCCGATGGGGTGGGTGCACTGACTACATAGGTCGGACATCTACCGACTCCCAGGCAGGTTCGTATGCACGCCATTGTGCATTGCAGCGCAATCCCAGCGTCAATCATTGGGTAAAAAGAGGGGCCTTTTGGGGGTCAGCGTCGATGACTACTCGGCGGTGCGTACCATAGTATACCTGCGTGTTTCACGGCCTCATCGGCCGCAGCGTCTGCATTGGAGGCTTGGCTCATAGTACATAGCAGCCCCAAGAATTAGCAGTTAGTTTCTGGCGGTCGAGGTGCCGGGCTCGCCCTTGCGGCCTGCTATCCGGTATGGCGGGAAGACGCACCATGGCTGACATGAATACATAATCAGGGAAGCCTCCCGTCCAGACTAGCAAAAGAATCCGGACGGCCTTGCCTCCGGATTGACTCGGGGAAGCCTCGATGACGCGGCTGGCCAGCGGTCGAACAGTGCCGACGGACGGGAACGGTGTTTGGAAGATCTGAGTCGCACTCCTGGGTCTGCGGGGGGGAATTACCTGCCTGCCGCTAAGCAAACCTTATACCAAGCCTTTGGTCTCCCCCAGGGGCGCTCGAATCCTCGGCGCCATGCTAGCTCAGGGGTCGGTCGCCTTAGAAAGAATCGAAAATCTACGTAGCGACCAGAACGGGTCGAAGATCGGCGCTGCTGGTTCTCTAAGCGCGCCCTAGCCCGAGCCACTGGACATGAAGCGCTTGTTCTTGCGGTTCTTTGGTGTAGAGGAAGTTTCCACCAACTCCATGCATTGCCGTCGGCACGCTGCATCTCTTCCACTACCTAGTCGACAGAACGATCTGCAAATGATACTATATCCAATGGTCATCATCATCTTTCAGGTGGTAAGCGATGATGCAGCTGGCTCGACAATCTTGCATGGAAGCGTATGGCCATCGGTATTCTGAACTATCCTTCGCGACCTGCATACTGGATACGGCTTCACGAAGAAGAGATCCCCACCTTGTTCTAGGGCAGGAAAAAAAAAAGATTTATATTAACCCAATAGTTACCCGTCAAAGTGGGTGAAGCATCCCCATGCCTCGTCACGCTACACACACTCTCCTGGGAAGACAGCCCCGGGGGGGGGGGGGGGGGGGACGGGACAGGTGATCCATGTCAGCACTAAAGTCAAACCAAAACGACGTCTTATTCAAGCTGATTCGGAAATCGAGTCGACGATCATTGAGCCCACAGACTGAACAGGAAGGCATCTCTTCGGGTAAACTGATCCACAATACAATTACTCATGATTGCTAAGTGTCGTCGTCCTGCATTCCATCTATTGATCGTCTCCATATTCCCACGACTAGTCCTGCTGGTCTGCTATGTGGAGATGTGTACCGAAGCTGCAACCCTGCATCCATCCTGTGCATTGAGATAGGGGTCTTGGGGTCCTCAAAGTTCAGGAACATGTGCCGAAGAGTATAGTTGGGCTCGACTACGCGATAGCATGGCGGGTGGTGTCGGACCTGGACCTACTCAACATGTTTGTCAGGACAGGCGGCGGATCTTGACCTGTGTCGGGCCGCAAGACTGCTCACAGTGCCGCTGGGCCAGTCTACGCACCCCATAGGTCCTTGTGTAGACAATCGTGGCTTCGCATTGGCACGTGGTGGGCTAATTCGCAGGTGTCACGGGCGTGGCTTGCCTACGGTTGCCTGGCAAAGCTGATTGTGAACAGCGTATCTATCAGCATACAAGTGATATTGGTCGTTTCTCCAAGCCCAAAGCGATCCACCAGCATGATGGCCGCAAGGTAAAGAAAAAAATGACTCGATACGGGTTCTAGGACCCTTCTAGGACCCTGGCCAGGCTAGATGCTTGACGTGAACATGGATAAGCCCTTCCAGAACGCTTCTGATGACCCATCCAATTTTCCGGAGACGTTTATCGTGGTACATAAAGTTCAATGTTGCAACACTTAAAATCCAATAGTGTCTTGTCCGAGATCTGCCACAATAAAATCCGGTTTTATTTTTTGGGGCGCACAAATCAACCCTACTCCTCGTCGTCATGATCATCTGCGTCGCCCTCAGACTCGGAGTCGGAATCGAAATTGGGATCAGGCATCACGACTGTATTCAGAAAAGTGACCTGTTGTAAGATGCATTAGATAACGAGCACCGAATAAGTGTGGACGTCCTGGCATACATATTCGACCATGGGGGTGATGATGGCCATGATCTTTTCCTGAGCATCGGCGCCGGTAAGGTCCGAGTCCTTGATCTTCTTTCCGACTGTGTAGTTGCGCAGTTTTAGGAGCTCAATGTCGCGGTGCTCTGGGTGGAACCCCTGGCTATGTCAGCATAGACCACACCACGTAGCTGTGAAGCTGGAAATGTATACGATAGGCATACCTGCGGCCTGATCTTCAGTGCGTTTTCCTGATTAGACTCGGCAAATGCAGCAATCACAGACTTTTCGTCGTTCTTGGCCTTGGGCAGAAAGGTCCGTCGAAAATCCGCATTCATGAGAACGCGCCGAATCCGGTGCGGCCTCTCATCGATGCTGGCACGGAGCCTGGCCAGAGCATCCTTGTCAGGATGCCACAGACCGCCGCCGACGAAACAGCTCCCAGGTTCGCAATGGACATAGTAGCATGCATAAGGGCCTTTCCTGCCCGTTCTTGACCAGGCAGCTGAGTAGTGTGGCTGGGACAGTGTCAGACCTGGGCGCCGAAACGTTGCCATGGGGGCGGGGGCGGGGGCGGTGAGGACTTTACCTTGTAGGGCGTCGGGTCCTTGCTGAAGCGGATGTCCCGATAGATTCGGAAGATGACGTCCTTGAGAGGAAGTTCGGGTATCGTCTCATCCGCCTCGATGATCTTCTCTGTGAGAGTCTCAACGAACGAGTCCCAGTCCTTGAGAGACCTGCGATACTCTGGGTCGCGCACTGTTCAAGTCAGCATGGTAAACCGCCGGTGCATGAGCGTGGCAGACGCTTACACTTGAGCCAATTCCTCTTGTTATTCGCCTTGAGATCTTTGAGGAACTCCATGGTGTTTGGATGTATCGCCTCCGGTTGGTACTCGATGCCGCCAGTATCGCGTAGCTTGGGGAGAGGGATGAACTCTACCCGCGGGCCATCGTCGTCGTCGTCATCATCATCATCATCATCATCATCCTCGCTGACTTGGTCCGCGCGGCCCTTGGTCGTGGGTTTGTTGCTCTTCTTTGAGGGGACTGCCCTGGTTGGTCGTCCCCGTTTCCTAGGACGAGCAGCGCCTTCATCATCGTTGTCAATGATGGCCCTCTTTCCAGGGGTTGACTTGGGGGGCCGGCCCCTCTTGCGTTGGGAGGGAGCTTCGGACTCGACAGCCTCGGAACCGTCGTCAGCAGAGGATTCCTCGAAGTCTTGCTCGAACTTGTCCCCGTCAGCAAGCTCGTCTCCGGAGCTTGATGATGGCGCCTTGGGTTTGGGTTTGCGTCTGGGGGCGGCGCGTGGGTTTACCGAATCTTCGGACTCATCGACGTCATGCTCGAAGTAGCGGCTTTTGGTGCCTGAAGAGCTCAGGCGCTGGGAACGGCGCATGATGACGCTCGGAGGAAGTCAAGCCGGAGATTCCGCACGTCTGCTGTCGGTCGAGATGTGTCGGCAGAGAAAGGGGCAAGCTGGGGCCAAAGTCACCGAGGAGTCCGTCCCAGACACTGGACAGCCTTGAATGACGCTGGTCTTGGCCGTCGCGACGCGGCAGTTGGCCCCCATTCAGCCCATTCCGCATGCCACGCGTAACGCCAGGTCACGTGTCTCATCAACGCCGGGCCCACTGCGAGTAAACTGAGCACTTCATTCACTTTGTTAATTGGAAGTCCCTATTGATAACTGGCCAGTGTATTGGTCATGCCTTCGTTTGCTCCATGGTTGCAATTCGCTGACCGGCATATCGCCCGCCGTGAGAGACCGGCCACTCCCATCGAGATCGAGATGACGGCACGGGCTCTATTTACTCTATTGCTCTAGTTGCTCCTTTGACCTCTGTCAAGGCCCTTACGCTACTCATTCGCTTGCCCGCCATTTCTGAAGTAACCCCAGGTCAAGCTAGGTACTCAAGCAAGGTAACTAGTTACTTACTTCCAGTTACTTGCTCCAGCACACTTCTGCCATCCGGTGTATTGCCTATAACAAGGGTTATATTATATATCGTGACGGGCTCGCAACGAACCGCCATGTCAGGAGTCTTGTTGACTTGTCTATATCTCGCCCGTTTCGGCCCACACCCCACCCAGTCTATCATCGACTTTCTGCCCGGCCCAATGTGGACGGCTGCCATCGTCGCCGACTTTCTCAGCGGCGCATGCCAAGTCGTCGCCCGTTGGATCAGATGTCAGAGGGCCGATTTCCCCCCTGGTGGCAGCGGCGCCCATGCCCCTGCACGGCATTGCACTGCTCCGGGCCTGCCGTCTCACACCATCTATGCCCCGTCAACCATCCGGCCCGGTGAGAAGCTGCCGCTTCTCGTCTGGGCCAATGGCGGCGGGCTAGCCTGGGGTTTGACCTTCGCCGACTTTTTGCGCGAGGTCGCCTCCCATGGCTACATAATCGTGGCCAACGGCTCGCCCCAGGGATGGGGAACGGTCGACGAGAGGGGCCAATTGAGCGCGGTACAGTGGGCCGCCCAGGAACCTGCGGACGAGCTGGACATCCGTAGGCACTTGGACCTGGAACGTATTGCCCTGGCTGGGCAGAGCAAAGGCGGTGTCCACACCTACAAGGCTGCAACGGCACTGCGCCAGGACCCCCGGGTCAAGACCGTGGCCCTATTCAACTCGGGTATGATGCGCCCACGGAAACAAGATCTCGACATGGTGGCCGGGCTGGCGATACCGGTTTACTATTTCGTGGGAGACGAACGCGACGTCCTCTACAAGAATGCAGCGCATGACTGGGAGCTTTTGCCAGAAAATCTGCCTGCATATTTCGCCAGCTTGGATGTCGGCCACCTGGGCACATTCTACGAGCCAGGGGGTGGCTTATTCGCCGACGCCGCCGTGAAGTGGCTGCACGCTGAACTCAGGGGCGATGAAGAAAGCAAAAAGCTTTTGATCAGTCTAGAGGGCCCATGGAGAATTCGACTGCGTAATCTCTAGAATTCTTTTTTGCGCCGGGTTCCAGCTTTCTCATGACAAATACAAACAAGAACTGTAAGTTACGAAAGCAGGCCTGGCGGTCGCATCAGCTATAGAATAGTCAGGGAAGTCGGCAGAAGCCTCTCTGCTGGCAATCAATAATATACATCCACGCCTGGCCGGCTTGCATTGGTTCCGACACGGAACGCCCGAGCTGGCGTGATATCCCCCCCTGTTCGTTGTAATACTTCACCTCCCCTCGATGAAAGGCGCAAACTTGGTCAGATCGGGCTCTGGCACACCCAGTGTTGCCCGCAGGTCCGTCAACTTCTTAGCAGTGTTCCAGCTCCATTCACATTCGGCAGATGCGTGGTGCATCTCTCGCAGCCGGTCCAGCATCCACTCCTGGTGCGTCGGTTGTTTGGTTTCGATCGTGGCCATGAACATCGGCCACACGTATCGAAGCATGCGACGCTTCTCCTGTGCATGCTGGTCGCGAACAATGTCGACAATACACTGCGCGGCCCGGGTATGGATGTCTTCGGCAGGGCGGGATGGACAGTGCCAGCGACGACAGAACAGAACGCAAGCCCAATAGTGCGCAAGAAGCTTGGCAACCATTTGCTTGACGCTGGGAGATGTGTATTGGCTACCATGCCCTTCTTTGACTGACGAGAATACATCGTCATATTCCTGGAGAACGGCATTCCTGGTCAGCCAATTCTGTCACCCATCGTTAAAGGTCTGCAACAGAACGCGATGAACTCACCTGGCGAAGGCGACGCAAGTCGGCCATGAGATGTGCGTACTTTTGTGTTCCACCAGAAAGCGGCAGGTCTGTCCTGCTCTGGTAGACCCGGCTACGAACTAATTGAAGACGGTGAGCGAGCTCGAGAGGCCTAACAGCCTCAACGTCGTCCACGCGGTGATCGGCCGGGTACTTCTCACCCCACATCTTGGGGAATCCATATCTAGCGTCCCGATAGAGCATCTTCAGGCAGAAGTTCCTTTGGCCGAACTCGGTAAACATATTGATCAGGCTGCTAAATGTCCCGTTGAAAGCGCCTTCAATGTCCAAGTACCTATTCATGAAAAGTCGAGTTCAGCATTTGCTACGGTCACAACCGAGCAGGAGTTGAATGATCCAGAGAATCGCTCACAGTAGCCAGAGAACAAGATGAGAAGACAACGGCGGCAATCCCCGTTCCCGCAGCAGGACTAAAGTCGGACCCTCTCTTCCCATGACCCTACCCTGATTCGAGGCTGCAATGTAGGACTGAAAGAAAGAGTTAAGCCCATTCAGGTGGACCCTGGCATGAGCTAACGACGAAGTCGATGACCCGCCATAGTTGACCATGAAAAACAGGATAGCGATTGTAGCGTCAATGCTGGCGTCTTGTTGTGTTCGGCTAGCAACCAAGCACCCCCGAATCCCTCTCAACGCAGCCGTGTAATGGGACAGTTCGAGAGCCATGCAAGAAGACGCATCGATACCACCAATACCTGCGCGACGCATCTCGGACGCCGAGAGTGCCATCATCATATGCATGACCATGGCACTCGAGGAGGCGGTTACCTCGTATACATATTTAAGGGGGCTCCACTCCCTGCCCGCGTGGAGATAGTAGACATTGGACGACGGGAAATACCCCAGCAGGACGCGATCGTGCCTGGATAGCAAGACAGAGTTGGTACATGGGATGTTACACGGGCCAATAGATGGTTGGAGCAATTGAAAGCAACGTATAGCTTGTGAAACCAGGTAGCCAGCCCGGCCAGAGACGTCGAGGCTAGATGAAGAGCCGCACGCGCCCCATTGGTCTCCCTCGGCTAACTTGTTGCCACTCGCAGGCCTCAATGATCGCCTGTTGGTCGAGATGCAGCTCGTCACTCGCGTCTTGGGCGTTTGGCGTTCTCTAGGCCTCGGGACGCCCACGCGGCCGGGCCAGTCGCAGGCAAAGCGCATCTTGGTGCACCCACCGCACACCGGGTGCTGTTCGTCGCATTTGACCTTGCGTATACGACAAGTCGCACAACCTATAATGCCGGGCCCCTGGTAAGTCTATATACAATGACGCGGCATTCCGCTAGTGAGGTGTCCCTCAGGTAAAGACAAAACTTACCATTCTTGGACCTGGGTGCATGTCTTCCTCTTGACATATTCAAGCTGTTATCTACGTCTCGAATACACGAAGACACACCAGCTGTCTTCCTGGTGTTGAGTGGAGGTGACGGCGCAGGCCTCCTTCTGAGTCTCGACAAATGGCCCCTTTCCCCATTTCTTTTGTGTCCTTTCTTCATTGCTCAGCACCATACGACACAGAGATATGAGTCCTGTGCCGCTGAGAATCAGTGGGTCCTTATGAGACGCCCATTGGCCTTGCGCCACAACGTTTGCCGATACGGCCAATAGAATGCTACAATTTCTGCATCACGTCGGCCGTAGCTGAGGGCAACGCTCTGTTTGTCTAATGGGGCAAGGTAGATCTCAGATCTTACCCTAACTCCAGCACGTTAACCCCGTCCAACAACTCAGCCCCCGGCCCGAGCTTTCCCTCAATGCAGCTTTCCCTTGAAGCCGTCACTGATCCGTCCACACGGAGCTCACGTTTCCTGCTGTCGCTCATGGAGATCAGTGAAGCTGATTCGTCTCGCCGCCTATGAATGCAGCCCTGTAGCGGAAACGGTGTAGGTGATCGGCGAAGCCGCTTGCCATGCGTATAACAATGTATCATTGTCGCTGCGACATGATTTGAAGATAGAAACCCACACCGCTGTCACCATCTTAGAAACTCAAGTATAAATATGTGTTAGCTGCTTGGCACACTGCTCTCATATCCTCTCAGCACAATCGAGACTCGTATCTCGAGAATTTACTTACTCCAACCTGCCTTCCCAGCTCACTTCGTGCTCTGGCCAGATATGTCCTTGACGGTGGACCTCCAGCCTTCGAGTGAGAGCCTGGACTCACATACTACCCGCGCGCAGTGCCATCCACCTTCGGGAATCAGCGTCCTTGTTGTGGGAGGAGGCCCGGCAGGTGTCTATGCCGCCCTCGAATGCTGGCGAAAGGAGCACCATGTCAGCATCGTTGAGCGAAATCCAGTTGCGAGGACACAAGGTTAGTTAAAGAGCCTTTTGGGCATATCAATAATGCCCTGCCGCAACTAACTCGAAACAGGAGATTTCTTCAATACCACACCACATGTCATCGAACATATCCGGACGAACTGGCCTGAATTGGGTGAGGAGAAGGAGAGGATCGCTGAGGGTTCCTGGGTTTCCTATCATAGGGTCAATGGGCAGCTTATGTCTGGGCCCGAGCCGTTCGACTGGAAGAAGGCTGGCATCGAGGACGATGGAAGCCCTGCCCCTGCTCGGATGTACCGCCATAACAGACCCAAATTTCTCGGAATGTTGATCTCTCAGCTTGAAAGACTAGGCATCCGCAATGAATATGGGTGCCGTGTGGTTGACTGCTGTGAGAATGCACAGAAAGCAGGCATTGTTCTGGATGACAATCGAAGACTTGAGGCCGATGTCGTTGTCGCTGCGGATGGTATTGGTTCAAAGTCACACAGGTTAGTCAACGGCCAGGAAATCAGAGCTCGCGGCTCTGGTTTGGCTGGGCCCAGGGCTGCATTCCCAGTGCAGGCTATCTGTGATGATGAAGAGCTTAACAAGCATTTTGGTATACTGGACAGCCGGCATCCTCACTTTCAAATGTGGATACGGTAAGATTCACTTCAAAAAGCAGATTCGAATCGGACTAACTATCGCCTAGACCTGGGGTTCACATGTCTATGCTACGGACCAACGATATCGTCAGTTGGTGATTGATGCACAAAGTCATTCATCTGTCTCTATGGACTAACCGCGACTGACGACAACTTAGAATAATGGCGCAGCCACGGAGTCTTGGAACGAGAGTGCGGATGCAGATTCAGCTTTTCAATACGTGTCTGCAGTTAAAAACTTCTCCGAGTATGCGAAACGACTGATCAGAGCCTCTCCTGAAGGGGGTATCGTCGATTGGAAGATCATGTGGAGGGACCCCTAGCTAGTCATAATCTCGCCCCTTGGACGAGTAGTGTAGGTCGGTGATGCTGCGCATACGTTCCTGCCTAGCTAAGGTAGTGGTGCGAACCAGGGTCTGGAGGATGCCATCTACCTTGCCAGTTGCTTGGGGTTAGGTGGAAAAGACAACAATCAGTGGGCAACAAAGATCCACAACAGGCTTCGGTGGGTATCTGATGGCTGATTTCAACAAGAACGAGTTCTAATCAAGTGTCCCCTAGCTTTGAGCGAGTTTCGTGCTGCCAAAAGGTTGGGTTCATTAATCAAGCGCGGCGCGACACCAGAGATGTTGAACTGGACCCGAGCATGATCAAGTCGGAGCACGGCCGGTGGATGTGGCGCCATGACCCCGAGAGCTACCCCTACAACAACTATAGCAGGGCTCTCGACCACCTCCAGAATGGAGCACCGTTCCAGAACACCAACACCCCTCCTGGGCACACCCACGAGCCTTGGTCCGTAGATCATTTGATGGGTCGAGTTGAACAAGGCCTACCAGTTGAATTTGACGGAGGCTGGTCCTGAGACTGGGGCCGGGGGTTGTGTCTTGCAGCACGAAGGCTGCATTATGCAGGTGCTCGATAGATTGACTATAGATTCCAAAGTAGAGGAGCACGGGCGATGGTGTACGAGTGCAAAGTCGGAATAATTTAAACCGGCTTCGAGGGTTGTGATTAGTCTACAGCTTGGCTCTATCGTAGACCTCATTCACTAGCTCCAGAACGCCGGCGGCACAGCCCCAGCTACCTTGGTAGCCCCATGAGGAGTGACCGTAGTTGTGAACCACCCAGATGTCACCCATCTTTTCCTTTTCGACCCTCACCCCACCATTGCGATGAGGCCGCAGGCCAACGCCATGACGCACGATGTCAAGGCCCCTCACACCTTGACCATTGGTCAGCTCCGGTACCATCTGGCACGCGCGCCGCATTATTCGCATAGCTTGGTTCGGATCAGGTTGGCTCTCCCAAGATCCCTTCATGTAAGTCCCGCCGAGGACCGTGCCGCCGCCAGCAGCACGGGTCATTGCATAACATACCTCGTCGGCCTCGTCGTCTGTTCCCGACATTGTGAACATGTGCGGAGATTCGTTTCGAACAACCACGACCTGGCCGCGAATAGGGGTCATGTCCTTGTCAGTGACACCGCCCAACTTCAAGGACCCAAGACCTGTCGCATTCACAATGATGTCAACTTTCCCGGGCCTCGGCGTTAGGCTGGTGACGTCGAGTAGATGTTTTAACGATGCCCTTTTGAATAAAACGCCGTTCTTCCGACATTGACCCAGCAGCCACGGGAGATATACCATGACGTTGATGCACACGGAGCCGAACTCACACCCTGAAGCCATGCCCTCGGGTAGTTCTTCCTTGGGGAGCTCCCGGAAGTCCTCGAATAGGGTCGAGTACCACGGGTTCTCCGCAAACAAACCATCAAACGTGGCGCCTGGGGACTTGAGCTTGTCAATATCCTTCTGTCGCCTGAAAACGCGAGACTCTGTTGCGTTCAGTCAGCGCACTCGCTCGCAGTGCCAGCAGGGTCTATTTACTCTGGAGGTGAACACCCGCCTCAGGTGTCTGGACGGCGATTTTCTTCAGAATTGGCCAAGTCTCACGTTCCCAGCGGCTGTTTTCCAGGGTCGACATCCTAGACCGCGTAAGATAACATCGCAGAAGACTTGCAAGGAATAGACTCACGGCAGGACATTCGCCCCTGCTACCGGCGAGGCGTACTCAATGTCATAATCCCCAGGCATGTGCTTCGCAACAACCGTGACTACATTCCTCTTCTGCTGGGAGAGGACATATGCAGTGGTGAGTCCGGAGACACCAGCACTACAGAGTATGTCAGCGTGGAAACTCGGCGGGAATTTAGTCTGCTGACTGACCCTGCAACTACGATGTTCGGCATTTTACTGACAACACTTGAGTTGAGTGAACCTCCAAACTCAGAGTACCCCTGCGATGTTGCTGTTAACTTGTGCCGCCGCCGTATGGTGGTTGTGTCTGCACGAACGCAATTGATATGATAGGGTCCTGCTGCGCTGTCAATGCCGACTATCGGTCGTGCAAGGTCGTATCTGTGGGCCAAGCCTTGGATTGGAGCTTAAGGTCGATCTGGGCTATCAGCCGATGTGGTCGGTCGGGGTCGACCCGAAAGTGGGGTCGTGGACAAGCAGCCATTGAGTCAGGACAGACGCCGGCCTCAACCGGACCCCTGGATAGGCCATTCATTTAATCCCGAGTTCTATATCGTTGGCGCCAAAAGGAAGGCCTGCCAGGGATATTGGCTATCTCAGGCAGGAGACCTCAGCATTTTGCAATGCCATGGTATATGGCATGGTGCAGCATACTGCTGGGAATTGCGTTACGCGGAAACCATTGAACTTGGTGCTTTTATAACAGAAAACCCGGCCCCGCAACCTTCACGTCCACGGGGTCCCGGCACGGGTTCAACACCCGAGCATCCCGTGCAGAAGCTGCATTTACAATGATAACATCTTTCTGGGGCTACCATGTCTATCTTGCTAGATCAACACCATGCATTTCAGTGACTCTCGAGACTGAAATTTTCATCTGTCGATACACGCTATCCCTACTCGCATTCGTCGCTGTTGACGGCCTCTTCTCATTGTTGAGATATCTCAACTTTGCTCCACCAGAAGTCTGACTCTTTCTTCGCCCAGACATCGTCGTGGAGCTCCGCAGCTGGTCCGACATCGCCCCCAACGAGTTCCTTGTTGTTGCGGCCGAATATCATAATCTTCGGGCTTCCGTTGTTATACGATGCCCATTGTGGCTTCCTAGGATATATCTCTCCCATACCATTGGGATCTCCAGTGCAAATGAAGCTCGTCACATACGTATGCAACGTGCCAGCCAAGTTCTTCTGAGACTCGGAGATCTTGCAAACAGCCGGTTCCATTGCTTCATATTTCATATTGTCCCCATGGCTCGCGCCGCCAATGACACTCGTCTCCAAAGCCCAGTGATACAAGAAGACTGGGACTGTAGGACTTGCGAGGTGGGCCGTCTGTCGCACTGGGGCCACATACGCATAGTGTGCGTATGCCGCCTCGATCCGCTTGTATTGGTTTCCCACACCTTGGCGGTCCTCCTTGTAGGGCGATGATGCTGTGGACGGGTCAGGATACAAGGTTTCAATGGTCTTGAGCTCCTCCAGAGTCAACTGGGGCAGCAGAACCCGGAAGAAGTCAGTGAACTCCGATGGTTCTGACATGGCTTTGTTTACGTAAAGCGAGCCCTCGTTCCCATTGAAGCCGGTCATTATGGGCATTTTGTGCCACATGCCCGATTGCCAAGCATCTAATGGGCGGCGTCGTATAATCTCGCCGTCGATTACTGGCTGGAACGCCCAGCGAAGGCTGGGGTTATACCTGTAGAACACAGTGTCCTGCGCAGAGGCGATTGTTGAAGAGGGCAAAGAACGCAGAAAAGGGAAGATATCAGCCTCTGTCAAATCCCTTGGGCATCCCACAGCGTCTAAGAAAGCTTGGAATTGTTCCTCGTGCACCGGCGCATCGAAGTTGCGAACAGCACGGGATGTGGGAGCACCGCTCTCCATGACGACTCGGTTAAAGAGGGGCCTTTGGCCCTCCTCGAAGTTCAGGAGATGGTGGCCAATCTTTCAATATTTAGCCGTCGATTCATGAAGCTGGTGAGTTGGGATGGGGTACTGCTTACCGAGTGTGCGCCGGCAGATAGGCCGACGAGGGTCACGTTGTCGGGGTCACCACCGAAATACTCAATGTTCTCCTGCACCCACTCCAACAGCAGGATCTGGTCTTTCAGACCGAGATTCAAAACGCCTTCCTTGGCACTAAGTCGCGAAGGGAGGAATCCAAGAGCACCAATGCGATAGTTGAAAGAGACAGCAATGAACGGTTCTGACGACCAGCCCACCATTGATGCCGTGTTGTGCATGGATGCACTGCCACGGTTGAAGGCGCCGCCGTGGACATAAATGGCTACAGGCAGGAGTTTTGACGAATTCCTCGACCCCTGCCGAAACACATTTGCCGTCAGACAGTCCTCGCTTGATTCCAGCTGAGGGCCGGCTACGACGAACTGCCTCGCGGGCGCTTTCGGTCCATATTTCGATGCATCGACAACATCGTTCGACGAATCGACTCTCTCCGGAGGTCTGAATCGTCGATCGCCAACCGGAGGTGCAGCATAGGGAACACCAAGGAAGGCTTCGACCGGATGGGGAAAGCCACCGTCTTGCTTGATACCTTTGACAGTACCCTGGCGCAAGACCACAACAGGCCGATTGGGGCCATCACTGACTGTCATGATGCACCAATTGTTGTGGTGTGCTAAGCTGCAATTCTTGAGGCTGTGTACACCATGTAGTTGTGATGGTAATACCGTTGCATTAGGATGTTGGGTTGTAAGTCAGGACCTGTTCCGAAAGGAGACACCAGGAACCCAGCCTATTACGGTGTTCCTAACTCAATGCCCGAAGTGCCGATTCTCGGTGGAGCAACTCCGCTAGGCTGGCAAGGATCGCGGGGAATCCGAGCTACTTTATCGGGCGGCCCCACCCCTACGCCTGTGGGTTCTTGAGTGTTAGTCAGTGGATAATGCTGATACGATAGATAGTGCTCCCTCGGGGTTGATTGATCAACAAGCAGTTGCTCATGGCTGACCGGCAGACAGGGGAGAGCGTTCCCAGGCAGCGTGGGTGCTTAAGTTTCCTGCTTCCTACCGGCTTTAACGCGTTGGTGTCGTCCAATATTATTTACTTGAGAGAGCTGCCCATTGCTCGTCATTATTCTGCCACTGAAAGCAACGGCCTCTCTGACTTCGTGGTTCTGGCGTGGTATCCTCGCACGGCGATTTAGTTAGTCGAGTTCCTTTGAGTCCATAATCTTATCATCATTGTCGTCACCATGCAGCCTAGCGACATCGACAAGAAGGTAGACGAGTTGGTAAAGGCGGAGGATATCGCAACAGTAACCGACCTAGATGAAGCAGAGGTGTTTCTTCGGGAGCATGACATCAGTCATGAGTACACTCTCTCGCTTTTGAGCGACAAGGCCACGATCAGACGACTCGTGCGGAGGGTTGACCTGGTCATACTTCCACTCCTGGCGGGCACCTACTGTCTGCAGTATATCGATAAACAGGCCCTTTCCTACGCCGCAGTCTTCGACCTGTTTACCAGCACGGGGATCGACCAGGACCAGTACAGCTGGTTTGCCTCCATGTTTTATCTGGCCTACTTGGTTGCCGAATACCCCTGGAGCTACGTCGCGCAGAGGACTCGTATGGCCAAGGTCGTATCTGGGTGCGTGATCGCATGGGGTAGCATTTTAATGGTGACCGCAGCGTGTCACAACTTTGCTGGTCTTGCAACCTGCCGGTTCATGCTTGGCGTTTTCGAGGCACCGATCACACCTTGCTTTATGATGATTGTCAGCATGTGGTAAGGACTTGTCAATGTTCCCTCTCAGTACACCATCATTAATAGATCGGCGCTTTGCCACAGGTACACCCGCGAGCAGCAGCCATTCCGGGCCGGGATTTTTTACAGCTGTAATGGAGTCGGTTCCATGATCGGGGGCATCTTGACATATGCTATCGGACAGATCCATTCATTCCCGGTTTGGAAGGCAATATTCTTGATATGCGGGGGCCTCACTGTTCTATGGGGTACATTACTGGCCTTCTTCCTGCCTGATGACATCGTTTCCGCGAAGCGTTTTACAGTGGATGAAAAGGCTGCCCTGATTGCTCGCGGGAAGTTAGCCAAGACTGGGATCCTGAACCACAAGGTCAGGTGGTACCAAGTGAAGGAAGCGCTGGGAGATCCTCAGGTGTGGCTTCTCACTCTTTTCACCCTACTGAACGAAGTGGTGAACGGTGGGATTGCCAACTTTGGCAAACTCATCATCAAGGGACTCGTGCAGGACTCTCTGCGCACAACGGCTCTGGGTATTCCGCAAGGTGCTTTCCAGGTTCTGTTCATTCTTACTGGCACTTACCTTGCATCAAGGTTCCGAAACATGCGCACCATTTTTATGGCGATATACCTGGTGCCTACAATCATCGGAACCTCTCTTATGTGGAAAATTGATCGGAGCACTCACAAAATAGGTGTCCTGTTTGGCTACTATATCTGCGGATCTTTTGTTTCGTCTTTGGTGTTGGCGATGCAAATGCCGGGTGCAAATCTGGGTGGCTATACGAAGCGAGTTACGGGGACAGCTGTGGTCTTCATGGCCTACTGTGTCGGTACGTTGGTTCCGCGAGCTGCGTATTTATGATTCCCTAACCAAACTTCATACAGGCAACATTATTGGTCCTCATGCATTCCTAGACAAGGAGGCACCGACGTACCCAACAGGTTGCAAGTTGATTATTGCATGCTCGGCAGCACAGATCGCTGTGGCTGTAGCCCTACGGGTTCTTCTGCTACGTCGGAACAAGATGAGGGACCACGCATCACCTGCGTCTGAAGCTGAGGAAGCGGAGAATGTCAGTGCTGACCTTACAGACTTTGAGGTAAGTGTGATTCAACTATATATAAACGCACGTGGCTGATATCAAACCTTAGAACCCACATTTTCGTTACGTTTTATAAGTCGTATTAAATAAATTTCCTAATATATGTACCTACATTTAAGACGTAATTTATCATTTTACACCGTCTTTTGAACAGTAATAAATAGCGTAGGAGATCAAAAGCTCCCACAGCTCGGAAGGCGTATCTGTTTGGCTGGGGACCGACAGCCACTACCGATAATGGCGATGGGCTTGGGTATAGTTGCCATCCCTTGAATGGCTGTGTAGGTTTGGCTCCACGAAAATCTGGTGACATTGGAGAACCTGGTAAATGAGTCCACGCCATCGGTTGCGACTAGGCTACGGTCCTATGGAACCCCAAGCAGACCAAAAGGGTAACGTCGGTCCAAAATACAGACGATTCTCAACCACGGCGCCGGGGCTCGTCGGGGATGTCAAAAAGGGGATGACTGGCTCCAATTGGCACATTTAACAATAAGATCTGGCTCCTTCGGATCGCCAACCCTTTATTCGCTACTATGTCAGCGTCAGGGCGCCATTGCATTGGGAATGGCTTCCGGCGGTGCGTGCCTGGAACTATAGACCTAGAGGTTGTGGAGGGAGAGTGCGCCACGCCCCAAATACCGAGCCGCAACCAAGACCAGTGGACCCAGAGTCATGGCTCCAGCTACTGCTTCTAGAACGATAGAACAAGGACAATAGCGGAAATCTGTTACATGTTTAGTTAATGATGCGACTCTCTGCCACTCAAGGAGCTATCCTTCCGCGCAGTAGCCGCTTTGATTTATTCATATCTCTCCGCAACGACTTGATCCCACCTTTACCGTCTTCGATCTTACCTTCTTCCTCTTTTCTGATTATTGCCTGAGCGATTTCGAGGAACCCTTCGTCCGCCAGTAGCCCTCCACAGTCCTCCTGGCGTGTGCCGATGCGAATTGCCCGAGGCAACCCGAGCAATGCCTCCATTCTTTCAAACATGGTAGTGACAAGCTGAATAATCATGTTAGCCTGGAGGTTGCCGGACTCTGATCGCGTTAGTCAAACTATTGGCTATCAAGCATTGGAGTGATACGTACGCAAAGGAAAGTTGCTGAAGCCGTAAAGTCCAGGAAGAGGGTGTATCAAACGGTCCTCGCTCTCAGAGATCCTGAGGAGGAATTCGTGAATATGAGAGAAAAGCGCAACATGCAGTCTCAATGTGTGAACGTAACACATAAGAATCAACAAGCGAGCGGCAGAGTCTGGTTTGGCTGCAGCCGAAGACATGCAGATATCCGACGACACAGACGGCAAACTGGTTGCCTGACTATCTTCCGACGAGGTGCACGGCGTGCTACCATGTTCTCGTGTCGATATATGGGCAAAACCATGTCTCTCAGAGGGATTCGACACTCTAGATGTTGTAGACGCGTACAAGCGAGCAATGGCCTCTAGTGTTTCCAGAAATTGACGCGTGATATTCAATATATCCTCCAGAGGCGTTGTAGTCGACATAATAGCAGTCTCACACGATGGGGATATGAGTATTTTGAGGTTCATATCGGGCGGCGCCTTGGCCACGCGGTTAAGCTGGACAACCAATACGTGATTGATTTTGGACAACTGTTCCATGTACGAATCCCTGGTGACATGTTCGGGTGCTGGGCCGGGATCTTGCATCGACTGATCTCGCACCGAGTCTTGGATCGGACCGGCCGGATCGAGTTGATACGAGGTCTGCAAGGGGTCTGTAGAATTGGGCGGTACATGTGGATCCACACCGAAGCCAGCAAAGTCCTCAATGTTTGGAAATAGTTGGTCCGGACTGAGATCCCCGGCCGCCCACGGGCCAGGGGTCATGCCAGGTGGGGGTAACGGGACGGCATCAATCACGGACTTCCGCCTTGTGAAGTCAGGTGAATCACCGCTTGTGAAGTGGAGAAAATCTCCCGCGAAGGTATCCATGACGGTCGTTTCGGTGAAGCGAATCTCGGCTCGTGGCCATTCACTGGCAGCCGACTGGGTGGACTGGGCTCTTGAGGTGGAGCTAGAGTTTGACCGACCCGGATCTGGATTATCTGGACGGCGGCGTTTTCGTGAGACCGCATCGTCCTCCGTTGGGTAACTCGGCGCACAGTAGCGATAGATCGGACTCGTGATACACTGTGCATCGGCTTTGGCACACCTATCGCAGCAACTGTTTGGGTCCCGACCCTCGCGCAGACACCGAAGCTTCTGGCCCCGACAGCGATCGCAGGCAGAGCGTCGGGCGGACACACCTGGCGTCAGTTTCAACTCACGGTTCATGTGGCATCAAAGTGGACAAGCACTTGGGCTTGTTTGTTATCTAGCGAAGATCATAGACTCGAGAAGTCTCTGGCGGATATAGCGTCTGGTAATGATGTTAGTTTCGAATACAGAGCGTAGTAGTGCAATGTGACCTTACCATACGAAGAGTAGAGTAGCGCAGGTTGTTGGTTTCATGTATCTTCGTAGAGGCAGCTAGGGAATGGGGCGATTTCACACGCCACATGTCCCCCTGCCTCACCCGACCAGGCTGCAGGCCGGCGGCCCAAGTAAGGGCGCCCGCTTACGCACTTACGGGTCCTGCAATTGTCAGTCACCGGCTCGCTCAACCGATGCGCTTTCATCTGATGTGTCTACTCTCCCCGAGGCAGGCGATGCAGGTGCCTTGTTGGTGCCGTGCAGTGTTAGTGCACGCTCTGCGGTTTTCATTAGCCTATAGTGAGTAACCCATAACATCGCGCCAACTAGCATGCAGTATTGTCCCATCGCATGCTTTCCAATCGTCGCCCTATGGCCTCCTGTAGTGAGTGGGTAAGAATCGCGAAGTGAGCTAGCCGTGGTTGAAGTTATAGGACTCTGCCTCATAAAAAGGCCACTCTCCTCGCTCACTGGAAGAGGTATGCCGTCTGCCTTGAAGCATGCGGCGCAAAAGTATTCGGAGCAGGGTTGTCGAAAGTAACCAAAATTCAGTCCAACACATCGAAATCATTTCCAAAGCCCTAGGCTAACGTGGTAAGGCGCTGCAACACCCACCAATCGCTCGCTTCTTGACATGTGCTTCATTGAACTATATGACAGGCTTATGGGCGGTGGCCCAGTCGGTATGCAGTGTGCTGTATTGCCATACACCTAGCTGTACCCGCATTTCCACAGAAAACGAATTCTTTCAGCGTGCCGTTTCACAAATTATCAGTTCGCATTTCTATAACCGATCCCGGGATTCATCTCACCGCCAACAACCAGAGACAATCCATTTTGTGTCATCTGAAGGAAATAAGACTGGCATCAACCGAATCCACACCGAAACACAGCATAGTTAGACCAAGGTCGACTCTCCTGATACGGTGGAAAATGGATGGATGGAAGTGAACGCGAACAGCTACAGGGACAGGGACAGACAAGGTGCTCAGGCTACCCAGTAAATACAATCAACGCTGAGCGAAGGTACGAAGTGGTATGATGGCAGCCTGGGATCTGTCCTAGGTATATAGACAGATAGGCAAGCCGGTTTCATCCCCATGAATCCTAATACTTGAGCTGTCCTTGCCGAATGCCATAGGAAGAAGTTTGCAAGATTGCACGTCACACTAAACCTACATTTATGACGGCCTTTGAGTTCACACCTAGGTACATTCGTACCCAGGTAAAGGCCCACATGTTGTTTTACGTACCTAGGTAGGTATAGTCTGACCACCGATTCGGGGATCGTCACGTTCGCACTCTGATAACTTAGCAGCTTACGAATACATCGACTACGTAGCCATTCACATCGATCCGAATACAGGTATCGTGCTTCGTGTTGTGCAATCACCCATCTGGGTAGTTCGGTCTCGGAGTCCGATAGCTGGAATAGGTGAGCGAACTCCGATACGTCAGGGATGATTTGGCCGCCAATCTAATTGCGTGGCTTACGGTATCTTCGCATATCACCACATCGAGGTGACGTAGCGCATCTTCATTCTAATCTTCTTTGATTGAATTTCTTACCTGGTAGACAGCGCTCAACACGGTAGTTCTGTAACGTAGATTACAATCTCCACACAATAACCTTCATGGACTTATCCAGATTTACCTCCAGGATAGAGGTTCAGTGGCCTTGGCTCATCGTTACTACGGTAATACCATAGCCTCTATCACCATATGGTCAACATCTTGAACTCTGACAGGGAGTGTCCAGATGATCGCATATGCGGTGATCCGGCCCATGTATCTCCTCTTCTTCCATCCCGCATCACGTTTTCCAGGCCCAAAACTGGCAGCAACGTCACATGCTGTATATGCCTATTACTGGTAGTTCAAACCTTTTATAGTATTGGACTTATCCTCATTTTGACAACCCTAGGATACGAGGGCGATGGCCGTGGTTCCAGGAAGCTATGCTTGAAAAATATGGTAAATGATTCAGCTATATCGTTTGACATCATGGCGCGCTGACACATTTCAGGCGACGTAGTTCGTGTGGCCCCTAACGAATTGGTTTTCCTTAACCCGAAAGCGGCGACGGGTCAGTTATTTGAAGCACTGCCCTCAATCATGGATCATACGCTGAATAGAGAGCTAGATATCTATGGACCGGCGATGAAAAGCCAAGAGATTTTCCAGAAGACTGACATGATGGATTTTGGTTCCGGCGATTTGGGACTCACATGGGAGAACGATCCCGCGAAGCACCGGGAAGTTGCAAGAAAGATTCTCCCAGCTTTCAGTAGTAAAGCCATCAAGGCTAAGGAGCCAATCTTGCAGAGTTATATCGACTTGTTCATTTCCAGAATGCGCGAGATTGGCGGCTTAGCGGAGGGGCTTGAAATGAGCCAAGTACGTTCGTTCCCTGTCTACTCAATACATCGTGTCCAGTCAGTGACCATGAACTTAGTGGCTTCTCTGGCTCTGTGCGGACATCGCGGCGGACCTGGCATATGGCCGGGAAACGCACCATGTTAGGGATGGTAAGGCCTATGCGCTTGGCAATTTACATTCCAATTGCTGAAGCTAACCGCAGACCAACAGGCAAAAGCTCAGATTTCATTGATACCTTACGAGCAACTAGCTTCCCGGGCACCCTATGGCAACTTTCAGGCAAATTTCCTCTCGTTGCTCCTTTCGCCTTCTTCTTCGTGCCGCTCAAGATCCTTCTCTCGATGCCTAAAACGTTCAAGGCCGTCAGTGAACAGGTTCAGGCACGTATTGCGAGCAGGGGGAATACGAAGCATCCGGACTACATGGATTATATGGTCTCTCCCGAAGGCCCGGTTCCTACTTCCAAGAAGGATCTAACTCATATCGAACAAGTTGCACTTCAGATGTTCATCGCGGGCTTTGATCCGATGCAGGTTACTTTCTTTGCCTCGATTTATTTTCTGGTTCAGAACCTGCAAGCATGCTCAAGATTAACCAAAGAGATTCGTGATACATTCAGTAGCTATGATGACATAACACCCGAGGCGCTGTCGTCTCTCAAGTACTTACACGCCTTTATTCAAGAGACATTACGCATGCATCCAGTGGGCTCCAATGGCCTGCCACGGATCAGCCCAGGTGCTACAGTTGACGGGGTCTATGTTCCAAAAGGAGTAAGTCTCTTTGGACGCTCTGCAACGATTCATGTGCAAGCCATGAGCCCGGGAATAACCTTGTCATCCAGGTTGTCTGTCAGCTCAGCACTTTCGCTGCGTCTCGTAGTCCGCGATTTTTTCACCAACCTCGCGAATTTCGACCAGAACGCTGGTTATCCCATAATCACCCTCTATATGATACCACGTTTGCGAATGACAACCTGAAGGCTTTCTTCCCTTTCAGCTTGGGGCCTAGGCAGTGTACTGGGAGGGAAATTGCCTGGTCTCAGACACGATTATTCCTAGGAAAACTTCTGTGGACATTCGATCTGGAGGCCGTTCGCGGAAAGGAAACCTCTTTCGACAAAGATTTCAGTGTCCATGTTTTGTGGAATAGACCGGAGCTCTACGTACGGTTTATGCCTGTTCGGAGATAAAGGGCTACCTCGATCTAGTTTGATGCTATCGAATGGACGAAGGGTTGAGTAGAGGGAAGAGTCGAGGGAAAGGACCCAGAGAAGTGGCATTTGTTGGACATATCAATAAATCCAATTAAAAAAATCATGGAACCATGCTATTACTGAAATGCTAGTTTATGAAAAAGTTAAATCTCTGATCATGAACAAAACCTTATGCCGACTACCACGTTAATTCGTATTTCACTCGAGCTCTACGCTCGTCTCCTTTTACCGGATCAGCTCTTGAGGTACGTATATATTTCCTGGGGCGTTTCGGCGCTCTTTTTCTGGATTCAGTAATCGGCCTCGGGTATTTCTGTCATTGAACCAGTTCGGTTCCGGTGCTTGTGATATACCGATCGTTTCCACCACAGACTAAAATCATTGCAACGCAGAGTCTTTTAATTTTTCAGAAACATCATTGATACCCTCTGCATCAACTCCAGGGGTCTTGAGACTTAAGCTTGTTGAATGCCAGCTGGTCTAGATTAGACTGTAGCCGACATGGTCTCCGAGGTGAAGGCTGCGCGAGCTCCCATTCATGGCGACTCGGTCTGTGCAACGAATATTGGCACACAACCCGGCTATGAGCAACCAAGTATGGAGCTGGAATCACACAGACCCCAGGAATTTGAGCGAGGACCGCGTTTTTGGGTCATCATTATAGGCCTAGGAATTTCGACCCTGCTCGCCTCTTTAGAGCATACAGTTGTGACAACCTCGGCTCCAAGAATACTGGAAGAGCTTCAGATGCGGGAAGACTTCATTTGGGTTACAAATGCTTTCTTCGTCAGCAGGTTCGATCTCCCTTTTATTCCCTAACGATAATCTTTCCTAATGTCAAAACCTAGCGCCTCCCTCACACCACTGATCGGGCAAATGTGCAATATCTTTGGTCGTAGATGGGTCTTCTTATTAATCATAGCGTTATTCACTCTGGGGAGTGGCGTATGTGGTGGCGCCACTAGCGGAGGAATGCTCATTGCCGGTCGTGCTATACAAGGGGCAGGTTCTGGTGGTATCGTACTGACAGTTAGTAAGTTGCATTCTATACCGGTTTTCCCCAAGCGTTCATTCAACACTGATCACGACAGACATCATCGTGTCGGATTTGGTACCGCTGAGAAACAGAGGCACATATATGGCTATCATATTGGCCATATTCGGCATCGGAATTGCTGTGGGCCCCTTCATCGGCGGTGCAATTGCGGAAGCTACTACATGGCGTTGGGTCTTCTTTATCAATCTGCCTATCGGTGGTACCTCTCTGGTCACGATGTTTTTTTTTCCTGCGGCTAAAACACGACCACAAGTCAGCCTCCATGCAGAGAATCAAGCGGATCGACTTCATCGGCAACGGGTTACTAATGGCTAGCACTGTAGCTGTACTGTACGCGCTCGCATACGCTGGAGCTGTATATCCCTGGTCCTCGTGGAACACCTTAGTTCCCTTACTCCTAGGGTTCCTGGGCTGTATAGTCTTCGTGGGCTTCGAGCTTAGCAGCCTGCCTGCGGAGCCAGTCATGCCTGTGCGCCTCTTCGCTCACCGCACATCTATCATCGTTCTCATCAACACTTTTCTCAACTGAACACTGTACTTCTGGTATTTGTTCTTTCTTCCTGTTTACTTCCAGGCTGTCTCGCTTTACTCGCCCTTCCGTGCAGGATATTCATTAATTCCGCAAGCTGTGGCAGGAATCCCTGGCGCTGCAATCTCTGCCGCTTCGCTGAGCAGATGGGGCAGATTCAAGGCTCTCCAGTTCGCGGGATTCGCAGCCACGACAATGGGAATGGGCCTGTTATCAATGCTGTGGGAAGGCACCTCTGTTGCCGAATGGGCTACCTTTCAATGTATCGCTGCTCTCGGTATTGGAATCGTCATTGACGCCTTGCTTCCAGCATTCCAGGCACCCTTAGATGAAGCGGATCAGGCGGCAGCTACTTCAGCATGGGGTTTTATACGCGCTTTCGGAAGCATCTGGGGTGTGGCGATTCCGGCCGTTATCTTTAACAACCGGATCGACGAAATGTTGAAGACCATATCCGCTCCTACAGCACGGAAATTGTTGGCATCTGGTGGCGCATACCAACAAGCTTCAGCGGCCTTCGTGATGCAGTTTCCTCAATCCGTCCAGGACGAGATTCGCGCGGCATATAGAGAAGCACTTCAACGTGTATTCTGGATTGGTGCCATCTTCGCCGGGTTGGCAACTGTACTAGTGCTGATAGAACGTGATGTTACCCTAAGAAAAGTTATAGACACGGAATTCGGCCTAGAAGATGGGAGGAAATCGACCCACGAGGCAACCGCAGGACGGAAGGTGTGAAACACCGGTGACATAGCCAATTGAACTGTCAGTTATCAATTCACGGTGGCAAAGGACTACTCCGAGCATATCATGTAGGGTTATATGCTGGGTCTGCAGCCGGATCGCCAGAAAAAGTTCTATTACTTTTGATTAGAACGTTTCCATTTCCCAGTGATAAGCTAGAGCCCGTAGCCTTGCGACGTTCGGAACTCCGGTTCAGGAGTAGCAAAGTTCTCTCTGACCCCGACTTTCGGGGCCAATGTACCGTAACAGCAGCTTATGATGTATGCCAAGTAATTCAAGGGGTGCGACTGCTTGGCAGACGTCGAAGTCCCCTTTGACCCCACGACTGATAATCACCCCTTCAGTATTTGGACATTGTACAGAGAGACATGAGTTGTCCGGTGCCATCTGGACCTCCTGCGGATTTGATCGAAACATCACAAGAGAAGTACGACGGTGGCAATTGATAACACCAGCATGGACCTACCAAGTTCACAGACAGTAATATTGCAGGATGCCGAAGGAAATCCTCAGATCTGTGATGGTGTGCCTCTACCGGAGCTTGTCCCAGGGAGTCTCCTAGTAAGAGTAAAAGCTGTCGCACTCAACCCGTGTGACTACAAGATGGGTGCAACCTTCCCTAGTCCAGGGTCCATCGTTGGCAACGACTTCGCCGGAACAGTGGTGCGCATACATACAGCGACAAAGACACACATTGGTATGGGCGACATCGTCTGCGGCACAGTTCATGGTTCCAACACAGCAGAACATACCAACGGCGCCTTCGCACAGTGTGTGCGTGCACCTGCCGACCTAGTGCTCAGAGTACCCATTGATCTTCGTATCGAACAAGCTGCCACCATAGGGTTGGGCCTTACTACTGCTATCGTTTCACTGTGGGAAGGAGGCTTGAGGATAGGAGTTAGCCCAACTGCTCCAGCAGCAACCCCATTTCCAGTCCTGGTCTACGGAGCTAGCACGTCTACAGGGACGATGGCACTTCAATTACTGAGACTATCAGGCGTCTACCCAGTCGCGACATGCTCACCTGGAAATTTCGATCCTGTCCGCGATCGAGGAGCTTATGTTGTCTTCGATAACGCCAAGGCTGACTTATCGGATAGTATACGAGAAAATACGGATGGGGGGCGCGAGTACGCACTCGATTGCATTGCCGGTCACCAATCGGTTGCTTATTGTTATGCCTCAATCTGTCGGTCTGGTGGGCGATACGCAAGTCTGGAGGCAGGGCCGTAGCAGTTTCGTACTCGAGATGCTGTTAAATATGAGTTTCCTATTGCCCTCGAGGTATTCGGTGAGGAGCTAGAATTTCCAGGTGATTATTATCGTCCTGTTAAGAAAGAGCTACGCCTAGCAACTGCTTAATAGATTGAGGTATTTCAAACCCTACTAGATAAAGGGCGATTAAAGTCACATCCTATATAGATTTTTACGGGCGGGTTTAAAAGTATAATAAATAATAAGATATAAATTTATTAATTTTAATAAAGGATAACTTTTTAATATTTTTATTTTTTTATTTTATTTTAAATTTTTTTAATATTTAATATTAAAATTAATTAAAATTAAAATGTTAAAATATATTTTATATAAATTTATTTAATTTTTTATAAAAAAAAGTTTAATTTATATTAATAATTTATTTAATTTTAAATTAAAAATATTAAAATTTAATAAAAAGGATATTTTAATTTTAAACTCGAATTAAAATTACGATATTAAAAGGATTTTATTTTATTTTTAAATTAATAAAAATTAATTAATAAAATATTTATTAATTAAAAATTAAAATAATAAATAAATTTAAAAAATTAATTTAAAAATTATATTTAATATATTTAAATATATTAAATTAAAATTTAAATAATTTATTATTAATTTTAATAAAAAATATTAAAAAATAATATTAAAATTAATAATAATATTAAATTAAAATTAAATTATATTAAATAAAAAGTAATAAATAAATATAAAAAAATAAATTTAAAATTAAATTTATAATATAATTATTATAAAACTTTTTAATTAAAAATTTAAATAAATATTTTAAAAATATAAAAAGTAAAACGTTAAATAAAATAATAAATATTAAAAATAATAATTTAAATATTATAAATTTAATATTTAATATTATTATATATATAAAATAAATAAAAATATTATTATTTATAAAAAAATTAAAATTAAAATTTATAAAAACATTTTTAATTATAAAATTTAAAAAATATTAAAAACATTTTTAAAATAATTAAAAGTAAATTTAAAAATATTTTATATAAATATATTTATAATATTATATAAATCCGTTAAAATTAATTAAAAAAGTTAAATACTAAATTATAATTAAATATAATATTATAAATAAAATAAAATAAAAGTAAATATGAAATTAATTTATTATATTTTTAAAAATTTTAATTATCCGATATTATATAAATAATAATATTAACATTTAAAAATAATATTTTTTTATAAAACGTATAATTAATTAAATAAAATAAAATAATATTATAATAAAATAAATTTATAATTATAATTATAATATTAAATTAAAATATAATAAAATATATTATAACCTTTTTAATTTTTTTTTTAAATTTTTTTATAAAAATTAAAAAAAAATTATAATCGTATTAATTATAAATATAATAATAATATAATTAAATTATGTTTTATTAAAAGTAATAAACGTATTAATAAATATATATTTATTATAATTATTATAATAATATATATTAAAATAAAAATTAAAATAAAACTTTTTATAATGATAAATAATTAAATATAAAAATTTATTTATAAAATTTTAAGTATAAAATTTATTAATAAATATATATTTATAATAATAAAAAATATATTTATAATTAAAAAATAATTATTAACTTTATTAATTAAAAATATAAAAATAAAACTTTAATTAATAATTATTTTATTAAATTAAAAATTTATTAATAAATAAAAATAAATATTAATAATTAATAATTTATTATTATTAATATAATTATTATAAAAATAAATAAATTTAAATAATTAAAGAATTTTTAAATATAAAAATCGTTATTTATATAATTAATTAAATAAATATAAATTAAAAAGTTAATAATTAAAATAAATATTAATATATTTATTATTAAATTATTAAATTTAAAACTTTATATAATATTAAATTATTTATTATTTATTTATTTAAATAATTCGGTAAAAATTAATATATTATTAAATTTTATTTTAAAAAAATAATTATAATTAAAATTATTATTATTATTATAATAAAATATATAATAAATTATATATTTATTATTTTAACTTTTT